CCCCACAGATACATTGGCACGGGCCATGCGGGCCACGCGCAGCGTGGCTAGGTGTGGCTAATTCCTCAAACTCTAGTCTGAGCTAGCTGAGATAAGTTAAAAAGTTTTTATATATAAATAAAATTAATTAGTTATGTTAAATATTAAAAATATTAAAATTAAATGTTTTATTAAAAAATTAAATAAAAAAATATTTGGTTTTTTTAAAATTTAAAAGGTAATTTTTTTTATTATTATTAAACTTATTTTACTTATAAATTAAAGAATTTATAATTTATTTTATATTTTATTTATTAAACTTTACCGCGTTAGTAATTAAGAAATATTTAACTTTAATTAAATTTTATAAAAGGTAAACTTAATAAAGTTTAAAAATTATTAAATAAATAAAATAAAAAACTTTATTAAAACTTAAAATAAAATGAAATATTTAATTAAGTAGGAAGGTTAAATAATTAAAAAACATTAAACTTAAAAACCATATGAACATATAATTAATAAAAGCGTACGTAAAGCAATTAAAATATTCCATCGGTTACACCCCGATAAACCCCGAAATAAACAAGCTTTAATTTAACGCTTAAAGACAAGTTTTAAAAAAAAAAAAACTAATATCACATAATAATAAGTACTATACTTTTAACATATATAAAATATAAGATTATTAAATTAAAATAATTAATTTATTAATTATTAAAAATAATTATTAAGTTACCCCACATATATAAAATTAATTAATAAAATATTTATAAACGTTTAAAACGTTAAAATTCGGATTTTAAACATAATAAATTAAATTTAAATAATTAAGATAATCTTTTTTCGAAGAAAAGGAAAGGATTAAAAACTTAAAACCCTTAAAGAATTATTATATAAATTGAATTTATGTTTTAAGCTTATTCCCCTTGTTATAGGTAGGTAAGGATTTATAGCATTGGAATAACTCCGTTCCCAGTCGTACGGTCGTCTTAGCATAGTAGGTACCTATCCCCTAGGTACCTAATCATATTCGAGATGACATCCAGAAGGAAATTTGGTTTTAGGCATTCGTGAGCTATATTGTTGAGAAAAAACATGATTCCTATAATCACAGGCCTATATAAGAGCTTAGAGAGGTACAAAAGTTCGAGCAAGTAGCAAGGTACCAAGCAAGATGTCGCCTATCCTCGCCTTGTCTCTAACTCCCAACATATGAAGTACGCACTAAGCACTCATACCGATAGCTATGTTATTGTTGCAATGCTAGAAGTTCCCAGAAGCATTGACACTGGGTGACCATGCTGTCTCTCTTCGTGTCAAACACGGGCATTCAGCGAATGTAAAGCTGGACTTTCTCTTCCAAGTTAACATCCCATATACATCTAATAGTTTATTCACAAACTCCTTGTTTTGGCCGCGTCATGCCACAGTATCAACCGAAGACATAACTCAATTAACCAACATAGAAATATATCAATACTTTTCCGGCCTACCAAGTCGTGCAGACCCAAGCATTATGTACAAGCGATTGTGAAAACGAGATATGGGTCAAGTCAAAATTTCCAACCATAAGACTAGGTTTTGTCTCCGGAACATTGCTATCACGTGAAAGGTCAAGCTATAGCTGAAATTTTCACCCAATTTTGAAGACGCTTCGGGTCGCACGTTTTCCTCCTTTCAGGAGACGTCTCTATAGCTAATAGAATGAACGGACTTAAGAATAAGTCTTAAGCCTAGGACTATCCGGACCAACTAAAGCTGCAGGAAACGGACTGACTCTCTTATTGGAAGCGATTATCGGTCTGCTGTCTTGGAATACCGACTTGATTTGTGCAACGGTGGCTTGACCACGGAAAGTCACGAAGTAGATGCCACGAAAGAAAAACCGAGCTAGACTACGCAATCACATAATAAACCACGCAGAGAAACATAGGATCCGCCTCGATCAGGGGAAGAAAACGCGAGAGCCACAGAAATATTGACCTTCCCGTTTCGTTACGAACGACAGCGAGATGCTTGTTATCCCATACATCACGTTTTATCGTCCTGCAAGGAGCCGTGACATGCTTACGAAGGAGTGCGTATCCCTTTGGGGGCTCTAGGTTGCAAGACGCATTGGCCGGAGAGCCCAGGCTCTCCTGGATAGGTGGATCCCGCTGACCGTGCCGCGAGCAGCCACTTACATTCACGATGTGTCCTCGTAGAATCCTGATTCGGCTGTGGTTTCGACCAACCAGCCTTGGATGCAGAAGGGCCTCCCACCAGGCCGCCCCGACCCGTGAGCCACTCATATGTCACCCATCTTTTCCGCCTAGGGTCGTGAAACTGTGGAGTAGAGGCTAGAACAATCCAATCTGCGTCGATGTCAACTTTTTTTCCACGTTCATGAAGCGTGTATGGTTTAGGGACCGAATCCTAGCAGCATAGTCAAGAAACACAAACCGGGTTACCGGAAAGGGGGTGAGCAGATCACATGGATTGCTCAGGGAACCGTTGACCACGGAAATGCGACGTGATCGGATCAGAGCGACGGAGATTTCAATTCGACACTCCTATGGGAACACGGCCGCCTATGAGGTCGCAGGAAGACATGGGGACATGGAACTTGGTTCAGGATTGGTCATAGAATTGACACGACAAAAAATACCCACATCGAACAGAACATCATTGTCTGTTATTGAAAATAGGGGTTATCTATTACTCGAGTATTTCGTTTAGAGCATGTTTTCAATTATCAAGAAATCTGGAAAGTGATATATGACATTAAGGATGAAATAATGATCGTGGTCATTAGGTGGGTTTCATCGTCATGGGTAAGAAAATGATGTGTGCCTTGTCACGAATCCAGGGTTCTCATCGTTGCCTAGGCATGAATCTCATAATCATAGTAAACCTTGTGGCTTTAAAATCCGTTGGGAAAGGAGGAACATTATTCTGAAAAGGGGCAACACGAATTTCTCGTCGTAGTGAACCAGGTAACCTAACTAAGTTCTACGTCCATGTTTGAATTTTGTGAGAACCTACGAAACTGTGAAGTCGAGCCCCGAGAAATCTTCACCTCAGAGAATCAAGAAGAAGACCCTGATTTACTTCATGATTCCAAACTTTGGTCTTGCCGGTGCTGCTTTCGTGCCTCTGCCTGATGGCCTGGTTCTCCTCGCAGACTGGGCCTACATAGGATTTAATTAGTATATCTAGTACTTTTAACCCAATAGAATGACTTATTCAGTTCATGCTTACATCTAACGCGAACTGTAGTGTCTGTTTAGTTGCCGGCCAATTTTCTTTCAAGAGGCTGATCATGAGGAGCATAAGCGTCATGCAGCCTCTCTCGAGGGAACGCTGCAGGAACTCGGTGAGAATATTTCCGTTATATGTTGGTGTTTTACCTTCGGAGAGACTAACGAAAACTCGCCCTAGCTGCGTAAGTGATGCATTAATGCTGTTTCCTTCTTGTAACTTTGCGCCTGCGGTGCCAGCTTGGTGTGTTCTCTCAGAACCTGCGAGGTCTACTAAATTTAATATACCCTCGCGTACAGCGTTATGATCTTTGCTCGACATTACGCTAGTCTCGATGCTGATAATGAAATGCGATCGAGATGAGTTATCGTTTAGCTTTGTGGCTCCGAGACGCCGATTTTTCATCCCTATTTTGACCATGGCATCGAAACTACTGCCGTCATCCAACGTCTGGAGCTTAGGTTCTTTGACGGCGCGAGTATTTCTTGAGATAGACTTCTTCTCGCGCCCGCCTAGTTCTAGTAACCATAATTCGTTATTGTAGATCTCGTAGCAGCATCCTCTAACCTTCATAACAAATCCAATTTCCTCAAGTCTTTTCTTCTCCTTGAATAACATTGTCTTGACTCTAGGGATGATGCCGTCGTTCTCGTGGTTAACCCCTTCTAGTCGGCTAGAATGGGTGTCCACGTTGCTCATCGTGTATGTCTTCCCTGTGCCAGATTGACCGTAACAGAAGACACAGGCCTTCTTGCCGTCAATGACTGATTGTACGAAGTTACTGATTTCGTCAAAGACGTCATGATTCGTCTCCTGAGGGCCGAAAATTCGCTCGAACTCGTACGTGTCTGATTTTCTCGGTCTTGCTTCTCCCCACGCCGTCTTCTTTTCCTCGATTATCCTCAGTTCAGCTGGGTCGCCGCTGAATTCCCCATTCTTTATCTCGTAATCCAACCAGTTCTGGGAATTTTCTGGTCGAATGCGACATATAACGCGGATAGCCCCTTGAAGTTCCTGAAGTCGCTCGAAGAGTGAACGTCGTCTATTTTCTTCTCTGCTCAATTTCTTCTTCATTTCTTGTGCTTCAAATCGTAGTTTCTCGTTCTCCCTGTACTGGTATCGAAAGTTATCCTTCTCTGTTTCTAGAAGATCTTGATACTGCGTTACTTGACTCCTTGATGTTTCCAGATCTTCTATCAACCCCCGATTTTTCTTCCGTAATCCGCGTACGGCTTCATTTAGTAAATCTAATTCTGCCGTATTTCGTTCTAACTGCGCCGTCGTTTCTTGGAGCTCTTCATCGCAGAGCTGTAATTGGAGTTGTGATGCTTCTAGGGCTTGCCGTTGGGATCGTTTTTCTTGCACTAGTCTTCGTTCATACTCATCAATTTCTTGATGTAGTTTCTGCAGATTTGTCTCAGACCCGGATTGTGCTCTGTTCAGTTGGTCTAACTCGACAAGCAGAGCTTCGTGTTCTCCAGTTTTTAGTCTGCAATGCTTGGTCAACCTAGCCCTATCCCTTTTTCCGGCGCTGCAAATTGCGTCTCGCAGTGTTTTCCACATCTCATCAACCCTCACATTGAATTTGCCTGTACCCTTGACAACCAGGTTTCGTTCCCCCAGCGGTAGTTCTAGTTACTACTTTATAGACTTACACTTTATATTCTTCCCGCGAAGCTCGGGCTTGAGTTTGTTTCCCTTCTTCGTGAATCTTCTTTAATTGCGTGATTTCATCCTCAAAGCCTTTGCGGGCTGCCTCAAGCTTAGTCTTGAAATCTTGTTTTTGGCGCTGATAAATTGATCTGTCCTCTTCATTCCTCCAGTGTAACCTAGCAATTTCGATCTCGAACGGTGTACGCATTTCCCGGAGCCTCTGAAAATTTCTTGTATTTTCTGTTCTTTTTCTAATCCCTTCTCCTCGGCTGTCTTCATTGACCTATCGATTTGTCTTCTGGAGAGTTGCATGTATCCTCAATATTTAGGTCATGTTGAGTGTTAAGACCACGCATTTCCCTCGTGTACGGAGGTCTGGCTCCTTTATCATGAGATCTTTGCTGCTTTTCACTAGTTCAATCCCTTCGTATATCTTCTTCCATGTACTTTTGTGTGGTTTGTTTTCCCTAAAGTAGGCGCCCGAAATGTCTTGATGTGTCTTTTGGATCCTTTCAACCGCAGGTAGAATTCTGGGGTTTCCATTCATTCTGGCTTTGTTGATTGCTTCCTTGCCCTGAGTTACTTTCTATCGTCCAAGTCCTTACTCCCACTTCATCTATATACATTGAGGTTAGCTCGTCAACCTATCTGTGTAATCATTACGGATCTTGGCATTGATACGGGTGGGTTTGATGCAGAATTAAGAGCCACTAGATTCCTTGAGGATAAGGTGTTTTCAGGCAATAAGTAGATCTTCACTTCTCCTTGAATTATGGCAGGTGGCCGAAGAACACCAAGATCTCCCCGATCTTGCAAATCAAGATGCCCATTATGCTACCTGTCACCGGATTCCATGTTATTGGACCTTTAAACGGAGAGGCTTTGCCTGTATCCTCATATTGTTGAAGAACGACCAATGGATTGAAATGGGTTTGTCACTTGGATCTTGCGTTACTTTTCGCGACTTGGCCTACGGTAGGCCGCCAAGAAGGATGCTCAAGTATAAGGTGTGGTGCGACTGCATTAATACAACCGAGCTCAAGGGAGCTTTAGCTCATGCCGACGCAAGTATCGTACACGGCGTATCGGGACCTCACCAGCCCTGCTTTGTTAACTCCTTGACCCTCGCAACGCACGACTTGAATCCCTTCCTAAACCTCTTTCGCCATCGCTCCGACTTCAGCCTCTTTCGTTTTAGACCTGGCCGCTCGTGGGCTTTCTGTAAACGGGCGTCCTGTTTCACCCTGTTCTGACCGATCTGGATATTTAAGAGTGTGAAGGATCTTGCCACATCAACAGATTTCCCTACGCGTATGGTACGACCGGTTCGCGGAATTAGGCGCATTGGGGGTCGGGTAAGTTGTGAGCGCGCTTCTTGAGGGACCTTAGCAAGTTCGCCGGTGTCGAAGTCGATTTCAGGAGCATAGATATCATCATCATCATCATCGTATGCCGACATGTCGGGTTTCTTAACCTCATCCACTTTTGTGGCCGTCCGAACCTGGTAGGGGTCGTCCGAATAATTCCGGTATTGAGTAAAGGCTATAGGCAGCCTTCCATTGCCAAGTTCGACTGGGCGGAGAATTGGTGTGGTGGACAATTGCCGTATGCTGGGTATTGGGCATGCTGGCCATCTTGACGCAGAGCTTCGGAGAATCGACGTTGATCGAAAAGCGCTTTGCGTGACCCGGTAAAGCTCAGCCCTATTTCGTTAGCCAATGATACGATATTATGAGGGTTAATCCTTTCCATACATATTCAGGACGGGCTTGGCCGGATCACAGATTGCGGATTGACTTTCGGGGTTGCCTTCAGATGCTGGTGATACTGGTGATGGTGAAGCTTCATCAGTTGCGATTTTCGACTTGGAGGAATTCATTGGTCCGGCCTAGTTAGCCCCACTCTTAGTTTTATCGGCCGGAATAATCCCTCGTCCATGATTCACAATTACCGTTGCACGTTATTGGTTAACCTTAATTTATGGGCTTTGAAAATTTGTACATTTGTACCTGGAGACCCACATGGTTAACTTCGAAGGTTCAACTAGCTGGTGCTCCAGCCATCACTATTTTGTGGCGGTGCTTCAGTCGCGAACAAACCTTTCAACATCAACCATTGACGATCTTCTAACTTCCCAGGTAACCGACCTTTGCGCTTCTAAATATCTTCATTCTATTAGCCACTTTCCAAAGAGACGTGTAATTATTGACTTGCGCGTCTCAACACCGGCATCATCGTCGGAACCCTAAACTCCTCACACTACTCCTCATCATAGTCTCGTACTATCTCACAATTTAATTATGGCGTACAATCCCTACGGCGGAGGTAAGTTGCAGTCTGGATAATTAGAACATCTAACTATCTAGGCATTGCAAATATGCTAACAATGATACCTATGTCAAGTGCCTGGCTTCGGCCCACCTCCGTCCTACAATTCATATCCTGGTGCCGCTGGCGCTCCAGGTATCTCGTCTGCTCCTGGTCTAGGTAAGTAGCTTCATAGTCGAGCAAACCTTGGCATGACGCATAGCTAATAATTCCTCTAGGACCTCCTCCAGGCATGTCTGCCCCAGGAACGGCGCCACCACCTGGCGTTCAGCAGCACAACATCAATCAAGCTAATCGACCTAGCGGTCTACCATCAAACTTTCAAGCCCCTCCGAACATGCCCAACATTAACTTCAACGCCCCCGTTATCCGCCTCGGTACGAGCTCGTCGAAGCCCGCAACTCCTGGACTACCGGGTCGCAAAGATAGCGAGACCCCGGCTTCGGCTGGACCAAGGGCTGGCATAGGTATGGATCGTGGTTTAGACCAGACTCGACAGGCTCTACGCGAAAATATGCAAGCATTGGTCCCCCCCACTAAAGAGGAGATCATACGAACCGTGTTCGTGAGCGGTATAACAGACGGTATTAGCGGAAACGAAGGTGTTGAGAAGATACTGGGTGTCGCGGGTAGGGTGCGCCGCTGGGACCGAGCTACTGATGCTAGTGGTAAAGAAGTGGCCTTCGGTTTCGCCCAGTTCGAAGACGCCGAGTCGCTATGGATCGCCTCTGAGATTCTAAAGGACATTCAGGTACCCGTGAAAAAACAGGTATCGGCGGATGAGCCCGCCGGCGACGACGAAACCTACGCAAAGTTTGAGAAGGCAACCCTTCAGGTTCGACTCGATGAAAACTCGTCAAAATACTTGGAGGCTTATAAGGAAGGCAGACCTGATGATTCAGGTGCCGAAGCAAGATGTGAAGCTGCCAGAGGTGCGTTGAAGCAGACCATAAAAAATCTCTTTTATCCTACATCGCGATCTGGAGCAGACGCGGATGGAGATGTCACTATGGGTGATAGTTCGGCACAAAATGGAGAGAACGTTGAGGTGGTTAATATCCCCTTGGCACAGGAGGACGAGCTGGCCGACATTCCGGCCGAGATGCGCGAAACCGTTGCTGCCGAGATTGCCGCATTCAGAGAACGAAGCATTAAACGTGATTTGGAACGTCTAAAGAGAGAGGAAGAGCTCGAAGCAATGGAACGCCAACGCAATGGCGCATCAAGACCTTCTCGACTAGCGTCGCCACCCCCCTCCAGCGCGAACAACATCCCGTTAGGGCCGCGCGGTATGCCTAATGCGCCTTCTGGACCTAAAGGCCAGAAATCCGATATGGGCAAGGATTACAACAGGTCAATCAGTTTCGTCAATGGTGGCACAACGAATGGGAGCCTAGCTTATAACAGAGAAGATGAGAATGACTCTGCTAGCGATGACGAATTGGAGAGGCGACGGGTTGCGAAACAGAACGCAGAGACGGAAAAACTCTACCTTGATGCGGAACGCAGATGGTTAAATCGAGAGAAATCTCGGACAGCTGCACTTGAGCGAGAGAAGGAGCGCGACGAGTCTGATGCGAAGGACTTTGCCAAGAACCGGGACAAGATTTTGCAGCGACTCAAGCATTTCGATGATGATGCAGAAGCATCCCGGAAAACCGAGGACTATTACAAAGACAGGAGTGCTTGGATTAGGAACCGTACCGCTTTCAGAGCTAGAGAAATTGCAGCCGACGATGCCGATCGCCAAGCCGAAGAGCAGGAGCGCATTAAGGAAGAAGCGGAACGTGAGCAAGCTAGGGGTATGGCAGACTCATTCCTCGAGAGACAAGCTCAGGAGATGGAACAGCGGCAAGCTAGCCGGGTTGGTGTTGCTGCGCCACAGCCCTTCAAGCTGTCTCTCGGGGCCGCTGCACAGAAGGCACAAGCACAACGTGCAGCTCCGCAAAGAAAGACTATCGCCGAAGTCGAGGGTCTGCTTGAAGACGAAGATGAAGACGCAACTTCCAGGCGCCAGCTCATTCCTATTCAGTTTGAGCCTGCCGCTGCTGCGGCTATGTCCGACGAAGAGCGCGACCAAGCTGTGCGTTCATTGGCCCAAGAGATTCCTAACGAAAAGGAAGGACTCTGGGAATGGGATGTCAAGTGGGATTACCTGGACGAAGGTGTTATCCGGGAGAAGCTTAGACCTTTTGTCGAAAAGAAATTGGTGGAGTATCTTGGTGTCCAAGAACAACTGCTTATAGAGGTTGTTGAAGAGCACCTTAGGAAACATGCCAAGCCTGGTGAGCTAGTTGAAGAACTGGCAGAGGTATGTGGTTATGCACTATTATGGTCACTTGGAGCAATTCACTAACTTGATTTCTAGGCTCTGGATGATGAGGCTGAGGCTCTTGTCAAGAAACTTTGGCGAATGGTCATCTTCTTCACCGAAAGCGAGAAACGTGGTCTTTCTGCATGAAATGGAACCTCCAGGAATGCTTCGACCTCTTAAGATACCAGTTCATTTTCGTGTAGCTGTATAGCACAACATAGGCCTTTGAGATACCGGGGAGTTGAGGTGGACAGGGGTTGTTCTTGAGGACGGCCTCATAGGAACAGCGAGATATACCATTCATGCAGGAGAAGGCATAATAAGGATCCTCTGTACAGATCCATAAGGACACATGTGGATAGTAACGCCTTTGAAGAGGCGACTCGTAAATGCTGCGTCCCAACCACGGAAATAAGAAATGGTTATGGGTTATTGCTGTAATGCAATATTAATGAAATCCTCGTCCTTTCATATTTTATTTCCTGTGACATGCTTATTTTCATAAGCTGCGAGCGCAGAATACCTACGTGGGATGCGGCCCTTGTCCGTCAGGGGTAGTTACTACATCCGGGGTATGCGGAGAACTGTGGATTTAACGGAATGCCGAGGCAATTCCCCACAACCAACCCCAAATGTAATCATTAATTACAAACTTCAAAGGTACATCAGTAATACTTGAATCTCACCGCGCCATTATCTCACTCGCTTCTTATATACCATATCCTTTGTCTATCTCATTGCAAATCCGAGAAGCGTCTCTTTCTTCGGTGCTTAGGTGCCATTCTCGAAGAAATTCACCTAAACACTACCGTATTCCAGCCCCGCGTCCCTGAATGTCCTAGTCAACAAGCGCCCCCTTTTCATCATACCATCCACTCACCATGTCCCCCAACACCCAACTCCCTCCCTCCCTTACCAAACCACCCCCTCCCGTCCCAAACACCATAGTCTCGTTCCCTAAACCGCACGTGCTCCTCGTCACCCTCAACAGGCCAAAACAGCTCAACGCCATCCCGCGTCCACAGCACTTCGCCCTAGAGCGGCTGTGGGACTGGTTCGACACGCAGACCGCGCTCCGCGTCGCCGTGATCACGGGCGTCGGCCGCGCCTTCTGCGCCGGCGCCGACCTCAAGGAGTGGGACGGCCTCAACTCCAACTCCAACTCCAAGTCAAACTCAGACTGGAACTCAGAGCCTTCGGAAGCGTCGGTGTCCCAAGGCACAAACGCACGCTTCCCGCCCGGCGGCTTCGGCGGCATGAGCAACCGCGGGGGCCTAAAGCCGATCGTCGCCGCCGTGAACGGGATCTGCTTCGGCGGCGCGATGGAGATGGCTATCAACTGCGACATGGTGGTGGCGGCGCCGTCGGCGCAGTTCGCGCTGCCCGAGGTCACGATCGGCGTCATCGCGCTCGCGGGCGCGCTGCCGCGGCTCGTGAGGTGCGTGGGCCGCCAGCGGGCGGCGGAGATGGCGCTTACGGGGAAGAAGTACGGTGCTAGGGAGATGCTGGCTTGGGGTTTGGTTAACGAGGTTGTGGAGCATGATGCGGAGGTATTGGGGAGGGCGCTGGAGTGGGCGAAGAGAATTGCGGGGAATAGTCCTGATGCGGTTATTGTGACGAGGGAGGGGTTGAAGCTCGGGTGGGAGGGCGTCGGGCCGGAAGTGGGCACGGATGTTTTGCTTAAGGGCTGGTATGGGAGGATTGATAAGGGTGAGAATATGGTGGAGGGTGTGAAGAGCTTTGTTGAGAGGAGGAAGCCGGTTTGGAAGGATAGTAAGTTGTAGTTCGGACGGTGGGGTTGAGCTGTATATTAGGTGCATATGATAGCATTTGCGGCAAATAGGGGGGGAGTATTGTCATACTCCCATTATTCAGATTTCTTTCTAGGTCTACCCACTACCTACGCAGTTATAAATGAACTCATGAGCTAGCCGCCTCCCTACCTAGATATACAGGTATATTCCAATGAAACCATGCCGCCTCCTATAAATGTGTGTCGTATCTCCCAATCATATAAGATGCCTTTTGCCATACCGATCCCTTATAATAGTAACATTCGTTAGTAATCAAAACCGCTATTCCCGGTGAATCAGCCGTAGATTCAACCCTACCTAGGTATATAAGCCTTCTCTATGCCCGCCTGTTCATGAAGTCCGTTCAAGAATTCCTAACCCAGATACTAAGAAATATTTGATACCCTATCGTCCCAGATACATATGAAATCAATTACACTAGTTGAACATGTTCTTTATGGTTGACAATGTTCTCGTTGCGCGAAACGAGTTCGGTCTAGTCCTGGGGCTTGGCGTCGAGGGCGATGCCGCATGTGTAGAGGCCAAGCCTGGAGGCGATGCATTCGTTGAAGGTGTTGGTGGCGCCTGGGATGACGCCACTACATCATACTCGTCGACGAAGCTTCCCAGTATCATCTTGTACACATTTCCTGATATATGTTCCGTGTCGATGACGTCCCTTGGTCCCCATGCAATCAGCTATTACACACCTAGAAAGTTGATAGTTGCAACTTACGGAATCAAGTACTTATTCTCGATATTATCATCGAGATGTTTCAAGATGCTAGGAACTTCGCTCCCACAAGCGATGAACTGGATGGTAAACCATCGCTTCTCCAGCTTCTGTGCGAGAGCTGGTTTCCTAAGGAAATCTGCAATTGCTACCTCGACATCAGTAGGATTGACCGTCCCTCTCCAGAGTCCATTGGTGAGTACGATCAATGTCTTCGCTCGCGTAGTATCTGATAAATACTTATCGAAGATACGAGTCAACGTCTTGGCCATATTCGTGTTGATATGGTACTGCTGTGATAAGGCATCGTTCTTGGCGTCTTTGAATTTTGCGAGAAGCTGTTTGCCCGGGACATTATATGCATTATGGATGTTTCCAAGCGTGAACTCGAGATCTAGCCCGTTTTTATCCAATTGGCCAATCTTAGCTACCAGTGTCTCGAGCACAGTCGTCATTGTTTCCCATAATGGTAGCATGGTCATATCATTATCCACAAGGAACATCTATGGTGGGTGTTAGTCGCCAGCACTAATTGATTTACCACCGAAGTCGCAAACTTACAATGTCTCGATCATATAAGAACTTCTTCAAGTACTCATCTTGCTTCTTCGGGAAAAACGCTCTTAACCCTTTCTCTTTAGTCTTTAGTGCTTGATGTTCTTGATGTATTGGCCACTGGGGGTTCGGGTTACATTGGTACGATGGAGAGGATATCAACGAATTGTGCCGAGAACTATAGGGTTCCATTCCTGGCATTGTCGATGAACGAGCTTCTTTCGTGGTTGGCGGGTGTTCTTCCAATTGAAGCCTGGTTCCCAAGTGGAATTCCTCACGATCTGGGCTTTCGATCAACGAGTTACCATACCTTGGATGTACTGAATCCATATGTAATGTGCGGCTTAAAGTCGGTGATTCGGGAGAATCTAATGTAAGAACTTCTTTTTCGTTTGAGATCCTTAGAGGCTTTGGAATTGCAGATGGTTCCAGTAAGTATGGGGTTGAGCCAGTAGAGTTGTATGAAGCACTGCTTTCGCGGCCTCTAGGTCCCATCTGGCTTGATATCAATGGCAACATGGAAGAGTTCTCGGTTTCAGAGTACCTGCTATCCTTTTCGGAGTTTGCTTGAGATGCTTGGGTCGTGGTACTTCTTTGTTCTCTCAGTGCTTCTTGGCGATGAGCAACTCTCCCTTGAATCACTTCATTGATCCTCTTAGACTTATTGATCCTGCTAGACTTGAGGCGTGGGTGACGTTCGGCAGGATTCGGCAGATATTGTGAAGCGGAAAGCGCTGGTACGTTGACATCCAGAGCGTGTGAATTCACTAGTGAGCTTTCTTCGTTCTCAACGCTGAGTAGTGCCTCCTTGACCGATTCAGCCACTTGTTCGAGTTCTCCGTCCTTCACAAGTCGATCATAAAGATCCTGCGCATCATTGAGTCGACTTTGGATAGCACTGTATAAAGTCGAAGATCTAGACTGGTGAGCTGATTCTCCTAGCAGCATGGTCTCGTCAACAAGATCAAGAATTCGCCCGGTAATCGTATCAGCCACCCTTAACACCTTTCTCAAGTAGCGATGCCAATCCCTTACTTCTGGTAGAACGTCTACACCATTATGAAAAGCATCGTCAACGGCTGGTACCGTGACGTCCTCACCTGCCTCTCGTCTTTCTCGAAGCTTTTTGATTGCGATTCGCCTTAGTTCATCGTAAGCACGAATTCCCTGATATCCGAGTATGACCCATGTTGCTGAGACGGACAAGACACAACCAAACGACCAAGTATCGATTGCTTGAGAGACGCTTATCGTAGGATCGAGACGTGCGCGGTCACATTCAGGGGCACCTATAAGAGTTAGCATACGTTGGAGGGTGTATCTAGACTTGTCATTACCGTAGGTCGCAGTCCCACCAGGTATGTACTGTTTTGGGACACCTCCTGGATTCTTTGGCTTGAATTTTGCGAATCCGAAGTCTGCAAGTTTGAATTCTCCGTCGACTCTCAAGATATTGTCAGGTTTCAAGTCGCAGTGACATCTATGGTTAGGTCAGTTAGAAGTAACTTGGGTTTTCCGAGTTAAAGGAACATACCCGGAGAAGTAATCATGACGACCATTCTCACGTTCGAGCTCGAGGTTGTGCACTGAATCCAATGCTTGTGCGACGTTCGCCAGTGAATTCCAGAATTGAAGTGTTTCCGGGTTAAGATTTGGTGGGTAATTCCGCCGTGATGCGAAGAACTCATCGAGGTCTTCTTCACCATATTCGAGAAGTATGTTCCACGTATGGCAAACACTTCCATCCTCGAGTTGTTCGTCAATTTCGTACTCGCCGAGGAACCTAACCATACCAGGCAGCCTCTTGGCTTGTACCGCAAGGTAGGCATCCCTTTCCCATTCAAATATCTCAAGGGACTCTTGGGTAAACGTTTTGAGAGCAAATACGTAGCACTAGTATATGATGTTAGATCCTTTCTCAATAGGTATTTAGATAAACAAGCATGACTTACTGGACCATGTTCGTTATCCCTATACTCAGACCGTCCCGCCGCCATCGCCAACTTACGGGGGACCAGCCACTCTTGAACAGCCACTTCCCATACTTCAGCTGTTCCGCCCTTCATATTGATGCGCTGTCTTTTGCAGAAAGGCATTATCCACCTCCCACGACCAGGATCTAGGAACGTGTCGCGCATACCAAGCTCTAGGGGACATGGGTAATACATCCACATCTTTTCCAAGAAACGTTGCCAGAAGTTTTTCGTGTTCTGGATACCTCTTTTTCTTAAGTCATTCTCAAGAAGGTTGGTATATATCTCGCGCACAGGCAGCCGCCTGTCGATTATCTTGTAGCGTTGAAAAACGTCGATTAAGCAGCCGTAATGCAACTCTAAGAGGATAGCGAACACAATCAAGCAGCGGTCACCTTCATCGCATATCCTTCCAGAAGTAGGGTGATGAATGGAGGCTGACTGGTGGTACACTTCAGTAAGAAGTAATCCAACGTTAGTCGCAGGCTCAGCAGTATCTCTGCGCAACATCCATTTGACTATTTCAGGAGTTCGATAATATTCGCGCCCACAATACGCCTTGAATTTCCACTGGGTCGCCAAGTTTCGGTGGAAAATATCCAATGTGGTTAGTGATGGCTTCCGAGAGGCTGTACAATCCATCATTTTTGCGGCTCTTATATGGCCTCAGTGCGTTAATTGGAGTTGTAAGGTACGGTGGGCTTCAACGATGGCTTGCTGAGAGGTACATGTAAGAGAATATACCTAGGTAATCACTACATGAGGATTTTATTATGGGAATAGTGATTTGACAATAGAAAACAAAATCTCACCTTTCCTGGTTAAGGCTGGCCTTGAAAATTATATCCCAGCTTCTAGGAGGTTCGCGGCCATTTTCCAGCTGCCAGCCTGCCTAGGTAGTGTGTAACGGCAATTATATTACCTGTCCAATGGCATCCCTGCTTGTCGACAATCACCACAGTGTAAGCGTATAATATGATAGCTCATTTAAGGGTGTAATGGCGGTGCCTGGCTGCCTGGGTTGATTCTGCAACCCATTTCCGGCTGTGCGCAAGATGTGCTGCGAATGTGATCATCTACACCCTCTGCCACATCGACGCTGTTTTTCTAGTGGTGTTGCTAATATGTACCTAGGGTACTTATGTAAGTATCGTTGTCTCGAACAAAAGCCTCGTCATATATGATACGCATATTCGGCCATCTAATAGGAATACCATGCAAGTACAAGCACCCCAGTGTCTTTCGTTGCATCAAATACACCATAAGCTTACTTACAGATGTATACCTTCAGGTATTTCAACAAGAGGGGAGAAGGTAGGCTAGCACCTGGCTTACCACAATCCCAACAAGCCACAATTGCGTCTTGCTCATTACTACATTATCTAACCTGAACAGCCCACTGAGTACTTATGTATCGCAAAGCAGCAGTAAGTATGTATCTAATTCCTACGCCTACCCACCTAGGTACCTTTGTGAGCCTAGCTTTGGGCGACTTAACATTTTGGATGAAGCTTAGCACGATAGCCCTCCCCATCAGGTTACAAAGACGCGAAGCCAAAGCTCGATGAGGTATCTAGGTATGTACTAAAAGTTCCGCAGTGGCTCAAAAAGCTGTGAATAAGTGTCCATGATATCATACATAGGTAATCAGGCTCAATTACCTAGTTGCCTAGGTATCCTCCCAATACTCTAGAATGTTTTCCCTTTCATCACTCTTTCCAAGAAAGAACCTCTGGTACCGAGGGTGGACTTGTTATGTAACGGTAGAAGGGTAGCTGAAGATCCAAGAGGGCCTTTCAGTTTTGATGATGTTATCGGCTGTTCTAGGCCAACTTCGTGTGCTCTCCTTTTCATCAATTTCCACCGCCTTGCCCACCAAGCAACCCCGCAGGTCACAACAGTTAATGGTATGGTTACTTCCAGCCATCTGGACATTGCGATGGCAGAAAATGACCCCTCTGGACTATCTGGGTCCTGATATTTAATGATATCTGTACTGAAGAACGTCTGTGAGATCATTAGTGAGTTGTAGGTATTAACAGGCAATGTTGCATTGCATATTTACCGAAACAAACGTTGCCGGAAGAAATATAAGAGTTACTATTGTTATAACAAGCATGAATATTTGTTCCTGTTCCATACTGCGGCCTAAACTCTCAGCTCGGTAAGCCGATTGGCTTTGGAGATGTTGGATGACCTAAATTCTTTTAGCCTGTGTGGCAATGACATGAAGAGTCCGGTAAACTCACTAGTTGTCTGCGATCAGAAATGGTTCTTATTAAGAGTTCTGCCCGTTTGATCTGCATCCTAAAATCTGAAATTATATTTTCAACTTGGTTCCCGAAGTAGCAGATATCTGAATAACAGGATTTCTCCAGTGGGAAGTTCTTGTCTTCAGTCAATCTGCGATAAAACATTACAAGAGAGAACATGATATCCGCATTGCTCTCAAGAGCCATAATGACTTGCCTAGTTCTCTCTTCCCATATCTGCAGGTCTTGGATATCTGGAGGCGTATATATCTTGTGAGCATGGCCAACCCCTGACGGTCCGAGGACTGCCATAAGATGCTTTAGTGGCTTAGCAATCTGCAGAAATTCTCCAATGGTGAGAATATTGCACATACCTTCTTGTCAACAGCTTTCTCTAGCCATACAATATACCACCGCCAATCCTCCATTGCCCAGTGACAATATAGCAAGTGAGCTGATAAACTCGAGTGAAATGATTCTTCAACACTACCGAAAGATTTGTCTTGGGCTCGAGCATCCTTGCCAGTTAGAGCTTTGAAACGATCTTGAATCTCTTGGTTTCCCTTGATCACTATCCACAGTGTATTTCCATTAGAGACATCAAATTGGTGGTGGAAGACAGCTGGGCGGATAGACCATTCATTGAGCATGAAGTCTTCTTTACATTCTGACTTCAGCGATACACCTTTAAGATTGAAGCATATTTGGTAATGCTTTCCGCTTCTCCCAAGTTCTGGGATAATCAACTCCTTAGGTGGATTTGTGAGAATTACTTGCTCACGAAAACCAGTAAAATGCAGGTCAGTGAATTCTCCTTGCTGACCGAACACATGAATGAACTCGAGGAAGGCCGGCATGACTTGGTGAAAGGTTAAGATATCCGTAAACATAGCTCTGGTGAGCCTTAATTTGGACCTCGAATGCAATCCATATATGTTTCTTGCGTTCTACTAGTTAACCGTACGCCCATGTTTTTATAGTGCATTCCTTACTCACATAAAACGACACTTGGGATCTTTCTTCCCTCCCGTGACAATTGGAAATCTCTGGGAGCTCGGCTGGATTTTGATACCAAGCCACTCGAGCAGTTTTTCATGACTATGTATGTTGTATTTATCAACGTCTAACTATAGTTAGCCGGGAATCCTACAGCCATAGATCGGCTTCGCAAATACTCACCCTTCCCACACTCTGTATCCAAATCACGAATAGGAACCTCCCATTCCAATTCGTTATCTTCAAAAAGATCATCTTCTCTTTCGCCAAGACGAGTTTCGGCCTTAGTGGCAGATTTTGAATATGCATCGAGCGTTTGGTAAATGATATTCCTCGGGTACGACCGCGAATTCAATACGGCTTGCTGGAACACATCAGGTAGGAGTCGTCCGGACATCTTGGTAAAGTTTTCAGATTCCAATAGATGAAATTCGATTACTTAGACTACTTGGGTTCGAGTCTCTGGCAGAGTTACCGGATTTAATAGTATCCACAGGTTACACATAACATTGCCTCCCTCCGAGGAATTTCAGAGAGCCCTGGGGGCAATAACCCGACCGATGCCATGCCGCAATTGTCAGCCCAATAGGAGGCTTTATAACCGCGGTTGTCAGCCAGGGATAGCACACCGAACTTAGGTACCCTTAGGTACCAAATAAACAGCCCACACCATAAGATAAATGATCAACCACAATGCCTTGCCACGCCCCTATTGAAACAATCCTGCATAGGTTAAGCCCTTTGCCCTGCTAAAAAGTAAACTCCCTAACCCCCTGCGCCTTTTCAGCGGTCATACTATCTCATGGCCAAGTAGCCATTATTCGGGGGTGATTGACCTTCGTCGACCGTCGGATTGAGCCATGCTATTGTCCCTAAGCCTCCTGATAGTTCGTCTATCCTCCTGTGTGCCATTCACGTCAATTACTTCCCAGCAAGTGATAGGGATTGGCTTGCGGTAACTAACCTCTGTCAATCGCCCTGGCGCCTCAAATACCCAAGAATCGTGTATCTACAATTATAAAGACAGTTAGCTAGCATTCGCCGCAGACCAGTTAATGCTTACGTCTGCTTACTTTCTTTCCCTTGAAGTCTTCATTTGGCCATTTCCCTAATAAGAAGCTTTCAAGAAGTTCCCATGTCAATCCTGCATAGGCACTAACGCTTTCCTGGCATCTCTTGGGCTGGGCAGCCTCCCTCTCAGCCTGTATCTTGAATGATTCAGAGCGCTTCTGACTGCCGGCATTTTTACGGGCAGATTTGCCCGTATTTTGCTGTTTGAAGGACATAGTCTTGGTTATAATCCTTGACGCTCTGCTGTGGGAGTTTGGGGGGTCATGAGATTCCATCATGTTCGAAAGGGCTTCCACGCAACCTAACTATCGTAGGAGCGTAAGCAAACGAGCTCCAGAGAGAAAATCTCGGGAATATATGATTCCTACGAAAGGTTCGCGCACCATTTTACATGTACTTCGGGGTTTTAATGCATCTGGTTGCCTTTATTTTGCCTGCGCTGTCTCGGTTGCCTTGATCGCTCCCGCTACATGCGGCTAACGCAGCATCACCGTCAGCTCAGGACTCGGCTGCCCCCTTCCCCATTGCCCCTCACTCCATCCCATTGATTTTCCCCAAGTCCGCATTGCTACAGATGCGTAGTTGTTGTCAATTTCTCACCGGTTGAACGCTACAAGTCTTCGGAGTACTTAAGCCTACATGCAGGTGGTCTTGAACTGGCGATTTGCGTCAGAAGGTAGAACACACATAAGTATCCACAGAAGCTCGGTGTTGATGGACCAATTGCAGATCATAGCCTTGTTAGTACAAGAGATAGAAGGCAAAATAGGCGTAAAACAATATACTATTCATGGTCTTAGCTTTTTATAATCTGGTGTACCAGGTCAGGTGAATGGATAGTGGACAGTACCTAACTATACCTTCTAATCCCCGACTGATGTCAACTGTCAGTGGAGCACGATCTCCCCACCAAGGTCAAGGTACTCCCTAGAAACTCATCTTAACTCTATGGGTTTATCTAGATTAGGACGATATCTTAGACATTTCCTATCTTAGGCCGAACTACCCAAGTGTTCGCGCACTAAGTTATGTCTTCGGAAGGCACAAGATCAAGATGATGGGCAGAGATCACGCTATCATCGTTGAATACCGTAACCCACAAGTCCGCGCGCAGTCTTCAACCCAGACGTTAAGTTGTGACTTGGGTAAGTACGACTTGCTCTAGTCCAGCACAGCCTGAACATGTTAGGAAGATCAAATAGACTTATATTCTAAGAAGCATGGAGTGACTCCGCTAAGCAAGACACGGCAGGCACCGAAGAAACCGCGCCAGGTGAAAATAGGGGTTATGTTCGAAGATATAATTAGCTTCCACTGTTACTTTACGCAGATCGTGTTTATGATGGCAGGTACGATTCGATCGCTGGAAAAATGAAGCCATTAGGAAAGAACGGAAAGATATTTAGGGAATGGGAGGGGCATTCAAGATCTCCGCCTACCAAAACTTACTTTTCGCCCTTAAATCTAACCTCTCTTCATCTAGGTTTTCCTCCTGAACAAGCTTGAAATCCCCTACGAAGCATATCAAAATCACTTAATACGAGTGAAGAGGACCAGCCTTAAGTGGTAGACCACTGCATTGAGCTCCTATATAAACAGGGAGAGTCTGACTACAGCAAACCTCCGGGCATCAGACGTGACTAGCCGGCCCCGCAGAGGCTCATCCACAACGACCTTTTCATAGAAGACGTCAATGAATTCGCATTCAATTGCCATCTCTGCATCCCCAGGCACCGCCACATGGAACCACATCGTCACCGGCTAGACCCTGTCCAACACGTGCGCACGTCTCAACATGCCGCACCCCCCATCCCCCATAAACCATCCCACCACCCCTCCATAGAAAACCATGATCTGCTGCTGCTACCCCTACAGGTAAGGGTAAACCCGATACCAAGGCGTGCTCATCATCCCGGATTCGTGCAGGCCGAAATGAAGAGAAAGAGTATCTAAATTGCCAAAGTTGGTTTGATCTCTCTTTTCCAAAGCTCGTTGGAACGAGGAGAAATTAGAAACGTCGCGACGATGCGATCGTACATCGGTTATGACACGAAATATACGATGTATCGATCCAAGCATCGCGATGGTGAAAGTCGAAGAACAGCTGCCCAAGGCCGGGAAACGGTAAAACCGTTTGTTGTGTCGATGCCGGCGGGGATCGCGAGCTCTCTTCCAAAAGAACTAAAAATTATCGACAAGAAATTACCAGATTATCCCGATCCGGGCATTTACGCAATGACGACATCGTTCAAACTATTGGATAGTTAATCTGAGAAGTTTGAATGAGGCCGATGCCGTGGCCTTTCTATGTTGAAAGGCGAGCGAAACGAAAGTTTAGAACAGAAAAGAAAAATGCCAAATGTTGCAAGGAGTATCAAAGTGTGTAAAAAGTTTATAAGCGAGTGTCGAGAAGTGCAAATCGTTCCCATATTCATCAAGGTTCGTTAAGGTTGAGTGGATCAATGGTATCGAGGAACATCTGAATTGCAGTCAGATGCAAGAGTCCAAAAGGGTCCAAGGTACGTTTCTCTAGCGCTGTCTCATATTCGACAGCAGTGTTTTCCCAATTCTGATTTTCTAATACCCAGAATGGCGCAAATTAGTAAGCCTGGCCAGGAACAGGCTTTCTGCCAACTTGACCCTGGGAAGCGCCGCCATACTGCTGCTGCGAAGCACCGGCGTTAGGGTTCATAGGGCTGGGTCCGGGAGGGGTCATTCGACGCTGCTGTCGTGGACCGGGAGATTGAGCTCGAGGGCCGGGGCTCATTCGACCGCTGGCAGCGGAACCCGGGCGGCTACCGTAGGGACTCATCGGGCGTCCCGTGGCAGGCGAGTTAGGTCGCATCATAGCAGGCGATTGCGGACGACCGCTCTGGGGAGTGATAGGTCGCTGTCCAGGGGGGTAATTCGGGCCGGGACCTCGGGGTCCGCGATAACCGCTAGGGTTGACAGGAGGACCGTTACGACCGTTGGGAGGACCACCAGCGGGACGAGGCTTCACGGGTCGAGTAGACAAGCAAGTACGGGGAACGACACCTTGTTGAGAGCGGTCAAGGCGAATGCAAAGCGACTATTCAGGCAAGTTAGCAAAATGTTTATCGCAATATTTCAAAGAGTAGGTACTCACCCAGCCATCATCATACTCGTGGAGCAGTCGAACAAGCTGACCTGCTCGGAGTCCCATTTCATCATCCAGACTCGGCTTGAAATCCAATTGGACACGGTGAACAGCAGTTTGAGGAGGACCACCGGCTGCTGCAATAGCCGCCGCACTTCGAGAAGGACCGGGTGTCTGTCCAGGACCGACAGAGTTAACACTGAATTCTGTGCCGGCAGGGCTAGGCGGACCAGCAGGAATAGTAAGATCCAGAGGAGGGGGAGCGTCCTTGCGAGTAGAAACCTTACGACCCAGAGCGGCAGCGCCACCAACGGCTCCAGCACCGACCGCAGCTGTAGTTACGATCGGCGAGGGCTTGGGAGGCGAATTCGTGGTCTGAGCAACACCTACAACATTCTCAGGGTTCTCGAAGGGGTTGTTGGGGCGATCGCTGGTAGGTGTGAGAGCACGTTCTGCATTGTTACCGAAGGGATTCTCAGGGTGGTTAGCCTGGCTAGTGGGACTAGGTCGTTCCCAAGGAGATCGAGGGGTATTGTCCACCGGGCGTATGTTAGTGGCAGGAACGCTTGCAAGTGCAAGAGCAGCGCCCTTGCTTGATCGTCGCTCGCCAAAAGTAGGGTTGAACTGGGTTACTGGGCGAAGGCTTAGCTGAGGTGCCGTAGCACTGGTCTGTGTCGAAAGCATAGACGACGGACGGCCACCACCAATCGGTCCGGGAACCTTCTCATTATCCTGGACTTGTTGAGCTTGCTGCTTTCTGCGTTTGTTAACCAGGAAGAAAACAAGCAATGCAACCACAAGAACACCGCCTAAAACGCCAATAGCGATACCGGCCTTGGCTGCGGCGCCGGTGTCAGGGCTGGAAGAAGTCGTCGCTGCTGCGGTAGAAGAAGCAGAGGCTTGAGCCTCCGCATTCGTTGCAGATGTTACCGCCGAAGATGATTCTAGATTCTTAGTGGCCTGAGAAAGCGTCGTCGGGGTACTAGTCGCAACAGCCAGGGTGGACTCTCCACTTAGGTCAACAGAAGTTGTATGTCCAATTGATGAGGGGAGAGTATCAGACGTCTTCGCTGCGGTCTTGGTCGGTGTGCCCTCAGCTGTGTCGAGAGAGGCAGCTGTCGTATCCGCGATCTTAGCTTGCGTGGCAGTTGTTGGCACCTGTATGACCGAAGTGGGTGTCGCAACAGCTTGAGTCTCTGCGGCATCGTCGGTTTTACCCAAAGTTGAGTAGCCTGCAATGGGACCATCAAAGGTCTTAGCCATGGTCTCGTACACCGTATGATAAACCGTCGAAGCAGCTTGTGCCTTGGCCTGAATATTGGCCGTCTTGAAAGGGTTAGCTTCACTTGCGAAGCTCTTAACATCCTCAGTTAGTTCATCCCACACATCCCGCCTCTTATGGCGGTGATTGTGATGGCCCGGCATTTTTGTTCAGATCGTCCTTAAACTGAGTACAATGAATTGACAATTCTTCTCATCCACCAAAAAATCGTCCAAAAATAAGTACAATCGTGTTGCGCGTATGTCGTAGGCGCCGTGCTCTGCTTAAATCGCGTGTGAAGCTATGTTTGCACTAGGGTAAAGTCGTCGTGTAAAGTGTCGGTTTTTTTATTTATTTTCGAATGTAGAATGAACGTAATGTGCACGTAAGTGTCATGAGTAGTATGCGACTCGGTACCTGCAGAGGTGGGCGGGAATGAAGTTCGTATTCGCGCTTTGTTTACCGTGAGGAAAAAAGGTGAATTTAATCGGCCTGCAAGGCGGCGAGTCGCGATATGTTGCGTAATGAAGGTGTTAGTCGTCGATAAAAATCGAGAGAGGGTATTGAAAAAAAGAATGGAAGTGAGAACGGATTCAACGAAGAAAACGCAATTCTCGTGAAGAGAGGGGGAGAGACCGCGTGCGGGATTGCGACGTAGGTGGACGGTGAGGAGGGAAAGGGAAGAAAGAGAGGGAGGAAAGAGAGGAATGGGAATAGTAGAGTAGTAGGCTTCCAAGGTTCATTCGCTACTGGCATACAACCGCTTTAGCGCGTCCAGTTACGGGGTACTTACGTAGGTACCCAGATAAGTACTCCGATGGGTACTCCGGACAAAGTAGCAGGTGGGCGGTTGACAGGTGCTTCCCGATAGGTACCAGCCAGGGCAGCTACACATGTACACTAGTACACCCGTACGCAGTACACCACGGACGATCGTGGTTTCTTTTGTTTCCCTAGCAAGGAATGTTATTCTCGAATTTCCATTGGATGATAAACCCTTGCCGGCTATTTTCTTGAGTGTTTGCATAAACACAAAATTACTTGTAGTATATTTCTATTCACAAGCACCAACGCATTAAGAATAATTTGACATCCCCTACCCAGCTAATTACCTCCAGTCTTCGACTAGAATCCTCCTTTTAAGGCTGCTAACGGTTGGGTAATTCGTTGTCCAACTTGAATTTACACACCAACGCCTAGACTGCTCGTATAGCACACGTATGTTTTTGTTTGGGTGCTTTTAAGACATTGATACGACATACGATGTTGGTCCCGCCGTGCTCTAAATACGGGAAGAAAAATCTCGCAAAACAGTTGATGCAATCGAGGAGAGAAATCCAGTCCATGGTGTAGATTGGGACGCTGTTAGCACCGAATCACCCATCAGAGTCCACCGGTTCATCCCATCCTCGCAAATCGTCCCAAAATCCCAATTGAAGATCGTCCCATCTTTCCCCGTCTCTTTCTCGACGTTGATCATGTTCGGTCTTTCTCTGGCGGCCGACTTGGCCCAAGCTCCATGCGCTAGTCAGGCACAGAAGCGCCACTCTCAGGAACCAAGCTATTCTGATTGGACAATTGCTTAAGGTGCAGATTACGCGAAATTAGAGCTAGTAAGGGTACGTCAGGGATGCGTCAGGGGTAACCATCCTCCACTTGATTACCATTGGCTGGCACAAAGAGAACCGAAGGTGATGCCGGGTACGAAAATAGGTAGGTACCTAAGTACCCAGCCCCTCTACCCCCTTAATCGACTTGGGAAAGTTTTTACAACCTGGAGAAACACCACTCAAAGCCACTTAGAGCCACTGAGAGCCACTTGAAGCTCGCCTACAGGGCGTAGTCTGTATTAAGGTATTCGAAGTGTCGTCAGCTTCATTCACTTGGCCGTCTCATATGAGTCAATGGCACGATTTCATGCATTTATTGATGAAATGAATATCTCCGTTTCTCTCCAGTGGCTGATATAGTGGCAAAGGAAACCAAGTCCCAATTACGGCTACGGCATCTCATACCTTGTTTAGAATATCTCAAGTTTTATATTGAAGATTTCATATTCCAGTGTAACCGGAAGCCATCTGGGGAGGTCGGAAGGACGCCACCGAAGCAAGCAGTTGAAGAAATCTGTCAAAACCAATGATCTGATAAGGATCCACACGGACACGATCTCATTGGGTCGAATCGTCTCCAATAAAGCTAAAGCCACGATATCCACGATATTTTCTGCCGTGGAACGCAACATGACGTTTGGTTCCTTGACTCTATCTTTGGACTTACCGATTTTGCGTTTTCCTCCCGCGTGGTCGTGAGGGATTCCTGGACCTGCGAGCTCGTGTCCCCTCGTTGGACCGCTGGGATGCCCCAGTCGCTTTCGGCCGATGTATTTATTCCCAATCTGACCATTCAGCTATTTTATCATCATTCTTTATTCTTTCTCGAACCTCTATCGTGCCTCTTTTAAAATTACTCTAGCCTTGTGAAACGCCCAAGTTGGGCAACCATCTTCCAATTCCGTCTGTCGGTCCGCGCTCTTTAATTTCTGCCCTCCCACTACTCAGCCAGTCACACTGCCGACTCTGCTAATCCTTGTCATTTTATCGTGCTTACAGGTCGATCATTATTTTGTTCCACCGATGGTGTGTGTGGAGGATCGCCGACTATCGTCACCTTTTACACACTAAGCAAAGGAACAAACCGTGGGCATGTGCTTACGTACCCAAATGGCCCTCTCTTCACCACAACGTGGGAGGAAGATAGTCCCGATTACATAAAAAGAGTATTTCGGCTGTCGTCACATCGTGACATCGCACGTCCTATTCCCAACGGCGCGGAATAGCCCTACCGATCCTGGTTACCGATGAAAATGATGAAATTTGCTTGCGAGGCTGAACGGACCTCACCGGATCTGTAAAGTAAGGCGTGTTGCGCTCCCAACCATCTGGCGGGCCATTGTATTATCGTATGCGGCATGCCCTTACATCTCATTGTCCTCCCCATGCCCCTCCGTTAAAAGAAATGAAAGAAATAGCAAGTCTATTAAGACGTGTTTTATGGTAAAACAAGAATATTGTGTTGGAAGCTTGAAAAATTGAGTTATGCTCTGTACAATACGAATCCACACGGGAGAACAGGCCCTCCGCGCTAAGTACGGTGCATCGGGCTAGGTCCTCATTCTGGTAGGTTGGAGAAGGCTAATGCGCGACGAACTGCTTAGCTGCTTTTGTACGAGAAACGTCCGCATCGATGAATACTGTAGCAATCTTCTGTTTGATGACTGTCTTTACTAGTACGTGGCTTTAAACGGCAGCGTAAGCCACGATCTCTTACCTGCCTATTTTAACCTCTCCTCCCGAGCTGTATCTTCAGAAGAATAGTGGCTTGCATGGCGCCATCGTCAACAGCTCGGGGGGTCGGGACTAATGCAGCCTTAGAGGGTATGCTAGATACTTGCTAGCTGGAGATACTTAGACCAGGACACTACCTACGCAGTAACCACAATTAGCAGGCTTCACTTTTTCCATTTGGTACCTAGTAATTCGTGTCTCTCGGATCTTAGCTCAGGGGGTTGGATATCGTATAGATTGCCGAGCTAGGTCTCAATGCAATTGTCTTGCAGCCTCTTTGTCGAATTTGAAAGCAAAATCGTGGCGCTAATTCGTCGATTCGGATATCCGACATGTACTATATGCCTAAGGCGCTACTTGACATCAACACAGTTACATTAATTTGAGGCCGGTTAGATGCTTATTGGTTCACGATGGGAGCCTCATCACCTCTTTACCATCAATACTAGCTGTTCATGAAGCTGCCTCTTAGTGAGGCTATACGGTATACGGATTACAGGCCCTTCCGCGCCACAACGCGAACAATGAAGTTCTTCGGTTTCACAAACCAATAATTGTCGGTATGCCACCCATTCTTAGCTACGTCATCCGAGAGCTCAAAGTCGTAATCGCGAACCAGCCGAGGGATGAGTTTCGAAATCTCGAGGTGCGATATATGTCTGCCGATGCAAGTTCGAGCACCAAGTCCGAACTACGAGTCATAAGTTAGAGGATATATTTGCTGGACAGGCGCAGCCCTTGAGCAAAGAGGAGGAGGAGGGGCAAGGACTTACGGGCATCCAGTGCCTGTTCATGAAGGAAATCTTTTCCGCGTCGTCGGATAGCCACCTCTCCGGCTTGAACGCGTCCGCGTCTTCGCCGAAAACGCGGGGGTTGCGGTGCTCGATCCAGGTGTTGACCCCCACGATCGACTGCGTAAACACATGTTAGATATTTCACTTCCAGAGGCGCAACTAATCTCTAAATAGGTAGGTAAGTACATACACCCTCCGGGAAAAATCGGCCGGCGATCGTGGCACCGCCAGCCGGCACAACCCTTTCTATCGGGAGCCCCGTCGCGGGATGGAGACGAAGCGCCTCCTTAATGACGGCCTGCAGATACGGCATCTCCTGGCTCTGCTTAAACGAGATATCCTTTGAAGCCGTCCCACTGGCGCGCTGCGCCTCCTCGACCTCCTGGCGGAGCTTCGCGAAAGTTTCGGGGTTCTTGAGCAGATAGTACAGGATAGCGGAGAGCGAGATCGCCGTAGTATCGGACCCGGCGACCATGTTGGCCGCACAGCCCTGTATGATGTGCAGCGTCGTGAACGTGTCGGGGTTTTTGTGATGCCTCGCGACGAACTTGGACAGGAAGTCTCTCGACTTGCCCGGGGCTGGCTTCTCGTCTTCGTCCACGACCTTGGCGGGAGCTTGGTGCTCCGCTATGGACTGCATCGTGAAGTTGATCACGTATCCTATGCCGCCGCCGCCGAAACGACTGATTGCGCCGAAGAGGTACGGGTGGGAAAACGGGTAGACGCCGGCGAGGGTTGAGTATATTAGACCATTATTTATGGCCGTCATGAAACCTCCTATGTCCAACCCTTGGTCAAGAAAACCGAGCCGCTTTGAGTAGGTGATGCAACCGACCACGTCGAAGGCATAGCACTGCATCCAATGGGCCATATTTACCGGCAGACCGCTCTGCGACAGCTCTTGCAGCCGCTGGTCGAACAGAGCCGCGCACTCGTCCACGAAGGGCTCGTATTCTACGAGCGACGACATGCTGTAGTCGTTCTGGTACTGCCTGCGGTACTTCGAGTGTTTCAAGATGTCCTGCTCCGCGAACAAGTTCCAGGTATCGGGCCGGTTCCAGGCGCCGTACCAGTCGGACTTCTTGAACTGGGATCCATGGCCATAAATCGTCTTCGTGGCGGTTAGATCGTCGAAACTGTAGCGATTCGGCCCGTATCGAACAATAGGGCCTGACGAAGCGGTTATTGTGGCTGTTCCTTGTGACCTAGATAGGAATACAGGTACGTAGGTAAGTTTAGGAATGCGGACGCACCATATTTCTTATGTAATTCCTTATTAACCACCTCGAAATTCGCCTTTTTCAACGCCCACAAGTACCAAACGTCTGCGAATCTTGCAAGGAAAGGTCCGGGGACAGACCGCAAAGGCGACGTCAGGTGTCTGTACACACGAAGAAGCAGTTGAAAAACACCAAAACAGCCCGCGACCACAACGAGCTTGAAAAGCATGGTAAACATCGTATCTAGTAAAAATGGAACGCCTCTCAGGTATGTGAAGGATACATAACGCCGGCAAAGGGCCTGGATTTAGCCTCCTACACTAAATGGCGGTGTTAAACGGAGACCGAGGTGAGTCGAGATGCCCCATTGCAAAAGGCTATAGCATTCGTCCTTCGTGCTCCGTGTTACACGCCGGTTCCAAGACCGCCAGCGGGGAAGAATCGTGTGAATAGGCACCTCGGACATTCTATCCTACCCGCCGCCGACGCTATCACAAACCTGGGGTTGGGGTCAGTAACTGCCGGTGAGACGTTCACTAAAACTTTAGCATCGGGCACGATACGCGGTAGTTCGGTTACGCTGTATGTGGAGTTTGTGGATCAAATATATGTCACAGACAGTTTCGAAGCAAGTTCGTTAAGACGATCTCCAGGTTATTCACGCCAATAGAAATCGTTTCATTTGGTAATAGGAGTGTCCGAGATTATTATTAATCATTCCTAAACTCCTATGCTCCCACAGACGTATATCCTCGTGGGCTAATGTTCCCTTGTATCTGCCGCATCTGACTTCCGATGCTAGTTGAACTATCGAAGGTTATCATTGTACAACATCCCTCAGGTGAATATGTCGTCTAGTACTGGAGAGATTCGCCCTGGCCTTACTTCACCTTGTGTCTTATGACTCGTCTCTCGGAAATTTGGCGCATGCGATTTACCTTGTTTGGCAGAAGGACAGTCATGATGTTGAATACTCTCTCACTAAGAGTATAATCGCGGAAGCCCGATATCGTCCTACCATTCTGAGTAGCGGAGCTGAGGGCTTAATTTCCATCTCAACTATCATACCGCCGGGCGGCGATGCCTGTATTACCAACCATAGTGTTAGAATTCTATCCGGTACCGCCATGTCCGGGCCAATGGCCTCCTTGCTGATTAGGTTGTCCTTGCATCTGATTCTGTAAAGCGGCGAAAAATTCTGGACTGTAGTATGGGTTTGTTCCTGTTTGTTGTCCTGTAAATTGAGGCGGCGGGGGTGGGACAAAACCTTGCGGGATGTTTTGTGGCCATGGAAAAGGGAATTGCGTGCTGGGTTGTGCATGACCATTAGGTGTACCGTAGAAAGGCAGTGATGGCGGAAATGTTGTGTTGGCAGCAGGAGGTGGCGGAACTGGATTGTAGTTATATTGGTGAGATTGTGGTTGGTAGTCTTGTCCTCTAGGTGGTCTGGGTGGTAGAGGGTGGCCACCTCGCGAATCTCCACGATGACCGCGCCCGCGACCATGGCCCCGTTGACCTCTACCACGGCCACCTCGGAATGGGCCGTTATTCGCATGATTGTTCGTGAATCCACTTTCTGAAGAGGCTGGTTGACCTTGCGCAAAACTCGAAGGCCTTGCTAACTTTCGGTAAGGACCATCATCATCGTCATCATACTGTAAACCACCTGCCGCGGGGAAGGAGGGCGCCTCGGAATGGCTCCCTCGTCCTCCCGCACCACCCTTTCCACCACGGGCCGCCTTCTTCTTAGCTTTCTGCTGTCTTTTATACTCTGCCTCCTTCTCATCGTCCGAGAACTCCATTTCATCATCGCCAGCCTCTTCGTCGTGCCAGTTGCTAGCATCCGTACCTTTCTGTACTCGAAGTGCTTGTGTGAAGACATATGTCGCATGTGAGGGCGGATAGAACACCTTGGTTCCTAGCTCTAGACCAAAGCCCTTAATTTCCTCTTCATTTGTGAACCTTGCAGTATAACGAGGTTGTCTTACATTGCCGATTAAATCCGCTACAGCCGCAATAACGGTGCGATCTTCGGTACAGAGGACTGAGCCAGTATCAACAACTTGGTACTCGCCCGTTGTGTTGGCCTTGATCACGACCGTATTCTCAACAATGTGCTCAACCACGCCTAGTTCGGTAACGGTCATTTCGGGGGTGATGGTAACATCTGGCTTGGGTACTACTTCTTCAGGTAACTCATTCTTAGTCCGAATCTGAGCTCCACTACCGAGTCCTTTAGTTTTCCCCTCGCCTTCGTCATCTGAGCCGCCTTCCATCTCCATCAGAATGCGGGCGGTTTCCTCAGGACCAAGTAACTCATAATTTTTGCCATCTTCCGAGTCGTCATCTGAATCGTCTGAACTGCTTGAATCGGATGATGATGATTCGAGGGGGGAGGAATCTTCTTCCCATTCAGGGTCACCTTGGGTTTCTTGCTCTTGGGTCTGCTCTTGGGTCTGCCCATTATGTTCTACACCATTAGGTTGAGTAGGCGTGGCGCTCACCTCTTGCGGTTGGGGATCAAGACCGCCAAGCAGAGCCTCCAATGCCGAGGTCAACGAAGGGGGACTAGGCGGCGCGTCGGTGATTTGAGCGTCAGCATTTTCTAACTCCTCTTTTCCATTTTCGCCATTTTCAGTAGGCGGTACGTTTTCCACGGGGATGGTAGTGTCAACCTCCATCTCCGTGGAGGGATGAGAAATTACTTGTGAGGTCACTGGTTGAGCATCGTCTTGGGGTCTTGGCTGGTTTTGAGTTGAGACTGGTTCTGACGAAGTCATCAGACCAGGGATCTCAAAGTGACCGGCCATATGTGAGAAAACTGTAAGAATGTTAATTATTTCTTGACCCCAAAATTAGAACATAAGTGTACGAGGAAATAATAGTAAAAGCGACCTACTAGAATGCGACGGACTGGCAAGTGTTGTCCTGGAGTCGCGCTTCTTTCAAGTATTTCTGCCCTTGTATGAATAGAATGGATGTGAATGTCGTGAATGGCACGATAAGGTCAAAAGTACTTGATGCAAGGTGCACCTCAATTTTCTCACAGAAAAAATCTTGAAAGATTGAGTTTTGGATGAACAGGCGCGAACTCAAATCGTTAAAGCATCTGAAAGGTCAATTGAATTCTAGAAAAATAAAGTGGACCCGGAAAATCTTGAGGTACAGTGTAGATTCATAACCCAATCGGATCGAGAGATGAACTTGTACATGGTACTTTATCCCGATAACTATCCGACAACAGGGGTCCTCAAGCAGCCACGAAGCAACGTCATTTCCAATTGGACCCAATTAGCTCTTAGACTTAACTCAACATTTTTAACATACGAAATAAAAGTGTCCGTCTTTCTCCCAGTGCGCATCTTCACCATCCTCAACTGCTTTTATGAACCAGGACCGTCAGGTAAGGCTCTGTCAGTATGCCTCCTACAGATGCCCAGCGGCGGGAGGAATTTGTTCATCCAACCGCACAACATGCTAAAAAGAGGTTTGTTAGAATGAACAAGCTACAAGAGACTACCACAAGCTAATAAACTAATGCAGAGGACCAACGCCGTTCATGATTGAGCCAATAAAGGCCTTTTATGTCTTTCTAATTGCCAATTTCATTGCAGCATTATTTGCACCCATCCAAGATTGCGATGAGACTTTCAATTATTGGGAGCCAACTCATTATCTTTCTCACGGCTATGGCCTGCAGACCTGGGAATACTCGCCAGATTATAGCATTCGAAGTTGGTCTTACATCGCACTACATGCTATAGTCGGTAATATCCGGAGGCTACTACCACAGTCCACGAAGGTATACACGTACTTATTGAACCAACTCTGCATTTCTTCAACAGGGCCGCTCTAACTTTTACAGGTCTCCGAGTTCTACTTTATTCGTTATATCTTGGCATTCGTCTGTTCACTATGCCAAGTACTTCTATTCCGCGTCGTCAGTTTTACCCTGAATCCTCGGATAGGCCTATTCTTTCTGATGGCTACGGTAATGTCGCCGGGAAACTTCCATGCGAGCACGGCCTATCTACCATCTAGCTTTGCCATGTACACCACTCTACTGGGGACCGCCGCATTCATGAATTGGAGAGGTGGAATCAAGACCTCCTGGGGTATCTGGTGGTTTGCCGTCGGCGGTATTTTGGGATGGCCTTTCGCATCCGCCCTATGTGCCCCATTCTTAATTGAAGAGGGTATCTTTGCTGTTGTTGCCCTGTTGAGAGATCGCCAGCGTTTCTACGAAGCTGTTGTCCGAGTCAGCAGAGGTGTCATTGCTGCTCTCCTTCTTCTTGTAGGTCACTCCGCCCTTGAAATTCTGGGGTTTAGTTCTAACACGTCCAGGCCGGTGATACTGCTATAAACACTTTCTTCTACAAGAAGGTGGAAGTGGTCTCGTGGAACATAGTCAAGTATAACATATTTTCCTCGACAGGGGGTCCGAATCTCTATGGGACAGAACCGTGGACGTTTTACTTCCGGAATCTTACCATCAATTTTAACATGTGGTTTATTCTCGCCTTGCTATCTCTGCCGCTATTCCTTATACAGAAAGCATTTTCTGCGAAACAGCATGGATTTCAATCAGGAATACGCACCGTTGTATTCCTTTCCCCCTTTTACATGTGGCTTGGCATATTCACCATTCAGCCACATAAGGAGGAGCGATTCATGTACCCTATGTATCCATTTGTTGCTTTGAATGCCGCCATAGGATTCCACATCCTCTTGTCAGGGTTTGGTAATTCCGACCCGAAGACTCTCATTGGAAAGATCCCAGCACGTCTAAAGCTTCTAACCGTCGTGGGCGTGCTGTTTCTATCTTTGAATATTGGTATAGCTCGCATTCTCGGCGTGTTCTTGGCCTACTCTGCGCCTCTTAAGCTCTACCAACCACTTGGAGCAGGCGTATTCGGCCAGCAGGGTCTAGGCGGACGTGGCGATCACGTCTGTTTCGGAAAAGAATGGTACCGCTTCCCCAGCTCTTACTTCCTACCTCGAGATATGCATGCAAAGTTCATTCGGTCAGAGTTCCGCGGACTACTGCCCGGAGAATTCTCCGAAGCGCGAACTGGCTTTGGCTTCTGGAGTGGCACATGGTTACCAACCAAGGGCATGAACGATCGTAACGAGGAGGACATGAGCAAATATGTGGACATCAGACAATGCTCATTCTTGGTCGATACACAGTATCCGGAGAATCATGACCCCCTACCGCCAAATGAGCCGGATTACATTGCTGACGAGGAGAACTGGGAAATCGTCAAGTGCGAACCTTTTCTCGATGCGGGACGAACCCATCTTGTAGCGAGAGTACTCTGGGTGCCCGATTGGAGCTTCGTGCCCGAGAAATTTAGAAGGAAATGGGGACAACATTGCTTATTGCAGAGAAAGGGATGAACTAAGGCTCTTGGCCTGGGCACCTGTTTTCGCGCTATGAGTGGCGGAGTTGAATACTGTAAGCGAATTGAATAAATGATCAACACAGCTGAACATCTTACCCCTCGATTTTGACCTTCCTCGACCAATGACTGCTGGTAATCTGTTAGATGCGTTTAAAATGCCGTCGACATGGCTGAAAATAATGTATCTAAGGATGTGTCAGGCGGTAAAAGGCGGGATAATAATAAGCAGCTTATAGACGGGGCTTTTGCCCCGTAATTACCTTGCGTTGACGCGTATTAACAACACAGACATACAGGCATCACCGATATTTCAGCAAACCCCATTAAGGGCTTTCTGCACATAACCAGTCACATACATAACCTGAGCTCTGGCTTTTTCGGTCGGATTTAATCGTGGTTTGTCAAGCTGCGTTGCGTTCTAGGCGGTCTGATCTCAGTCACATACGCGTCAAGTATAGTGCCGTACGTACCTCCTCAGGTAGGATGTAACCCTCCTGTTGGAGATAGAATTTAATTGATTTTATAGTGATCAATTTGCTCCATTTCTTCCTACATTGGACATTAATAAAAACTATATTACCGAGGCTGATGCCTGAACATGTTTCTTAAAACATTTGTTTCGATTGCCAAACGCTGTCAATTTAAGCTTGAAATCTTATCTAGCCACCCAAGGACTCGGAATGTCCAGCGTTGATCAAAGAAGATCATTGACAACCTCGGTGTTGCGATCCATGTCACCACGCTGGAATTCTGGAGACTGACAGCGACGATCAACTGCCCTAACAGGGTCAAGGATTACGAATCGCGACGAGTATCAGACGCTACCCATCGCTACCTAGTGGGATGGACACTTCAGATTAGAAGGAAGGGAATCCGATGAGCCAGGCATGCCTATTTGTCTGAAAATAGATTTAAGAAATGAGCGACTTAACCCTTTTGGATCATGCAACGTTAATGCCTGCGACCAGAAACCGGCTTGCCTAGTTGGTTATGACAGGGCTTGGCCAGATCTAAGGGACCTAGGGGCTTGGACGGCTGCATCTCCCATACCCCCCTGGAACCGTGCCATCGCCAACGCACCGCTCGAACGACTGCGACTTTTGCTTTCTTTTTCTCCCAAATTTCAAAGGATCGCGAGCTACCTGTCCCAATTGGATAGGTAAACGGACGGCACATTACCAGCCGATCCTACCTACCCCAGGTCCTGCCTATTACGACCTTGGGCCAACCTCTGCGCCATGTGCTGCTTACTCGTTGCCCTTACCAGGGCCCAAAGCGTGGTTGTCGCTAATTGGGCAGACGGTCGTTGACAATGTTTCAACTTCTGAAGCCACACCGCGCTGGCAATTGTACCTTGCGTACTGCGTATAGGAACGCTAGGGAAAAGGCCGAATAATGCCGAATACACTCGCATTCCTGGATCTCTTATAAATTACAGCCGCCATGGCTTGCGAAACAAAAAACGCGTGTCTGAAAGGATGCACTTGTTGCACTCGTGCAGTTCCTATTGACTCAGACAACCTGAATAGCTCGCTTTGACAGCTGCCATGAAGAGTCTTCTCCTTTCCCTGGGCGCCGGCTTGGTCGCGGGACTTCCATCTCAGCACAATGTTCCCCGGGCTATCGAAGAGCTACCCACACTCGGTTTGGCTAATATAACTAAGATCGACATGGCCACCCCCAGTGGCCTCAAGCACCGGGCCTTATATGGTCCGTTCATGGGCGTCGACTTCCCAGACCCCAGTCTAATATATGGCGACGGCTCGTGGAAAGCCTACGCGACATCGTCCAATGGCAAAGTCATACCCGTCGCCACTTCCTCTGACACCCTGTCCTGGACGCTTACCACCACCGACGCTCTGCCGGACCCCGGGTCGTGGGTTGACCCAGATGATCAGAGTGTTTGGGCGCCAGATGTTCAGAAGAACGTATGTTTCTAGGATTCGCAGTATCGCGTATTCCAATGACACAATAAGAATTTGGTAGGCTAACTACATACAGGATGCCGGCACGTACGTGATGTACTACACGGCGCACCAAAACGGCGGCAACCACTGCATCGGCGTCGCCACATCAGCAACGGCCGTGGGCCCATTCACCCCGCAGAGCAGCCCGCTGATCTGCGACGCGGCCGGCGGCGGCGTGATCGACGCGTCGGGCTACGACGACGGCACGGACCGGTGGATCCTGTGGAAAGTCGACGGCAACAGCCTCGGGGGCCTGACGACGTGCCAGAGCGGGACGCCTTCGGGTTCGTACGAGTCGACGCCGATCATGATCCAGAAGATGGCGCGGGACGCGATGACGCTGGAGGGCACAGCGACGACGATCCTCGACAACGAGGGCGCGTCCAACGACGGCGTGGTCGAGGCGCCGTCGCTGTACCAGATCAGCAGTGGGGAGTACGTGCTGTTCTACAGCGCGCACTGCTACTCGAGCGACGACTACGACGTCGAGTACGCCTTCTCGAGCACCATCGACGGCAGCTACACTAACCGCGGCATCCTCATCCGGACCGCCGACAACAAGGGCGTGTACGGGCCGGGCGGTCTGGATATCGACCCCAACGGCAAGAACGTGGTCTTCCACGGCCGGTTGGCTGCGAACGAAGGCGGGAGCGGCGCGAGGGAGCTGTATAGTGCTGAGCTGACTATTAGCGGGACGTCGATTTCGGGGGTTTGATTGGATGGGGGTGGCGTTTATGTTTGGGATGAGTACTTTTTTGCATTTTATCGTATTCATTTGAAAGGAGACGTGGTACATATGTGACGACCTGGAGAAAACTTCTTGTATATATTTTCACTCCCCTTCTATATATGGAGTGAGCTTTTGTATATTCAACATTGACCTTGGTATATAGTAACTCTGTGAAATCACGACAAAAATTGCACGATAGATGGTCTGGTGTGCTCTATGAGCTGCTTCTGAGTAACTCCGACTCCGATTCTGACCTTCGTCTATTATACCATCTAATAGATAAGTAGGAGGACATGAACCGGACGAATTTCGTACCGAGCCACGCCTCGGCTTGAGATCCATCGATTATAGCGAGTGCAATTTGGAGTCCTTGGTCCAACGACGGAACTGCTTCCCCCAGAGAGTAAAGGCACACAGCCCAAGGATGGAGAAGCCAATCGTGAGGGCCATCATCATTAGAACGGGCTTGATATATCCTGATCGTGCTGCCCAGTCGTTGAAGAAAAATATCATGCCAAACTAGGTGTTTTCCATTAGGTCAGGGTCAAGTTGAGTGGATCGTGTGTACCAAGGCGGTGCGCCTGCGGAGAGGAGATAGATGAGTGAGTAAACTTACCCCGAATGTGTTTTTCACAATGGTGGCCGCAATCATGACTTCCCCGGGCAAAGTCTTGTACTATAATTCACCAGAGTTAGCAATAGTTTCCTCAATTCTCATATCGTCAATGTAATTAAGAATAGTCATTCAGGGGTGGGAATCTCTTCGTGGGATCATAACGCAATTCTCGCCCATTCCCACTCACGACACAAAACCGACTCGCAAAAGGGGGCAAAAAAGCGCCATAGAAAGGGAACAACGGAAATGGACGACTCACGCTATCCACAGCATACGCAATAGCAACCGCCGGAATGCCCACAACCTGCAAGCCAACCAACGTATACCCAACAATAACAACCGCCTCCCAGGGCCACGCGCGCTGGTATCCCACAGCCACGACCGCCATACCGGCCACATTAGCACAAATATACGGCATTAGGGCGGGGAGCCTCATCTCGGCCTCGAGCACGCCGGCGTTCTTCCGCGCGCGGCGCAGCGCGATGCGGTCCGACAGCGGGCCGGCCGTGACCAGGGCCACGGCGGCGCCGGCCACGAACGCGAAGTTGACGAAGCCGATCTGGGCCGGCGTGAACAGGTACGGCGGCGCGCCGAACACCTGCGCCGACGTCAGGTTCAGCGCCAGCAGCGAGTTCGCCGCGAACCCCATCGACAGCGACGCCCACGCCACGATCGGGAAGGTGAACAGGATCTGCATCGGGGACGCCACGTCGCGGAGCAGGGTCGAAGCTACGCTTTGGTCGTTGCGGTGCGGGGTCGAGGGGCCGCTGGAGCTGGAGCTGGAGCTGCTGTTGTTGTTGTACGAATGCCGGAAGCGCAAGCTTTTGCGCATTGGTAGTAGGGAGAACTGCGCGCGGGAGGGACGCCCGGTGGCGCGGTGGTGCGCGGTGGTTAGCGTGTTCGCGATCTCGGTGCTGGAGCTGGAGGACCCGCCGTTTTCCGACTTTTCGGCGACGGCGCCGGTGTTGGAGACGCGGACGTTGATTACGGTCGAGTCGCGGCTGGTTGAGGGTCGCGCGGGAGCTGGCCGGTCGTACTTTGTCTCCGGGTGGGCGACGAGGAGGAAGATGAAGCTTGCCTTGGGTGGGTTAGATACATGACGTACATTGGAATATAGGGGACGCGTAGGGAGAACTTACACCTTGCAGGATGGTGCAAACCCAAAACTGCAAGATTGGTGTTAGTATGTTTGAGATTTAGTTTTCAGGGTGGGTTTAAAGACTTACGAACCACCTCCATGAGATCTGGGAGGCGATGGCGCCGGAGATGATAGGCCCGATGAAGAGTCCGAGGAAATATGCCCAACTAAATAGAAGTGATAAGTACATCCTTTCGTCGGTAGGTATATTTAACAGACGTCAAATCCCACTCACAAATACAGAGCCATACTACTGCCTCTCTGATGCTGAAACAGTAGATCAGCAACAACCATAGGCATGATACTCTCATTCGCAGCGGCACCGAGTCCAGAAATAACACGCGCGCCTAGGAAGCTCGGATAACTCGTAACGAGACCCTGCCAGATGTTGGCTAGGATGCAAATTAGGCCGCAAACCAAGACGACGGGACGTCGCCCCCACAGGTTTGCAGCGGGCACGATGAGGAAGTTGGCGTAGCCTAAGGTGATGGCCGCGGCGCCGAATAGCATGTTGACTTCGGGTAGCGTCTTGTGAAACTCCTCTTCGAAGATGAGCGAAAGGGGCGAGATGGCCATCGGCGTCATGATGCTCACGAACACAAAGACAAACTGGTTGAAGATGATAACAGTCTTCCATGTCATGTTCCAGTTCTGTAGATGGTATTAGACGCTGTTCACTTTATGACATAATATGGACTCTAGTATGAGGGCTCACAAGAGGATCGTCTGGGCTGGAAGTCGGTTGCGGGATGAGCACGACCTCACCGGGTGTCGTATTCTCGCCATTGTTCCCATCGGTGAAGATGATGTCAGTGCCCGGAATGATATCCGGCTTCTCGGTTTCTGCCATCGCTTGCTAGTTGTTATTTCATATAGTGACTACGAACTGTAACGTCTTAATGCGCACGTCCTTGAAAGGTCTGGTAACCAGCTACACGGGATGATATAAAACGGGCATCCTCGCGTGCGTGAAGCGTGGGCGGAAGCCGTTATCTTATGGCATTTTCAACATTTAGGGTTGCGCACCATATTCCTCCCTGCTCAAAGGATCGACTGTTCTTGTTGTCTTAAGTTTGCCTGCTCGCACAAGCGCCACCTAGGTAGTTTCAGTTCGAGTCAATCCCTAAGGCCGAAGCTCGCGGCTTATCATATTCAACCATATCAGAGATCCCGATATAGTACGTAAGCGCGTGGGTAATATCCCGAAGCCCAGACCTGTCCGGACTTTCCCATCGCGGTGTCAAACCTCGACGTCCACAACATGGCGTACTTGTTGCCGGACGAAATCTGCACTATATTCTGCGAGCCGCGAACTTTCCGACGTAGTGGGACCAGCAAAGTGTAGATATTTGCCTTAGTGTCAGCCACAATGGCGAAGTGCCTTTTGGGGGTCTTAGAGACCCGCACCGGACGTCCGGGCCCTGTTTGGCTCTGAATCAGAATCGCCTATATTGCGTACAATACAACGATAATTGAAGATGCTTACCTTATCTAGGGGCGCAAAGTTTTTCTTCCTGGCAGGATTTGCATCCGTTTTACTTCTTCAAGTCGTAATCATGTTGTAGAGCTAACTACCTACCTATGTGAGTCGACTATTATTAGATGCACAAACTCTCTGGCTTTTGGTACCGAGTATTATCTTCAAGCCAACGGGAATACTAGGTATATTTTCGTGCTGACGCCAATGTTTGTTTTTCTATTCTGGCTTGGATTCTTCCATCCCTACCTACTGCCAAGTAGGTAGGCGGTGTTCTAGAACTTGGGTGAATGGTGGTGCTAACCTGTCTTAGACTGACCAAGCTTGCGGTAACGGTATGTCTGGCATCCACCGCAAACTATTGCTGAATAGCCAAAGCTTATAATCGAGCATACACGATAACGGTGGTGTGGTGCGAAACAAGCTCACTCGAATTTCCAATTCATTTTTTTTTTAAATCATATCTTTTGCTGAAGCAATTCTATCAGTAATGTAGCTGACGGTTTACCACGTTGATGAGCGGCTGCCCGGTAGCTAACTTCTCGAGATTAAGCTCCATAAGATGCAGTAACCTCCCGAAGAGAGCATCTGTCTTCCAGCTAATATGAGGGGTTATGATCAGATTTGGAGCTTTCCATAACGGATGATCGCTGGGGAGCGGCTCCGGATCCGTGACATCGAGCGCGGCGCCACGGATCTGCTCTATCTCTAGAGCCTTGATAAGCGCGTCTTGGTTAATATGACCGCCGCGCGCAATGTTCGCGACGAACGTCTTTTTCTTGCTTAGGATTTCGAACTGCTCATGCGAGAGAATTTGCCGTGTTTCAGAAGTGAGCGGCAGGCTGATGACCAACAGATCGAGATCCTGCCCTAGGAAATTATTTACATCCTCCTTGGCCGCGCCGTGGAACCACTTCGCCGGCAGGAGCCCGTCCGGGTCGCCGGTACCCGGCACGCAATAACTGTCGTCCTTTCGTGATTCGGGTGTCGCTCGCTCGCTGCGCGTGTAAGCATAAACCTCCATGCCCAAGACTTTAGCTAATCGTGCGCACTGCCTCCCAATCGCGCCATATCCCAAAATGCCTCTGCAACGGAGCGAAGCGTCAATATTAAAGTCCTTATTGATGTGGCGGCTATTCATATATGCTTACATTCGCATGCCCGTTGAATCTTGGACCTTTGCGGTAAAGGGAGACTGCCAAGTTCCCGTTTTCATGTTCGCGGCATAGGTAAGGAAGGCATGTTGATGCATGAGCCACGCACCTATGACCCATTCCGCAATCTGCGTTCTTCACATGGTGTTAGCCTAAACCTGAGGATATCTGCTAAGAACGGCGCGAGAGTTCTCTGCAGGACAGCAGATAGAAAACCAGCGTCGACTCACGCGTGGCAGCCATTAGAAGTGGCAAATGTGACCCTATCGTCTTGGTATATCGCATGTCCCGGCCATCGATCGATTCCCGCAGTGGTAAGCTGCACGAAGCGGACCTTGGATAGGAACTCCGCCGGAGGCGGCATGAATGTAGCGAGCAAAGTCACGCCGTCCCACTCCTTGGCGTCGAGGTCTTCAGCCTTCGGCGGAACGAGCGGGCTAGCCGATGACTTGACCCATCGTACTTGAAGACCCTTAAAACGCTTGGTGATCCGTCCCACGAATCCCGTTGAATCCGGATACGGAGCGAATATTAAGAAGACATCGTTGCTTAGAGACGTAATCTCTCCTCCAGTTTCCTCTGCTGCAGACATTGTTGTTGATCTAACTAGGTCCCCGAGGTTCCGGTACGATATTCGCTTTAGACGAGATGAGATTCAGCGTTATTCAAGTGCTTTGACTACCTTCCTGGCGACCACTATTTAGTTAAAACTTCGCGTCGTTTGAACTTTTCTTTGTGGTATGACGACTGTATACTTCAGAACAAAGGGAAAATACGAAGCAAATGCAGTCGCTGGATTAACAATCTATTTGTATCCCGAGCTCCAAAACTCACTGGACCCTCTTTTGATGCAACCGAGGAGAGCATTTCTGCTCTTCACGTATGTAGGTAGGCTGGATACGCAAGTAAGCTTCGCAGCTGTGCCTCTTTCAAAGCGCTGTCCTGCAACCGACAAGTTAGCTCGCCCCGCTAAATCGGATCGTCATCGTGCCCCTGACCTGGCGCAACCTGGTTAAATCCGATATTGTACATTAACGCCGAAGCCACCAGTGCGATACAGCCGGAATGAATAAAAGAGGCAGAACTCCTTAATTATGGTTCTACTAATTAGCAATTGTACATGTATATGGCGTTGGTACTGTTAGATGAACCATTCGGCCTAATCGGATCAAGCAATCGGTAACGCCAACGCATGCCCAGGAGCTAAATCAAACCCATTTTCAAGTCCATAATACAGTTACTCTCCTTTCATCTGAGTGATGCCGTCTGCAGCAGTCTCGACAACCTGGAATCCGGCAGCGTTACCGGCACCCCTGGCCGCTCGATCGAAGGCCTCATCGCTCCGATCACAGAGAACATCGATATCCTCGTCGCTCAGAATCCGATCTCCTCCGGAGTGTTGATATTCTTCGCCGTCCTTTAACAACAAGGATTGGAGAATATCCTTGTCTATAACCTCGTTACTATCGAGTTTTTGGCCCATCGTCCTGAACCCCCCCTTTTTGATGACAAGTTTCTCTAGCCTGCGCTTCGCGTCGGCGCTCATGAGAAGCTCTTCCTCGACGGTTCCTTTTGTCGCTAATCGGTAGACGACAACAGGGCGTGTCTGACCGATTCGGTGAGCGCGATCTTGGGCCTGTAGATCTTGTTGGGGGTTCCAATCGCTGATCCAAGTGAGTTAGATAATCTCCTCTGTAACCGGGAGAAGAAAGTGAACTTACCTATCAAACAGGATCACCGTATCCGCACTCGCTAGATTGATACCCTGACCGCCCGCTCTTGTTGACAGCAAGAATATCTTGAAATCGGGGTCTTCATTGAATTCCTTGATTTGCTGCTTTCTGTCCTCCTGGGCAACTCCCCCGTCAATACGGCATACATTCCATCCGCGCAGCTCAGCACAGTAGTCGTGCAATATGTCTAATTGGGTTTTGAATTGAGAGAATATCAAAACTTTATGGCCACGTGCGAAAAGCTCTGGAAGCAGCCTGTCTAGAAGAAGCATCTTTCCAGACGCTGTCACAATGCTCTCATCTATGGGTACTTTGTCGTCGAACGTCCACGGGTTGTAAAAGTTATGGGGACTGTTACACACAAGCCTTAACTGCATGATGGGGTTTCCTAGTTTCTTATCCGCGATTTGAAGCTTGGCCATTTCAAGTGTAGCAGCTCGCTCGATTTCCTCTTCATCCCGAAGGTCTTCATCTGAGTCATCGTCTTTGGCGGCAAGCTCGGCAGCTAGTTTTGCCTCAAATTCATCATCATCGAGCCTATCATCATCGGAGTCATCTGGCACCTTGTATGAGGCACGGGTCCTACGTGGTCGGCCTCGGATACTGCCGGCTGGAGTAGATTGTCGGCTCGATTTGCTACTCTTTGGAGACGAAGCCTCATTCGTAGGTGGAACTTTCCTCTTGCCGGTCCCTTTAACCTGAGACGCAGGAGAACAGTCTTTGGGTGTTGCTTTCAAAGTTGACACCCCTTTCTTACCCATCATCATTGAAAACGCATTTTTTGCTGATGGAGATGGTGCTTGGCTCGCATTCGTGCTAGTCGCACGTGACGACTGGCGACTCGACTTCCTAGAGCTGGGACTGTTACGAGTCTCCGTTAACCGCTCGACGACCTTGTTTTCCAAGTAAGTCCTGGTATCGGTTTTCTTGTCTCCGATTACATTGTAAAGGTCTGTCTGTTCTTTAGTCATTGGAGCATATAGGACATACTCTCTCTTCTTCGGTAGGTAGTTGGCTACATCTGCCTTGATTCTACGAAGTAGCAACGGCTGCAAAACTTTGTGGATCTTGGAAACGAGATCTTGGCTCTCTTTGTCCTCAATGAACTGTGTGGTGCCTTCTTCGTCTTGTAGATCGCTGAAATCAAACCATACTTCGAATGCTTCCCAATCAAGAAAAGTCTCCGGCATTAAGAAGTGGAGGAGGGACCATAGCTCCTTGAGATTGTTCTGGAGAGGCGTTCCTGTTATAAGAAGTCGAGTGGCCGATTTGAACTGTTGCAATTCTCTGAAGAGTTTCGCATCGGCATTTTTCATTCGGTGACCCTCATCCTATTTTTTGTTAATCATTAGAAGCATGACTACTACTCTGAGATACTCACGACTACGATGAAAGCCCAGTCGATCTTCGAGAGGCTGGCACGGTCTCTGAGAACCATTTCATAGCTAGTACAAACCACTGGAAATCGTTGCGAAGGACGGCCTTTCTGATAGTTTCTCATAATCTTGTTGCGGAAGATTTCCTGACGTTCTTGTGGAGTGCCATGATACATTACGAATGGTATTGTCGGAGTCCATTTATGGAATTCGTCTTGCCAATTCGACAAGGTACTTAACGGGGCTATTATTAGGTGAGGACCGAAATAGCTCTCCTGTTCTCTGAGTAAGGCAACAAGTGAGATGACTTGGATCGTTTTTCCTGATATTCAGTTAGCTTGAAAGGCATGGATATAAGCTAGTTGATGGCAGGTAGATAATCACCTAGTCCCATTTCATCAGCTAGGATGCCACTTAGTCCCTGCAAGCATATCTCATACATCCATGTGAGGCCTTCTAGTTGGTAATCTCGCATAGTTCCGCCGCTCATGATTTTAGGCTGTTGCTTCAATTCTAAGCCAGCATCTGCCAATGCTTGGTTATCAAAGTCGCGACCGACACGACCCAGAGCCTTTGTTTTCTGAGTGAGGATATCACTAAATATCCTACTCTTGCGAAGAAGTTCGTCCAATTCTTTCGCCTTGCGTGCGCGTTCTTGGGGTGATAATTGAACCTTCTTGCGCTTCCTCTTAGCGGCCAGTCGCTTTGCTTCAGCTCTGGTATTCTCATCTCGAGCTTTCTTCTCTTCATTGAGCATCTGCTGCTCTGTGAAGGTTGAGGCGACACCCATTTTTACGTTATCTAAGTCGTCCGCCTGAGGAGGTGATGAGGGAGCACTAGTAGGGAGTCGAGATGAGGAGCGGAGGGAATCGACGTCTGAAGACGATGAAGGGGCCATCCCCAAAAGAAATATGGATTACGTGGGTTAGTGGGATAACTAGGATTAAGAAAAAGCAAAAGTTACAATGATGTTATTTTGGATCATGACCCAAAAGAAAAGTCAACGCTAAGAACATGCGATTTGAAGATAATAGAGGAAAAATAGAGAAAATGATGATTTCACAACTAAGTAGCGTATGTACTGTACTAATCTGCTAGGTTTAGCGCGTCAGAGGCGTTCCCGGCACCCCGGACGACGCGAGTTAGCTGCGTTATCACGCGTTAAGTAGCGTGGGGACATGGACGAAAACGTCAGTCGACAGGGGTCGCGTAAAGGGGTACTTCCCTTAAGTACCCACCCTGCAAATGATGTTGCACAGTCCAGACAGCCGCAAACTCCGCAAGTCCGTCCCAAGGTTGGTAAAGTTCTCCACTAGACTAACGTGCTGCAGGCCCGCTTTTTCTACTTAGTCATCCTGTCCCACAGCCTCTCCGGCAACCTTATCTCCAAACATTCCATCATTCGTAATCCTAAATCTACATATACCAACTTCCAAGATCCACCCAACAATCGCATAATTCATCCTCACGACAAATTCGCGATCACAAACCACGGATTACCTGCCGAGATTATCAAGATGGCGGCTACTGGCCAGAATTTCTACGAGCTTTATCGACGAAGCAGGTACAGCAGCAGCTTTTGTTGACTGTTATCATTTAGATCTGCGCTGACAACATTTGTGTAGCGTCGGTACCGCTCTAACTGATACCCTCGACGATCTGATTACCGAGCATCGGATAGATCCCCAACTCGCCATGAAGATCCTAGCCAACTTTGACCGCGCCATAACAGAGGTGCTTCAAGACAAGGTCAAAGCTCGTCTGACGTTCAAGGTAAACATTCTTGCATTTGCCTAGACAGTGGCAACCTTGCGACAGTAGCTAACCACTGCTTTTCATCCGATTCTATAGGGTAGTCTCGATACCTACCGATTCTGTGACGAAGTCTGGACTTTCCAACTTAAGAACGTGACTTTCAAGATGGAGAATGGCGGACAGGTCGTTCAGGCAGACAAGGTCAAGATAGTATCTTGTACCGCGAAGCCCGCCGGAGCTGCCGCATAGAAGCATTGTATCGCTCTTTCCGAAATTTGCGAGAGTCGACATCCTCGTTTCCCACGGTCGACGCACGTCCGATGAGGCGATATCGGAGGCCTTGTACTTTTACATCACGACACACCATGCGTCTATGAACATGCGTATAAGAGGATGATTTCACACGCTCGGCCATCTTTCTGGTGCCTTTCACTTTCCTACCTTTCCTACGACTTCAATACGACTTCGACGACAATCCATGACCAAAGTCAACAACATCAGATTTCTCAGGAAGCTCTGAATGTGAATATGGGTCAAAGATCTAGATTGGAAGGTGGCATCATTGTGTAATTATGGTTTATTTCTTTCAAGGCGAACATTCACGGACATCGGCATGCGGTGACGGAATACATCACGAATGGTTTTCACGGCGTTCTACGGAAACGGACAACCTCAGATTGTACTGCCACTGCACTAACAATCGGGATTACGCATTGCATTTTCGCTTAATAAAAAGCATTTATGCCCACTTCTGAATGCGACTACTAAATGTGACTACGCGCATGAGCTAAGTAATTGGTGTATGTGATTCCTTCTCCAATAGTGCCATAGCATACGTTATGCATGTGACAACCCCCAGGATTGCATGATGCTTTGTCACTTCTAGACCGGTAATGATAGCATTGTGATTAATAGGCTTATGTGACATTGGCCAACAAGTCGTCACATCCAGTTTGATTCACAAGTCTATTGTGAACTTAGGGATCGAAAAAAGCAACCACCTTGGGGGCAACATCGTGATCCCCCACGTTATAGAAATATTGGAGATACGCGGGACAGATCATGACCCTAAGATATACGCGAGTAGAAAGAAAAAGCAACACCGAGGGCAAGAAAGATCACTCTATGTGGGTAGAAAAAGAATAAATGACCATTCATCCACATCTATTCAGAATGAGTTCCCACATATACAGTTGGGTATCAACCTCCGAGGCTAGTCCAGGAACGGAATTTAACAAGAGGAATCTTCGCTCTATTTCCGCTTGAGCCCTCAGCTCAAATTCCCCAATAGAGGCACGTCCTCGTCATCATCCTTCTCCACAGGCAGGATCCCTTCCTGCGGCGTGGAGCTAGACCCACGGCCTCGCTCGGCTGCTGATACATCGTCGTGACTGTGGCTGTGATTATGCTCGTAATCGTCATTACCATTGCCATTATCACCGTCATCAGCAGCATCTCGGAATTCGACCTCCTCGGCCCCGGCACCTGCCTCCGTCCCGCTGCTCTCCTCCTTGGTCTCGCGCCCGATGATCACGTTGCCGGCAACCAGCATCGCGGCGCCGACCCACCACAGCGGGGGCAGGGCCTCGGCGAAGATAAGCAGGCCCAGGAGCGCCGTAATCATAAAGTTTGTCGACGTGTTCATGATGGAGACCTGCGTCGTCGACTGCCCCTTGGCAAGGGCCTGCGTGAAGAGCGACCACATGATCCCGTTGAAAACTAGGTTAAGACCGAAGAAGGACTAAACCGAAGGGAAAAGATAGGTAGGTTAGTATTTCTCGCGCTGTATCCTAGGAAGCTAATGCTTTTTAAAGGGAGGAGGGAGGCAACGACGTTGGAGTTGTGTGAGGATAGGCTAAAAAAAGGAGAGGCTTACAGAGCGCACGACGACCTCAACTACCTTTTCTAGGTCTTTTAGACCAAGGGACCCGGAGATCCCCTGGGCTATGTGAGTGGAAAGCTCATTGGTAGTTCTGTGAATGGGTTTGGGTTAGCCTTGAGCTGAGCCGAACCGAGTTGGAGTATAGATTATGCTTTTAGGTCCTCTTGAAGCTAAGGTGTAACACAGCAGGTATGAATATAGCTTCAGCTAAATTAAAAGTCATGACCACTGGAATAGTTATGGTTGTAGAGAGACGAGATAAGAACAAAGAACAGTTCATGGCACTCTAGGATAGAATAGATGAGTACCTGCAGAATGGGCATTGCGAGGCTTACAACTTAGCAAAGACGCCATTAAAAGCAGCGCAAGCGCCGCTAGCAATTGCGAACACGATCCACCGGTTCCTAGCCGTCCAGGAAGACATAATTAGATCGTCCTCTAGACTATCATCGCTCTTAGTAGTCCTAATGCCCGCCTTCTCTTTGGCGGCTACAGCAACGGGCGGTTTCTTCCTTTGGCGAACGGAGGAGCTAGCGGGTGTAGTCGAAGAAGAATGCGTGGTGGTATTGGTATTAGTAGTAGTTTGAGTTTTCCGGGGCCGGGACATTGTGGATTAAGGTGTGTAGAGATCCGGATACGTCGGGGTGTGGTACCTGTCTACTAAGCGGGTTGTAGTAAATACAAAGATAAAAACAAGCGCCGCCTGACTGGAAACCGGGACCAATGGAATGTGACACGGGTCGGTTTGGCACGCCGAGGTGTTTCAGCTTATGGGGATCTGGTATATCCTCTTTTAGAAGCGATTCAAGATTTTCTGGCTATTTCTTATCGTGAGTGCGTGGCCTTTTTGTCTTGGCATTACGAATCGGGCGATCAGGGCGATTACCTGCAGCAGATATACGTCTTGTGCTCCACAGTGTATGGGCAAGTAGACATACAACGATCCCTTGCCTGCATATATATGTACATCAATGACTTTTGACATGGTCAGGACCTGATCATGTTCCTGCAGCGAACGAAACAAGATGATTGCTCGAAGCAACAGCCTGACCCGCTGTTCGACGCCAACTAGCGGCCGTTAGTTACATCGCATGATACGGGGTTTTGTTGTGGATGGTAGCACCGTGGACCGTGCGGCCCGCTGCCGTCATCCATCCGCCGTGAACCGAGCCACAACGGTTCGGTGTATTCTCCGGTTGCACCTTGTGTCAGACGGGGCAATTTTCCCAATAACCGGAGGGTGGTATTTACTAAAGGGAGTTGGATGCCTCGTGCGTTGGCTTCGTTACATGGACGAATGCGATTAATTCTGAAACAAATCAAATAACGCTGCAAGAAATGCTTGGAACCATAAATTGAACAGGTACTACGATTAAATGCCAAATATGACACCGTATTTACCACTACCTGTTCTCCAACTCGACACCGTCAATGTCAGCTACATCCTCATCACCATCCATAATCTGGCCATTGCCATTCCCTCGCCCTAACGGCCGCCTATCTTCTGCTTCACCCCCTAGCCTTATACGTCCACCACTGACGCTCGACACCTTTCCGGAAAACCATCCGGCAACTCTGTTCATTACTCCCCAGAGCTTTTCATATCCCTCGGCGATCTCGTGATCATCGCGCGGGTTCTCAGCCGCTTCCGCCTTGAACTGATATCTAAGACAGTCCTTGGCCGTAACTAAGCCACAGAGTCGGCCGTGATGCTCGATCAAGATCACGCGTGGCCCGATCTTGCGAAAGAGCTCCATCACCGTCTCGAGTGGCAGCCGTGGGTGGACTGTTACCGGCGTCGCGTCTACATATCGGCTGAAATCGATAGAGGTCGATGAAAGGCTGTAATCTGCGTTGCTAATAGTGACGGTAGGCGTGATAGGCGTGACTGAGTTCAAAGCTGGCGCTGGCGAGAAATTGCATTTAGCTTCTGGACTGATTGTGATCGAGCGCTCGCGGCGTAGACGATCAATTGCGTAACGCAATTCGGTGCGTCCGATGTAGCCGACAAGAATCCTTGTCGTCAGGTCCTCGACTATAGGGAAACCCTGATATTTGGGCTGCTTCAGCAGGTCTTCGATAGATTGTAACGTCATTCCATGAATAGGAATGGCGACTACATCGTTAGTCATAGCCGTTGACACCGGAACACCAAAATTGTGTTCCTCTTTATTGTCGAGGAATGGAAACCCGCTAAACCAAATCATCCGGTCAGCAATACCCCCTTTGCCAAATAGGTCAGACACCGCCTTCGTGACACCAACCACAATCATGGTAGGTAAGATATAAGTCAGAGCTCCCGTGAGCTCGAACATGATAACGACAACTGACACCGTGATATGCATGATACCACTGAGCGCAGCAGCGGCTCCCAGGAAAGCATACGTCCCGGGTGTGATACAGGGCACATCCGGTTGACAAGCGGCGAAAAAGGCACTATCCGGATGGGCGTGGTAGATGGCTTGCATTATGATGCCAACAGTTCGGCCGAAGGATGCCCCAACAGCCATAGATGGCACGAAGATACCAGCTGGTACTTTGCATCCGTACGAGATAATCACTAGGAATATGCGAATTATGGTCGCAAGGGTTAGTGACATAATGTTTGACCACCGCCTGTCATTATCGCAGAGCCCTTGGTAATCTTCAGTCCCTTCGCATTCCAAGAACAGGATTTCCATGCTCTCCGACATGTCGATCCGGAGAAACACATTGGGGTAGCAAATAATGGCCGTCCCCATGGCCAGCAACGTAGCTTCTAGGACCGCCCATTTTGTTAGGTACTTCTTTCGGAATGCCTGAGCCCGTAAGTTCCACTTGATCACGAATGCGCCGTATAGACCGCCGAAGATGCCGATGAAGATATATGGAACGGTTTCGAAGAAATGCCACGATCGGTCATACTTAACTTGGAACATGACTAGCTGGCCAGTCCTGAAGGGGTTCATCGCCGCGAGGACCGCTGTGGCGACGAGGGCGCAGAAGTAACTCCTCCACATAGTTTTCAATGGGAAATAGTTAGACATCTCTTCTAAAGAGAATAGCACACCTCCAATAGGACTGCCAAAAGCGACTCCTACACCGGCCGCGGCGCAGGCGCTAAGAATCTCTCGCGTCTTGGATGCATTTCGCTTATACTTGTCAAACATCCTCGAGATGACATTGCCTGTACATACTGCATAATGCACGCTGGGACCCTCCTTGCCGACTGAGAGACCCGAAGCGATAGCTAGTGGTAGCGCAATGGATTTGATGAGCAAAGTCCAGAATCCTAGAAATCCCTTCATGACAAAGCCAGCGATAATACACTTGATCTCCGAAATGCCTGAGCCAGCAGCATACGGTGCGAATGATTTGACAAGGACGGCCGAGGTAAAGGCAAATATGGTCTAGAGGGTTTAGTTTCGAGGCGGTGCATATAACATCAGGGGATAAACAAGCTTACCGCAAACATGATGTACAGCGCATAGTTGGCGGGTTCGAATGATGTCCAACGATGCCAGTGGTCGCATCCATTGTCCTCACCCCAACAACAGAAGTTTTCGTTCAGGTAGAAAGCAGTCGTGCAATAACCCATCTTTATGTCGGATAACCATTCAGTAACGATATTGAGAAAAGCGGCATTTAAGCCGATGGCGGCCCCTATGAGGGTTACCACAATCCACCCTTGCGCAGCATCGTAGGACTCCCGGAGCTTATATCTCCATGACACCTTTCCATTGTCGAAGCGCGCATGTCTTTTTCGCCTTGTCCTCCTGCGTAATCTTTCTTGTGCCGCATCCTGTACCCAGTCTGTGTTGTTGGTGTCAATATTCGTTCACGGGAAGTTAGCTTTAGGGGTTCGTCAATGCGCATACCTATAGTGGTGAAGTCCTATTAACATATTAGCTCGAAGCGCGACCAGAGTGCTACAACTGCTTCGGGGAATTGGGATACCTCATATCTTTTGATTTCAGCTATTTCTTCTTCTATTTGTTGTTCTCTCGGCGCATTGTTCCCAGTCACCTCCCCACGCTCAGCAGTTGATACAGCGATCGACAATCTAGAACTAACAGAGGGTCGGCGGGATAGCTGTGGGTGGGTGACGGAGAAGGAGGTTGTACGGGAAGACATTAGTCTTAAGGGAGGTCGTGACCATTCTCAGCTATTCGGTAACAGGAATACTGAATACTAAATAATTCAGATGCGACTTGCGCAAGTACATATGCAAACGAGGGTGAACGACTGATGGTGAATTTGAAGGTTTAATGTTGAGCAAGTTACGGATAGAAGCAATCAATTGCTGCTACTACGTAATCGCCCTTGAGGCTGATGAGCAGGGGTCCTTGGGCTAGTGCAGCCAAGCAGCTTCCCAGCCTGTCAGTTGCACAGTCTAACATGTACCGTGTTGCGATCCCCTATCAGATTTATGATCAGATTTATGCAAGTGCTACTTCGTACCTTGGCAGCCTGGAAGATGGCTAAAGTTGACCTACCAGATCCCTAACTTATACAGTATCTTCTTCCCCATCAACAGACAATTCCACCGTACAAGATTTCACCGCTTTCCATTTTAGGGTTTAATCGAATCGCGTCTCCCCCTAAACCTCATCGCGTCGTACTGAATCTCACAAGGACGATAACTTTTTGCCCGCCAAATTCACACCTAATTCAACATAACAAACGGGGTACATCCTGTGATATCTACCAAAGCTATCATTGACAATCGTTGTCGAAGTTTCTCCCTAGTATTCTGCCGTTCATATTTCTAGACCTGAGGTAAGATTCACCTATCACCAACCTATAATTACAACTAAGATAAGGCTTTCATGCCAAAAGCTCTATTAGCGAGTTTCTAATCTTGGTTCCACCATTTACAATTAAGATTTGTCTCACTTGAAGGTGTACGCAGTTTTTGCAGTTTTCATATGCTAACGCACCTCATAGCTACCCACTCCAACAAATTCGGCTTTCAGGGCCGTTGACTAAATCGTATTCCTCCACGAGCCGTTTCTTTCATCTAAAAGAGAATCGTCAATATGCCTTACAACACCACAGCAATCCCTCCTCGCAAGGAGGTAACCGGCCAGACGCAGCTCCCTCGTAAGTCCATCCCCTTACCGTCACTCCGTATCATTCATTCTAACCGCTCACCCCTAAAGTATCACGAGTGAAGAAGATCGTCGCACAGGACCAGGACATCGGCATCTGCTCCAACAACGCCGCCTTCGTGATCACTCTCGCCACCGTAAGTCTCCCCTCCCTTGCCTCCCCATCCCCCTTCTTTCTCCCACCAACCACCCAAAAACACCCCCACTAACCCACCACTAGGAGATGTTCATCCAGTACCTCGCAAGCGAAGGCTTCAACATGGCGCGCATGGAGCGCAAGCCGCGCCGCAACATCCAGTACAAGGACCTCGCCTCCGCCGTCGCCGCCAAGGAGAACCTCGAGTTCCTCGAGGACATCGTGCCGAAGACGGTGCCGTACAAGCGCGTCAAGGCGGAGGCGGCGGCGACCCGCGCGCAGCTCAGCAGCAACGTGCCAGCCGGAGAAGCCGCCGGAGCCGCCGACCGCCCGGGCGAGACCCAGCGCGCCGACGCCGCCGCCAACGGCAAGAAGCACAGGCCGAGCACCAGCCGCTCGAGCCTGAACGGCAGCTTCGTCGGCGCCAGTGGTGCCCGCATAGTGAGCGATGACGACGGCACGGAGGCGGACCCCGCGGATCAGTTGCGTGCTGAGATGCGGGAGGCTAGCCGGGGAGGACGGGATGAGGATGTGGATATGACCGGTTAGGGAATTGGTGACGTTCGACGGTTCTGTAATCCCTTCTAGGTCTGTGAACAAAGTGTGGAATAGAGTCTGGATCCCGAAATATCGGATACGTGGATAGGGGTACCTTTACAGCACGAATTTTGGCGTTGGGGAGTAATTGGCATTGTACATGCACACACGCACGAATACACACATAACTTCTCGCAGGTGAAGGATTAGTATTGCTTGTCCATGGGTATACCCGAATCTTCATTTTATGGCTAATGCCATATATACCTGACCGCCACTAGTACCATGAGCACCCCAGATCCAATTTCTCTTTTTAAGGTACATGCCCAACCCCCCTACTCCTCCATTTCATCACTCAAGTGCACGCCGGCAGGTATCCTGCCCTCCCGTAGCATGGCCTCCAGTCGCGTGATCTCATCCAAGCTGGTGGCCTTCTTGATCATGTCCTGGAGACGCTTCTTCTCTTTGTCGGTGAGCTTGATACGCGACATGCGCGTGGGCAGCGCCCCTGACGGGGCTCCGTTGATAGGCAATGCCGAGTCGAACGTCCGGGATTTAATACCCATGATCTTGGACGCGAGGTCTGTCGGCTCCTCAGCGCTGCCGAAGAGTACTGCAGCTTGCTTACGCTCCGCGTCTTTCACCTTCTCGAAGTCGAGAAAACGTACCGAAGGGCAGCGCCATAGTACCCAGTATCGGTAATGCTGTAGTGCGATCCTCTGTAAGCGCGTGCCCTTTATCTTTTCCAGTGGCAAGACAAGGGGTAGAAATAAAGCAGATTCTTGAGCTTACCTCCTTCTTCGTAACGGGATTATCTCGCAATACCAAGTGTGTCAGTCGTGGGAAAGAGCCCAACGGATCTAAGTCTGCTAGCTCGGTCAGGTTGTTCGATTCCAGCTGTAGGTTCGTGAGGTTCGGGATCGAGTTGGCGAGGGTAGGTTGTATAGTGGCGATGCGGTTGCGCTGTAGTAAGAGAGATTGGATTCGTGGCGACAGAGGGAAGTTCCCTAGCACTTGGATGTCATTGTCGACGAAGTCTATGGCATCTTGGGGCTACATTATCACCTAGCTATTAGCAGCTGCATGGGTTATAATTCAAAGCAATGGGTCGGGATAATAGAAAAGACTTACGCCTGCAACACCCAAGTTCTCAATGGCCGGTATCCGATGTCCTGTTCACAGCCGGCGAGGGCATCGCTATCAACTCTGCTCTCTCCTAGATCAAAAAGTGTAGTATCTGTTCTTTTCTGACGTACCTCGAAGCTCGAGCTCGCGCTCCTTCAACGCGTTCAGCCACGAAGGGGAATTCTGGAGAAGCTCGGCCGTGAGCCTCATGTTGGGCTGGCCTTTGCTGAATCTTTACCGTTGCAATTTTCTATGTATATGTATCGGGATTGTCGTATCAGATGCGATTGGATTTGTTTGGGTAAATTGTTGTATTCAATTGAACGATGTCGCGTGTAGTGTTTTTTGATGAAGTAAGGCTGAACCTTGGAAATTTCCTGATTGTTTAAACGAAAAATTGTGACGCCAATCTAGAGCAGTCTCCAATTGTGGAGTGCGGGGAAGTATTTCGTACTGTACCTAGTATGTTATGTAATCTCTCTGTATAGGTACATACTTGCTTATATAGGCTTAGATACTCACTTTAAGGATTACTTTGGGAATATTCAGTTAAAGGATTGACTCCTGTTTCTCCCATTTTCTTTTTCTCACTTAGGAGTTCTATCATTGACACCTCACTTATGTACCTTCCCACCTAATGTACACCAGTCTCTTTTAAGGTTAACGCGGGCTCTTGCCGCTGTCTTTTCGGTCTATTAAAACTACAGCTGTACATGATGCTTGGAAAGTCCACAAGGATCGAACGCTAATATGCGGAATCATCCCTTTCGCGGCTTAGAGAGAGAAGGAGATTATAATTGGTCTGCTATAGGCTAGATGCGTACGAAGGGCTCCCCTAATATGCCTTCTATTAACCAATCTGGGAAAGGAGTCCGTACACCCTCGACGCGCTCCGGTTGACCAATATGCGACCTATGATAGGTCACTAGCCAATGGAAACCAAGACGAGGGGTAGGTATAGATTGGGCTAGGTAGTGTAGCTGGGCTGGGCTTGTCGGTGAAAATTAATAAATGTCAGCGTGGCTCTCATTATGGTTGAACGTCGAGTTATTTTGATCATTCGTATATCTCTATTCGCGGGAGTTGTAGGAAAGTCATAGAATCCTTGTAAGTTTCTTTGATGGAATAGTCAAACCAATGCTAACATGGCAAACCCAAAGTTATCTATAATATCCTCGAAACCACAAGCATCATAATATACTAAGGAAACAATCTAGAGCAGATTTAATAAGACCCCAGCGAGTTCTATTGTCCTTATACTCGACGCTCTTACGTCCTAGTTTCCATCTTGACGACGATGGGTGTATTATCACTCCTCATTAGTCTCGGAATTGGGATCGCTTTTGCGTACCTTATCGCCAAAGTCCTGGGCTTATCGAATGGCAATCATCCTCCTCTACCACCGGGCCCTAAGGGCCTCCCTTTTCTTGGGAACTTGAATGACCTGCCTCAGCCAGGGGTCTTGGAGTGTGATCACTGGTTGAAGTATAAAGATCTCTATGGTTCGTTAAGCTATTGACTATCGGAGCAGAGTCTGATCAGCAACTCTAGTTCGTGCTGATAAACCCCCTAGGTCCAATTAGCTCTATAACGGTAATGGGCCAAACCATAGTAATCATCAATGATGCCAAGCTTGCCTTCGAGCTGCTGGAGAAGCGCTCGACGAAGCATTCGTCAAGACCTCGACAGATATTTGCCGGAGAAATGTTCGTTCACCTCGCTGTTTATTAATCTATAGCTAGCTTTACGATCTAGAAAGTACTAAGAAATTTCCGTAGGGTTGGTTGGGGAGATTCGCTCGCCCTGTCACCATACAACGACCGGTTCCGATTGCATCGTAAGAATATGAGCCATATTATTGGTACTAAGAAAGCTGCTTCTCAGTTCAACACGTTACAAGAAGGCGAGGTAGGCCATTTTCTTCTTCATCTCTTGGATAATCCAGAGGGCTTTATAAATCACGTTAAGAAGTAGGTCTCCTGTTGAGTCTCCAGTTGTTTAAAGACTTAAGTCATGTTACTGACCATTTTACTTCTGAAGGGAAGCTGGTGCTGTGATTTTAAAGATTGCTTATGACTACGAGGCGGAATCTCACAAGGACGATCCTTTGGTCGACATGGCTACTATTGCTATGGACAATTTCGGACGTGCTGCAGTTCCTGGAGCGTTCCTCGTTGATGTACTGCCATTCTGTAAGTGTGTTGATGAATGGCTGGAAACTTTTTGGGCAACACGATTTAATTCCCTATAGTGAGACTAGTACCCGATTGGGTTCCCGGGACAGGGTTCAAGAAACTCGCCCGACAGTGGAGGGCCGAGGTCATGGACGTCTTAGAGAAACCTCACGCGTTCGTCAAGCATCAGATGGCTTATGGAAAGAATGAAATATCGTTCTTATCGAGACTATTAGAGGCTGGAAACCTAGACCCGGATGTCGAATACACGAACAAATGGTCAGCTGCGTCGTTGTACGCTGCTGGAGCGGATACCGTGAGCTCCCTTCCCCTTCGTCTTATTAAATCAAGGCGTGTATTAACCCAATTCAGACTGTGTCTTCGATTGCGTGCTTTTTCTTAGCTATGACCGTCTATCCGGAAATTCAGCAAAAGGCGCAAGAAGAGATTGACCGTGTTGTGGGGCAATATCGATTGCCCAATATGGCAGATCGAGAACATCTGCCGTATATTGAAGCTACCGTGAAAGAGGTTCTCCGCTGGCATCCCGTCGCTCCGATGGCACTCCCGCACACAAGTACCGATGACGATATCTGCGAAGGATATTTTATTCCGAAAGGGTCAATGTTGCTCCCAAACGTTTGGTGAGTATACCTAGATGTCCACAGGAACCTCCTGAATGTTTGGCAACTGATAGTGTGTTAGGCATTTCACACACGACCCGGATGTTTACCGAGATCCTATGATTTTCAAGCCCGAACGCTTTTTAGAGACTGACGGACACAAACCAGAACCAGACCCGCGCATGTTTGCCTTTGGGTTCGGACGTCGTATATGTCCAGGACGATACTTAGCAGACAATGCCCTCTACCTCAATATCGCACAGTCACTTGCCATGTTCAAGATTAGCAAGTACCTAGAGAACGGCCGGGAGATTTCACCTACCATCAAATTCGAACCAGGTGTAATTAGTCATCCTGCGCCATTCAAGAACGTTATCAAACCAAGATCCCCTCACCACGAAGCATTGATCAGGTCGATTGAGAAAACCTACCCATGGAAGGAGAGCGACAGCAAGGCTTTGGCCGGCATAGCTTGATATAGACAATTGCAGAGGTATGGATGGTTCGTAGTGCAATGGGGTTTGGTAATTGGGTTGTACAAATCTTACTTACCTATCGTGTGGTGAGAGGGTAATACGGGATAGGGGATCTAGAGCTCGGATTATAGCAAAAGGCGAATCAATAAGAGTTTCTTTAGAGAGGCTAGTTGGATCTATAAATGATATGTATGCTCAGACCACAAGGGATTCTCCAATCAGGTTCATTCGACAATGCCGATTCCTTTGCTGATGCCATCCATCGTTCGGGGATCGGGCTCCACATCATTTCTTGACAACCTAAACCGTCAGCTATCGTTAGTTAATAACCCCTTGTCAAGAAATGCTATAATACTGTCGGCCGTTCCTGTCTACACAAACAGTAGTTACGGCGACATCGAAGTCCTTCAAGGTCTCCCCCCTACGATCCTGACCGGCCGGCCAGAGCTCTGCGCCATCCAAGTTAATATGATTTCATCCGAGTCCTCTTCGTATATATTCGCTCTATTCCTGCCCTCAGAATGGAACTCGAGATTTCTCACTGTTGGCAGAGCTGGGACGGGCGGGTACATCAACTACTTCGACGTGGGTATCGGCACGCACTACGAATTCGCCGCCATGTCGACAGATAATGGACACAAGAGCTCTCCCTATGATATTACGTAGTCCTACAATGCGCCGGAGAAGGAGATCGATTGGGGCTGGCGTGCAATCCATGGATCTGTCGGACTTGCAAAGCAATCGATCAAAACTTATTACGGCAAAGACGCCCAATATTTCTACTATACCGACTGCTCGACCGGCGGCCCGCAGGGATTAGAGGAAGCTCAGATCAATGCCGACAGCTTCGATGGTATACTAGTCGGTGGCCCAGCCTGGTGGGTTACTCACTTGGTAGATGTGGTCATTAGGATCCAACAGGGTTACCATCCGCCGAATAACACGAGGAGTATCCCTGCTGAACTATTCCCCCTGATAGCTCTAACGGTGATTGAGCAATGCGACGAGGTGGACAGTGTCAAAGACGGTATCGTCAGCTCCCCCGAAAATTGCCACCCCGACTTCGAAGTATTGAATTGCAAAAACCCTCCGAACTCATCTGCAAACGCATCGGCATGCCTCATGGCCTCGCAGCTAGAGAGCTTGCAGGAGATATATTCTGATTATTATGTCGGGTCGGAGCTAGCGTACCAAGGTCTCGAGCTCTCTTCGGAATTAGGATCGTCAACCAATATTCTCCCTCTAGAACCGCTCTCGTTCGGTCTCGATTTCTTAAGATAAGCAGTGTTTGGAGACGTGAACTGGCCTCTTTCATCATACAATCGTGTCTACGAGTACGTAGAAACCCTGGACATTGTGGATGAATTCGATGCCAACAAATATGACATGCCCTCTTTCAGAGATCACGGTGGGAAAATCCTGATGTATCATGGACTGTCAGATCCTTTGATAGCCATGCGAGGATCCTCCTAGTTTTACGAGCAGGTCAAGCTGGCGACGTGAATCTTGCACTCCATGACCAACTGGTCCCGTCTCCTCTTCATCCCGGGGACGGAACACCAGTGGATCAAATTATTGCGACGACATGGAAACACCAAACTGTTCCAAGCTCGGGTGTGTTGAGGCAGCATCCTCTCTATCCGTATCCCAAAGTTGCCGTTTACAATGGCGATAGTAATGCGAATGACGCACAGAGCTGGGATTACGAATGAGTTTCGACTCGCTTGCCTTCTGAAGGGGCTTTCGCATCTAAGGAATGGTAAACCAAAAGTCAAAATTTGACGATGGAATCACTGCTCTGTAATATTTAGAAAGTTTCCGTATTAATTATATTACTTCATTATAAGATTGGTAGGATATCTTGAGACATCGAGGGCGGATGGGTTAAATGAAGGGGAGAGCTGGATCTTTTTATTTTTCGCTTGCTCACGACGACAGCGGTAACATTCCGCCATCCCACCAAATTCTTTCAACCATACGGCACCCCGCGCACGATGATTTGACCCTCTTCTAGCAGGGGCGCGATGGCCTAAACCCACCGTTTTAGCTGCTCATATTCAACAACTTACAGCGAGTATTAGTGTAGCCAGTACTAATGGATAATAGCGAACACCCACCCCTCTACCTTACGGCTCTTTCAAAAGAGACTACTCCAGCTACGTGATATTGATTTACTTCCAGGGGGGTATAAGCTAGAATCCACTGTATCTATAATGAGCTTTAGCGCTATATGAGCTATAGTCCATAGAGCCCTCTGTTTAACAATAGGCCAAGTCATACTGTCTGAGATCACTTGAACCGGGATACTTACTTAATCACTTCTACTCACATGTTGGTTGTGGCGAAGAGTCTAATGCCTTCTCCACCTAAGGTAGGAATCATTAGGATACCTATACACTTGGCGTATTAATTCCTCTTCGGCATTGTATGATGAGTCTGTTCCTTGACAAACACCACGTGTAGATGAGTTGCATCACTACGCGCCGTAAAATGACCTGGGAAGCTAGTTGTATGGAAGAACACAGAAATCTGAGCTCATGCGTGATGTGTGTTTTGTTATTGAACTTTTCTACTTAAACACAGGATGTGTTCAGTTCAATGTCCCTCTACATTTCTCACAAGACTCTACCTAAACAAACAACTATCCGCGAACATTTACTAGCTATCTACCTATTCCTATAAACAGAAGAAGATGAGCGCATACGACAACATGGCTACGAAGGAGAGGGTCACAAAGTACCGAGTAGACGAAACGAACAAGACTATCGAAGAATACAAGATTATTCTTCGTGGTATTGGTGACGACCCAAATATTTTAACTTCCTATGACGAAAACATGGCTCGTAGGATTCGAGATTGGGCTTCTAATACTCATGAAGAGTTCAGCCCTGCCGAAGACGCCGCTCCAGACGACGATGAGTATACTACAGCCGTTACTGATGCGCTTAGAGGCTTAGGTGATCTCATTGATACCGGGAATGAAATCCTGAACAAGAATGAGAACAAGATGTGGGAATATGAATCAGAGTTAATGAACTCAAAGAAGGAGGAATGCGAGAAGAAGAAGAAAGAGGAGGAGAAGAAGAAGCAGGAGGAGGAGGAAGAGAAAAAGAAGAAGGAGCAAGAGGAAGAAAAGAAGAGGGAGAAGAGAAGTTGTTGCTCGTGATGGAGCCTTTTCCTTTTTGGCCTTGAATGACGCGAGGGTTGGAGGATATTCGAGGGCGCCTACGATAGCACCTACTAAGCTATACCTATCTCATACAGGAATACCTAGGTAGGCATTGATAATATGTAACCGAAATCAAAGACTCGGATAGAAACAAACACAAAGTTCTAAAATGTTATGATGATTATTAAGTTATATTAGGCCCTATCTCTTTTCGAGCTAAGAAAGACAGGTATAATTAAGTAGAAGCTACAAGTCTTTGTGACATCCTGGCTCGCTCAGCTAATTATTGCTGAAAGGCCAACGCACCTGTAAGGACTCAATAGACAAAGGCTTTGTTATCTAGAATAACATATCAACCCATATATCTCAACACCGTTGTAGCTGAACAAGAAGACTGAGCAGAATCTAGCGGACCAACTACAAACTATAAGCTGATTTGTATTGTTATAAATATTTAGTACGTATCAAGCGATCTCCTAGGTATTATCCACAATGCACACAAAAGTACTATTCAATAAAACCGGTAGCATTTTAGGTAGAATTCCAATCAGAGGGAGTGAACCTAGCTGTTGCCAAGAAACTCAAAATTGCAGTGCCAGCGGAGCAGACCGTAACCACAAACTCCTGAAATCTAAAAGGAACTCGATTGAAAGCATAAGGCCGGAATACATCCCAGTTGGCCACCAACAAATTCCCTACGACGACATGGCCGTACCTCGCATACCCGAGTTTCTCATCGAGAAATATTTGCAAGAAACCCCCGAACTTGATATTTGCGATGAGAATTCAGATGGCGGATGCTATTTCCCATCGCCGATGACCACCTTTCTAATCGAGAGGCCTAAAAACCTCACATGTCTCATGTGTGAAGAGAAACTCAAAATGACTAGCACACAGAACAAGCAAACTCCAGGGATCCTGCCTTGCGGCCATGTGGCATGTCAACAGTGTCTATCGAAATGGGTTACAGAGAACAGAGATTGTCCAGTCTGCCGCGAAAGTATGGAGCATCCGGGCTGCGGACACAGAGTAAGAATTATGCCGATTCTCTACGGCGATATCGGACGGATACCAAAAACCATCCCCATGGGAGGATCAATTTCTCATGTTTGCCCAAGATGCACAATAGAGCGGTTAGTAGACGACGTACTTACCAAGATGGAAGAGACTGCGGCAGTATTTGTAAGTAATCGTCACCAGACAGGATCCGCCTCAGGACTTGATCGACATTCGGTGGAAGAATCTATGAAGAGTAACGTTGAAGATTACCACTCTCAACTTTCCAATATACTCCGCCAGTGGTAGGTGGAAGATTTTCATTGGATTAAAACACTTTCAGATGGCGGTTTCTGGGCCCCTATCTGACATATTTATTTTATTGTATGTCATTTTTTTTGTTTTACACAGGTACCAATCATATTATTAGGTAGTTTAATACAAACACCGACTGCCTTCCAAGATACGGCTATGTTATCCAAAAATATTAAATGTCTAACTCCGTTGTAATCGGCCGATCGAGTTGCCAGACTCCTTCCAGAAGTATTATGGGCTGATTAATATTGCAATCAATAATAGACAATTTCCGGTAGAGCTACTGCTTTTCCAGTCAGATACGGAACTGATGGCATGCGACGGAGCCAGCTATAAAGCCTCAGATCCCATGCGGAATGGTTCTGGTGATCGCTGTAGAGCATCGATTTCAGCGCTGTATCAGAACGAGCAGTCAGAAACTTGCTTATAATGTAGGCAGATTGACTATCGTGGGACAGCGACTCTTCAAATGAGAGAAAGGGCTATCATAATTAAGTACTATGTCTGTCATATGTCATGGATACATGAGTACAATAGACATGAGTTTGACTTGATATAGAACTCTTATGAACCTTACTACGAGGTTAGGGCTTTGAATTACCCAGATGCCTCCTTGATAAGCGTTCGGGCAGTCCACTCGGGCCTACTTATGAATGGAGAATGACCGGCATCAACACGAATTACTTTCTCGACTTTATGAGATCCGCTTGCCACGGCCGTGTCAATGAGGTACTGCGCGGCAGCGACAGTACTTGGCCGATCTGCGGTTCCCAGGATGTAGGTGGTTGGGATATGTCGCCAGGCAGCATATGTGGTAGTGCTCCAGTAAGATCCAAAACTCTGTGGACGTAAGTCTTTGGCAAGTTCGGCAACAGTTTCATCGTCAATATCCTGATAAAACATATCCTTGGCATCCTCTGGACGGATAGTGATGATACCGGCCTAGGATGCAAAACATCTGTTAGAAATGGCGAATGAATAGCCAGGAAGCATATCATACATCTATATCGGTCTTCATTTCGGGAGCCATGTTATCGCGAGTGCCATGGGGAGAGTGCTGAAAACCCTCAGGTACCAGAAATGCAGTGATGTAGATCAGTCTTACGACACCGCCTTTCAGCCCCTTCGACGTAGTTGCTTGTTTATCAAGGCCTTCCAAGGCGGTGCCTGCAGTCATGCCACTGAAACTATGTGCGACGACGACGACATCATACTCCTGGACGAGGTCGGATACTGTCTTCCTAATGATTTCTACATCCCCTGACCAGTTGGGTGTCGGCGGACTAGAGCCACTCGAAGGTAACGCTGGTGCGATGGCGCTGTAGTTCTCCTTGTTAAGCTCGGAGATAAGAGTGCTCCAACATTGTGGACCGTGCCATGCCCCATGGAGAAGAACAAAGACTGGCTTAGACATTTTCTGCTGATGAATAACGAAAGGCTTCGCGGCTAATCTACTAGAGAGTCAATGATATGACTCCCCGAGGGTATTTGAAAGGCTCCTGTGAAAAAATTGAATATGCTCACGGATATCAACTGTACCGGCTCCCAACGCTTAATGCTGACAGCATAAGTATGGATGCGGCATAGAGCATGGAATCCATCTGCAGGCAACGATATGAGTCGCTCGGGCTGACCACTGAGGGCATTAAGTTGATAGGTACAATTTGGTGCTTGGATGGGGATATGACTGCAGATTATGAGGTCCAATTGTTCCGTTTCATTGCACTGGGAATCCAATCCTTCAGCCTTAACTCAATCATATTTCTGTGAACCACGTGATAGAGCAAACAGGACAGCCTCCGGAGCAATTCGTAGTTTAGCGAATAGGGGAAAGAATTGCTTATCAACCGAATGATTAATTGGTATAAGAATACGATTAGAGATTGGTCGTTAGATTAATGGCAACGAAACGCAATGGGATACTCTGCAACGACTTACTGACATCGATACTATATTGATATTACCTAATCATAGTATTACATAATCTCCCGTTACGTAGCAATTTCATTACATAATTTTTCATTATGTAATCATTCTATTTTGACGGAATCTCATCATGACCCTTCGTCTTCTAAGCTTTTAAGTCTTTATTTCTGCTGATCTCTGGATTCAGCATACGCATCTCTTATGAGCACTCTTAGCGTTACACCCTCGAAAGTATCATGGTTTGCATTGATTTTCTTCTCATTTCCATTGACACAAAGCATATGCTTTGCTCGCAGCAGAGCTTTGATTACATACCTAGGTACCCAGTTAGCATCTACTGCATTCTTTACAACTATTCCTACATACATGCTAATACATGCTTGGTCTACAGTCACAGTTATCCGTAAATAAACGTAGAAATATTTATAATTTACATTCTTCTTATTCAAGAATTGCAGATTTCACTATCGCAGCTTGAATAGGGTATGATCTTACCTAATGATGCAACGAGTTGTGATTGGGTCAACAATATCGACCAATTAGATGGCGTTTTTCCAGCTCTGTTTCCCGATTCAGTAAGATGACATCATGACATATATACATCCGCGTGGTAGTAGCGTCACAGGTAGGATATCGTGATCTGTGATCTCTTTGTCCTAAACTTTCCGGAATTATTCGTACTACCATATCATTTATCGTTGACGTAGTTTGCTGTGTGGCGGTTCTCTGGAGAAGATTGCTTGAATACAAAAGCTCGAACGGCCCCATTCACTTTAAGACAATCCAAGCCACAGCAACCACCCTACGACAATTACCTATTAATCTTTCTTGAATTTTGTATATTCAACATTTTACAGCCAGCTATCGTCATCATGAGTATTGCAGCAGGAATTGGCCACTTTACTCAATCAATCCTCGAGATGATTCATGGCGTCTTTGCAGCCATTGTCGGCTTCTTTCAATCGATCATCAGCGTAATTGTTGGCATCTTCCAATCGTTGGTACAATTCATCGAGGGTATTCTTGGTTTCGCAATCAGTACGTTTAGCTTCATCTTAGACACCAAGCTATCGTCATGTACGCTAACCTCAGTAGACAATTTCTTCATCCTGGCTACAGGAGCAGCTCTCATGTTCGCTTATGTACTTTATTCTCAAAGACAGGGAACTACTGCAGGAGGTCGAACTATTAAGAGCAAGTCATATTAGCATTACACGTTGTTTCCATTGAAGATGATAGATTGTTGAAAATCCATACGATTGAACAGTTGGCTTTATGGACATGGAGGCTTTATGGCCTAGGAAGGAGTTTAGAGACGTAGCTGTACATTAACATACATTCTGAGATAATTTGTGCCTTATAATTATATGATTACGTGATTAATCAGCCTTTGCATAATGCACGTGTCTAAACCCGATGTTCAAGTAAACTGCCTATATTCCGATAACCTTAGGCGAAGCATATGATTGTATCACCGTATCCCAGAAATATCCCAGCTACAGCTCTGTATTCCGTGAAATGCGGTCCGAATGAGATTCCTCACAGGATGGGTCACCGTTTGGTCTAATAAACCTCACCGGACGGCGCCACTCTCCGTGTAACCGGCTTGATGGGTCCGCTTTCTCCGTGCCACGGATGACATCCGCCCTCGAGAAATCGGGGAAACCATTTCTAAGATTGGGGAGTTCTCCGAGCAAGATGTGGGGCGTTTATAATAGTACATACCTGCATAACTCGAATGGATACCTAAATTGCCGGAATCATGCATTGATTGCCAAATACGACGGTGAGATTGATGGATTCCTGTAGATCGCTGTCAGCACGAGAGGGGATGGGGTTGGGAAAAGCCCTACTCGTGCCGCATGGCCACATTCTTTCCTCTCCCCTTGACTGTCAAGTACTTGGAGACAGGGGCTGATAGATGGAATATACGTCGAAGCATATGCAACAGGCTACCAAAATCCACAGTGGTTAAATTCCAGGGTAACCTCCCTTTGTAAACTCAGAGTATTATCCTAGACAGAATTTCCGCGGTGTTGGAAGATTACCTAATGCTGCTCAACGACTCCAAAAAACCCCCGAAACTGTACGTAAGGAAGCCATCCAAAAGGCAAAGTTTAAGGGTGGCGGTTCAGGCAAGGCGTAATGCATAATCCTTTCCGTTGATTCGCGTTAGTATGGAGCAATGAGAAAAAAAAGGATAAATGAACATCAGCTGCTCGCCGTATTACCTATCACCTCCTTGTCCTTTTGAGCTTCGCGAAGGACCTCCCGCATGCGGGAATACAACGCCAGATCTGCCCCTTGCCTACTATTATCAAATACAACCCTCCGCAACCTATTGACCCAAGGGATCAAAGACTTATAGTATGGGTTGCAATGTCGAGTGAACGTGTCGATAAAATGCGACTCCCTTGTTATGATACCGATTTTCTGTTCAGCTAATACCTCTGTGTTCATATAATTCCATGGCTCAAACCGCTCAATGGCCTTACCCTTCCCTAGTCCGCCGTAGTGTATGCATATCCAAAACAGCACCCAAAAAAAGGATTCCAGGTCATGCATGAAAGTATGCAGCTCGCCTAGGAGCGTCCCGATTGCCATAAAAGCCCTCGTGCCGGTCTTTCCCTTCGCGCCCGAAGCACCGTCTCTCTGTTCTTTAATAGCGAGGTCTAGATCGATCAAGAAACTTGGCCAGGAAGGGTTTCTGTTGTCCTCGTTGACCATAAGGTTGTTAATTGATATGTCTCTATGAAGGATACCGGCCTTGCGCAATAGGGACTCGTGTCCCCGGATACAACCCTCTATTGCAACAAGGAGAGCCACAGGCGAACTCGCTTTATAGATATTCTGCCCATAATCACGAACAATAACACGCCGATGGATGCGATTCTGTGGTGCACTGCGGTGAGCCAGGTCTACTTTAATCGGAGATTCCGAGCGGGGTCGCTTGCTCGACGGCAAGCGCGCACCAGTTTGGCTGGATGACCTCTTCTGGCCGGCCGTGCTACTCTGAGAAATCTGAGAAATCTGGGAAACGCTACGCGTATCCAAACCTTGCGGCTGGTAGTTAGAGGCTCTGGTAGAATCTAACCCTTTTCGGATGCCGTGTTGGACATCATCGACACCGCCATCGACATGGACGGTCTCGTGGTAATAGTACCTGGCCACGTTGCAGACGCCCTTCTCGGTTACCTCGAGTAATAGCTCGCCCTCCGCGTCCCGCTCGGGGTACTGCCACGAGTCTTTGATGACGAGCGTCGTAGCTGGGTGCCCCTCCGGGTGAGCCTTCCAACATGTGGTTGCCCGACCTGCGATGCAACGCACTCGTGCCATAACCTCGTCGATCACGATGCGTTCCGGCGTTCCGCCCCGGATTATCTCGATGCACCGCTCGCCGTCGGACGGGACGAAAGTTGGGTCAAATCCTAGGCCCTTCTCCTCTAGCCACAGAAAGCCGAGAATCGTCGACACGAACTGGAGCCCGTCTTCGTTGATATCGAACTGCGTCGAGGCGATCCCGCCAAGGCGGTCGAACTCCCACACACGCATAAGAGATCCGCAGAGAGTAAAAGCTAAGACGAAGCGTCTGGTATCTTGTGCGGCAAATACGTCCCTAACGTATTTTCCGATGTCGAACCACGCCGCATTTTGTCGGTCTTCCTTTGGATTACTTTTCAGCTCACCGGGGATGAGAATCTGAGACCAATCTGCCAAAGCCTCGGGGCGGCTTACGATGCCAACTTCCAGTTTACGCTTTGCCGTCGAGCCTCCGAGCGGCTTGTTCGGCTCTGCCAATAATCCTCGTATCGGTGTTGGTCTGTAATCTTGAGCCCACCGTATAAGTTGTTCGATTATCGTTTGAAGCCAGCTCAGGACAGCAGGTTCCTTGGCGTCTCTCGGCCATCCAGTCCATCCTTGGCAAAAGAATGGATCCGGCCCCTCGGAACACTTTTGAAAGATATTTTGAGATGCGCTTTCTAGCTCCGGAATGCTACCGAAGAAGGCCTCATGAAACCCTGGGATATCGACGTACATGGGTCCGAGATCCTCCTTAAGCACATCATCTGTATCCCTACGGCGTTCCGAAGAGTTTACGATACTGACCATATTATAGGACGACGGCGTCTGCTTGAGGTGAGAAGCGATCGATCGGGGCGGTGGGGTGGATTCGGTAATAGCATGATAAACTTGGGCCCAGATCTCCTCATCAGGTTCCTTAGCGACAACTGCTCGTAAAAGAGGTTTAACACGGTCGAAGTCGAAGTTATTAGAGGCAACGACAGAGGTAAGCCTTGATAAGTCGGTTAATAGAGTCTTGCTGTCAAACCGAAGCAGACGAGATACCTTAAGCTGTTGTAACGCTAATAGGAGGTCGAGAATAACATTTTGGAGATCTAAATACTAGTTAGGAGAGTACATTGTCATAACGTCAAACTATTTACCTTCATCATCAAGTTGATTAAAGGCCAGTCTCGAATAAGGGATGTCTTTACTCTCACAGAGAGAATTAAACGACGCAAGGAAAGTCTCAAGGCCTTTACCGATGGGATTGTTTCTGATAATTTCCGACCGGACCTGTTCTGCCATGGTAGGTGATTTAGAAGCTTAAGAAAGCGAGATTGATGAAGGTGACGCGACGCGACGCGACGCTGGGGAGCTGGGCTTTTTGTTTTAAACAAATGCGGGGATTCGAAGCTTGCGTTAACCAAATGACTAACAGCGGCGCGGGCGTCTCTGCTGACTAAAGCCCCTGTTCTCATGTGCCACATCAACCGGCCTTGGCGGTTAGCCGTAGGGCTGTTACTCCGTTTGAGCCTCGACGCTCCAAGCCACCCAAGGAAGCGTTTTATAAGAATACAGGGAGACCGATCGAGCTCGTCCGGGACCGAGTAGCGCCTCCTTCTACTAAATGTACATCACACGAGAGGGTAACATTGATGCTTCGATCAGTGGCACAAACAGAACCAGGAGGACAGCAAGAAACTAGTTAAGTGGTCCAAGGCCGAGCGATCGTATCTTGTCACGAAAGGCCTTAACATGGTTGCTAGTCGGATAGCGTGAACTTGGGTTGTAGACTGCTCGTAGCATGTGTGAATGATTACTTGTGAGTAAAGGAAAACTCTGCGTTGCACCGAATGACCTGTTGATGAGTATTTGTAAGATCGGAACGTCATTTCGAGCAGAGCATACTGGTTACATTTGCCGCCCGCTAGGAGGGTCCCATGACCCTGGTCCTCTCTGACGTCTTCGTCCTCGTCGACGACATGGATTTGTTCTTCAGGCAGGCGACTATCAAAGCGGCATTCATCACCTTCGACGGCGACAAGCGGACGTGCCTAGGCCAAAAGTGTATGGCGGCACCGCGTGACTATGTCGAAACTTTCAACGCCTGATCCTGTGGCGTTTGGATTCGACGTGTAGGTATATTTACGAAGGGTTCTCTGTGTTGGTCCTTAAATTCGACCATAAGAGTGTTCAGCTCTCATCCTTTTCTCTCATATTCCAGGGCCAGTAGGGGGCCAGAGACCAATAGCAGGTTTCCCACTGTCACCTAGCCATTCCATCCCATTCCCAACACAAGCATGCCATCTCCGCGTAGTTTCCTCATCAGAATCCCATAGCCAATCGGGCCTGCCATCGAAAGCGCAAGTAGCTTCGGCGCATTAATGATTATATCGAGCGGTTCGCTATACCTAGAACCGATGTCTAGGATGCCCATCCGAAGCTACGACATCCTGAGCATGGCAACTGCCATGTCCTTCATCAACATGTTGAAGAGATCAGCATCCGGTTTATTGCGCTAGGCATGAGAAGGCTGGACCTCATTAACAACCGCGTCCCGATCAACATTGTCATCCAAGTTGGATGGCTCGTTATTCTCATCGTTGGACCCCGCGGCTGGCTCCACTGCGTCCGGATCTCCCGTGTAATACCATAGACCGTTCGGCGCAATGGTTCTTGCCCTTGACGCTAAAATTCTGTAATGTGGGCGATGTTCGACGAGTTAAGATTGGTCGTACCACGACTCCGGAAGAGGTTTGGTGAGACGAGGGCACCGGTGGAAACCAGATCCGTCAGCGAAACACTTTACGATTGCTTTCTCAGAGTATCATTCGGAGCGTCGAAGCCATCTTCCTCAAGATTGCCACACTCAAAACTGTGATTGTAAACATCTGTGATGGTTTTATGATGTATAGTAAGGGGTGTGACTTTTAGGATGCTAGCAGCCAGTGCGAGGCGATGATCCTTGCGCATCTGCCTCCGTTTGTTTACCGGGTCTTGGGCTTTCAAATTCCACTTTTCCAGATGCGGCAACGTGTCTGCAAGCTGGCCCATGGTTCTTGAATGTAGTGCAAGATCGGAACTAGCCGCGATGTAAAGAGACGCGACGTACCGCACGGTAAGTAGCTCTACAGCATCGAGCATCATATACCGCCGGGAACAGCTTGAATTCAAGGCGTCAAAGTCGAAATCTTTAGGCCCTTGGAATATGTCGATATCCCATTCCACAACAACCTGCAGCTCGAGTGTTGCGCCGACGTTGTCCCAGTCTTCCGAGACATCAAAGAGCTTGAGTATGCTACTTTCCAAGGCGGTCTGGTTCTGAGCAAGTTGTTTGTGATTATTAGGCGAGCATCTCTGTTCCTATATGCTGGTTTCATATCAGTGAGCCTAACCTAAGTGAATTATACCTACCTTAAACTTGAAGATTCATCTTCATGCTTTGCAACCAAGACCAACGGAGCCAAGAAACAAGTACCTTGGTACTAAGGGACATAAGATGATTATAGTGATGCTAGATCGTAATCTGATATATTTCACTGCTGTTCTTCCATGCTTTCTCGGAGAATCGCAACCTGCTTCTTGATCTCTTTCCATAAGACAAGACCGTCCAAATCATCATCACCGCCAAGCACCCCAACCCACCCGTCGTTCATCTCTTGAGTAAGTGGAAGTTCATAATTGGGGTCGATCCCCTCCCCCGTCCTCGCGATGGCCAGCAAGGCGGCGACGAAAGCCTCCTGCATGTAAGCGAAGCTAAACTTATCCGTGATGCTGGCAATAGCGCTGCAGAGCTTGTCGGGGAATTCGATCTCCTTATTGTTAGCGAGCTTGGACTGCCAGAACTTGCAGTAAGCTATGCGCTGGTCCAGATCTGGGTCTGGAAAGAGGTACTTCCGGTCAAATCGAGACGGACGTTTCTATCTGCGTGAGTAGTCACAGCTTATAAAGCAAGGGTGAGAAGGACGTACCGAAATACCTGGATCTAAGCGATCGAGATGATTCGTGCTGCCAATCATGAAGATGCCATCATTGCTCTTCAATCCATCTACCTCATTTAGAAAGTAGCTCCGTACGTTATCAGAGACGATCGTGTCGAGGTCCTCAAACACCAAATAGCAGGGGGCAAATTGCCTGGCCTTGATAAATATTTGCTTAATCGAAGATTCTGGTCCGGTATACTGGATAGAGTTAGCGTATATAGTCTACATAGCTTATAAGCAACCTCGAGAGGGACTTACAGAGGTCAACGAGCGGACGTATAGAGTAGGAATGGGATCTTTTCGGCTGTAGAGTGTGCGCATCATAGCCTTAATGGAAATCGTCTTTCCGTTTCCAGGAGGTCCATAATAGATGATACCTCTCTTCCACGGGACCTTCAAATTCTTATACGTCTCTTGCGAGTTGAAGAACGACAGATGATCGTTGATGATGGCTTGCTTCATCTCCTCATCCAATATCACGGAGTCCCAAGATGAACCCATCACACTCTGGTACAAAGCAGCGTTCTTCTGCCAGTAGCCGCCATCGAAGACCCAGATTTCGTCGTGAAGTTCACTACTCCATTGACCGGCAGCAACACACAAGGCATCGGCTTTAGGAATATCGGTGGTGAGGATATAGTAATTGTTGACTGAGGGGTAAGAGCCAGATCCATCCCTGCCCTCAATCCGATAGACAATGAACTCGGAGTCATTCCACTTGTATAGGAACTTGCCGAATACAATGCGATCCGCCAATATACCGTTTCCGCCATCCATGCGTCGTGCTGACGGGATGTACACTTTCCAGCTCACTACCGGCGGAAGGTTGCCGCCATCTTCGATGACGCTAAAACTCGCATGTCCGGCGGACGCGTAAGCGAGCAAGTTGCTGGAGCCCTCCGGTGCTATCACTAGCTCAAGGTTCGGGTATTCTTGTCGCAATGCCTGCACAATTATACTATCCGTGTTCACTCGTTTGGCGGTAGAGTGATCAAAGTACGCTTCCGTCACTGTTCGGGAAGCCATATTGATGATTCACCAGCAACAGTCCCTTCAAATCAAGAATTAATTGAGACCTGGCATATAACAGTCAGTGTGTTGGGCGGTTGGGGAGCTTCCAATTGTATACGTTTGAACAAAGTGGCTGCCTGTTTACTGCCCTGCTGAATCGATCGATGATCGACCTGATCCTCCGTGGTTGCGGGGAGAAGGGATTGGCTTACTGGCTGCGCCACCGCCTTAAATACGAGAGCTTTCGTAGCACACGCCCTGGAGCAGGGCGCACACCCTCTGCATCATTGGCTTAGGTATCCGTAATGAAAATAAATACCAATCCCGTCAGCAATTGTTTGAGGTAATTGGCTAGAATATAAATCTTAGGCCAACAGCTACATCACCAGGTAACACGTGAAGCCCCTCAATTGTACTCTCCTGGGTCCTCGCTTGTCTTTCTTGCCCATTGTACTGGTAAAAGCCTTACAAACGACAAGGCAGTTTATCAGGAAGCGAGGCTGTATCGGCGATTCAGCTTTCCGTAGATCGTAGGCGTGTTGTCAATTGGGTACGATGGTTTCGAAGTAAGCCAACGTTCTCCCACCGAGAAGCGTGCTAGAGACATTATGCATGCAAAGGGATTGGGGCAAAGAATAAAAGCCGAACTAAATGTCGAGTTATGAGCTCTGTCCCAACTAGCTTCTCGTCAAAGGGGCTTGGAGAACTTCTGATTTGATATGCGAATTGTCATCTCCATTCAATCCGCTCGGGGACTAACACGCTACCTGGCTATTTGATGAAGAATCCAAGAATTGAAACGCGATCAAAACAAATACCAGGATAAAGAAGATTAACCACATTTAAATCGACCAATTGAAAAAAAGGTTGATGCTTCAACCAATGAGATTTCGAGAAAATAAAGTACTTACGGCCTATCTAGGTAAAGCTTAAAGGTGTTAGGCAGGAGGTATTTAGCAACAATTCACAAGCAAGAGAGCATTTCGACCAATAGAGCATCTTTCACTCCACTCCTGGGGTAATTATCGAAGCACCTTACCAAAAATAGAAATCGTAATTAGCACGACGAGGGGTACACCAATTAAGGAAAGAACTTGAGCCTTTCCCACTAAACCAGGACCCCACTAGTACTATCTTGAGCCATACTAATACCCCTGTTGTTTGTGTACCTTCAAGGTACTGAGCTAGCCATCGGGAAAACAACCACTGATTTGACTGGATTGGCTAATTGTGGCTGAGATGTCTAAACTCTCTTACGACGACAACTCGAGTTGATTGATAACGATAACCTACCTGACTTTCCAACGTCCGTTTCTACGTTAACCGCCACTTATCCGCAATGATAATTCCTTGATTGTGTAGATGGCTCCCTTACCAAGTAGTGAGGGTAGTATAGCCGAGAACAGTGCTGCTTTCGATATTATCCAGCATGGTCACAAAGATCTAGTCCAAGCCATAGCCTTCAACGCATACGGCGATAGATGTGCGACCGGTAGTGTTGATGGAAAGATTCGAGTCTTCAATCGACACCAAGATGGCGTCTGGAGACTATGTGACAACTGGAAGTCCCACGCCAGTGAAATACTAGAGGTTCGTCACTCGTCCTAGGGTTAAAAGCGTAGCAGTTCCACATCATACTGACCGGTTACATCCAGCTTCAATGGCTCCCGCCGACTATTTATCCCAACTTGCTGGCTTCTCTTGGTATAGAGGGCTGCTTTAGGCTATGGGCTGAAGATCCTTCCGCTGCTCCGGGAAGACGCTTCAGCGCGAGAGACGGGAACGGTAAGAATGTGTCGGAGCTCAGATCTGGCCGGTATCCATATAGATCCTTTTCAGTGAAGCATGACGAGACAACGCGGTGCACCTACATCGCTCTGCTTACTGCCGACGGCCATCTCACCGTATACGAAGGCGAGGAGCCCGAGACTTTGACAGATTACGCCAAGTTCGATGATTTCCAGGCCTTCAGTAAACCTAATCGAGGCGAGGAAACGTGTTTCAAGGTTCGCTTCGATCCAAACCCTGAGCCTTGCTACACTGCTTTGAGAGCGGGCGTCCCGACGGATGCCCTAAGCTTGGTAGTATCCGGATTAACTTCAGTAAAAATCTACAGAACACGCGACACCGTTACCAGTTCTTTCGGCGCTGCCACCAGGGGCAGGGAATTCTATCTCGCCACTGAAATCAAGGAACATAACCACTTAATTCGAGATGTCGCCTGGGCTCCTGGAAATTACAGAGGTTATGACATGATCGCTACAGCTTGCCAAGATGGCATTTTAAGGGTATTCCGAATTGATACACCCTTCAACAAGGATGATGGCAAATCTTGGTCCCTGGCAGACATCCTGGGCAATACGAGAGCGGAGGAGAATTCGGCTCCTAGAAGCAATCATCCCCGTCGACAATCCCAAGTTCCTTCCGGCATAGGAGCAGGGATCGCCAAGTCCGAGACGCATAGAGAACGGACTTCGACCGATCTACCAGGACAGATACAACATACCGTCAAGGTGTTATCTAAACTCACCCACCGATCACCCATCTGGAGGGTTGGATTTGATGATGACGGCCAAATCCTGGGAAGCGTTGGAGATGAGGGAAAATTAGTGTGCTACCGACAGTTACCTGACGGTACATGGGCAAAGAGTTCGGAGTTAGGCATGATGAAGGCCAGAATGACTGCGCCGCCCATGAACCTGAGCTGAATTGTCTCTACAGGTCGAAAACAGCTGGGAACCAACCGAGCTGTTGCTACGTTAGATTCCCGTTCCATGGCGCGTACGAAACCTCATCTAACATTCCACCGCAAACCACGGCCTTGATCAGGCTTTGATGGATCTCCTTCCGGCCTATCGGTACCTACAGCCTTGATTACGCTCCCCTAGTTGCCTTTCGAGCCCATTCGATAGGTAGATTTATACCGTCTCGCATTATTTTTACATCTAGCGCAGAATACTTCGGCTACCTACTCAATGCTTTCCTTTTAGCAAGCACATCGATTCTCACGGGCCATTCTCGTCAAACAACCCATCGAACTAGCATTAGACAAGGCTGTTAGGCGGTATGAGGATGGCATCGTCCTAAATCGAATCGAATACGTCCTAGTTTGTGCTTCATCACCTGCGCTGCTGTTCCTCTCGTACATTTCGAATGCCGTGGAAACACCCTCTAAGGGGCTGGTCTGGGGTCGACCCGGTGAATTACTCGCCTGTCCGAGATACTATACGGTACAGAGATGCTTACATTTTAGTCTATCCCAAAACGCTTGCTTTGAGGTCGTTATGCGCGACGGTATGCTCGGCGCTACCGTGGGGTACATTGGTATGGCTAGCAAAATCAATTCACGAGTATCCAGTCGTTTTTGGGTATCTTCCAATACTTCATCCTCGAGCATAACCTACGTAGTTCATAGAAGCTGGCAAGATCCCCTTCTCTCTCTCAGGAGTCCGTACGGATACACATTTCTCGTTCGGCAGATGGAAAATTCCAATATTTGACTGTCTCGCACTACTACCCATAAGTACATCCAACCCAACAGTTAATGGACATGGCTATCCAATAATATATTCGATAACCTTTACATACATATCACTTAGTTTAAGGGGAAGGCTGGAATCTGAGAACTGCGAAATCTACCTACCTACCTACCTATCCAACACAAGCTGACATAAATGTTAGCGTGGTACAACAATAATTCATACCACAACAAGACCAATCTTCAAAGTTGTTATCTTAACGACGTTGGCTAAGCTATGCAAATATTGAGTTTGTCTTCGATTTTATGTTGCCGGATTTGTTTCCCCTTGGTTTCTTAAGGATTCATAGGAGCACCACAATCAGTTTTATAACTACCTAGGCATTTAGGCATGTGTGATTTGATCTCTCTTGCAACTGGGTGTTTGTGGATTTCAGAACGTTTGACGCAAATGTTATAGAAGCTCCATAGTTCAAAGTTTGGAAAAATATGAGAAAACTATAAGAATAGGTATATGGCCAAGGAAAAGGAGGAAGAAATGGGGGGAAACATGGGTAGCTAAGAATTATACACGAATAACTAAGATGATGGCTTATACCGATCTTCAGTGTTTTCGCAACTCTTAGAGTGTATGGGTTATATCATTTATTGCGATTTAGATACTTGGATAGCATGAGGTCGTCGTCGCCTCCACAAGCCTACTGGCAAGATGCAGTGCCAATTGGCAGGGGAACGTCAAATATAACACCAATCGCTCCCTTACGTTAAGCCAGCTCAGTACCTGTAATTACCTACTTAAACGTTGACATAAGACTTTATACAGGATTCAATTGAATACTTAATCACCGTCTTATACAGAAAATACTATTCAAGACGTATTACTAATGGCCTTCCTTGAGCTATGAGACATTAGACCTTGGACAACAGGTCCTGGGAAGCGTAGGTTTTAGGTGCCATGTTCCATATAATATCACGAGTACGGAGCTTTAGAATAATTAGTTCGTTATAATGGGACAGTGTATGGGGAAAACCTGTACTTGAACGTTTTAGACATGGTTTATTTTCAAGCCGTGAGAGATCCCGACGTGGGCGGTCGCGTTACCTACCTACCTCGGCATCTCGCTATGGAGATTTTTATCGGCTTAGATTCCTTGGGTAGACATGAGATAACATGGAAGTTACCCTAAGCTTACGTTCGCCGATGGAATCATAGATTGACGACGAAGGTCTGTTCAATACACATAGACATACGATAGGTAGGTTCATAAACCCTTAGAGCACCAACAGGTTACCTACATCATCGTAGATATACCGTTATGGATAATTAGCCTCGATAGAAACGGATTTGCTTATTTTCAATAGGTAGATCGACGTACAGAACCTAGAAGTGTGGTGTTTAGATAGATACCTCCCCTTATCCTTGGCCCCTCTAGTGAAGATTTCCTAAAGGTGTTGCATTGACCATGGGGATGTATATGGGAGATTCGGAGTGGGTCTTAACGTCGAGTTACGGTCATTGTCAAAATGGAGGGGATCTAGGTACTTGCAGTAGGTAGGACTAAAATCAGTCCTCTCTTACCTAGCCACTGCTACTACGTACAACCAACCATTCCTTACATCTTCTTTCTACAAACCGTACTTTTATAATTTTTGCATCCTCACTTCTTCAGCCATTTCCTACATCTTGCATTGGTATTTTTTCAAATCAACCTCTACCCTTCCCCCCCCTCCCCTCTAAGACCAAATCTTCTTACTCTTCCCACAATGTCATCCTCACAAATACAAGCAGCACGCAGGTTGCACAAACGACAGAAAAAAAATACGAATAAATTCAAGAAATGGGTAAACCAGACTGCTATTTCCTGTGGATGGGACGCTACTACGCCTGCTACTACTACTAAGGATCTGCAAGCACAGATAGATCTTGTCGCAGCCTCTCAGGATCCGTCACATCTGATTCCTGGCGACATCTTCCAAGCACTCTGTGATGCGATCGACGATAGAAAGAAATCCTTAGATTCATTCAACGAAATGAATCTCGCGTCGAGTGATTCAACTAGGAAGCATCAACACTTCCTAGACCTTCTCGAGAATGCTGTTATTGTTTTAACAAAACATTCTCACATGGATGAATCGCACCTCGGGTACGAGCCCAGGTTAGTATTTCCAACCCCCAACGGTTATTACTTATTTTGCCTCTTACATGCTCACTTCTACCAGTGCAGTACCCGAAGCAAAAGCAGGGACACTTGTTAAGTCCCGAAGCGGAAACCTCGCATTAATTGCATCGATCCCCAGTCTCGGACGCAAGTCCAAGTCAGAACCAAACCTGACGTTAATCACCACGACGATAAAGTTCCACGAAGTTTAATCATTCTATATAGAACCAATACAACAGTAATCGTCGGATACACGAAAGTCTTTCTTCTACGACCGACTTGGCAAGCTTGGAAGGTTGCCTTATGCGCGTTTGAGTATTGTACCTCCTAAATTGTCCATTCTCTTCTTAACACCACAGATATAAACTCAGCCTTGTACATCATGGATTCCTCCGGTATACGAACCGTATGCGGCCTTCAGGTCAATGGGGAATTACCTAGGTACCTAATCACAATTGCAGCCATCCCGAACCCTACAAGATGCAAGACGATACCGGGACCCTGCTCGATATTAGATCGGCTTGATCTCCAGCATAAGGACATGGAAGAGGTTTTTTTACGTGAGACTCGATCCTATCGGTGCTGAACGAACGAATCGATGAGTCACCGAACACGGAGCAGTTGTGTATTTCCCCCTACCAGCTTAACAATCATCGAATGGCCAGGGGTCATGCTCCTGTCCTGGGAGTAAACTAGCTTGACGATATTAAGGGGCTCCTATGCATATACTCATAGCGATGTATCTGAGAATCAAGATGCGGGAGAATCGCACCTCGATTCTATCGAAAAGCGCGTAAGTCTCCTCTTTCCGCGCAACGGTATCTAACAGAGACATTGTAGGTCCCCCAAACGATTCGAGCGCAGGTACCTAGGCAGACCTACGAAGCATGAGTACAACTGCAGTCACTATCCTACCGAATGCGATCCACGATTATGTTTCGTCAAGCGAATACGAGCCTGTTAGTTTAAGGTGTTTGTCCTTGTCCTCTATGTTCTGCTTTTACCAGCTGACTTCGATCGATCCCACAATCAATATACCGACGATCTTGCCAGCTAGCCTTCCTAAACAGCATCCCCTTGGGGCATTGGCGAGAGATTTTTCCCAATCGTTACAAGGAAATTTGCCAGTGGATTCTTCTCCTTCCGGAACAGTTAGCTGGCTGGAACGATATATGGTAGTCTATTGTCACAAGGTGGAACTAAGGGCATGGAAAACACCAACGCTGTTGCACAAGGAGCTATAGACTACTCCCTGCCAGGAAACACGGTATACGTACATAGACCTCCCTTTTTCTGATGCCTTAGGGCTAATCTGCCAGGAGGTCCTTCTAAAGCCCCCTGGTGTTAGAAGCCTTCTCTGTGAAAGCTGATAGCCAGGGGTCTCGCCGGGGTTAGCTAGTAGCCCAGAAGGATCGGTAGCTGGCTTTTATAAGGCCGCCCTGTCGGTAGTTGGCCCTTGTCTGCAGAAAAAGGAAGGTCTATGTATGTATACCGCATCCCCTTGGAGGGAGTAGTTAGAGCTCTGCGCGCAACAATGTCGTTATTCCTTAGCCCTTTGTTTCCGCCTCGTGATACTTAGGAACATCACGGTCTCTTCACAGACTGACCTCCGATCCTCCTGGGCTACTTCCCAGTCCTGAGAAGACCTCTAGCTACCAGCTCTTACAGACGAGGCTTCTGACAACTGGAATAGGGGGTGACTCGCGTTACTATAGCTCTACTCCTTTTTTAGACCTCCTTTAAAGTATTACTATAGACGTCATATATGTTCTAGATTCGCCGTATATACACGCTTATATATCTATGTCTAGGGACGTAGACAAATTCTCCATAATCCGCTAGGCAGTGTAGCGGCGATCTCGAAAACAAATGGAATGATATTAAGTACAGAAAAACCATAGCCAAATACTAAGGAGTATCTACGGGGGCTTCTACATAATAATTAAGTTGTAAAACATATCGCATTAGTAGTATATAATCTGAGATTAGCCACATACATACATAGGTAGGTACGTATCTATACAGAATCGCGCTAGTTTACGGTTTACTAAAAAGACGATAGAAGCGATTCCGTATTTGAGAATTAAGATCCTGTCTCAATGCGGGGCTAACAGGCGGAAAGGAAGACTATATGGCAATCGAGGTAGGGGGAGACCTCTGACACCTCGAGAGGTTCGTCGCCGCGAGTGGGACCCACCTTCGCGTCACGATGGTTGTCAACATGAATAAACTTTACCCGTAGCTTCTGGTTTTAGACGGAACACCTGTAGGTACCTTGTCCAAAAGGGCACATACACAACCACACTGGCTGGCACTAGAAGTTTTACCTGCCAGCTTTCACCCCACCTTTCTAATTCACGTTATCCTTCAACGCAACAACCCTTTTTGGATGATCACAGCTCGCTTCAGGTAGGTTTTCCAGACCTGATCTTCGCATTGTTTACATTCATCTAATATAGTGATAGTAAGAAGTGCAATTGTGACAATCGAACACCATCTTCACGCCATGACAGCACCGGCACCAGCTCACATCAGAGCTGCGCGACATCAACACCGCGATTATTCTCGCAAAACGAAGATCTTCAAGAAATGGCTTCTCGAAGCCGCTGTACAGTGTGGGTGGAACCAGAACGACGAGCCCACTAAAACATCGGACATATTGTCACAAATCGATATAATATTAAAGGCGGAAGTTCAGGAAATATCCATGCCAAAACACATCTATGAAACTCTAGTCAGTGCTATAGACTTGAGAAAGGAGGCTTTGGAAGCATTTGGAGAGGTACACTTCATAGGAGGGCAGTCAATGACCGCCCACCTTCACTTCATCGCCATCTTGGAGCATGCGTTGGACGTTCTACCAAAGTCCGAGCACACAATCAAGTCCAACAGGTACGAGCTCACTAATTCTAGACTTATATTTTGTTTTTTCCACGAACTGACTTAAAATAGCCCAACAACCAACGTACCTCAGAGACCACCAACCAATGCGACCAATCCATCAAGCGAAGATGACGACTGGTCAGTTGTCAGATATTATAGAAGATCCCAGGGCGACCGTGAATCAAAATAAATGGCGACCTTAGTGCCTACCCTCCGAGAAACTATACCTCTATTTAATAATGGTTCATGATCCACGTGAAGGATAACCGAATCTAATGACCCTAATTTTATTCCGACATTCGTCGTCCCTAGCGGAGGCTGACCGTCATTTTTCGATGGTTGTTAACATAAAATAAAATTTATCCGTAGTTTGTGGTTTTAGACGCAACACTCGTAGGTGCCAAGCCTAGAAGGGGCATATTTACAACTACCTTGGCTGGTACCAGAGGTTTGACCTACAAGCTGGCTCTGGAGATATTCAAAGAGGGCAATTTTATTGGACGGCAATCAGTGGATGCCCATCTTCAGTTTATTTCAATTCCAAAGCGCGCTATCGTCGTTTTGCCCAGGAGTGATTCTAACACCTGTACAGAGTATGAGCGCAATACTTCCGAACTCCTATCCGAATTACCTACCTACTAACTTGAATTGAATAGAAATTCCAAGGATGGACAATGCTTATTAAGCGTTCGCAATAACCTTGCATAAATACCTTACCACACCGGAACCCAACTAGAATTCCGACATCTCGGTTCGACTACAAGAGGTGCTCGTCATCCATACCTAATGGTGGCCAAGCGTGGTCATACGATGGTTGCCGATGTAAAATAAAAACTATCCGCAGCTGGTGTGTTTCTCAACGGACTATTCGTACCTAAGTACCTACTTTTGTCATAGATGGGACATATCATTCTATCCACTTTGAATAACCCTAAGCACCGCATCATGCAACTCGCTTTTCTACAACCATTAAAGCCATCGCCAAAAGTTTAACCTGCTACCTAGTTTTCTTTTCCCCTGTTACCTTCCAACACGAGCTACTTCTCAGCCCCCCAAACGCACTATAACGATGCTTACTACTATCAAAGAGGCGCTTTCCAACACCGTACATACAGATATGACTTAACCTCTAGAAAACGATTGCCAGAGGCCGCCACATCAACCTAACCTCGAAGACAGAAAATTACAAAAGCCATATACACGACCACACGTCTAATACTCTGATCGAGGCAACAGACCGCTAGGAGAGAGTTCTCAAGAGTATTCGAGAAGATTATTTCTGTGGAAGAAGAGTCTGTAAAGACCTATCTTCATTTTATCTCTATCCTGGATCGTGTGGTCACCACCCTACATGGATACGAACGGAACGCTGAACTTTAGAGGCACGGTTCTAGTATTTCTAGGTTTACTATCCTTCCCTAATCGGTCTTCTACATGCTGACATCAATTGCCTAGTTCGTCGATCGTTACCAACCCTCCTAGCCCGCCCACCCCGGATTACCAGATCAGTTAGGCCCACGATCTCCGTGACAAAGCTGCTGGAGCTAGACACGAAGCTAAACGCCGAATGAAATCCAGATCCTTCGAAGATCGATTCGTGGAATCCACCGAACCCCTTCCCCCCTGCCCCATGGCATTTGATCCTCCGCTAAGAATTGTCCGGTAATAGCGTCGCCACCCCTCTGTCTTGCCGCTACTAAGTCTCCCGAAAGGGACATGACAGTCGATAAACCAAACGATCACGATTACGGCGCCCCGTTTACACCCAGGCACTACAGCATGTGCGAGTGCGCACAGCGACGCGCATCGAGGGCCTAGAGTATACCTACTGGAAAGTCAGAGCTATAGTTTCGCTTGGAATAGAGGATTTTCCACTTCCGCCACTTTGCTGCTGTTTTCTTGCCTAAGCTGTACTCTAACGACGACGCCAGCTAGCCGACCGCTTTAAGGAGTGGATCTCGAGCATACCTTCGACGCCCCAGTACTTCCAAACATCCTGGGTCGAATTTTGACACCTGTGTGAATATGAGACAACACGTTTGGCAGCGAGCCAACCGCTACACCGTAGAAGAGAGAGATCAAGGGAGAAGAGAAGGATGACAACGAAGGTTTTTGGGGATTCATAATTGCTTGGCATATTCTAGCGGCTGGAAGAATGGTTATTGTTGAAGATATCGAGCCTTCCACTTTGAATTACTACGGCGTTGTTTTGATTCTTTTTTTAAAAAAGGGAAGAAAAATATCTACAGAAAAGCAAGCCGTTTTCGTCGTCGAATACTTCTATATTTTGTGTGCTTAATAGTCATAGTCTTGCGTCGCGACGACGAGAGCCTTTCAGGTTTATCTACCTAAGCAAGAATCTAAAGATTCTAGGGATCAATACTTACCTAGTAATGTCGAAGCGTATAGGGAACCTGGAAAGGCGGGAAGTCCAGTAAAGATAAGCCTTGTTATGGGTCGATTACGATAATTTATTGCATTTGTAGCTATATACAGGTTTCAGACGATGGAAACAAAACTTATCTTCTCACTTAGTACCTATGTGTTTCTAGGAGAACGCGACCTACATGTTCGTGTACAACGCGTACATATAACCCTGGTGCCTAATCAGGATAGGCCCAAGCACAACACCACCTACTACCTCTTTCCACAACTACCAAAGGCGTTACCAGAAGCTTAGCCAGTTTTAATTTCTTACTCCTTTTTTTCTTCCTTTTTTTTTTTTTTTTTTTGGCCGTTCTTCCGTACAGTAATATCAATGTACTCGATACTTGGTAGTCCACAATATGTCAGCAACGCAGATCCAATCGGTGCGGCTTCAGCACAAAAACGTCAAGCGAAATACCCGAATTTTTAAGCAATGGCTTGAAGCAGCAGCTAAAGCTTCTGGTTGGATAAATTTCGGGCACGAGGGAGAACGGACGACTGGTGATATCGCTGCGCAAATCGAGTTGGTGTCAAACAGTCAGTGTGAAGCCAACTTCATACCAGCCGACGTTCATGTTGCATTACGCAATGCCATTGAGGGCAGGAAAACCTGTAAGGACTTCTTCCAGGCGAAAAGGTTGTCCACACAACGTTCAACAACCGAACACAGCCATTTTATCGCTCTCTTAGAGCACGCACTCAACGTCCTCCCGAGACAGAAACGCGAAGATCCCGAGTTGCATAGAGACAGGCACCACAGGTATGAATTTAATATCACCTATTCTTTTCCTTTTTATGCTTACCTTAGTTAGTTCCACATTGGAGGCTCCTATGACTTCATTTTCTTCGCCCGTTAACGATTCTGAGTGGCATCTTGTTAGCCGCAAAAGACGTAGATCATAACTACAATGAAGCCTAATACCTCCAATTCCTCGTCGCGTAAGCGCCTACATACAGACTCATTTGCTGAACCTTGATTCAATTGGGTAAGGTACGTCCCATATTCTCGATGTCATTTACGAGGACTAATAGATATTTTAGGTACTGTTACAACGGAATCGAGGGGTGCCAATAGAAAGGGATGGTTGCAGGTTATGGTTTATATACCTTCCCTTTAATACAATTCATGTTGATAGAACCACCGTTACTAATTCTCTATATGCCCGAGGGTTCTACCCTTTCCGAGATTGAGGTCGTCGTATGTTTTGTGTCTTGTATTCCAGTCATGGGTAGTCTTCGTCGCGAAGACGAGGCCCTTTCCAGGCTTACCCCCTTAGGTAGGTACACAAGCGAGAACCTAAAGGCTTTAGAGATACCAACATTTTGTTACAGCGTACAGTGCGGCTGGAAAGGTTACCTGAAAATAGGTAACAGAAACGCCGTCAAAGTATGCCTTATTATGAATGGATTATGAGGGACCATTCCTGTTAGAGCTATATATAAGTCCCGGCTGATAAGAAGAGGATCTTTTATCACACCTGCTCAGTTACATACCTACTTATCTACGTAGGTAGGTACCTAGGTATGCATTTATTGAAGAACGCGATCAAACGCTCATGTACGACGCGTAATATTATTATACCAGGCTGAGTAGGTCTATGCACCAAATCACTTACTACACCTTTCTACAGCTATCCATTTAAGCTGTCGTCAAAAGTCTTGTCAGTTTTTAATCTTTCCTTTTCTATCAAACCTTTGGTGCACTTCTCTACTGAGCAACCTCGCGTATTTTGGATGCCAACATGCCATCTACGCAAATTCGAACAGCACGATCACAGTACAAAAGTGTGAAACGCGATTCCAACACATTTAAGCGATGGCTTGAGCAAGCCGCCACATCTTGCGGCTGGAGCAAAATTGGAAATCAAGATCGCACAACCGCGGACATCGCTACGCAGATTGATCTAGTCGCGAACACTCAAAACCAAGTCTGCATCATACCTGATGATGTATATGCAGCATTATGCAATGCCATCAACGGGAGAAAAAGCTGCAAGCAGTTTTTCCATACAACGAACCTTTCAACAAATGCATCAACAAGATCGCACGAACATTTTATTACAATCTTAGAGTGGGCTGCTACAGTTCTACCGCGAAACCAACGTGAGCTTCTTCAACATGGTAATAGCAAACCTCAAAGGTATAGATCTATTCCCATGTAACTAGTTCTTTTTCCTTTACGTGCTGACGTTTGATCAGATCGGAAATCCAGGTCTCCAGTTCTTCACCAGCCACCCCCATCGGCGATTCTGAGCCGGAGTGGCAGGTCGTTAAGCGAGGACGACGCAGATGATAGTCCCTATTATGAGCTAACAAGCTTGTTTCGATCTGTAAGTTCTACGTTCTCAATGACATTCACGGGGACTAATAAACTTTTCAGGTGTTCTATACAACCCGAAGATAGCAGTGAGAAGGACAGGGCGTCAATAATTGTCAATATACCCTCTACCTGATAATAATGGCATTAATAAAAATTACCGTCATTAGTGTTCGATTCCGGAGGTCGAGATCGGATGTCGTCCGTCACCCCAGTAAAGTGGATAGACAGGGTCCACAAAACCCCAGTTCGCTTCCAAGGTTCACTCCCATTTTAGCTCTGTGGGGTTTAGCGGCATACCTTATTACAACTACACAGCTACAGTACCTAGGTACCTAAGCTACAAACCCCTAAAAGTAAACACATGCTCACTTTTCTTCCAAAGCATTTTATGCTAACACATTATAAACACACTTACCTACCTACACAGCTTAGTAACTCACGTACAACTTATATTATTTGAAAGTAACCGCCCCGATAAATAAAACAAGGTAAGTATTTATAAGGTGTATTATATATTCATCCAGCGATCAAAACATAACATACCACGCGGGCTCATGACTACCAACCTTATCAACACTTATTTTAATGTACCTAAGTAAATTCATATATTTTGAACGAGGACATGTTTCACTGGTGGAAACCCAGTGTTGTAACTGATTCATGGTGTTACCAAGTGCTTTGCAGTTCCGTTGGTTTGACTTTTACAGATGAGTACCTACCTAGGTAGGTATATTATATCCATTGAAACCTCATTATCTTCATAAGAGGAGGGCCATGTCAGATAAGTGAGAATAAGGTATCTTAGATGAAAAAAATCATTTTTGGCGCAGTTGCAACAGGTCACGGCAAACCCCTGTTGAAAAGTGGGTCTGCACGGTAAACAGCATTACGTAGAAGAGAATAGGATATTGTGTTGTAGAGAAAACTCGAGAACTAATTCTTTGGGACGGGGACTTTACCTATATACCCGTGTCCCTTTAGTTGGCATAAGACTATAACTCCACCATGATTAGTAACTATACTTCTAGCAGCCCCTAAGCTCTACTGGCACCTACAAAAACTTACTTCTAGTTGGTTAAACGCCCCCGAAGATCACTGTAAGAGCCTCAACGCTTAGAGGCATATGGGCCTGCGCTATCGCTGGCGTACAGCTACCGGTTTTGTGGAGACTGTAGTCCTATGCTAACTAAAGGGATAGTACGTACTAATCGCACCTTCCCATCAAGTACACCCCATGTATGGTCATCATGATATTTATGTATTTTTTTTTTCACCTCGACTAGGGTGGGCGCTTCACTGAAATCAGTGTCACTAGACCTAAAATTTAAAGTTGGGGCAGATTGGAATATCTCGTGAAACCTAAGCTCTACTATCCAATGCCTCACAGACCTTTCTGTCGCCACTAGCCACTCCTCCTCTACTCTTGAGCCAAAAGAACTCCACTTATCCCAGGTTCTCCATCTCATAGATTCCAATTGCAGCATCCTCTCTATGACCACATCGCTCTCGACTCTCCTCAATGCCCATAACACGGGGGCTACCACGTCGACTAAGCTGTGGTGAACTTCCCTCGCCCCTCGAGTTATTCGACAACTTCTCCCTAGCCCCTGATTTCCGCGAGCCGCTTGTGGCAGAATAACCACCGACGCTTCCACTGATTGTTCCTGTTCCATCCGCACCGGTCTCGATACCTGCCTCTCTATTTTCTACCGGCGAATTGAATCGAAGATATCTATTACCCGCCGCAGCTCTATTACCACCGCACCAGGTTAAGTCGCAGATAAGAGTTCTTAGGACCGGGATGGAAGCTGCTATAATGGTGGTTGCGATTTCCGCTACATTGCGGATTATCAGTTTGCAACCCTGGTCTATAACCACAATTGTGTGAACTGGCTGTCAATAATGCTGCCCTTTCCGTGCGACGTTCTTCCCGGGTCAACAAAATCCACCAACAGGAAGGCTTACAGTTGAAGTCGCGTTCGTTAATGACGGTTAACTCGACGGTCTTAACAATCGCTATACCTCCCGCACTGTCAAGCGTCAGGGATTCAGCCTATTCTACGCTCTAAGCTGTTTATAGATCGATCAGACTTACAACAGGCCCATGCTCATGGCAATCGCTACACCAATCTTTTCTTTCAAGTTTATCCGCAACTTCATCACAATTCTCCACGACAAGAGAACGAGGACCAGGTCCGAGAAGCCCGAGTATGCTAGAACGACGTTAAAAAATCACATTCATATGGAGATCCATCTTGCCCAGTAGCTGGCCAATTCCAACGAACAAGGAGTTGCAAGACATACCGTTGAAAAAGACACCCATTGGCATAATTATCGCCGACGGCCAGCATTCTCCTTCGGGGGTATACATCCATAATTTCTCGATCGGGTGGCATGCCACCCAAGTTAACACGGCAGCCACGTGTAAGAATATGTTCATGGAGGCCACGACCGTCCAGATCAGGATACGCATGTGCGGTGTCGCAATACGGAGCAAGGAGATAGCAAACGAGGTCTTGCTCCACGCCGAGCTGATCGTAAACAAGGAACCCACGACAACGTTGCGCAAGCCTAGCTCGCCAAGGACTTCCGGGTCGATGTCCTCGTCATGTTTCCCGAACCCAGCGGCTATATTGACGCTCACGAGGACACATGAGATAGTTAGGGGTACCTGAAGAGAGATGACAGCGTAAGTCGGACGACAGGGTCACTCAATCGACGCGCGCTCTCACGTCCCGATTTAACTCACCCACGACGCCACTAGAAACCAGTCATCACTCCAAAGGTGGCTTCGCCTTCTGCGTTTACAGGCCATACGAAGGCCAAGAAAAGTTGTCGCGACGGCAACGAAAGCCCAGGTAATGCTATTCGTCTGTGGTCCATTGTCTGGCACGCCTGGATATTCACGCCGTATCTCGTTCATAACGCCGATCATGCGATTCGAAAGATTTACAGCTTTATACCGAGGATGGAAGCCTTCCCTACTTGGAGCTCGCACTATACGTCTAGTCGAAATGCGTGCAAGTCTTTCGGCAGCTGGGTTCCATCTTACAGCTAAAATGGGGAGCAGAAGTGGAAATTCCCCGGAATGGTTTCCGGGACAAATGCTATATTAATAGCTATAATCAAGTACACGGCTTAAAAGGAGTGCTGAGCTTTTGGGTATCTTTTCACTTGAATTCAGTTCAAGCCTTCCCTAGGTAAGTTTCAATACGTTAACAGGACATGCATTGAGGAAAGTCTCTAGGTTAGGCCGCTTACAACTACCAACTGTGCCTTGACGAATATCAATTCAGCTACTGGAAGTAGCGGATACGGTGGCTAGAAGTTCCCATGCATTCAAAAGCGAAAAGGGGGAAAGGGAAGAGAATGCGCAATCACGAACCCGCCGGCACGCGTCGTTTTACCGAGTACAAACATCGTGACTACGCCAAGCTGAGAGTTGACGTCAAACTCTAACAACCTATCCGGTTAAGTTTCGAGGTGGTCTCCGAGCTCGACACTATTGAGGCGCCGAACACAAGCACTTGCGTATGCGTGCCCGCGTTACCCCAGCACGTTTTCTCTCGCTTGTATGGAGAATGAAATCCACTATCACGCGGCATGGGAAAGTAACCTTCCTAATCAGTCAGACATATCTGTTGCTCAACTTGGTCTTCTATTTATGTCTATACCTGAAGAATTATATATCTTGTCGATCCCGTCCCGGCAGTCTGGTTTAGGAAAGGGGGTTACATCTAACCTGAGCAGATAAGCAAGATTCGGGCGAAAAGTAGTACGTGGTCGGCCGTAGACAAAGATCTATCAACAAACTCGGAATACGCGGAAAATTGCTCATTAACTGTCTCTACCAAACCGTTGGCCACTTCGTGTCTCTCCTCGAAGCGAGATCTCTGAATAGCCTCGAACAGGGATCTTGTTCCAAAAGCGGAAATTGTCCCAATACGTCGCACCGCGTGTTCTGATTGGTCCGAGCTCGGAGGTCTAAACCTGCAACCCACGTGGGCCCCTTGACGTCAACACTCCAACATGATTCCGTATACATATCTTCTCCATTCCCCGATATTCTAGAATGCACGGCAAGGTTGGAGGATAACGCAAAAATGGGTTTAGATTCGCCCAACATGTCTGTGTGGAATGGACACTTTAGAGAGACCACACTACCAAGCTACTACTTGACTGATCCTATCAAGTATTCGCGTATTAGTGCAGTGCTATCTTAAACAACCAGCAAATTTGCGATGTCTCTAGTCCAGCACGTCACCGCAAACGAAGGCATCGACCGCGTGCCCCAAGAAGGCGAAGAGGAGGGAACGGAGGAGATTCTATGGCGTACCCTCAGCTACGATGTCTTTGCTCCCGGCGACGGCGGCGCCCCTGTCGTCTCCCAAGAGACTACCCTCCCTAACACCGCAGCCTACAAGGTCTCGGCTGCTAAGCGAGCTGGTAAGAAGCTTGTGATTGCCTAGACACCTACATGACCAAAAGCGCATGACCATGACCACCCAGAAAGGACCATAGCTAAGCTGTTACTAGCCCAGGTCGGATTCGCAATAATTGCATGCTGGTTCGCCGCAGGCATCGTATACGGCTTCGCATCTCTCAAGCCCATATTAATCGCAGAAGGCGTATACAGCGACGCCTGTCCCCCCTCCGATGAACAGAACGACAAGAGCAGCGACAGCGGCGAGCGACTGCCCTGTCCTGCGCAAGACATGCGCCTGAACCTGTTCTTCATTGCCGCCTCCATCGCAACCAACACCTCGTCCCTGCTCGCCGGGTGGGTTCTCGACCGGTACGGGCGTCGCCTGTGCTACGTGATCTCGGGCCTATTTATGATCGCCGGGTGCTTGCTCATGGGCCTCGCCTTCCAAATCCCGGGGTTCGACGGGTACCTGCTCGCCAACATCCTCTTGAGCCTCGGCGGCACATTCGTCTTCGTATCCAGCTTCCAGCTCGCGAACGCGTTCCCGAAGCACTCGGGCATCATCGTCGCCATCGTCACCGGCGCCTTCGACGGGTCCGCCGCCATATTCCTGTTCTACCGGCTCGCGTGGGAAGCGTCCGGCCGCACCTTCGCGCCCGCGCGCTTCTTCTTCGGGTACGCCGTCGTGGGCGTCCTACTACTAGCCGGCGAGTGGGCGCTGATGCCGGCGCGCGCGTACCACTCGACGCCGGAGCTCGAGCGCAAGCTCGAGAAGGCGCAGGACGCGACGCGCGACGCGCACGACTCGGACGAGGAGCTGCGGTCGCCGACGGCGATACGCCGCATGCGCGGCGCCCGCCAGGAGCGCCGCCTCTCGAAGCTGGAGCAGATCGAGGAGCTCGTGGGCGACGAGGCGCGGCGCGAGGACCGCGCGCAGGCCGAGGCCGACCGGCACGCGGCGAGCGGCGTCTGGGGCGTGCTGCACGGCGTGCCGGCGCACCGCCAGATGCTGACGCCGTGGTTCGTGCTGCTGCTGCTCCTCACCGTGCTGCAGATGCTGCGCATGAACTACTTCATCGCCACCGTGCGGTCGCAGTACCGCTACCTGCTGCGGTCGGACAAGCTGGCCGAGGACGTGAACCACTTCTTCGACGTCGCGTTGCCGGTGGGCGGGGTCTTTGCCACGCCGTTTATTGGGCTGCTGCTTAATAACCTGAGCGTGGCGACCGCGAGCGCCGTTATAACGCTATTCATCGCGCTGATCGGCGTGCTGAACTGCTTGCCGCAGTTATGGGCCGGGTACGCCACGGTCGTGGCCTTCGTGCTGTTTCGGCCGCTGTACTACAGCGCCGTCAGCGACTTCGCGACCAAGATCTTCGGGTTCGCGACCTTTGGCCGAATCTACGGCACCATCACCTGCTTGTCTGGCTTGGTCAACTTCGTCCAGTCCGGGCTCGACGCGCTGACCCATGGTCCGCTCGAGGACGATCCGACGATTATCAATGCCGTTATGGCAGCTGTTGGAACTGTTCTCGGCGTGACGCTGACTACGTACATTATTGTCCAGGGCCGATTATTCCGTGCAAAGCTAGAAAAGAACGAAGCTGCTGAGAGGGTTCAGGAGCGACTGGGCTTGATCCGGGAGGAGAGGGAGGCGGAAGAGGCTGGGTATGGTACCATTCAGTGATTGGAAGATACCGGTATGAATTATCCCGCGGTATACAAAAGGAGGAGAGAGTTTAAGGATATATACGTGCGAATGGAACAAATGATGTAGAAGAAAAGTTACCTATGATACACGCAAAGAAGACGAAATGATCAAGGCGCAAAAAGGGACTGATAAAAGAGGCAGGCCTTAAAGACAGTCAGATACATTGATTCGTATTAACACTAATATATATATGATACTGATACAGGTGTAATCTCGAACCGGATTCATGTACCCCTAGAGGAGGATCAACCTGAGGCCCGGCGACACAGCACAACAGAGAATAACCTCGTCAGTGCCATAGCGCCATACTAGCATCGCTTAGGAAGTGTGGTATCAAGCTTTACTTTATTGGTAAGAGTATAATATGTTATCTATGAAACTTCCAGCACTCATCTACATTTCTACCAGGGTTACGATGTATTGCCCCTTTTCCGCCCGTCCGAGTTATTGACATACATACCTAGGTACATAAGGTAGTTAGGTACAGATTGATGTCTCAGAGCCTTACTGGATATTTCTCCCTGATCCTTGCACCGAATTTGAAGATGATAATGGGAATAGGGATCATAGCCAGGCCGACAAAGCCAAGCACAGAACTTCCCCATCCGACGCCGAGATTACCGAATAGCGCCGGCCCGCAAATGGGGAGGAAGGCCGCAATAACACTGCGCAGAACGGTGAAAGCGGCAATCCCAGACGCAGCATACGAGGGGTAGGCGTCGATAATATAGGCTTGGGTAGGCATGAAGACGCCAATTACACCGAAGCCAAGCGGAAAGAGACCCATAATCGGTATAATCCAGTGCGTTCGAGCCTGAGCTGACCATCCGTACCAAAAGAAAGCAAGCGGGCAGAGGAAGGAGTACCATATCATGATAGTCAGACGAAATTCGGGATTAAACACTCCGCCGTTGGCATTTGTTAGACGCACCACCGTCCTATCCGATAGCATGGAAAAGGCCCAGAGGCCTGCCATATAACCAAGGCCGATAGATATAAAGACCAAGCCAGAGACTCCAGTACCCCATCCATATTTCGCCTCAAAGGTTGGAGGGATAGAGTTATACATCAAATAGACGGAGCCGTAGATGAAGGAGACGTATAAGGACTGTATGAGGATCATGGGTGCGAAAATCAGCATCTTCAGCGGCCGCAACATGCCAATGGTGAGGATATTGAGTTGGGACACCTTTCGCGACTCATTAGCTTCGTAGCATGTCTTCAGATCATCTCGGTCCAATTCCCTGCCCAAGCTCTTCACCTTTCGTTGCATGAGAACCTTGTGATTCGTCTCGGGGAGAAATATAGCCAGGATAACGGTGATAACGGCAGACGGAGCCAGCACAACCCAGAACGACCAACGCCAACCGATAGATCCAGCAATGAAAGCCCCTATCAAAGGGCCTACCGTCGGGCCGACAAGAGGACCAAGTGCCCATATTGAAAGAGCTACGCCGCGTTTCTCGATAGGAAAGAGATCACCGATGATAGCACCTCCTAAAGTCATGCAACCGCTACCACCAATACCGGCCGCGAACCGAAATGCTACAAGGAAGCCGAGACTTGGTGATAAAGCACACCCTATGTGCCAGACGCAGAAGAATATGTTGGAAAAGGTGAGTATTCCCGCGCGACCGAAGATCTCGGAAAGGGGTGCCAAAAATAAGGGACCGGTAGCGTAGCCCAAAAGATAAATACTGACCGGGAATGGACCCACGGGCGGATTGGTGTTATGGAAATCGTGGTTGATATATGATATGGCGGGAGCTAGGACAGACGACGAGAAGGGGGACATGAAAGTAATGGCGGCCAGAGACCAAACTATCACCCATTTCCGAGCCGCGGAGAAATTCAAGGGCATCTTCGGGTCATCTTGACTATCCCATCCAACAACAGAGTTGCCCAGGTCGGAAAGTGGAAGGGCTGTGGCTGGGATTCCGTCAGCCTTCCGAGTAGATGAGCTCTCATTGGTCCCCGCTGCCTCTCTCGCTAGAGCGCTAGTAGAGCGGACTTGTTGCATTTGCTCTCTATCTAGGATAAGTCTTCCGGTGGAATAAACCGAACGTATCTGGTCTCGGTCCAGGATGAAAGAAAAACGGACAACATCCAACGAAGGACGTACCGAACTTTTCGGCTGGTTTGCATCAGCAGGTGTATCTGCCTTTTCTTCGTCGACCCTCGAAGTGTGGCTACTACCGTCCGTTCCATTCCTAGGAGTTGGTGATTCGCCTTTTCCTTCGTCTTGTCTAGAAGTATGGCTGATCAAGTCTGCTTCACTTCCAGACTTTGGTGAATGGCTTTGGCTGCTATCTTGTTTTGGGGCTTCCTCAGCTGGTTCCAAAGTACGACTCCCACCATTCTGTACAGTTTCGGGCTTTGATGAATCGGAATTCTTCTCATCTGAGGCTGAAGGTGAACTGACATTATTCCCCGTGCCATTTTCCATGTCCTTCGCCATAACAGCGGGAGTTGACCTCGTATGAGTAGCAGGTTGTTGGATAGGTAAGAAGGCGAGCCAAGTCAACCAAAACACTGTTATCAGCAAGTAGGCACATCATTACTTAAAGATTCAGTTTAGGATCTAGGAAGAGCATGGGATAGAGATAAGAGAGGCACATATTAGGGCCATAGGGTCGTCTTGAGACATAACTAGGTTATCATCTCAGAGTCTAGAGTCTAGGAAAAGCTTCTCGGAGCCCCAAAGTTCCTAACAGAAGGGGTCGGGACGGCATTCTAAGTGACGCCTATCCCCGATCTTCAGTTGCTGACTATTACAGTGGCTATAACATTGCTGGAGAAGAACACTGCTGGGATTTCTAGGGAGACCTAAGGAGCTTTCCCCATTCGCGTAGAAGCTATCCGGTTGCTTTCGTCAAGGAATCCAGTCTTCTTGAATTGGGAGCACTAATGCAGTGTTCGGAGATTTCGTAAGTTGATTTAGAGTTCACAGATGTGAGTCCGGATTCCAACACATCACCTTTGCCTTCTTGTCCTGTTATGCTGAGCCTGACAGCAGGAGGGGAGAATGAGCAAACAACAAACATAGCTTGAGGAACCATCTTTAGATTACGATGATGTATTAAGCCCATCGAGAGGCGGTGTGATATATGTATATGTCCATATTAGGTTGCCTCGATACTGTTTGGACAAGAAGAGTCGAAGTTGAGGGATTACCAAGGCGGAAGAGATCGCAGCTGCATAACTCTCGTGCGTAAATAGGGGGTAGACTTGAGGAGGTTTCACTAACTTAACTCTGCCAGGTAGCCGGGTATAGGTACATCCCGTTAAGCGATCAGCTAGTCGAGCTTCGAGGTCAATTCTTAAATTAGTAGCAAACCATAATACTGTTTCGTTATTACCCCAGGTGGTGCATGGGTATGTATATGTACCTGATGGCGACTGCTGTACGTAATTCTTCAAAGAGGCAAGGGTACAAGGGTACCTACTAAGCAGTGACGCCAAGTCCCATAATCGAAGCTTTCTTAGGCCGCCTTACGAGCATGTGATCGAATATGATTGGCTGTGAAAAATCGCGATGACCCCTGCAATTCGCTTCCCTTTTTATTACGAAGCTTCGAAGTACTTCGTACCTGTACGCCCAATGTGGCTTCAATTTTCCCTACTAGCCCTTTTTTCTCTTTCCACCGAAACGTCGCGTTATCTTATCATTCAGCCTTATTCGTCAACAATCCACGACACCCACCACTTAAGGCCACGACGCACATTTCACCACCACCTACCCAGGTACCCATTCCAATGTGATGAAATATCGGCAGACAGCGGGCTTTTCTGCCGATTCCCTTCACCCAACAGAATAGGGATGCCCTGAGGCATTGGACACCCCAAAGACGACAAAGATGCCGACCACCGCGCAATCTGCCCAGCTCTCCGACACCGAGACCTTATACCTGACCGGCTTCACCTTAGCCTGCGTTACCGTCCTCGTACGAACCTTCGATGGCGAGGGTGCACCACTCATCGCATGTCTAGCGCTTAGTGGCATGGCATTCGCCGCTACTTATGCTATGATACGATGGCTCGGTCCTACCTTCATCAAGGCCGGATTGAAGGGTCGCGATCTCTCCAAGGTGAACAATAACCACTACATTCCAGAATGCATGGGAAGTATTTGCGCCGTGGTGTACATCCTGACCATGATCGTCTTCATCCCATTTCCGTTCTTCAAGGACATAGTGGTCGCTACTAGTGGTGGCGGAAACCGTGATGTTGTCATGAACGTCGAGTTTGTGCAGCTGGGACGACTTCTTCACAAGTTCCCTCATAACAAAGTACGATACCCTTCACTGCCCTTGATCAGCTGCTAGGACACCAAACTAATCATTTGCAGCTCGCCTCTTTCCTCTCCGCGATCATTTCTCTTCACTCAATCACCCTCCTCGGCATTGGCGATGACCTGTTCGATATTCGCTGGCGACATAAGTTCTTCATGCCGGCCTTTGCCTCCATCCCCCTTCTCGTCGTTTACTTCATCGACTTCGGAGTCACCTCGATTGTACTTCCGACCTTTCTCCAGCCCTACCTAGGTCGTGAATTATTCGATCTGGGTATTCTCTATTATGGATACATGTCGGCCTTTTCTATCTTTAGTCCCAACAGTATCAATATTCTGGCTGGAATTAATGGGATCGAAGTTAGTCAGAGCATAGTCATAGCACTACTGCTCGTATTCAACGATGCCCTTTACCTACTGACGCCGTATCCCCATCCCGCCACCGACTCGCATCTTTTCTCTCTCTACTTCCTCCTCCCCTTCCTAGGTGTCAGCTTCGCGCTACTTATCCACAATTGGTATCCCGCTCGCGTCTTTGTTGGAGACACTTATTGTTACTTCGCCGGCATGGTGTTCGTGGTGGTTAGTATCCTAGGCCATTTTTCGAAGACCCTGATTCTACTCTTGATACCTCAGATCTTCAATTTCGTCTACAGCACGCCTCAGCTGTTTGGGCTGATCCCGTGCCCACGCCACCGTCTGCCGCATTTCAACGCGCGAACCGGATTACTCGAGCCTAGCGTGACTACATGGGAGAAGGACAAGCAACCACGCCCCATCATCGCCCAGGCCCTGCGATTATTGGCGCAGTTTAAGCTATTGCGCATCAAGGAGGACCAAGAAGGCCGAATCGAAGAGACGAGCAACTTCACGCTTCTAAACCTCTGGTTAGTCTGGCGAGGACCAAAACGCGAGGACAAGCTGGCCGTAGAGATTACCGTCATGCAAGCACTACTAGGTCTCTTCGGCCTCTTCGTCCGACACCGACTAGCACTCCTCATCTTCAGAGAGGATAACCTCAATATTACAAGCGCGGTCTAGCCCCGAGAGCTAGGCTGAAATAGATTTTCGGAGATACCCAATGTTACTATACAAAAAGAAGAATATGGAACGGTAGCTAGTGCACGACACCTTAGCTATCTCATGTACATAAGTGAAACACTTCGCAATCAAAGGCGAGGCCTGATCTATGTCAGGTCGTTGATTTTACGAAAACCCATCGATTTCATGATTGGTGATGTCTGCTACTTTACGCTCTGGATGCTACTCACTGAAAGCAGAAATAAGGCTCTATTCTTCTTGCTAAGTGAGGTATAGTATAGTTCAAGTCTTAATATTCGGAGTTCGGCTATGCTGCCTATGAGGGCATGCGTAGATAGGGAGATTGCGCGTAGTCCGATTCGACTTGGCATTATACCTGTGATAAGTCAAGCCTCAATCCTTTGGGTCTGACACATAGCCCATGCTTGACGTACACATATGTACTGCATTACAACCAGCCATCACGCGATGATGGTGAGATAGATACTCGGGCAGGCTTGAACGTCTATAAGTACATACGTGCAGCGAAGGATTAGTCGGCCGAGACGTTACGGATAATACGGGCAGTCCTCGGCATCTCCCGACATCTATGCAGACGCCATGTTCTTACCACACATGAATCCAACCTTAAGGGTCCAGTCACACGTTGCCGACATTCGCCATTTGAGACGCCTGTCTGTCCAATATATATAACCCCGAAGGATACCATCACCGCCAATATTATATCATAAATTCGGATGTCCTTATGCAAAACTGACGAGTCAGTAGGCCAACACACTGGAAGTCAAATAAAGGAGCCCTAGCCGTACAATCACCGTCATAGCCTACCAACATGACACATCAAATCAGCCTCGAAGCCAAACTTTGTTTCATGAGAGGCAGACCCGAACAAAGAGATATTCATCATCACCTTGTTGTAGAAGCACGGAAATGCGGCGTAGTCTTTAACAAATCTTGCTCGGTTGGTATTGATCATCCCGCAGCAGACGGGCTGCGGCCCTCATCTAGTCATGCAGTTGTAGGCATCGTCATCTCCTTTCCCCAGTCCCTACACCCCACAAGCAAAGTATTTCGGCTTCTAGTAGTAGTACATATACGATATACGAATCTCTACAACCTTTTGGACTCCGTTTTCCTCTTCGGCCTTTACGAATTGTCTGGTCCCTCAAGAGCCATGTTACCCGTCGAGCAGTGGATCTCTTGATGACCGGAATGATGGTAAGGTCGTCAACATCCGATCCAACCCGAGTCAAGTCAAAGCCAAACCACATAAGAGCCCTCACATCCGACCACGTGAAAACGTTCGATTCGATATGAAGCTGTCGATTGCGAAATAAACCGATATCTTTTGCGAAAAAAAACCCCTCATGACAATTCCCCGTCACGGACCACCTGGTAACCCTATTTGATAATACCCTCACCCAACGCCTAATGCAGAAATGCAGCCCATCCGACGACGTGCCGGTCCACCTCCACATCCCAATAACACATACGATGGCTTCCAGAGTGCAGCTAAGATATACACCCGACTGCAGAATGTAATAAGGTTACGGAGTAACAGTGATAAGCCAGGCACTGAATGTCCCCACCTATATACCACAAGGATATTGACACATCACTTGCGTTTGCGATCTAATTGATACTTTTCTCGACTGGAGGATCAAGCATCACCGAATCGGTAGACGTCGGTGATTTAGCTTCTTCCACAACCGTAGCTGGCGGCTTTAGCGAAGACACTACCGGCTTCGCTGCGGCTGCCTTGTTCATCCTACTCTTCGTGTAGTCGCTCAGGCTGAGCTTCTTCTTGACTGGACTAGGCTGAACTGCGACGCTATTCACCGACGTTGGCGCAAAAGGACTAGGCATACTACTAGCGGAAAAGGGCGATTGAGTTAGTGTTCCGTTTGCGGACATCGGAGTTGTCACGCTGGGCGACGCGGAGTTGTTAAACGCAGGGACAGGAGGCATCTGCACACGTAATTCTGGCGACTTATTCTTGATCGGTACGGCTGTCGTCGGAACCTCGTCTAAGGAAGGTTTGGTATCTGTAGGTGATATAGACGGGGCATCGGTCATGGGCGTATCAGTAGTCGAGTCTAGTGGTGTCGGTGATGGCTTGTCTTGCTTTGGAATTTCTGGGACCGTTGGTCCCGGACTATTTTCTGTAGTAGGTGATTCTAAATCCATCTTCACCAGAGCGGACACAACCGAAGTAGGTGAGGCAGCATGGACCACTTTCCTACGGTCTTCATCCGCTCGCAAGCGGTGCCGCGATTCCAGCAGTCGCTTCGATAGAGAAACAACTCGTCGTTTTGGTTTCGGAGCCTGCCTAAGGCTGCTAAACCATTCTCCGTCAACAGGATCCGTCTGGATGGACACGTCGCAATATTCCGGACGAGGGCCTGGTGACGACGCATGCTCATTAGAGCCGTTCCGTGGCTCATGTTTGAAATGACTGGTCGTATTTGGCGATATTGCGCTTGATGGGGAGCCCGACATACTTCGCGAGGTACCAGCATCGACGTAGCGACGCTCGGATGCACCATTGGGAACTCCGATCGAATGGATAGACGACCCTCTCGGCTTAGGCTTCGCGGTCGTAGTGGTACTGTTAGTGCCATCTGAAGTTCGCTTCTTCTTCCGTGGAGGCTGCTGCTGCTCCATTCGACGGAATGTGTCCTCTACCATTTGAACCTTCCGCTTGTCTCTGTCGGTAAGTTCTGTCAATACACCTAATTGGTCGAAAGAGCCTTGTCGTGGTGCAGGAGTCATGTCTCGACTAGGAGGTTTACTACGAGACGAACCCGAATCATTATCCACCCCATCATCGCCACGACCTTCACTAGGAGCACGGCTATTCGTGGCGTGACCGGTGCTTGTTGGCGAGATAGCGTTCGTCTTTGTCTTTCGAGGTTTCTTTTTGGCACCCTTAGGTCCTTTTGATTGCTGTTGAGGTTTCAATATGTAATTTCGATGAAATCGAGTGAACGCGCAGCCCTCCGCTAAATCACACGCACACCCGCCATATTCAGTAAGTATAGCATGAACCCATGAGGCGATATTTTGGTATGTATCCGTTTCTTCCTCATTGTAGGGCGGTTGTGTGCCAGTTTCGTCGTCGCCGAGGCCAAGCAGCTGTGCCCATCTTCGTGCCACATCCTTCTGAAGGTTAAATTCCCACGGAATAGTGATCTGTTCGGAGGGTACTATACGCCGATCGCTCACAAGCCAGAAATGATATTCAGAGCTGTCGGATAAATAAGTATCTAACACCGCATTTGGTTTGCAACTTCGTCGTACATAACGAGCGAGGGAGCCTTCCTTTCGGGTATCGATATAAATAGGGAGCATCGGATGGAAGAACACAAACGGAAGCGGGGAGCTTAACTCCTGCCAGCGGTTCTCCGGGTCTTCACAGTAGTCCTTTTGTATTCCGATCTGGCCATTTAGTTCTATTAAAGGCACATCCTTGTCGATTATTTCGGAAGTGGTGAGTTGTTGTGAATGTACGAAAGCATCCGATCCAACAGCTACTTTCTTGGACTCTACTCGAGGGGAAGCCTTGGTCGAATCAATGTTGGGCGGTAAAGATTGGAAGACATCATCGAAAGCGCATCCTGTTTCGGCTCTCAACTTGTCGTGATCTCGTAACCACAAAGATAAAACGTTGGAAATGGAAAGACTAGCGAAAGAATTTGTTTGAACAATGGATACATCGCGGTCATCCTTGTATAGATTTATGAAAGCATTCGAGTATTGCATCTCGAACTCGTGTGGGACGTCTGGAGGTGTCGTAGCAGGGCTGGGTGGATGACCGTGGGGATTCCCAGCCTTTTGGCCATAGGAAGGGCTGCGTTTCGGGTTTTGCGAGGAGATGGATTGATTTGCCCGGTGTGTGCTTTTGGACTTTTTGTGTTGGTGAGTGGAGGTGTAGTCGTGCGTGTGTTTAGGGTTAGAATCAGAAGTAGTGTGGCCATTCGGTATTAGGTCTGTTGGTTTGGTCTTCTTTTTATTATTCTTGGTCGGAGGTCGTTTGACTTTCCTCTCGGACGCTTCTGACGTATTGGGTTTACTCCTTCGTAGTCGCTGTCGCTCAAGAGCGCCTTGGTGATCGAGCGATCGAGGTTTACAATCGGTACAGGAGTGGGCGAAATCTTCTCGCAAGGCCTCGTCGATTGTGTTGGGGTAATAACATTCGATATGCTGCCAGGTATCGCACGTCTCGCAATAAATAGTGTTCCCGTCATCGTCAGCGAAGCCACAAATACACTTGATCGTATAGGGTTCCTCCTCGATCGGCGCCTGGACCTTGTGTGAGACATGATGAGGCCAGGCAGGAGCGGATTTGGGACTGAGGACGGCCGTCTGACTCGGAGTCACTGATTGCGTCGGCAAGGAAGAGAGCCTGTCAGTCATAATCTAACATGCACCCCACGAGGTGGTTGTCGGTGAGGTATGTGAAAGGAGATGGCGGTTTATCGTAGAAGCCCGGATGGCATGACGACGAATCCGGGTTCGACGTGACGGTGACCGGTTCCAAAGGATACGAATATGACGACGTCGTCCCGCAGAAAGATCATTCGTGGTTGTCGAGAAGATGGCAAATTAGAAGCGCGGCGCGTCGTGAATTGTTATTGTGGTTCAACACGCTCAACACGTCCAGACTCGAAATACGGGCATAAATGAGCACACAAAGGACAGCACGGGAGACAAAAGAAAATTCGGTGTTTTTTGTAGGACAGACGAAAGTATATGATCGTCTGATCGCAAATACTATGGAATTACTATCTCACGATAGCGGGTGTTGGATAGAATGGCGGAAAAGAGACTTTGAGGGCGTGTTCGCGAAAAGGGCGTGGCGACGAGAAATGATAATTTCGAGCTTTTTCGTATTTTCCTTCTTCCTTGTTTAGGAAAGAATGCGCCTCGTAGGAAAATGGGGGTATAACGGATCGGGCGTGAATGACGAGTTCGGAATTAAGTTAAGTTTAAGAGTATCTCGAGAGATTCGACGCTTGGGACTCAAGGAAAATGTAATTCGTGTTTGAACTGGTCGCGGGAAAATGAGGGTGAGGATGGGGGAGAGAGAGAATTGAGGAGTATGGAGTAATGGAGTATGAGAAGGGAGAGTTAGAAGGCCCAGGGTAGACCAAAGCCAAAAGAGTTGGCGGGTGGGAAAGAGAGAATGCGCGCCAAAGAGATTACCTACCCTAGGTACCTTCTACCTTCCACCTAGGCAATCCATTCCCAGTCCCTCACTCTTTCCTTACCTGCTAAGTGCTGGGTGCTAGGTGCGGGTTGCTTGGGCTGGCCCTGCAAGAGCGGAGTGGGAGCGCGAGCGTTGCAGGGCACTTGCAGCTTCCCACTGGCAATTTTGAGTAGTGGTGCGTGCATCAGCACCAATTGGCGTGGTTCTTGGGGTGGTGCGTAGTGGGAAGTAGTAGGAGCGATGGGAGCGAAAGCGGGAAAATAATGCCTATGTAGACTAGCACGTATTTGATGCGTAGATGTACATAGTGTAAATGTGTATTGTACATACTAATGTACATGTACCGGTACAAGGGGGAGAGAATAAGAAAAAAAGATTGCTGTGGTGCAGCAGTGCCCCATTACTTCCAATGTGTGGCTGCTGCTTCTGCTGTAGCTGGCTGGTGCGTTCTGTTCCGGGTATGCGGGGCCACATGGAAGATTTGGTGCTGGGAACCACCTAAAACAGGACCCGTCCTTAAAAACTCACCTAGGCTTTCCATGACACTGGTGAGAGATGCAGCACTTGCAACCAATAAAAAGTGGATATCCCTCGAAAGAGGAAAAGGAGAGGGGAGCGGAAGCGGAAAGGAAATGAAAGAAAATCGAGACACAACCAACATGTTCTGCCTGTTGTGCATTTTCATTAGTAGACAATACCAAGGAACAAATAATAGAAGATAACGATAAGAGCAAGGGGAGGTTTTCTGGATGACCAAACGACCTTGCACTAGGCTATTAAAAAAGCATGAGTAGTTGAAAGGTCGAGGGGGGGAAATGGGAAAGTACGAGCGAGGAGCAAATGTCGCTGAGGAGAAAGAAGGAAGCCACTCACATGGAATGCATTGCAGCCTTCTTGCGCATTGGGCAATGCTCGAGACAGAAACTAAGCCAGAAAGAGGATAGACTACCGCGCATAAATTCAACCAATGAAATTGTCCACTTACGCTTTTGAGTACTTCCTGCAACCACTTTTTGTGTCAAGCACTCCAGAATTCGATTCCGGTTTCGATCACCACGGCTAAAAAATATTAGCGTGATGAAAATAGCTGTCACTTTTCGTAGCGAGGTGACCAAGTCGGAATGTGAGGTTGAGGAGTATTTTCATAGGCTTATATTAAAAAAGGTGATCTCCCGGTTCTGGTCCCTTCAGATCATTCTCGAAATGATGTATTTCAAATGAAGAAGCTTATCTCTATTGTGGGTTGGAAATAAATCAATGTGATGGCGAGAAAGTCATGAAAGGAAAAATCAATATACTGGGTAGTTTAGTGGGTGATGGGTAGAAAGGGCACAGAGACACATAGCTGTCTGTGGATGATAATGTTCTTCGCAGGTAGGTATTCCGTACAAGCTTGTAATATGAGGGGAAAGAATTTATGTTATGACGGAAGAGTCAGCGGAGGTAGCTTTGTCGTAAGCAAGCTAGATCTCAGTCATCCTTGACACAGTGCGTGACAGAGTGCTTTTTAATCCAATCTAACTGGTCAGCTCGGCGTTTTGAAAACCTGAATCTGTTCGATGAGCGAGAGGCAATCACTAGGATTTCCTTGTAACGGTAAAATCCTCAAGCGGCCGAGTAAGAAACGGTTGCTAACCATCGAAATACGGTAGGCAAATCCCCATATGTTTCTAGCTGCCTCATATATATTATCGCGGCGGGGTCCAACTCACCGCGAATGGAAAATGGCAAAATTCTTAGGAGGTATGTAAGATCCATCTTTTATCCTTATAATTGTACATTGTCGAATTGTTGAAGCCTAGTCGTTACGGGCAAACTTCCACAAAGAACGAGATATAACCAAGAATACAGGCTTCTGATGATATGAGAGTCCCTAGACTGGAGCTTCAGGTCTTGCTACGAAGGCGGGGGAAATATTCCGGATCAACCTCCCACGTCCGTACAATTGGGTACTAGGTAGTTTGCTGAGGACCCTGACATATAATCCTAAAAGAATTCGATGTTCCGTTTGGTTATGGCGTCCCGGACTTGCGGCATTCTTCCTGCAAGATGATCGTGTGATTGATATTGAAAACTTTATGATTCGCGGACAGGTCGACGGAGCCTCGCTTCGTCGCAGAAAGCACATGAATTGCTTTGGATTTGCTTTTTTGACCGCCTCTCTATCTGCCATTCACCCGTCTGCATACGGCAGAGTGCTTCAACGTTTCGACCAAGATCCGATGCTTGGATGACAAAGCCGTAATGGCCTTCGTTGGCTGGTTGGTTGCATCCCGATCCAAAACTGCATGACATCGTGGCTATGCTTGCAGTCTGATCTCACACGTCCAATCACGAATCCTGATAAAGTAGGGGAGGGCCTTGGAGTCGCGCCAACCGACTTCAGCCCGTTAGGTCACCCAGGTCACCGTAGCTTCGCCAGTCGCCATTATTCCTCAGCTATGAACTAGGCAAAACACAGAGTCGTGACGAGAACACATCCGCGATTGAGCGTGTAAAATCAAGATTGAGATCGAAGTCGTTGCCTTCGTTGCTCTCAAATCTTCAACACGCAGCAGTATAGCCTCACATAAGGATTTTTCTCTGTAACATTTGATTCATGGCTTATAGGAACAAAAACGAGAATTGATATCAGTCGCGCGTGTTAGCTAGCCGTACTGTACCACATCTGAATGCGGCCTAGACGCCAGGTGCCGTTGATTCATACCTTACTACTAGCTGCTAGTGAGACTTCGCGATTCCGAACCCAAGGAAAGACTAGGATGGTAGAACCCTGATGCTTGTGCGTACATGTGTGTATCACAGTAGCGAGGAAGAGAGCTAGGCAGTGATGTAACTACTACGTATATTCATAATAGACGATCCGACACATTTGCTTACGCACATCCGGATGGTTGCAGAAACGCAAACAAACTGACTTGAAAGTGTTTTGAAAACTGGTCTCCAGCTACTATAAATATCAGACAACCTTAGATCTATCCATAATAGAACAGTGATATAGTAGTCAGAAAGAATGGTGTACGACTAAATTTGTCGCCTTGAACGGACTCATAGTACAAGTTTTCTTCACGGCATCGAATAAAACGATGTTCGCAATGAACACTTCTGGAGGACGATAGAAGAAGGATCAACTCCACGATTTGCGACGCAGGTATTCCCTCAGTCCCTATGAAGAGCCCTTATTCTTGGGCCAAGCCGCTCGTCTCAAAACAAGTGTCGTCGTATCCACGAAAAACTAAGGAGGGAAGGGCATCCTTTTATGCGATGAAGGGAAAGACTTATTATTGATGGGGGCCCTTGCGACTTCGGATGCTGTGGAGCCGATGATTCGTATTTTCCCGTCCGCCATTCTCTTTCAAGTAAGGCGTAGCTAAAATCTGGCTTGGACTGGATTGAAACTATCGAATCAAGTCATTGTCAGCAAATATGAAGGAATTCTTAAAATTTAGGCTTATTTTACGAATTCGGTTTAAAATTTTTAATGAATCATTCAAGTACCGATCACTATTTTTATGCTTGTCAGATCAACCGAACATGGTAATCCGAGTGTCACCAGCCACTTCTACTGATTACCTAAGCTTACTGAGGTACAAGGTGGCCCCTTTATGCAATTACCGCGTTGTATGACTAACATGAAGATATCCATCACTTTCCTTGGAAAATCTCATCCAGTAGGTACTACATATTTAAACCACAAACTTATCGATTGATACACTGGAGTTGAACTCCTATTGCTAACAACATTAATACAAATTACAACTGCCTCCCCCCGCACCCTGATTTCCACCTTGATGCATTACACATTACAGGTACATTAAAGGTTTGTTTTCTTCGTCGTACTGACAGCTGTGGAAAGTTAGAAAGGAACGATTGCACCCCATACCGAGTTATCTGAACATTGGTATCACATCTATCTCAGTGGATTAAGCAAATTATTGCTCATAGAAAGATCTGGTATTGGCAGGGAAGAATATCTCGGCCTTTGACGAGGCTTTGAGATATCTCATTCATGAATCATCGGGACCCCGAAACCGCAGACCCCTGGTTTGTACTTGGAAGCGCCCCTGAGCTTTCAGATTTGATAATATCCGCGGCCTATGTTCCCATTGTTATCAGCATTATGATCTCCTTGACGGTTATCTAATTACGAATTCATCTCGGAGAGGTACAGAAGGGCATACCTTTTCAGCAATGGCGTATAATGCTGCTTGTATATGTGCAGCAGGCAGCAATGGGATAACCCCCGCATCTACGACTCTCAGGTTCCTCGTACCGTATACTCTGAGTGATGGGTCTACAACCCCACCCAAGCTGAGTGGTAACATAGACGTCGTACCGCTTAGGTGGTATCCGGACGTGATCATCGGCCGCATTACCTCGTCTAGCGCTGTCTGGTTTCGAGCGTCAACGACGCCAAAGCCAGGTGGAGGTACTGGTATTAGCCTTGCCATTGGCGATGTTTGGATTAAGCGATCGTTGAACTCGAGCCCGAGAAGTAGCAGTTTGCAGTCGATGGGATGCGAGCAAAACCGTGTATCGATAATAGGTTGGTTCTCGAAAATAGAGGAGGATCTCGCCAGGACTGTCCCCCGGGATAGTGAACGCATGGCACTCACCGCAAGTTGACCCCAAGATGTCGACATAACCTCGTATACGGGCGTGTCGGTTCGCGCAAGTAGAGATATCATCTCGTCTCGCTGCGCAAGGTATCCTGCGCGAAGAGTCTCCTCGTACGAAGACGGCAGGTTGTTGGTAACGTTCGTTGTCTCACGCAACCACTCTTGAAGGTCATCCACCACCCAACTTAGAGCTGGTAAAGCAACCACGTCCACCATCGGTGCTGTCCACGGCCCTGTTACATGTAAGTGTCTACCAGTTGAACGCTACTGATATTATGACGAACCTGTACGATTGGTGAGATATTCTTCTCGGACAACATCTCGAGTGCTTCCTACGATATCCCATGCGGAAAATACGTCCGGGGCAGTGTCTAAACAATCAGGAAGCGTTCGAATAGTTGAGGGGGGGTTGGTACTCACATTTGTAGACAGGCTGTAGGGTAGGATGATCCTGAAGATTGCTGCCTACTCCTGGAAGATCCACGGCAACATCTACCCCCAAATTCCCTAGAACTTTGGCTGGTCCAATGCCAGAGATGTGCAGCAATACAGGCGAAAAGATTGCTCCGGCAGCAAGAAGTACTTCATTTACACACTTAACCCTAATCTTGTTGGCAATTGAGTTGGCGGCAAACTACACGAGCAGGTACAATTAGTAACGACATACATGAACATCGGCTTTGGTGGCGGTATCAGGACTTACCTCTACACCAATTATGTTCAGCCCGGTTGCTCCAGGGATATAAGTCGAATTCAGAAAAGTCGCCCCACCATTATCATGAAGAACGCGAGTAACAGTATGGCCGGTGACGAGGTGCAAATTTGGGCGGTCCAATACGGGGTCTAGATACGCGATACGCGCATCGGAACGCGACTGGTTACCTGCTACCATACTGCTTGCAATAATGCTAGCCCCTGTAGCGCTGCCACCATTAGGGTCCTCGTTGACGGGTATCCCGAGTTCTTGTATGCCATCGAGGAAGTTGTCTTCATTGTTGATTAGTCAGTACGATTGTCAACATGCAATAGGTGGAGATGACATACGGGACTGGTTGTAGTAGTAGTTTGGATAGCCGACCTCGATTGGCCCTTTCTCGCCGTGCTTTCTAATAACTGGATTAAGAGCCGTGAGGAAATTGTGCGTCGATTTGTTGTTAGGCGGTAGGGTATACTTCTCCGACTATACGTTTGGTTCGTCATTTTATTTGGCTAGAATAGGGGACGAGATGGCGAACACCTAGTCAGGACTCACCTTTTTGAAGTAAGGCAAGAGATCGGCCCATCCCCAGCCTGGGTTTCCTAGGTCCTCCCAAGCATCGAAGTCGGCCGCTGAGCCTCTCGTCCAGACAAGGCCGTTGACGATGGTACTTCCCCCGACGACTTTACCCTGACTTATGACCCGGGATTTACCGTCGAGAAACTCTTGCGACGCTAGATCCAGCTTTACCTTATAACGGCGTGGATCTTCGAGGCCGATGTTTCCCGGAATCGAGACATCCTCAGCGCGATCATCCCTGAGTATGACACGTAGTTAGTTATGAGAAGAAAAATTTAGCGGCTTGGGAAGGGAGCTCAAAGCGTATGGCGCGTCCCTCACCACTGTTTACCAGGTCTTAACACTTACAACTCTCCAGCCTCGACTACTAGGATAGATACTATATGAACACGTTAGTATCAGGACTCTCGCGGCTCTGGTAGACAAGTGGGAGAACTCACCTGACGGATCCTCCGAAAGGCGATTCGCAACGACGAGGCCACCTATCCCTGCACCTACGACAATATAGTCATAGCTGTTTTGAAGCGACAAGGTGCCATTAGAATCTGGCAAGATATGTATACTAGAGGTAAGCGAAAGCAGAAGGCTGACAGCAAGCACTGTGATATTAGCTGCCTTGAACTTCATTGCGATCGAATTCAAAATAAATGTAATCTAGTAGTTGAGAAAGCAAAGCCGTAGGTAGAATTGAAGTATCACGGTCTTTGTCATGGCAGCAGGTGAAGCAGGCGTGAGTTATGTGGGAGATTTGCAGACCTTGTTGGCGTTTATGTAAACAAACCAACCAACGTGTAGAGAGACAAGATGCATCTGCCTAGTAACGGGTTTAAGCAGTCGACGTAAATTAGATCTGAAGTTTATAGATTAAATAATTTGACACCAACGATATGATCAATCTATAGTGGCACTGTCCACCCCCTAAAATTCTCCCTTCGAGATGTCATTTTTGATTCAAAAACTCTACCACCGTGCATATTATGACTATTTACCCCCAAAACACATTCTTCATACTGTAGATATGCGCTTCGAGTTAGCTTTAGTGATTACTCATCTACTTGTGGCTGGGGAACATAAGTAAATCGCTTAATAAATTTGCCCCTTTGATGTTCTCATATCTCATGTTCAATCCGAACTTTTAATTACTTCAAATTTGCACCTGTATTTACGGGCGAGATATGCCAATTCCCATTAGCCATTCAAACAATAGGTGTTCGTTCCTTTGCTACTAGGGTATGTTCATTTTATATTTGCTTCTCATTCATGATGAGCGACACTATCATCGACATACTAGTTGATGGGGATGTACAGATTGTTGGGTGTAACTTTAGAGCTAATGTTATTGAATTTCCGTGTATAGCCTCATGACATTTAATGTATCTCAATTACGAATAAGGTAGATTATACAAGGGTTCATGATTGCTACCTTTTGATTATTAGGCGCTGAAGCTGTTTCTTCGTCGTTGAGGGAAATTGCCTCAACGCTTGTATGTAGTTGATAGGTAGTCCTATAATGACTAATGAGAATGATTGGAGTCAAGATACTTAGTATTTTTATCTGTTTCGGAGAGATTGCTGTTTTTAAGAAAGCCTGGATCTATCACCTGTCATTTCAACCTCGTGAGCTACCTATTCTAAAGAGCTGTGCACATGTGAAAATATCTAGCTATATCGGAACTGGTTATTGATAGAAGCTAAACATGCTTGGTTCGTACTTATCATGCATTGATTGACCCATTGAGACGCGTTGGCGTTCGTCCGATAGTTGCGATGATATAATGGGTTTCCGGATTAAGAAGGCGGTGGATCTCTTCCTCGGTCTAATGAGTAAAAGATCTGGAAGAATTCGTATGTGCTAACATTTTCGAAACATGCGAAACCTCATATTGCGGCAATTCAGGAAATAGGGGAAATGGATGAGTCGGAAGCAACTGAACCCCACAGCAATCGGCAGCTTGTAGTTGCCAGGTACATGTGTTCAATTGAAAATCGTAACAAAAACTAAACAATCCCTCTTCTCTGGTTGGTTGCGTAAAGTTGATATTGTATAAATTGCCGATTGACGCCTTTCGTTCGACGAAACAAATTCGATGCGACAAGAATAAGACGAGAAAGGAAATCCGGCGGGCGTCGCTTCTAAGGCGAAGAAAAGTCTTCTCATTTCTGATGTCACACGGCTTTCGTGGGTCTAGACTACCCCTACAAGCACGGGCGCATAAGGCAGGTGTACGGGGTGATCGGATAGTTCTTACCTTGCCGATAGCGGTGTCTCCTGCCCGTGCAGCCCGTGGCGGCTTTGTTAGTGCGTGGCTTATCGATTGTTATCGTAGTGGCATTTGACTCACTGGAATTCAGATATATTGGAGTATAATTCCCATTCCTACCAAAGCCAAAACCTTCTTTGCATCAAAGTGCATTTCTCTGACCTGAACTTGACTTATATCAATATGTGGTGGTAGTGTGCATCACTTGTTGAATCTCCTAACATCCAAAATGCTTCGCGCGCTATGACAATGCAACTCACAGCCTGGAAGAGGGCAGTTTCGAACTTGAACGTGAGTGAAGTCGCTCTGCTCCTTAGATTTCCATGTCTGGGTTCCTGTATCCGATCTCTGCGGACGAACGGATTACAATACCTTACTCAATCACAATCATGTAAAAATTTCAAACAAACAAGAGCAGGTTTGGCTAATTATATGATAGACGCCGTCTACTAAGGACCTAAGCAGGATCAATGGCTCAAATTCATTGTCATTCCGGTCCGCGCGGAGCGCCGCAAATAGCGGTTGGTACTCGGTAACATTTGCTTCTCCGTATACTTCTATTTCCAAATCTCAAAAACACAAGAAAAGTCTAGACAGGGTATGAATGAAATGCTCCTTTTACCCTTACATTAAATTATCCTGACCGGTTGCCAGGACTTCTTCCTCTCCGTGCTCGAGACTTCGGTCACCAAGCGAGATGCCAAGGCCTACATGAACAAATTTGTTCCGCTGTTAGAAAAGAAAGGGGCGACAGGCTTCAAGGAACGTGCAACGCTGACTCGCCCATCAATCAACCAAGGCACTACCGAGGAGCCAGTTATTAATGATGCCGCTGTCGTAAAAAAGGATTTCATTCAGGCACCTAAACTCGAAGCTGACGTCGCTATCCAACTTCCATTGTACGTTGCTCTAGTTAAGTTTCGTGCTCCCCAGGAAGTCGACGATGCCACCCTAGGTGGCGTGGGAAAAACCCTAGGTCAACTTCGGAAGCTTGGGTTAATTAGTATCGTTGTCGTTGATTGTGGTACTTCTGGGGGAAATGAAGCCGCACAGAGACAAACCGCCGCCATACAGGCTAATCGTATCGCCATGGCGATAGATAATTATGATACTCCGGGGGCGCGAGTTATTGACTCTCCGATTACCATCGACACTCCGACCGAAGGAGATACCTCGCCGTTCACTTCACGTGGTATATTCGTTGGCAATCCTAACGACCTGATGGCCGCATTGCAAGAGGAGGTCGTCCCTATTATCTCCTCCTTCGGGTACACCTCAGATGCCTGCGCTGTCAAGCCGGTTAATGTCAACGATGCTATACTGGCCCTCACGAGACAGCTATCTGGGCTTCAGTTTATAGGCCAACCGGTTGAAGATTCAAAGGCGATACAAACATCAAGATTAGCTGAGGTTTATCGCCTTATTGTGTTGGACACCTTAGGTGGAATTCCTGCCAAAAACCGAGCTACTGGAAGGCATTTGTTTCTGAATCTGGAGCAGGAATTACCAGAGGTCCGAAATGATTTGATATCACCAACATCAGAGAACCCGGATGGCCCGAGCAAGGAAAGTTTGCAGCACTTGGAGAATGCCGAACTAGCTAAGAATGTCTTATCTCTTCTACCACCGACTTCCTCCGCAGTTATAACAACCCCACAGGAAGTGGCAAATGAACGTGGCCTACAAGAAAACAGCTTGGATTGGGCTCTCGTTGGTACGAGACGCGGCCAGAACCCGTTGATACACAGTCTTCTCACCGACAAGCCAGTCCAATCTTCGTCACTACCCTCCGAGCGTTTCAGACCTGTCACGTCATCAACTGGCATGGCTCAGATCGGGTCACTGACGACATTAGCTAAGCGTGGGATGCCGTTGACTGTATTCCCGGATCCTCGAGTTACTTTATGGAAACCGCCCAAATTAGGGGAGAGAGGCTTGAATCTTACGGATCCGTGTATCGATCTTCCTAGACTCGTCAACTTGATCGAGGATTCTTTCGGCAGGAAGCTCGATGTAGATCATTATCTGAAGCGGATACACGGAAACCTAGCCGGCGTAATCATCGCAGGAGAGTATGAGGGAGGCGCAATACTAACATGGGAGAAGCCCCCTGGCCTAGATGGATCTGAAGCAGATAATCCAAGCCGGCTCGTGCCGTACTTGGATAAGTTTGCGGTTCTCCGTAAAAGCCAAGGAGCCGGAGGAGTGGCGGATATCGTATTCAATGCTATGGTTCGTGGCTGCTTACCAGAAGGGGTTTGTTGGAGAAGTAGGAAGGACAATCCTGTCAACAAATGGTACTTTGAACGATCGAGGGGCTCGCTGAAGTTCAAGGACATGAACTGGGCTATGTTCTGGACGACCCCGAACTTGGCTTTGGATTGTCAGAAGTTCCGAGACTACGAGAGTGTTTGTCGAGGTATTGAGCCGTCGTGGGCGGATAATAAACCCATTGCTGATTAGATAGAAGGACCTGAGCGAGTTGAATTATAGACGGCGATTATATCTCGATAAATTTGGTTTTGGGATACCTAGAGGTCGAATGACGCGAAAATGCCATCATTTTTCTGTTGTCGGTACTATTAAGTCGTAGAAAGGAGCTGGTCCCTTTCTTATAACCTCGACTTATTGAAATATCGTGTCATGGTATTTCTTGGTCTCACGCTTATATTATTATTTTTGTTAAACAACCTACCTCTTCTAAAAGGTTGAGATGATGGTGTATCCATATGCAAACTAAAACCACTCATGTGCATAATACATACCTATCAATGGCCTATCTCGTCAATGCTCGTCAATCGTAATGATCGTCTAGACCCGGTATATGCATTGTTTGAACTGTAATGATCTTTGTCCACGTATCATAAGTCCAGTATAACACACCTTCATATGTAAATTTTTATGTCGCGGGGCGGCAAGGCGGCGTCATCTTAAGGCGGTCAAATCTTGACATCCATGAGCAAACCCCACCATCGTTTGGCTGGCATGGTTGGCATTAGTCGTGGTGGGGGAATTTGGTGGGTACTTTTTGGCGGGGTAGATAGATAATATCACGAGGGGTAGGTCCATAATTGGGCTTGCTGAATTGGGTCATTTTCAATGTACCTTTTGGGACTTTCTTTTTCTTGTTTGGCAAAAGAACACCGAATCGATGGGATGGATTGGACTCGAAAAACCTGGAAAGATTTTTGCATGATCATAAATGACCTGTATTAAAATATCTATGAATCGAATTACATAACGAGAATGTGTGAATGGGGATATATTATGAGCCTACTAGGTACTAGAAATGTTGGCAGGTACAGTACAGAATAGTGATTTCTTAGGTCTCAACGAAACGAGGCTTTGTGTGGCGTATTGTCCATTGAAATATTCACCCTTGAAACCTTAAAAGCCTTACAGCTGGGTACCCACCAGGACATAGACGAATGTCGAAATGTCCAGAACTTTCCGGGAAGGCTGAACCACACCCCGGGTGTGTAACAAATGAGGGGTTCAGATACATAGAAACGCTAAGGTTGAAAGTCCTTCGCGATCTCCCACTTCGCATTTTCGGGCAGCTTTTTTTTCTTAAGAATCTTTTTTCCCATTTCCCTTCGCCGCAAACACGACATTCCAACGAAATATCGACGGATTTCGTCTCTGCTAAAACTAGGCCATATTCGACTTAATTTTCTTGCATTCGATAGATACGAACTTCCTCACAATTCTAATTTGCAAACGAGGTTAACGACTTGCGACGTTTCCTGGCATCCCCGCAATCAAATATCGACTTTTATTTGTTTATCATCCCTCTTCCACAAATCCCACCAAGATGAGTGTAGTTGGTATGTTGTCTCAGCCCGCGCAGGGTAACCTTTCTGATAACGAGGAACACCGTCGCTGACCGTACGGAAAAAATAGGTGTCGATTTCGGAACCCTGAACACTGTCATTGCAGTCGCCAGGAATCGAGGTGTCGATGTCGTATGTACTATCCCTGTATTATATACGCATGGTGTCGTGAACAACGAGGCTGACAATGTGCACAGATTACAAATGAAGTCTCGAATCGAGCTACCCCGTAAGTCGAATATCATAATCTGACGCTTCATATGCTCCATACTAACATGCTGGACCTTCAGTTCCCTAGTCGGATTCGGACCCAAGTCTCGATATCTCGGAGAACCTGCAAAGACACAAGAGATTTCTAACCTCAAGAACACCGTCAGCTCCTTAAAGCGGCTGGGTGGACGAAACATCAATGACCCCGACATTCAGATCGAGCAGCAATATGTCTCGGCATCTCTCGTTGATGTCGGCGGCGGCCAGGTTGGCGCTGAAGTGTCTTACCTAGGCAAGAAGGAGAAGTTTTCGGCCACTCAACTGACGGCTATGTTCTTGAGCAAGGTCAAGCAGACAGCCCAGAATGAGCTGAAGTTGCCTGTATCGGATATTGTCATCAGTGCGCCTGCGTGGTTTACCGACGTCCAACGAAGAAGTCTTCTAGATGCAGCCGAGATCGCTGGTCTAAAGCTCCTTCGCGTTATGAACGACACCACTGCGGCTGCCTTGGGCTACGGTATCACTAAGCTCGATCTTCCTTCAGCTGAAGAGAAGCCACGCCGAGTCGCATTCGTCGATATTGGTCACGCCGACTATTCTTGCTCGATCGTCGAGTTTAAGAGAGGCGAGCTCAGTGTCAAGTCGACAGCGTACGACCGCCATTTTGGTGGCCGAGACTTCAACCTGGCCTTGGTTAATCATTTCCAGAAGGAATTCAAGGGCAAATACAAGATCGACATCACGACTAACCCCAAGGCTATGGTTCGTGTCGAGGCTGCTGCCGAAAAGCTCAAGAAGATTCTGTCAGCCAATCAACAAGCACCAATGAACATTGAGTCGCTCATGAACGATATCGATGTGACGGCTATGATCACACGACAGGAGTTCGAGGCGCTCGTGGAACCGCTACTAAACCGTGTCACGGTACCATTAGAGCAGGCCCTCGCCGAGGCCGGGCTCACGAAGGAAGATATTGATGTAATCGAGTTGGTTGGTGGGTGCACCCGTGTTCCCGCCCTGAAAGAACGAATTCAGGCATTCTTTGGAAAGCAGCTCTCGTTTACCCTCAACCAGGACGAGGCTGTTGCTCGGGGTTGTGCTTTCTGCTGCGCTATCCTCTCTCCCGTCTTCAAGGTCCGTGACTTTGCTGTCCAGGATATTGTCAACTATCCTATCGTGTTCTCCTGGGAAAAGGACGTTGATATCCCAGATGAGGATACTAGCCTTACTGTCTTCAACAAGGGCAACGTTCTTCCTTCGACCAAGATCTTGACTTTCTACCGAAAGCAACCGTTCGACCTCGAGGCTAGATACGCTAAGCCTGACGAATTGCCTGGCAAAGTTTCTCCTTTCATTGGCCGATTCTCCGTCAAGGGCGTAAAGGCGGACCCTAAGACTGAGTTTATGATCTGCAAACTCAAAGCTAGAGTTAACATTCACGGTGTCCTTAATGTGGAGAGTGGATATTACGTCGAAGATCAAGAAGTCGAAGAGGAGGTTAAGGACGAAAAGAAAGATGATGGAGCCAAGAAAGATCCTGACGTAAGTGAATTCGATCCCCCTGAAAAATCCCTCGTTAGGGAACTCGTGAGTTGTGCCTATGAAATACTTGCCTTAGCACGTATATTCGATCCACGAGGGCTGTTGAAATGGAGCTTTGTATGGAAATGGCGATCGCTAACACGTAATACAGGCAATGGAAACCGATGACAAGAAGGACTCGGATAAGCCCAAGACCCGAAAAGTCAAGAAGCAAGTCCGCAAAGGCGACCTGCCTATCGTTGCTGGCACCAACTCCTTAGATGTGGCCACCAAGAACAGTCTCACTGAAAAGGAAGCTGCGATGCTTATGGAGGACAAGCTCGTTGCTGACACAGAAGAGAAGAAGAACGAACTAGAGACATACATCTACGATCTCCGAAACAAGTTGGACGACCAGTATGCCGAATTCGCTAGTGACGATGAGAAAGACAAGATTAGATCGAAGCTAACGGAGAGCGAGGTGAGTTTTTGAGATCCTGTCCGAATATTTGATACAATGAATTGACAGAATATAGGATTGGCTATACGAGGACGGTGAAGATGCTACCAAGGCCGTCTATGTCGCTAAGATGGACGAGATTCGAGCTATGGCCGGTCCCATTACGCAACGCTACTTCGACAAGGTAGAAGCAGACCGTCAAGCCCTGCAAGCTAAGCTTGATGCCGATGCTGCTTCTAAGAAGGCTGCTGAAGAGGAAGCCCGAAAAGCAGCCGAGGCCGCGAAGGGCGAGACCAAGGACGAAGAGATGACGGATGCCGAGGCTGCGAAGCCAGAGGTCGAGGAGCCCCAATCGTAGTAGCAGACAGAGGACTTCTCCCTTAAGCGCAAACGCGCCAATTCTTCATGATATCAGTATCTACGGATAGGTGGCTGTCCCAGGCACTAATTGATGTATGCATGACAAGGACGAAAACAGGAGTGTTATAATGACAACGGCAGGGGTGATTGGGCGGATACTGGACTAGGCATCGTTCAGGGGGGTTCTGCTCATCGATCATCCATTTTGCAGGTAGTTCACGAGGAATAGATTTTTTTCCCCATTATGCGGACAGAAAGGGGCAACAGGAATTCAAGCACGCGGACTTTAGATAGACCCAGACAATGCAGGTTACTTGATTAAAAGTGCGTTTTTTAACCTGTCTGTCTGGCTGTCCAATGTGATTCGTGTCTGGTGAGAAATGTGAATAGCATGCATCGGATGCACTATACCACCATTGTGGGGTATTTTTGGTACTGTACCTATGGATTGAATTTTGCGGTAGTAGGGTTCTAGCCTACTACAGATCTATTGCAGTTGACGACTTCTTCATATTAAAGTCTTATTCAAGGGACCGTCGGCCCACCCTCAAGCCTTTTCCTTCTCGAGATAAGCGAGGACGTAAGTTTGAACCAGGCTAAATAATCTTCCAAGGATCAAATACGATACTATTCAGGTAACGCTCTAGTCTTCCCATTTACGCGCCAGCATTCCAATCTCAAAAAAAAAAAGCCGTCGTGATCGACCAAAACCCCATTCCTGCTTTGCTTCCGAGATCCAGGAACCGTGATGAAGAGTCGCTTTGCAATTCACCTTCTGACCTGTTTTTTCAGATATGTCCTTCCACGTCTTTCTAAAAGTATCTTCGCTGTGCATGAAAACTCCTATTGGTATATGGATGCCTTCGGCATCACCAACTGCTTCTCCTAGGATGAGTATGCCAGCTTCGGGTTCCAGAACTCGAAGAAAATTTCTAGTAGCAACCGCTGCTTGTCTAGATCAAAGACGTGGAGAATAAATCCCAGGTGGATGTAGTCTACCGTGTCGGCAAGCTTAGCAAGCACGCTGTCTTCGGTGAGGTCTAAGGCGTCTCCTTGCATGAGCTGTGCTCTCAGTGTATCCTTATCCCGGAAGAGACCGTATCCGAGGTCGATGAAGAGCGCGTTCAGCTCGATACCATAACAATTCTGAGAAGGAACGCCATCGGCAACCAGTTTACGAAAATCCTGGCTTAGACAGAAGCCAATATCAAGGTACTTTGCTCCTTTCTTCAGACGCTCCAACATGGATGCGTAGGACGGCTGCTTGTAGAGACTGAGGTTTAGGAACGCGAAATTACCAAGGCATGGATAGGGGTATACATGCCATGCCTTGTCTCTAGAAGAGGAATTAAACTTCGAGTCCTCGAGCACCTAAGATAAAAACCTCGACTTAAAATTGCAAGAACATGAGCATCCACCTCTTTTGGCGGAATATGCGCGTAGTTTTTAAGCAACAGTTGAGCATCATCTGGGATACCGGGAAATTCCTTCTCATACCATTGTACACCTTTGTCTTTTGAACCGATTAGAGGACTGAGAGTAGAATTGCTCTCTGCTAGGACCCTGACTAGTCTCGGAGCCATCCATTTCACCGACGTTAATATACTCATGAGATAAAAAGGTTGATTTCTTTTTTTTCGTTTCGATAAGAGTTTTTTAATCATGTGAGTTGTGAGAAGAGAGATTCTAGTTACCAAGGTGCGTAGGGGTGTCTAAATAGGTGTCATTACTAACCACTTCTTACGATGACGGGACCGAATCGACGTGTACCCGCCAGACCCGTGAATGGAATATACGAAGAAAAGCATTTCAGCCAATAAGCTATGCAAAAATCTTTAACTACGACAATGACCGAACGTGTTGTGTAACCATACTGTGGCCGCTTACGACTATGAGTTGGAGAGAGGGGGTACGGGATTGGTAACTAAGCCCATCTGCTTGACTAGTGTAATACTGCAGTGACGTTCCAGAGCATTGCTGATAAGTATGACATAAGGTCGAATATGTGTAAGTCGTGTAGCTTTTTAATTATTGGCTTCTCAATACCCGCATTGAAGTTAGCTCATCGGTCAGGTGAGTTGTATTATCCTACCTTCTAATTCCTGGTTGAAGACTTACGGCGAGTACCCCTATTATTCTTTCTTACAGGGCACTGCCAACTTTTATATGCTTGCGTAGAACCTAGTTTTTCTCTCGGAGAAAGCTCAGTAAAAACAAGATTGAAAAGAATCCCGAGTCATGGCAAATTCTAGCCGTAGGGAGAACCCGAGAGAGTGACGAAGCATACTCTGCTCAGAGCTTTAAGGGAAAAAGAAGTTTGAAACTATCGTTGGATAGATCAAACCGATATACGCAATAGATAAGTCAGTGTTGTGCTCGAAGGCGTTGCACTTTACCCCAAGAGTGGGAATGGCCGGTTAGCTACCTATCTAGGTAGGTACCTACTAGTATAAACGGTTTTTGAAACCATGGAAACTACTGCTAGTCCACTAAATCCGCCCAAGAGACTGTCTCATCCTTTTGTATTAATTAGGACAGCAAGAATGTCGGTAAATCTCATATCATGACACGAAATGGTACAAAAAACCAACTTGACGACGACCTGATGTGGTATCCCCTTTTCCTGGGAAAGAGATAAATAGGGGCAAATCAGGAAGGGCCATCTAATCCACTGAAGTTGATGCGCAGAGGGTAAGTTGATTGCGTTCAAATTTTCACCTTAAAGCTTGTAGGATAGGTAGAAATCATCTTTAATGGATGTTTATTTTATGATCTAGTAGTAGCTACCTTGTTACATGGAATTACGCCTCTCCAGATTGAATCACTACCTACCTAGGTAGGTTCAGCATGTCTTACCGATCAAGTTGGGATTAGGGTTTAAAATAAGTACCACTGATCCAACCTAGAAGCGAGCTAGGATAGAAATCAACTTCTATATGTCGGCGAGCCTTTAATTAACTAATACTGCTTACACACAACACGGTTCTGCGCAGAACTTCATACCTCCTTGAACTTTCAATATTCCAACCCAGTACCTAGGTACCTTTAGCTGCTAGTATAGGGTTATCAGTCATGAAAATTAAAAGCAAAGCAAGATACATGGGGAGTTTGCACACCAGTTAGGTACGGTCAACGGAATATCATGACTATTGCTACACCCTGATGGCGAACTGAACCGCCCTCCTTTCAATAGAAAATCTCGCATGCAAATACGTCAATACACAAACTCCTGACCAACAAGTTTTTCACTAAGCTTCCATAGCCTTTCTGCCTCGACGGAACTAGTTGCCCAAGGCCGAACAGTATCCTTCCAGGGATCCGCCACGCGGCAACTTAAGAGATAACAGCCATTATGCGCTTCAGAAATCAGCTAATCGTTCACCTCGGAAATGATAGACGGGTATCAATGTGCTTACCTGCGACTTCTGGATCGAAGGCTCCATACACGTAAACATTTGCACCTACCTCCGGGGTGCAGGGTAGGACAGCACCAAAGCCGGCCCATCCAATGCCATTGCCCATGACGCGATCGATATCGCCTGCCAAGCGCCAGTTGTTAGTTATACTAAGAAAACTCGCAGCTTTATTCGGCTTGACTCACGCATAGGTATCATATCAGAATCGTCTTCGCCGAATAATTTCAAGTGCGACGATAGATTAGACTGGACAAGTCCTGGATGGACACTGAACGCCGAGAGCTTGTGCCTCTGGCCGAGTTTTTCGGCGAGGGAGATGGCCATGAGCATATTAGCGGTCTTCGATTGGCCGTAGCTCAGCCACTTATGGTAGTACTCGCCGTCCTGTAGAACACTCGATCAGCTATTCGACTCCAATGCATAAGACAATCCTATAATGGTATAATTGACTTACGCGGAAGTTGTAATCATCGAAGCGGAAAGGGCTAAGTCGGTGAGCGTCGCTAGTCACGATGATTACGCGAGGTGCTGGCGACTTCAGCATCTTGCCCATGATGAGGTTGGTGAACAAGAAGGGACCCAAGTAATTGATCGCGAGCTGGCTATCGTATCCTTCAGGAGAGCGGGCCCAGTCGACGGCCATGACACTGGCGTTGTTAACCAATACATCAATCTGAGGCACGTCGTCCCAGGCGTTGACTTTCTCGGCCGAAGCACGAACCGAGGCCAGTGAGACCAGGTCGAGCTCTAGAATGCGAACCTTGACGCCGGTCGCGGAGATGGCGTCAGCAGTCTGCTGTATCTTGGCGAGGTTGCGACCAGCCAGGATGAGTAGCGCTGGCTGTGACTGCGCGATACCGAGGACGAAGGCAGCCCCTATTCCACCGGGCGACACTCCAGTAGTGAGAACGATCTTGCCTTTGATCTGGGACTCGTACGTAGCGGCGAGCTCGCTAGCTGTTCTCGGGTCCTTGTTCATGGTTTTTGCTTGTTATAAATCGTCAGTTTGTGTTCGGAGATGAATAGAAGTGACGAGACGATGAGGTAGGTTGCCGAAGTTGCAGATGAGAGTGAAACTGCTCTTTACACTTGTTTAGCTGGCTACTCTACATATTTATACACATCTAAAATGGACAACAGTCCCGATATCTGTCATATCCGCATCGGAAAGTAATGAAGTTCAACTGTATGTTGTCGGCTAGATAGGGGTCTGTCCAGACAGATTTGTCATCAGTAGTCCTCCATTTGGCTATTTAGCGTGACAGGGTTCCACAGTAGACCTAAATCCGATATGACAAGCCTTGATATATCGGTGTTAGGGCCTTCAATACAACCCCTTATGATACTCAATAGGATTATTCAGATTTAATTTTAGACGAGGTGATCTCGCTTCGTATAAGGCCGCAACTTAATGTTACAGAGCCGCGCGTAGCACACCCATCTAGTAGAGTCCCTGTCTTGATGCTGAAGCAGCTTCAATATTATGCACCCAGACATGCAATGGAATTTTTAGGCATCAAAGGTAGGTAATGACGAATAACCGCCCTTTGAACATTAGAGTCTCCCATCTCTATAACCTTCTCCATAGGTAGGTATTCATGGTTTTTCCTTTAAAATTCGCGACAGAACTAAATGCTAGATTAGCCAATGGCGGCCTCATTTGGTTCTAGAGTGGAGCGACTTGGACTTGAACAGATTATTATCTAGTCCCCTCACTAAGGTTCCATTCTGCTCTCATCCAATCGCGTACTCATCGCTCAACTTCCATGTTCTATCAAAACGAAGGATTATAGTATACAGCAGCCTTACTCGTGTCCTCATTAAGCCAATCCCAAATCATGTCGCAAAAAGTTCTCCGTCGTGGCGATCAGGCCCCAGGGTCCGGGCTTCAAGCTGTTTTCACAACTCAGAAATACTCTAAAGGACCGATCGCAATCCCTAGTCCGCCTGAGAACGTAAGTCAGCCGGAAACATGACTAATTTATCACTTATTAATCATACATTTAGCCAGATGAAGTGAAAGCCAAGTGCGACTCGTTCCTGTTCGAATCCTTTACCGTCGAAGATGCCTGGGAACTTGGGCACCACCTCTATGCGCGGCTTTTACCATTCTCACCCCAGAAGCCTACGTTGATCTCCATCTCACTAGCCAGTGGTCAGATCTTGTTCCAATGCGCCGTGGGCTCCGGCACCATGCCGGACAACGAGCTTTGGGTGCAGAGGAAGAGGAATACTGTCCTCAGGTTTGGTACTAGTACCTGGTTCCAACATTGCAAGTATGCAGGGGACGAGGAGGCGTTCCGAGTTAAGTTCGGAATGAGCCCGGCCCAGGCTGAGAAATACGCTATCCATGGTGGTGGCATCCCTAGTGAGTTAACACCTATTACTCTTGAGAATACGCTTGTTTCCCGGGAGACGATGAAAGTACTAATTACCATATCGTAGTTCGCGTCAAGGGGGTTGAGGGGATCGTTGGTGTTGTCGTTGTTTCCGGACTGAAGCAACACGAAGACCACGGAGTCATTGTGGATGTTATCAATGATACTTATGGTGAAGTTCACTAAAATAATTGTGCATTGGTTCGTAATTTCATAGAAACTAGTGACATAGCCATCCATGTTGCTGACATATGGTTAACAGCCTACGTGGTCAGGGGTTTGTGGAACCAGGTGCAAAGTTAAGGCATGGTTCGCAGGTATTGAAGGCTTAGAAAATTCATCTTACCTATAATTGCATCTCAACTCAAATGTCTATGGTGGCATATATCGCACGTGGAAGCAAAACATCATTCACGGTTTGGAGGTCGCAGCGTTTCTGTCTAAAAAAGGGGTCCCAGTAGTGGGCCACCTTGACGATGGGCGTTCTACAACATGTTTTCCTAGGTAGATACCTAGACAACCGAGGTATTTATCTGAATGAAGTAAGAGGGGAATTAATTTGTCAGTCTAAAAATCTGCTTTCACATTCCAATCAGCCCGAATTATCTTCCTATTTTAGTAGGATCTCCTTATATTCCGGCATGTCCCACTTAACATCTTCCTTTAGGAACCATTGCCCGATAATATTCAGCCTCAGGACGGCGACCACCCAGATGATCCAATTCATGATGTAGATCCCGAATGGAGTCGTCGGCATCATACTTCCCCAAACACCCGAACCATCTGATATTCCTTTCTGCACTTGGTCCATGAAGGGGCGGAACTTCTGTTCATAAGCTTTGAGCGCGACCGTGAGTCCGTCCTTCGTATTGACGCCCTCCTTGCAGTGCCTTCCGATCTCTCCGGCGAGGACATACGCGCCCACGATAGCAGAACTGGTTCCCATTCCCGTATTGGCCGTCGGGCAATACGCAGCATCCCCGAGGAGTGTTACGTGGCCATGAGACCAAGAGTCCAACTTGATGAGGCCCATATGTTCAAGGTAGAAATCGTCGGTCTCATTCATGGCCCTGATGACCTCCTCTGTTTTCCAACCCGCGCCCTGAAATATCTCAGTCAGCGCCGCGCGCTCCTCCTTAGTGTCTCCCCGACGCGCGTTCTTGAGCCGCTCGGAGTCACTCTTGCACATAAGATAAACTTGGATCTGATCCGGCTTGTGTCTTCGAATCATTATACCTCGCCGACCGGGAGCGATGTACGATGTAGCGAGATAATCCTCACCTTCTTTTATCAGCTGGGGGATCGTGAAGTACGCGATGTAGATGTCGCGCAGAGGACAGAAGCCGTCATCTGTGTCTGAGCTAAGCATCATCTTGCGGACCTTTGACCCTATGCCATCAGCGCCGACTAGGAGATCAAATCTGTCCGTCTTGCCATTCGAAAACTGGACCTCAACGCCGTCATCTTTCTCCTTGAAGCTTCTGATTGACGCTCCAAACATGTATTTGGTGTGGTCCTTACACTGATCGTAGAAAAGGCGACACAGGTCCCCTCTCATGATCTCCCACTCAGTGGTAAAATTCTGTAGCCCCTTACCCGACTTATTCACCGGAAATAAGGCTTGTCGCTTCCCTGCGCTATTAACTATCTGCAGACCCTGCTCCGGAGCGCTTCTAGCGCGGAAGCCCTGTTCAAGGCCCATCCGCTTCAAGACTTCGATGCCGTGGCCGCGTAGATCGATTTGGAGCCCGGTGGTCCGGAGATTAGGGTACCACTCAATAACGGTGACGTCGTGACCAAGCCTGCCGAGCCAAAAGGCAAGAGAGTTGCCGGCGATGCCTCCGCCGCTGATGAGGACCTTGATTCGTGTCATAGTCAAGATGAGTGATTTGTGGGTGTTGCACCTAGGCGGATAAGTACGTGCCTGTTAATCGTCAAGTTGGGCTGGCTGAAAGAGGCGAGATCTAATCAGCATCTAGAGAGGCAATGGTAGCTGAGCTTCGCATGATAAGAAGCCAGGAAGATTGAGTCATTATATACGGCCCGTCGACTGTTTCGGTATGGTGATGGAAGCGACGACCGTTTATCTCCGGAATGTGTGTAACCCGTCCTTGACCCCGTCTCGGCCGATTTAAGTGGGTCGGTTAGGGTAGATGCCCGTGAGCGCGCCCCCCTAACGGCCGCGGACATAACAAAAGTGATTTAAGGACGGCAAACCTTTCTGCTCTAGTACATCATCAAACTCATATACCTTAACACTGTGTGTCGGTAAACTGAGAAAATCCAGCTGCGCTCGAGAAGAAAAAATCGAGGTCTAAGTTCAAGTCTAGCTCATAATCTCCCTGCCCGCCACTTAGACTGATCGGCGTAAGTCCCGTATTGGGACCTGGCGAAGAGACAGTGCCAGATCGTGTTCGCAATATGTCATAACACAGATCAAGGCTGTTCTTAGCACTTTGCGCAACTTTGAGATCGCACGAAGTACCCTCTTCTATGGCTTCGGCCTGGGCCATAATCATGCTTAAGAACATGGGGCCCTTGACATTCGTCTCGCCTCGTCGGACTCTCTCTATGGCCAATTCAACCATGTTCTTTACAGCTTGTTTGAGAAGCTGTATATACTGGGGGTTGCGATATAGGGTCCCGTCGACGCGCTGTGCCTCCACTTGAGCGATGAGTTCGCGTGTGATGACGGTTAAGCAAAATCTTATCCCTTCCCTGAACATGCCCCCTCCAATGGCCATGAGACGGGAGAATCCTTCATCTGGTTCGGGCGAGATGATGGATAGAGCTGAATCTAGGCTAACCTTGAGCGAGTAGTAGAACAGCGGATTTACCCGTGCCTCACCAGCGAACGGACAGTGTAAAGGGATTAAGAATCGACGTATTAGGTAATCAAGCAGGTTTCGATGAAAGGGTGTTGCACCGGATTGTTCGTTCTCCCTCATGAAAGCGTTACATTTCCGATATTGATCCGTGATCTCTGAGCTCAATGCCAGGGCGTCTAAATAAGAGAGTTCGGTGTGCAGGTCGTTCAGAAGATGGAGGATCCGAAGACGAGTTGGTAGCAAGTCGAGTAGAATGAGCTGGATAGAATTCGTGGTAAAAGTACTTCTAGAATGAGGCTGGAGAGTTGTGGTCGATCCGTCCATCTCATCATCGTTCACATTGGATGGAGCCTCGGTGTCAAAATCATCAAAGGATATCCTTGTTGGCATCGCTGTGTCCAAAGATGACTGAACAAGCATTTCAACTATAGTAGCCCATAATCTCCTACGGATTTCGGCTTGCAACAGAGGCATTGTCGGGAAATGCTTGGGATCACGATGTAACCCTATTTGCATAGCTATGTGGATAAGTGATCCCACGGAAACCCATACAAGATCGCCGCCAATTGAGAAGATCTGCCGTGCTAAGATGGTAAGACAATAGATCTGTACTCCAGTAACATCTAAGCGGTCTTTCTCCAAAGGTCCAGCGAGCCATGTTTGCGCAGCATAAACATAGTGATTGATAGTATTTCGAAACCCGGCATCGCTCTCTATATGCTCGGATAAGCTTGATCCTATCCCAATGACGAGAAGGACCTTAAGACGCAGATCCGTCGTGACACTTTCCGGTTGGTCCCAATATCTCTGGTATTCAGACATGAATGTAGGCTCATGAAGTATCCGGTATGTTGACTCGAATGATTTGAAGTATATAGCTACCATCCTATCCGCTATTTCACGGGATGGGGGCTCTAAGTCAAACTCAGGACGAGAGAGCCTTCTACTGGGCCGCCCTAGTTTGGTACAGCGTGCCATAGTTTTGCATTTCTGTAGGAGGTCCCATATCTGGGCATACAATATTCCAAGCTCATTGTCTTGGGATGGAGTCTCCTTTCTACTATTTGCGGCTCCAATGTAGCAGCCAACGATGGGCGCGAACTTTCCGTGTTGTCAATAAGAGTTTAAGGAATGAGGATTCACGTGAACTATACCTCTTGAGCTGTGCCTATCCGAAGGCTCCATCCCAACATTCTCGTTTTGTTCAGTACGATCTGTGAGTCCCGCAGCCCTAGCTGCCGTGCGAGGATGTCTCGACTAGATTCAGTTAGGCCATTCATGGGACTCGATGCTGCTGATTTGTCGAGTCCTATTCCCCGTTTCATAACTTCTATGAGACCTGGTTCTACATCTTGAGCGGAATTGGGTGATTGGAGGTCAATGCGACCAAGAATAGGGGGATTGTTATTATGTCCCGATCTCCTCAGTGGTTCTCCTAACGATGGCAATGGCTCTTCTGTTATCTGAAGCCTGGGTGGGTATGTATCGCGTTCTGTGATTGGTCCACTGTCGTTGAACTGCCGAGTCTGAGTTAAAGGAGAAGGCGCATTAGCTGTCTTGCTAGACGTCGAACCCCGGGAATAGTCCTGTCGAGGCAGCGGGCTAGCAACAGAGTCATCGCTGTAAACTTTATAAGTGCATTGTAACTTAGAAGAGATACAGTGTGCGCAAGGTTCATTTCGGTTGCACTTAATCTTGCGGCGGCGGCATTCGAGGCACGACAAAGCCGGCCTTCGACGCCTGCGGGGTTGTCGCTGCGTGGGAGAGGTAGACATGGCTCCTAGAGTGATTCGGCCGTATGACTACTTGTGATCTCCATGCAAGTGACTATCCGCACATTGAATAATGCAAAATATGGATTACGACTTTACTTTTTTCATTTTACTTTTTGCACGCCTGAGTCGTAAGACGTTATATCCGAGCTGAACGGACGTAAGCAGGTGCTTGATAATGCCCGAACCGCTTAGGTCCGTTGACCCATATCTAATGAAAATTGATGGATGTTATTGGCGGACTCAAATAAGGCCTTTTTCCTTACTCCCGCTCCGCAGAATGAAGAGCATTCTGACCCGTACCTCCATGCGAGAGCTTATCGGACCAATTAGAGCGCGATGCGGCAATCATTCGATCGCTCGGAGAAAATCACCCAGGAACGCGGAGACTAGCTAACGATTGAGAGCGTCGCTCGCAGCGCCTCTTGACAGGAATTTATTTGAGTAAGATATGTGACCACCCATCAATGCCGCCGGTCCTCAACCAATATCCTGGCGAGGTCGAGCTGTTGATTTCAATGGCTTCTTCGGGTGTGTGCGGGAAGGGAAAGCTGTCCAGGTCCCCTTCAGCCACTTTTCCAAAGCCGGACTAAAGAGCCAGTCCGAATGTGCGAATTAGGCCGTCTCTAGTTCACTGATAAATCCAAACTGTTATTCTTAGATCGCCATTGCCGAATTGAGGCGAGATGTTACCATTAAGGAGCTTTCTATATCTACCTACCTATTTCCTCTCACCACAATTTCGCACTCGCGCTCAAGACGCGAGCGCGACCTATTGACCCCTAGGCTTGGGTCGCCTATTATTAGCATCTAACTAAGCAAATTCCAGCTCGCCGCGCATTTGCTTCAGCTGATATGGTAGGTACCTACCTAGGTAGGCTTCACGATAATCAACCAACTCGCTTATTTAAACAAAGTATCTCAACTCAAGACTAAGATCCCAATTTGCTTTCATCTCTTCGGCATCTGAAACTAAAACCCCAAGTGATACCTAATAAACGAGAAAGACGAATCACCTGTTGTCACTGTACCCATAAACGCAACCTAACGCAGCAATATCTTGTATCTAGCAACTAATAGGAGTGCGATTTTATTCTAATCTCCTGTGCCGATACCATCATGGTCGCCCATAACGCTTGCACACAGCCAGACATCATTATCTTCCGCGGTTGGGAAGATCCTGGTAAATACGTGTGGTCTCCATATGTGACCAAGCTAGAAGCGCGGTTACGCTTTGCGGGAGTGAAGTACACGACAGAAGCCGGGTCCTTGAAAATGGCACCGAAAGGCAAGATTCCCTACATCGAATGCCATGACCTCTCTTCTGTACCTACCCCGGTCGTGCATGAAGGAAGTACGGAATCAAAAGTACTGCTAAGCGACTCGGCTCTCATCGCCAAGACCCTTACCGAATGGAATGTCCTTCCGGATCTCAACGGCGCACTAGATCCATCGAAACGTTCGCATGATATGGGGTTGATAGCTCTACTAGAGAATAAGTTGTATTTTTATCATGTACGCCCTATCTCACCCCGCGATATAGTGCAACTCACTGACAGTATGTCCCATGACAGAGCTGGGAGCGTTGGATCCAGAACTACTATACGATGAGGGACAACGTTCTATGGCCAATACCGTATCCTATACGCGTAGTCGTAGGTTTAATGGTTTATCGAAAGAACAATGCGATGCTCCACGCTCAGGGCACCGGCCGCTTCACAGCTGAAGAAATCAATAATTTTCGACGCGAGATTTGGGAAAGGGTGAGCGCACTACGTAAGTGGAGTCTACGTTTCTTAATACTCCTCTTTGATATCCATGAGAGCAAGCACTCCTTTCGTGGTGTAGTTACTTGAGAAGGACGTCGCATTTCCAAGGCTCATGTCAGGAAACTCTCACACCCTGATAGACACTGCTTAAGAATACCTAGAGACACTACTAACTCTACTGTGAAGTGGCTGTATCGCGATCTAGTAGCAAATCTAGCGGCAATGAGAAGCCATTCTGGGCATTGGGCGGAGAACAACCGACCGAGGCGGACACCTGCTTGTTCGGTTTCATCGTTTCAACTCTGATATGTACTGCGTAAGTAAGGCGAACATGCGAACATTGTCATGTATTGCATAACAATGTGTTATGCGAGGCAAGAAAATACCTATTACTAACGGGTTCATAGTGGACCTGACTCTCAGAAGGAAATAAGAAAATTTCCTACCCTCTTAGATTACGCAGAGCGTATTCACAATCATTATTTCCCGGACTATGAGAAATGGGTAGTATGACGCGATCTGGGTATTCATTGGGATCAGATGTGGGTAAACGAATTATTCACTAGAGGCTTGTATTAAGATGTCACGGAAGGAACCGGATGAAAGGAATATCCCAAATTCTGCGGTGTTAAGCTATCTACATTACGGAGAAATTATCAATTGAACCCAAAGGAAAGTTTTAACATTGCTTCGTTGGATTGGAATCCGATACGCATATGTGGTCCATGACCCCCATACTGTTCTCCTGTGAACATGGTAGTGCTCGAGGGCATTGGCTTGAAGAAAAGCTCTATCTGCCATGATAGCCCCAGGTGCCATTGTAAACTCGCTCGCGTCCTTGTTCGTCGTACACCTGCTCATTCTTGTCAGTTACCTAGGTACCTTTTGCTTCACTTAGTCCTCTCGTGGCTCACCTTCCATATGACAGTTTCCCCTCCGTCAAAAAAGTCGCGAACAAGATCATCCTGCTCAGCCCTCCCTTGCTCTGCGAATTCCTCCAACATATCTACGAGTGACTTTCTCCGGAAGAAAAGATCCCAAGTCCACCCTTCTTTGCATGGGTAGCATTCGCTTCGCTCTTGATACGCTATACTGGTGTCAATAGATGAAGTCCGCATACGAATGATAGCAAATAACGGAAGTCAACTCACTTGCAACAGTCGAGACAAAGCTGGCCAACGTCGCGTTTTCATTCACATCCATACCACGAACAGCTCCGTAACTCCCTTCCTTAACATTGATCCACATATTGCCACGCTCACGCCATCCTCGTCGATGCCAGCCTGCGCCTTTGACCTTGCGTTGGGACATATTAAGAGGACCGACTCCTCTAACTCGTTGCGCTCTGTGGATACGTTCTGGAGGCATGGCTTTAGTCACTTGCACACTAACTTGATGATCCTTTCGAGTCAAACAAGTGGCTTTGTAGGACTGTAGTGATGCGAAGAGTGGGTAAATAGATATCTAAAACCTACAAGGTAGTTACCGGTAGATAGTAGTTACTGCCTGTTGATATTATGTGTTGCTATTCTTTGACCATGTGGGCCAACACCAAGATGGGCACGGTCCTAGCTTGTTGCGGCATCATAGGTACGTATCTAGGTAGGTAGGTAGTAATTTCGATGATGTATTAAGGTCTTCTCGTTTGCACGGTTAATCCCTGCCACCTTATGAGGACACGAAATAGTTAATTCGCTATAAGACGCGGCAAGGCGCGGGTAGCTACTGGACGAACAGAGTTGCCGCTGGGGCTTATTGGAGTACCGTTACCTTGAAATGGCGTTTGTTGCCCGTTCAAATCAGAGCGAGGCTATGCCACAGCAAACATAATGAAAACCATCAAGCTCGAGATCATATTTAGTTACCATAGTGTTGCTGTTTACGTGGTATCTGATGAGTAGGTACTTAGCTCGAAGACGAAGTAAATATTCACTAATGCACAGCACGTTGTCCGGACCATGGTACTGGGATCCGGATTCTGTTCAGATTGTTCTAGAAGCGTACCAGGTACATACACACGGGCTACCTGCTATGACCCACCCAGCCAGCCACTGCACAAACGCATGAGGGTGATATCACATTCAATGCTATTGTCTCAGTATTCCTTGGTGATTTCGGTTTGTATTCCCAGCATGCACGATCGTATGTGAATAAGGAGTTGACATTGGACCGTTTCTCTTATCAAGTTTGAAAATTTCCATTGAATCTAATTGACAACCGTTAGAATGGACTTTACCTACTAACAACCGGGCCACCCAATGCACTTGATACGGTGCGGGGGTAACGTAAGCCAGACTGAGACACTACCCCTATTTAATTGGTACCCACGCCTCGCTCTTGGCAATATTTCAACACCTCCTTGCTAAGCGTTTGACTTTGTCGCTCGACGAGATCCATGATATCCCGGCATCCGGAGCCAAGGTCCGTTGAGCCGTTCAGCGCGCCAACACTGTCAGATATTTCCTTCATCTCCTCCATCACAGCCTGCAGTTGATTCGGGAGCCATGTCACAATCGGGCTACCGCCGGTCGCTGTTGGGTGAGATGTTTGTTTGAGTATGTACTCTCGAGCAAAGCACCAGTGACGCCATCTGAAATCGCGGACTTGGTTCAAGGCTTGCAGCCAAAGGCGCCGAGATTCTTTCACCAACTCGAGGTCCTCAGCCGCCAGTGACGAGGTGCGTCCACTATTTATGGCAAGGGCAAAGTCCTTGACGCCTAGATCCTCGGAGCATTTCTTGACTTCGACGAGGAACTGGCGGTGGTTGCTTGGGCGGTAGTCCCTAAAGTCCTTCAGGATCTCCGTGAGAGGTGTATCCGGCATTTGGACCTGCAGAAGATTATCCATCAGAGGGATCATGGTGTCATTGGCGCCACTCTCCCCTCTGAAGCTGAGAGGCTTGCCGTCATTGACACCCTCGTACACTACGCCGTCTGGGAACATGGACTGCGACGTAATGCCAAAGATGAATGTGCGAAAGCTCGTGTAGGATCGCGGCTTCGACTTCATCCACATAGTCTCCATGACGTCGTTGACCTTCTGCATGGCACCTACGACGGAACGCATCCCCTCGTTGAATGCTTGACGCTGCTGTCGAGGTGAACACCCATCGGAACTTGCAAGTGCTTGCAGAGCTGCCATGGTGCCATGCACTAAGGGGCCCGAGTTCTTGACCATGTCAATATGGACAAGGACAAACCCGGCCTCCGATGATGTAGGGTCAAGGCCATGCTCAAAGGCTCGAATCAGGCGCAAATTGGAGTACTCGAGGCCCGCCTCAGGATTCTGGAGACGATAATTGAACAAAGCATATGAGCCTGCGTATTCCATGAACGGTTTGAATCCCGCGCTGCCAAGGGTGATTAGAAAGATGGGATGTCATCGACATAGCTTTATGTGACTTACAGCTCAGCACAGCGGACTATTGGTCGGGATAACTGCGCTGGGAGGAACGACCTCCCGAGTCCATATGGTTCACCCTTGATGAACCTCATATGACATGGCTCTAGTAGAAACGCCGAGGCTAGAAAAGAATAGTCTCGATAGAGAGCATTCATCACAGGGAGATTGTCGCGATACTTCTCAACCTGATCAGTTAGGTCTGGGAGGCCTTGCAACACAGTGTCACCCAACTGACCAGTAGCAAGGAGCCCCGGCTTGCCCTCCTGTGTCAGAACAGGCATTGCTTGAAGTAGATTCTCGACGACCTCAAATTCAGGCGGGAGGACAACGATAGGGTCCATACGTGCAAGAAAGCCCCGAGACGTTGAGACCATGAAGGCGGGGAGTGAGACGTCATCTGGCTTGGTGTCTTCGAGAACTTCGAAGGACGACTTGGGGATCAACATCTTGTCAAACTTGAAAGGTGTGTGTACTGGTGTGCTCAAATTAGACGTGTAAGTCTCAAGTACTAGAAAAATGGAAGTTTTGGTGTGCTACTGATAATACCCGGAGTGGCGGTCGGCTCGCGTGCTAATATAGACCGTGGCCGGAACTGTTCCGGCCTCAACACCACAAAATTGCGGAGTCACGCTCGAGCATATCCGAACACACCGAATCCTGATAACACGTCGTGGCCGGAACGATTCCGGCCACCAGCGAGACCGGGTTCATGAACCAGACCAAGAATTACCTATTTATTGATAAGCATCTTGGCCGGAACTGTTCCAACCTCAATCTTGGCACCGAACTCGGGTTTACGACGTGTTGCGATTATTTTCGTATGATCACTTTATGATAACGACACCGACACCCGATTGGATTGCGAATGGACTTCCCCTGGTTTTAACAAATATTTAAATGATCTTTGTCAGATATTTACCTAGGTAAGTAGGCGCTTTCCATATTTCACGATGATCTCAACAAAGGTGAAAAGGGGTATTTCTGGGTAAGATGACTTATTGATTTCAAATCGCGCAAGTCTCATAGGATACCTGCTCACCGACAGGGGCACATGATAACCATATCATTGTCTATTGACTAAAGTTACGTAACTCGTGTTCCCCTCTGGGATAAGACCTTAGTTTCTCAGCAACTTCCCCGACAAGGGGAACTAAGAGTGGGTCCATTATCCGGTGAAAGCCGGCCTTGGCCGGAATGATTCCGGCCTCGACACGTGAGTTAAACTACGACTTAGTCCTAGAAGAAGCATACGCCGAAACTCTTTCCGAGCTACGACGTAGGTTTAACAAGCGAGAATAGATCAACGACGAATGACAATTGTAGTAATTCATCCTTACAAATGTTGCGATACGTGACACCCGATGTTGTCGGGTCCTAAGTGTCACCTGACCTCGCGGTCTGGTTTCTACTAGGCGCCCAGTGAGGCTCTCCTAGCTTGAGGATGGAATTAGGTATAGAAACAAAAGACTTGTATGTGGTAATTATGCCTTACTACCTTTTTTAGATACACAATTGCCCATCACTTACTAGCGCCACTGGTCCGCCAAGTTCGAGTAGCTCGCCCTGGGTGCTCTCGACAAAATCTCTAAAAGCGACTCGACAGCATAGCAAGTCTCCGGCAACAGTTCAGATACGGAGTTTTGTTCTTGGATATATCCATTATATCTATAGAATCCTCGGCGTCAATATCTTGGTACCTAGTCTTAGTGCTCAATGCAGCATGTTCTAGTCTACAGTTCCGCCTGCACGAATTATGCTCCCTTAGCCAGAACAGCCTCCACGACATCCTGGATCTCACGCTTCCACGCCTCCTCCCCTCGTGTAGGGTTCCAGCCTAGACTTCTAGCTACACTAGATAGAGTTCGGGAGTCGCTGAAATATGAAAGCTGCGCGATGTCATCGGTTGCTCCCTCAAGCCCAAGAATTTTCTTCATGTCGGATACTCCAACGCTCTGTACTTCCCGATCAGCGAGCAAGCCTTTCTCGTGGAGCACGTCAGCCATTCCTCGCGTCACATCCAACCACGAGAAGCGACCATTGGAACTAAATATGATACCCTTCTTTCCCGTTGGCACTCCTTCGCCGCCGTTCTCTATTATTCGCCTCACAACAAGCACGTACAATTCCGCCAGGTCGTCCACGTGCACGTGGTCCCACACACCCTTACCCTCACCCAACACCGCCGGGCGCTTATTCTTCAGCACGGCGCTGGCTAACATGGGAAGCTGAATGCTGAGCTTGTTCCAAAGGCCCGACCCGAGACCGTATATAGTCGGACTCATGATGACCAATGTCTTAACGCCGAGCTCTAGGCCCGTGTCCACAACCGCTAGTTCCATGGTCCGCTGTCCATACGGGCCTTCTTTCTGCTCGCGCTCTTTCTCGTAGGCGTAGATGTCGTCCTTAGCGTCGTCGAGATCATGCCTTCCCTGTTCCGTATACCCCTTCGCCATCGTTTTGTAAGCGACGTTTGACGTGCCGGAGGTATGGATGAACCACACGTCGCGGCCTGTTGCGGCCTTGCGCTGGGCGAGACCGCGGATAAGCGCCTGCGAGGAGGCGGCATGCCAGCCATGGGTCGTGCTGATGACTATGTCATGCTCTGCGGCGGCTGCGACTGTTGCTTCGATATCGTCAAAGTCCTTGTAGACGATAGGGTTGACGCGGGAGCCGTATGTGGAGGCAAGTTTTGCAGCCCGGTCGGGACCGCGCAAAAGGCACGAAACGGTATCAATGCTAGTGGCCGCAGATGATGAATCAAGGAGATAATTCAAGATCGTGCCACCAATGTATCCAGTGACTCCAGTAAGGAGGATCTTAGGAGAAGTACTAGCAGATGCCATAGTTGCTCTCGTGACTTGATATGGTCACGAAAGGTTGGGATGATGTAAGACGGTAAGCAGAAAATGATAGATCTAGCATGACGGCTTGGAGAATATGGAAAGCTGGAATGTATTTATTGAAGCAAGCTCTGCCAGACATTTTCAAGACAATATAGGGATGTGTCCGATCGTTACCATCGTTCAGATCTGTCTGTTCCTCCAGCCGGCTTTTAGCAGGACAAACGCCGTGGCATATTGTCTTAAAGTCCGATAGACCCACCTTACTTCTAGCTAACCCAACAATCCATTTAATATTTGGCCTTGATGTTAAATATTCTAGGGTTGAGCTGTATCCCATTATTTGTCAAGCGGTGAAATGTTCGCCCGCACGGCCTATCAAACCTCCCGTGACCTTGATGTCACTTATGTTATTATCTAATCATATCGGACTTGGACTTAGGTGTTAAAAGTCCGAGTCCGTTTTGTTGATCATGAAGTGCATAGAGTTCGACGATGAAGCTCTATACGGCATTGTACGAAGATTCCCACGTATGACTGATGCTTAGGTGATGTCCGCCGTCTATTAGCTAATATTGACTCCTATTTTCTGTGGGTCCTCCTTTTTAGAAGCACCTTGATGCATATTTTCGATAATTATACATATATAGGTAGGTACCTATCCCGAGACATTCACAGAACTATGTTCCTTTTCTATCCCTTTAGTTGGCATAAGACTACAGTCTCCACAAAACCTGTAACTGTACATCGGCGATAGCGCAGGCTCTTCGGCCTGTAAGCGTTGAGGCTCTTACAGTGATCTTCAGAGGCGTTTAACCAACTAGAAGTAAGCTTTTGTGGGTGCCAGTGGAGCTCAGGGGTTGCTGGAAGTACAGTTACTAATCCTGCTGGAGCTGTAGTCTTATGCCAACTAAAGGGATAATACATTATTTCAGTTTAAAGGACCTATAATACCATGCGGAATCACATACCTTTCTTAATCCATCAAGCATCATACTGCTATCGGATGCTATGAAAATTTCAATATGAGTCCAAGTCATTACAGAAAAGACCCGATATTTAATACGAAAAAGCTATCGCCATTCATCTATCTTTAACAGGATCGAATATATCAACTCCTAGTCTTCAACTCGGCCCAAAGGAATGTATGTACAAGCCCTTATCATCACATTGTCTTGGGACATATCTACTATATCCATCGATGTACCGTCAGTGTGCTTTATCGTACATGCCCACAACATTGAGTCTGCCAACACCGCGCTAAAGTAGCTTGAGTGAATAGTTTCAACGCAACTTCGCAACCCACGCGTCGAACTGGTCGGACTTCGCGGCCGATAGGTCTACGGTGAAGATACCGTGCTCAGAGTGGATACCAATAGGGGATCCAGGGTCCGTAACGTCGATCGGGGGTGTCGCCGAGGCGGCAAACGCGAAGCTTGCAGCTGTTGCGCCGGGGTCAAGAGTTTCCTTGGAGCCGCCGTTGTGGACCCACGTACTGCATCCTTGGCAAAGCGTAGTTAGAGTCCAGTGAGTCTCATTCACACTCGACCCTTTGAGTATGGTATGATTCGCCGCCTCGTAAAAGTCGGGTTGTTCGTGGGCACTGGCAAAGCTTTAGTTTTATCCCTTGGTGGAGATGTCAGGTAACATACGTCGCAAAACGACCAGACCCAACTGTGGTATTTCCATTCGCCCACCCGAGCGAGATGGGATTGTATAGCATCCCACCGCCCCAAGCGAGTCCCGCCCAGCCAACTCTCTTCGGCGCAACTATTTGGAGGAGGACATCAAAAGGACCTTCTCCTACGGCGGGGATGGCGATCCGCCAAGTAATAGGGGCTACACCAACAGTAACTTCAGAATAGCAGATACCGCTCGATGCATCACAATACTGTGCGGCCGCAGAGGTGGGAGCTGTGAGACCATGACCGGCGAGGACGGCCGCCACTGTAGCAAGTCGAGCAATAATACCCATCGTGTCTCTTCTTGGCGGGATTAAACTACCTAGCCTATGGGCATACTTAGGCTACCTAAGTCCCTCCAGCAAACGAGATGGCGCCTTATATACCTTCGTATGCCTTGACGGTAAGACTTGCTAACGTATTCATGCTCTCATTAGCCGCCAAGCGCAGTTCCTGCCTTATATATTACGGGCATCGGCAGTTGTCGTTCTAGTCACGTTCCCATCGAGTAGCGGAACGTGGATGGGAGCAAACCATGTTTGTGAGAATGAAAATAGACATATTATCCGAGCCATGATTGGCTCCCATACGTTTGCCAATGCGATGGAAGATGCACCCCGCCTATCTGGATCCGTATCTATGGTTTCATTCATTTATACTGACGCGGCTGAAGTCGTAAATAGGGCGGAGCTTCCTGTACGTCAAGGTATCGTCTATTTTCGGTAAGATGTCGGAACACGCCAGGGAGAGGCTATGATATGTGGTTATGACAGCTTCCCGCTTTGCGTAGTATTTAGTAATATATCCGCGTCTGTTTGAGATTAGTATGGTGACATAGATAGTTGGCCTATGAGTTCATACTATGAGGCGGCTAAAAACCCCTTAAAGCCGAAACATTCCTGGATATTTTAGGATACACACATTCATGATATGAACGGGCAGTGATATCAACAAGGATATAAATATGTCATACGTTCGTTATCATTAACCTTTACTACTACCTACCTATATACGTAGCTTTTAGTCTGATTTTACTCCAAGATTAGGATGCAATTGTGACTTGGAGTTGTATCGACTGGCGGGTCATCGGCTTTTGTCCTGTAGCGTAGCAATGCCAAGGTTGAATAATCGTGGAATTTGACTCAATCGCTCTCAATGTTCAATAGTAGGTAGATGTTTGATCGGAGAATTGTTTGATACTACATTTAGAAAAGGTTTTCGTAATGTAGGTACCCACCCGTAAGATGTCTCGTCGCCGCTGTTATCCCGCGATAAAATTCCCCGCTCAGGGGTCGTTAAGAATCGTTGAGCTCTACAGAAGCACTTATCTGCTATTGTTATTCTAGACTAGGTAGTATACCTAAAAGAATAAGTTCTATCTCGAGTATCAACCGCAAAAGATAGAAATGCCCTTCTTACAACCTCGCTTGTTCATTTGACGCACCCCGACCTGCTGCCTCCGCAGCGACAGCCTGCGCGAACGCGGCCTGGACATCGTGTTCGTGAATCCAACTCGGGTCCGCGCGGTTCTTTATCCTGGCTCTCAATTGCTCGTCTGACTCTAATTTCTTTCCTTCTGAGTACTGCGCTATCTTCTTCAAGTTGTTCTCGTGGACGACCCTCATCACGCGGTCGGTATGCGGCTTTCGGGTCCTCTCGTAGATGCGTAGGGCTTTCTGTATCTCCGCCTCGGTGGGCTTCTTCTTCGCATCCACGGGGAAAACGTGTAATATGGACGATGCGAATGCCCATGCATCGTCGAGAGCAAGGCTGCCGCCCGCCGCGAACGCACCTCCGTGTGCATGGGCGGCGTCGCCGGCAAGAGTGACTTTCCCATTTCCGAGGACCCAGGTTTCTAGGGGATGGGCTGCTGAATTCGGGTAAACTCTAGTGTGAGGTACTGCATCGACGATCTGGCGAACTAGAGGCGACCAGTCTTTGTAGAATTCCCTGATAGTATCCACATTTCCGTCAGAGTTCCACGTCGAGTCCTTATAAGGGGCATCGGGAGCGTTGGGGTCTGCTTGATAAGACCCTACGACAGTGAAAAGATCTCTTCCGAGTTTCGACACGAAGAAAGTCCGGTCTGGCCCCCAGAAGTGGTTCGCCTCGTCTGGTAAATCCTTGATGTGAGCGACGTGGGAAATGGGAAAGACGGATCGGAAAGCCACCCATCCTGTCCAAGCAGTGCTTGAAGTCGGAACGAAGAAAGTCCTGACGGGTGAGTGTATTCCGTCCGCACCGAGAATAATATCAGCAGTAGCTGTAGTGCCATCCGTAAATGTTATTATGAGCTTCTTGGTAGCAGCATCGAATGCGACAGATTGGAATGACTTGGACAAATGGATTTTAGACGGATCAATGTGTTTCGCGAGCGCCTCCTGTAAATGCGCTCGGTAAAAGCGGGAAGTCAAGTGTCGGTATTCGACTTCTCCAGCATGAGAATCAGTTGATACGATCTCATTGGTCTTCCAGTGGCTGGATGCTACGTTAACTTTTGAACCTTATAAGTTTAGGGGTGGGACATACCGATAGATCATAGGATATCTTGATTTATTACGAAAAGCAACTTCGTCATCTAAGGCATTTTGGACTCCCAGCCTATCCAAAGTTCTCATTCCATTAGGGCCAAGCGCAATAGAAGCTCCTATTTCTCTGAGTTCTGAAGCTTTTTCGTATACCTGCACATCAATAGCGGGGTGGTGTTTCAGTGCGATAGCTGCACCAAGACCGGCGATGCCGGCGCCAATGATGGCGATTTGAAGCTTTGAGGAGTCGGTCATGGCCTAAGATATCACAATATGCGATTAAAGTATTATAGCTTGTATTGTGGAATTTATCAATGTATTTTTTGCTTATATGGGGGGCGAAACACAAGATGATATACAAAAGTATCGTCTCCGGAGCCGGCTCGGGATTGTGTGATCGACCGGACGGACCCGAGATTGCGCAAGACAGGACTGAAATGGCGAAGCAATATCTCATTAACCAGCCACATCACCCCCTCTAGAACGTCACCATTTCGGGAAAAGCCCGAAGGTAAACCATGCGAATCGGACCGCAGTTACATCGTAGTTATCGCAGTGCGACAACCGGATCCAGGTGGTCTTCATCGGATCACGCTTCCTACAAGGAGACGTGTATCCGACTTTGGGCGCCGTCAAGGATGTGTTCGCCATTATTGTGGGGTTTGACGCGTGCAACCCAGTTGGTATCGTCACTATTCAGGAGTTTTTCATATATTCGTGCTACCATTACTTAACGACGTTGGCCAAGTTCTATTCCATTCCTTTGGGATAGGCCGCTGTTCCTAACGTCGGCGATATGGCGTCTAAAAATGGTGTCGGAGAGACCTCCTCAACCGAAATCATCGTCGAAGCTCCTAAACTACCTGATAAGTTCGCCGACGAAAGTTATAAACTCTTTTCGCAAGTCAAGGTCGAACCACCTACCCCCGAGGAAGCGGCACGAATCCGCAAGAAGAGCGTCCGATGGATATTATCATTCCTATGCGTGGGATACCATCTGATGTATGTCGATAAACAAACGGTATGTACCTACTCTGTATAGATAAAATTATCAAACGGCACTAATCCTGATTATTTTATTCTTCTTAGCTTGGAAGTTCATCTATTTTGGGTATCCTCGAGGACGGCCACTTGAATACAAACCAATATAACTGGTTAGCCTCGATATTCTATCTTGGCTACCTATTAGCCGAATGGCCTCAAAACTGGGCGTTACAGCGATTCCCAGTTGCAAAATGGTTAGCCGGTAACCTCATTGCTTGGTAAGATGGTCCTATGTCTATCAAGTCCATGTCAGTGCTGACCTAAATAGGGGTGCCATAATACTGTTACATATTCCATGTAATAACTTCGCATCTCTGTTCGTCGTTCGCTTTGTGCTCGGATTAGCAGAGGCTTGTATTGTTCCAGCGTTCCTGTTGACATTATCCATGTTCTTTACGTACGATGAACAGGCAGTTTTAATGCCTATCATGTGGGCTTCGGGCAATTCGAGTCCCATAACTTCAGGCTTACTATCTTACGGGGTTCTGTTCATTAATACAGGCAGTTTCTCCTCTTGGAAGTGGTTCATGGGTAAGTCACTTATCATCATCTTATGAAATTTCTAACAAGACAATTAGTCATTACCGGAACCTTGACTATTATATACGGCATTTTTGTGTGGCTTTTCTTCCCCGATAATCCTATGTCTGCCCATTTCTTAACATTAGAAGAGCGAGCGCAAGCCATTCTTCGCATTGCTTCAAATCATTCAGGAATTGAGCAGAAGCGATTCAAACGTCATCAACTCATCGAGGCACTGAAGGATCCGAAGACGTGGCTCTTCTTCCTCCACTCGTGGTCTCAAGAAATGGCCAACGGCTTGACCAGCCAGTATTCGCTCATCATCAAATCGTTCGGTTTTACCACACTCCAAACTACATTATTGGGCTGCGTCACTGGGCTCACATCTTTGGTTTCGCTTGGCATTGCGGCTTTCATATTAGCAAAGACACGTAATAGTCGGGCATGGATCTCAGCTGCTGCGTATATCCCACCTATTATTTCCAGCGTACTGCTTATTGCTCTTCCTTGGAGTAATCGTTGGGGCCTCCTTTCGGCCATCTGGATTCGATCAACCGGTGGAATCCCTTACAGCGTGGTCATGATCTGGGCAGCTAACTGCTCTGCTGGACACACGAAGAAGACTGCGGTCATCGCCCTCTACCACGTAGGATATGGACTTGGCAATATTTTATCGCCGCAACTATTCCAAGAGCAGTATAAGCCCAGATATATTGTTACTTGGTGGGTTATCCTCTGGGTCGCTTGCGTACTACCCACATTCATCGTCTTATACTTAAGATGGTATCTGGTAAAAGAGAACAAGAGGAGAGACTTACTCGCTCAGCAAGGGGCTATCAGGGAGATCGGTGTCATTGAGCATATAGATGAAGATGGCGAACGACGGGAAGAAGTGGTTGATGCTAGACAATTAGATTTGACTGATCGGGAGAATCTAGCCTTGTAAGTTCTACGGCCCTCACAAGCTTGTCGAGCACATACTGACGGATAGGTACACAGCCGTTATGTGCTATAACTTCTAGGTAAAGACTGGTGTACATGGGTAGGTAGGTATGGATGATAGAACAGCGATCATTCTGAACTTACTATGTGGGCGGAGAAACTAACCCAATTATGTATCGTGAGCTTTCTTGAGTTTATACATGCATACATACAAACAAAAACACATCCACATACATCCATGCCAACCTAAAAATACGTGCCCGTAATATCCATCATGTCCCTGTCATAGACTCATCTGCCGTACCTAGCGAAGCGGAGCAGAGCCCACAACTCCCCTACCTACTGACCATTATACGCAAGCACATCATGCTCAGACTGCGAATCCGTGACCACATCCTTCGTAGCCAGATCCTGTATACGATCGCACAGAGCGACGGGATCGCGCGCGCCCTCGAGGCTCAGGAGGTAAGCGCCGAGGCCGGCGATATGCGGCGTCGCCATCGACGTGCCGGAGATGATGGCCGTGCTGCCGTTGTTCCAGGTGCTCAGCACGTCGACGCCCGGCGCGAACACGTCGACCAGGTCCCCGTAGTTCGAGAAGGGCGCGCGTGCGTCGTCCCGCGAAGTCGCGCCCACCGTGCACACGCTCGGCTCCGACGCCGGCGAGTACTGCGACGCGTCCAGGTTCCCGTTCCCGGCCGCCACGGCGAGGAAGAAGCCCGCCTTGACGGCCTCCGCGGCGGCGGTGTTCACGGATGACGAGAGCAGCTTGAGGGCGCCGAGGGAGATGTTTCCTACTGCCTTTCCGATTCCTGGGGGTGGGTGATGTTGCTTAGCTACGATAAAGAAAGTGGATAGGGGTAATAGAAGGCGCATATGGTAAGTAAGGTGTGTAGAACTTACTGTCTTTCGATTTCGCATCGTCGACCGCCCACTGGATGCCGGCGATGACCTGGCTGATCGCGCCGGATCCGTCCGCGCCTAGGACCTTGACGGCGACCAGGTGCGTCTTCTTAGCCACGCCGTACGTGAGGGAGCCGGTCGTTCCCGCGACGTGGGTGCCGTGCCCATTCTCGTCCGTGTCGTTGTTGCTACCGTCGACGAAGTTCTTGCCAAATGAGGCGCGCCCCTCGAATTCCGGGTGGTCTAGGTAGATGCCTGTGTCGATGATATACGCATACGTGCCCTTGCCGGCCGTCTCATCATACTTGTACTCAGAGGCTCCTGGCTTGCGGCTGGAGAGCCGGGCTAGGCCCCATGGCGCGGAGCTTTGGCTCGTTAGGGCATTGATGCTCACTTTGAAGTCTGGCTCGATGTAGGCAACCTTAGAACGTATTAGTCGCATTTGTCATACAAGAGGAAAGGTCGGTTCTAAACGAACCTCGTCTAGATTTGCGATTGAGTTGATCGCGTCGTCCGAAGCTGATATCGAGTACCCGTGGAAGCTCCCTATCTTGTAAGTATGCTTGGGCTCGGTGCCTCCCAATATGCCGGTGAAAGTGCTGTGAAGACTATCTGTCGCACTGTCCTTAAGGACGGCGATCCAGTTACCCGGAATAGCTTCGGCTCGTGCCTCTAGGATAGGGGCCGCGAGGGTAGCTAAAGGAGCTGTCAGGAAGGCGCCGAGAAACTTCATTGTATAAAGAGGTGTCCGGTCTATTAGCGGTTGCCTATAGTATATAAGGCAATGCTGTCTTTACTCAATACTGCGCGTAGAGGAGAGAAAGAGAGTATCCAAGTGTGAATCCAAAGACCAAGACCAAGCTGCTAGCTATAATGACTCGCGAGTAGCAGAGACTGGCGTAAAGCTCAACTTTAAAGGCTTAAGCTTTTTCAAGCATTGCATGCTGCTGTCATGACATGAGCATACTCGCAGGACAATGCCCGATAATGCAGGGCCCGGCATGGCATTGCGACCTGGCGCTGTCACGATGCACACCATTTTCCCTAGTCAATCTTCATCCCGTCGTAGCACCGCGTCTACTACCCAAATAGCTTAGCAGTAGCTTCCTCCCTTCGGGAAAAATAGAATGAATCTCAGGCGGGATAGGGTCGTATCGAGAGGGTCTTGCCAAGCCTGCGCCGGGTTTTCCTCAAGCTTTTGAGTGCCGGGAACCTTAACGATGATGTGAATGGCGCATGCTTCCTTTTTGGTGTAGCTAGCGACGGACCAGCGGTAGCAGCCGCATTTTCCCCTCATTGCCAGGTGGTCATCCCGTATTGTTAATGGTTAATTACTTGAACACTATAACCGCAGTAGCTTATTAGAGATCTTCGCTTCAGTACCGTCCCGGATAATCAGCTGATTGCCAGAAGATAGTGATATATTTCCGTACCTCTTAACTGCACCCACCTCTCGAAACATGTAAATCTGAGATAAGATACCTAGTGAATTTTGAAGAACTTCCTGTAGGAATTGTGAGTACTGTCGTTCTATCAGGGGCATTCTCGCATTCGTCTGATGTTATAAAATGTAGGATAGCGCAATACATATCTCAAGTTGATATTTATAGGGGTAGTAGGTATGAGGGAGAATTGTGGTAGTGTTCATAATTCGGCGTCTTCTCCGAAGTGCGAGAACAGAGGTCCACTTCTGCGATATTCCTTGGTCCATGTCTGGTCAGTAATACGTGAGTTCATTTACGTGTATGCATGAAGATATCGGGAATCAAGGAATAAGGTGGGAATGCTTTACACGAGAACTTTAAGTAAAAGATGAACAATATCCTTTGAAAGAGTTATGACCTAATTAATTAACGAGCTCAGGGATTTGAATTCCAAGCTCCGCGGAATTTGAAGAACGAAGATGTGATACTTCATCAACTTCACTTAAGGGGATATACGCCAACATCCATACATCCATGGATGGAGTGGAAGTCAACAAGCAGTGACGCCTCGTCCGTACCTCCGTTAAAGCTTAGTGGATAATCTTCTCTACGCAGTAAGAAATCCAGGGGGCTCAGCCACTAAGAAAAGCGCCACACAGCCCGAGGCACGCCTCAATTACGCTTTAGCCTACCTAGGATGAGTTGGAAATTTCCATGGATAGTCCCCGTATGAAGCTATCTAGCTTTTCTTATAAATCCCCAACCTCTGATACGTCTCCCAATCCACCCAAGGCCTCTCAAAAGCCGGATCGAACGCGTCCCGCACGCATCCCATCCCCTCCGCGATCTGATTACCGCCGCAGCCCCCACGCCCAAACGGGTTTTCGGCCCCGCGGTACAGGAAGTCATCGACCTCCTTCTCAACCCAGATGGCGCGCCCAGCAAACCCATTATTCGGCGTCTCCACGCCAATCGCGACCCTCGGCCTCGCGTCCTCGTGCCTGTCGCGCCAGCCCAGCCTGTCGCGCATGTCCTCGAGTAGCGTCGCGTAGCAGCCGCTATTATCCAGGAAGCCGAGGAAGCTCAGCTCGAGCGAGCGCAGCGCGGGCGGCAGCGCCGCGAGGAAAGCCACCGCGTCGTCCTGCGCGACGAGGAAGTTGCTCAGCCCGAAGTGTTGCAGGCGAGGCCACTTCTCGGCCGGGAAGACGTTGCGCAGCGGGATGAAGTGCTCGATCGAGCCCGCGCGTCCGGGTCGTGGCGCACGTCCGTCCGCAGGCTCAGGTGCTCGAGGTCCGCCGCCTGCGCCAGCGTGCGCCGCAGGTACCCGTGCCGGAAGGGGCACCAGCCGAAGTGCTCCTGCGAGCCGACGAGGAGGTCGAGGTCGAGGCGCCGGAAGCCGGGCCGGCGGAGCAGCGCGACGAAGTCGTTGTACTCGTCGCACGGCTCGTCGAAGATGCGGCAGTTGAGGCCCGTCTGCAGGTAGCGAGCATCGATTAGGAGTTCAGTGACGTGGTGGTGGTGGTGCTGCTGCTGTTGCCGCGCGAGCTCGCGCATGACAACGCGGAAACCTCGCCAGTTGTTCTTGTACTCTTCGCCGTCCCACTCCTCGGCCTCGGGCGGCGCCTCTCCGGCGTCTACGCATGGCCAGCCGCGCGGGATCGGACAGTTGAATCCGTACGGAAGCGAACGGATCATGGGCGATTCGTACAAGGGAGTATACAAAAACCCGTGTGCCGCAGGCGTAATGACAATTCTCTTCAGTGCGGGAAAACGCTCCAGTCCGTATTGTAGCAACCGGATGTCGCCGTCAGTACGTAAGATATGGTCCTGCCGCAGCAGTAGGTACTGGTAGTGATCCCACGACTGCCGGTCCCTCGCAATGTGGTCTTGGGTGTCCACTTCGCAGTACCTGTTTCTACGTGCATTTAATTCGAACTCATTATTCTTGCATGCTTTCACAAACGATAGTGGAGCTCCCGTAGTATCGAGGCATTCTTCCTCTTCCCAAGCCTCATCTGATTCGTATTCGTAAGTCCCCCTTTGCGGTAGGACGGGGGGCCTAGCCAGGCGCGCATCATCGTAGATGATTTCCACGATGTCCTTGCGGAACGTTTCGTGGTCAGCAATAGCGTGGAACACCTCAAGATTACGCGGATTGGGAGATAGAAACACCCTGGATAAGCGTAGGTGAGCTCTATCGTGGAAAAATTTGCATGTTTGCCTAAGGTTCTTAATGTCGCGATTGGGCAGGTACCTAAGATATGATGGAAGTAAGCAGTTCAGTGGGAAGATCTGTCAGAGTAACTGAGGATAGCGGGTCAGGTTCAATCAATTTATGAATTGGCAAAGCCATGTTTAGCGTACTACTATAGGAAGGGTTTATAGGATGACAATCGACAAAAATCACAAGAAGAGTTATTCCGGGAAATGGCCAGTTATAAATTGCTTGTTATATGCAGGTATGGTATTCACTACCCCAGTTTCCTCTCTATCTAACCACACCAGTCATCTCTCCTATTGAGGCATAGCAACTAGCCAGTAAGCTGGTTGATGCCTAGCTCTAAACTAGGGGTCTGGCACGAGTGACTTCCCCACGATGCGATATCCCGGTTCTAGGCGGTGGATAGGCGTTTGGTTGTCTGGTCTCGCTTCTCTCGAGTGTTGATGGCGTCTGTGGCCCATAGGATGTTTTCCATGCTTTGAGCGTCATGTACGGTTCGGACGCTTAGACTTTAACACCGCTGAATAGCTGACCCATTGAATCCTGCTGTAAGACTCAGCTGAAAGTGCGCCAAGCTTTTAGATCCCATATGGAAGAATAGCGACAGGATTCTCAATGGTTAACTTCCCGGTGGCGTGGAGGTTGGGAGAAATGCACAGGAAATGGAAGATGGAAAGGATAATGAACTTAGAGAAGCTAGAAGGTAGGCATTAGGTATATATGATCTGGGCGATGCATCTGGTATTTATCGAAGTGAGTAAGTGGTTGTTCAAGTGCCATGCATCACTCGAACCAAGTTCATGCCAGTCAGGTGCCATTTCATGCCGCTAGACCTCCCAACCAGATGTCGAGAGTACACTCCCTTTCTGTTAAAACGTCCAGGTCGTACGTTCATAATATGGCTTACGGTTCGGATTCGTGATTTCCGTGATACATATTTTTGGATTGCGGCCGTGTGTGAAGATGGGCGAGTGGGAGAATGAGCTGCTGGTTGGATCTTGGAAGGCCCATCGATGCTCTTGTATTACAAAATACTTAGGCGTATCGTCGCGCCTACATTTGCTTTTCCGTCTGCTGAGATATTGACCCATCGTTCCTTTCGTTTTCGGTTGTCGTCAGGTGGATTTAACGGGTGATAGTCCCAGAGAAGTTGCTCGATAAGTAAGTCCTAGAGTTCAACGTGATCCGTGCAAGGAACTTGGTGATGGTGAACACCTTAAGAAATACTAAATATATGATAACATAGGGTAATAAACTAATGAGCAAGAGAATAGCATTTGAGCGATGTAACTAATGTGTTTGAACGAGACAACGTTATTAAGTATCATTTCTAATGTCTAAAATTCTGGCCGCGGAGTAAATCGATGGCTCGTCTGAATAAGAAGTTGACTGAGACGTCCACTCAGTACTTCTAGGACTCACTTCATTCGTACATGATGCATTGGCCCCTGACAAGTTGTTATCCTTAATCATGTATGGTGCCGGTTGTTACCTATAAATTGAATATGTAGGTATGGAATGAAAATTCGATTTTCGTGTCAGTCCCATAGACATGTTAGCTAATGGGTCTCGTAGAGTATTCGGTTCTAAACATTCGTTTCGTAGTAGCACATTGTTTGAGCTGATACTTCCTTTATCTGCATCGGGCAGGTAACTAGCTAGACGGACTCGGCGAGAAGTAGAAGGATAGGTATAGAGTTGAACATTTTAGCATTGAAAAGCCCTAAAATTTAAACCAGAGTAGCAAGTTCGTAACTTCAAGGGGCTCGTATTGCAATCATTGAAATTCATGAATCGCTGACTCCAAAAACCCAAGGATGCTTGGAATGTGTAGCTGTATCTAATGTGGATGCTGCAATTCCAGCAGAAGTAAGAAACGTAAAAGTTGGTATCATGTCCGCGTCGAATCATGGCTCTAAAAACAGGAAAGCACGAAAACGCCGGTTTTTTTTCAGGTGTTAGCACACGTCATCAGTCCCACAGCCTTATCCATTGATCATGAAATAGACCGTTACGAGTTTTGTCGCTGTCCGGACATATCTTCACTCGCTTTCCCAGTGATCCATGCCCCCTACGTCACCATCTCCGTCAATCTCGATCGTAGTACCGAGAGCTTCTTTCCCCTGTCGGATCATGTCTCGTAATCTAGCGTTGAGGTCATTCATCTTCCAGTCAGTCTCCATTTCCTCTTGGAGTCTCCTAGCTGCCAAGTTCTTCGCCTCGGCATCCAATCGAGGGCTGTTGTTCCCCAATTCCTGTACCGAGTCGCGTCTCTTCATCCTATTTGACGGTGCTGATGCAGCTGAGGTCGTACTATGATTCCTCCCGTGGCTACGTTTCGGCTGGACAGTAGGGCTAGGAATGAAAGAAGGCTGTTGTGCAAGGCGAGCAGGCGATATAGCGCTAGGTGTTTGAGGGCGGCTTGGAATCGGAATTCTACTGGGAGTGTACGACGGAGCAGGGGATTGAGCTCGAGGAGAAGCGAAACTTGCCGGCTCTCGGTTGGATAGAGACACGGATCCCGCAAGGCTTATTCTACCGGACTGACGTCGAGCAAAATTCGGAGTACTCATTCGGCTCACAGGTCTACCAATACGACGGCGGAGAACCGGAGGGAACGTTTGCTGTTGATGCGTGTAATTGGTAGACGCTCGGGATGCTCTACTCTGCGGCCTCGTGTTCTCAGGTTGGTCCTGAACCATGACCCAATTCCTACCGAGCCCTTCATCTCCGGTAATTCCATCGTTGATTTGGCGTCTTTTTGCCGCCGGCGGGGGGGTTGACTCCGGTGTTTCTCGCTCATAATGGAACGGGGAAGAGTCTGACTGTGGAAACCCGCCGGGTGTCCCAGCAGGGTCTAAACTAGGAAGCGTGGGAATGTCGTGTTCGTTACACCAAACTTGGCCGTTCGAAGTTGAAAGCTGATTGGGCGGTGTCTTCACATCGTATCCTTTCCCGCCCCCTGCGTAGAAACCGCGGAACACGCCAACTGTGCAAAAATCAAATACCTTACCAACAACCCCACCGATCGTATTTAAAGCAAAAGAACCCCATCCGTTAGGCTGTTGCGGCTGGGAGGGCGACGGCTGCGCCAGGGTTGCGTAGTTTGCAGGCGACTCGATCTCGCTGTGCGGGCGTTTAGAAGCGAGCACACGCCTATAGTCGATGTCAGAATAAACGCTATCCTCCAGCGCATCGTTAATGTCCGTAGGAGCCACCCCATTCGGGGATTCCATATGGCCGGCTAGAACGTATCGTCTTCCTCCTTCCCCGATATACCTGTTCATCTCGGTCTTCTCTTCGTAGGCGCCATCGTAGTCTAATCTTGTATCATTCATAGGTGTAGAATCTCCGTATGCCCGCCTCTTTCTCTTCGTATTCTGGCCGGGTATTGTCGCATCAGAGTAAATGTTCCCAGTAGATTTTCCTAGATACACAGAACTAGAAGGAGAGGATGATATAGGAGGTCGGAACATTCCAGGGTGGACACCGGACAAGGGAGTTCCATTAGGAGCTTCAAAGTGGAACGCACCAGGCATGACGACCTGTGGTCCGAATGACATTTTAGTGTACGCAAAATTCGAGTTAAAGGCGGTGAACAGCTATTCGGATGGACAACTTGCTCCTAGATTTGAGGTGAATTGTATTAGGTTAATCGCCAGTAGAAAAATAGACGTGCGATTTTGCAAAGCTTCTTTCTTTTAGAAGATGACAAGTGCTTGTGATTCGATAAGACGGGGTGACAATGCGTTTGTTATCATAGCTCGACAGCACTGATGATGACAAAGCGTCAGCAGCTCGCAACAAGGCCGAGGATCGACAATGACGACTATTCGTGCCCTCTGTCGCTAGGATTCGTCGTGTTATCCTATTGTCCTGTCGTCGTGTAGGTGTTTTGGATGCAACGCAAACGATGTTGTCGTCGCTGGTGTAGATTGTCTTAGAAGACTGAGAGAAGACAAATAGAAAAGATGATGATGGAGGGTGGGATGAAAATTTGGAGCTCGTAATCACAAGCCTCTTTTTGAGTTCGCGTGGTCTCCGGGCGTACCCTGCTAGTAGTGTCTCTAAGGTTGTGTGACGACGCTTGTGAGGGATCGAATTGCCAATTGCCAATCGGGGAACCTCTTTTAGCTGTTGGTTTGGTGGCTCTTGCCTCTCTTGTCTCACTTTCTGGCCTATGTCTGCCTGGATGGCTAGATAAACTCTGCGGCTAGTAGATTCAATGTTCCGGTTATACTGAAGTCGTAACCTTGCAAAATGTAGAGTCAATGTAATCGAGGTAAAACATTAAATTTAGTGACCGATTTACCGAGATGCGATGACAGACATCTACTTGTCTAGGAGGAATCCGCTGGCCCGTATGACGAATGGTATCTAGGACGAACGTGGCAATGCGACAGCTAATAAAATGACGAAATCCTTGTACTAAACCGGTTGGATTGGTGACTGGCGACGTGCAAGATTGAAGATGATGTAGTATAAAATCTGGAATTCTTGGAATCTAGCTGGTCTTAGACATTTGGACCCTGAATGTTGACAGAAGGATAAACTTTGATTTCTGGAAGCTTTGGATGGCTGAGTTGATCCTTGACTCGTTCGTTGCCGGGTCAGAATCAACTGTGAATAAAGGAAGCTTGGAAGTCAACAGTGGAATTGGTCTGAGCGTTGCTATTGTTTAAGGCTACCGGCTTATTAGCGGACCAGGATCCCGGATCTAATATAGTGGGGCATTGCGGGGCACGAACGGAATATGGATTCATCTGATCCTTCCACTTCACGACTTTACAGTGTACAATAATCGATAAGTACCTCTCCGCATCAAGGTGTTATTCGGGCATTTATATGGATCTTTCCTCACTCTTCTAATATAATGGCAGTATGAAGAAACTTAGCACCAACGCAGAAATATAACAATATTTCGTTGTTATTCATAACCACCATGCGTCTCGTCTCTATCTAGATACCTAGTGTATGTTGGCCATTCCGAAGTTCCTATCCCGTTCTGCCCGTTCTACCTAGTTAGTGTGATGACCCTCTATGTCCGGCACGAAGCAAAAAATCGACCAAAATATTCAGTGCTGATAGGGGTCCGGTATCATGCTGGATCAGACCCCTTTTCAAGCCAGGACTCTCATTTCGAATAATAGGCATCTTGGCCCTTAGATGTGGCCTCCTTCACACCGCCATTCACACCAGCTTCGCCGTGAACGTGCGCTTCCGTACCCCAGAATTCATCGCGCTCCTTGAGAATCTCCCTCGCCCACTCTTGCGTTTCCGGCAACACTACTTTAGTCGCCACATACGCGAACTCGCCAAGGTCGAGCCGTTTATCCACACGCTTCTCATACTCCACCATCTGCAGCAACAACTCCATCTTGTCTATATCGTGAACAAATAGACTGTCTATTGTCTTAGAGTCTTCGTACTCTTGCCAAATCGCTCGGATTTCTTGTCCCGCGAGACCTCCATATACCTTACCGAGAAGGTTCTTGGAAATGTAGTCCATCGTCTCGGCCTCGCGACGGCTCTTCTCCGGTTTCGGGACGCCGTCTACGGGTGTAATATCTCCTACTACCGACTCGGCCATATCGTGAATCAGACACATTTTCATGCATTTATTGAGATCGACTTTAGGCGCAAGCGACGGAGGGCAAAGGAAGGTCATTAGCGACATGCGATACATGTGGTCAGCGATGGATTCGCCTCTACTCCAACTATTAGTAACAGCTATATTTTGATTTTGAACATAATACTTCACCTATCGATACCGAACCGCCGCCATCCTTCTCGTTTACCCGTCTTGAGGCGCTCGAGGATGTGAAAGAAGGGAACCGGTGAGCCAGACTCCTCGACGGGGGCTTTGGGGTGAATTGTCGCCAACACCTTTTCGACCGACCAGGGTTCGGAAACCTTAGGAGTGATTACAACGCCAGGATCTACACCGGTATTCCGTTTAGACACATTGAATTCGCCTAATATATGGGGACGCCACACTCACCCAAGCTCTCCTTGCTACCACTTCCAATACTGGAAGACATTTTATTGTCCTTCACAACTCGGATCTTTCAACTTGGACCTCGTAGTAGCTGCGATATGCTACAACAACGGAAGACTGGTGAACTTGCGACGAAGGAGGCGGGGCAATCTGCAAGCGAGGATATGACAGGATACCAAATAAATGATTGAATTGGTTAGGGAAATGGTATCTATTAGAGTAAGCGAATTCCACCAGTCCTGGCCAACCTTGGAAAGAGTCGAGGTTTGTCAAGACTCAAAAGGCGGCTTACGTGAATTATATCGAGAAGCACCAGGCCAGGAGGTGAAGAGTGGAAGCGACGAATAATATTAAAAGCACTTGAGGTGCCCTGCAGAAGAAATGAGCCTAACGCAGGTAGCCCCACGTGGCTGATATTGCCCATGGGTTAGATATCCGGGCTTATCTATTGGTTACCGGCGTTGTGACTGAAGATCTTGACACAAAGATCGGGTTTCCACGACGCCCCTGACGCCTAAGGTGGAGTTCCGGCATTCAGCTAAATCCTTCCAGCGCTGTAACATCCCGCCCGTTACGTCGACCGGTGACGGCATGTCACGATACAGAACGTTCTGTCCCAGGCTGTAGACGGCAACCTACATGTATGATGTCTGTTTGTTGCTACCATCCTCTGTCGCACAGCACAAGCCACGTCAGGGGGCAATCTGTTCAATCTATGCCTGCTCATTAGTGGTATTGAATTGGGGCGTAACCCTAACAGAATGACAACCCTATATTGAGGTCGTAGGCTTTCATTGGTTTCCAGGAAAGCCTGCTAGAGTAAGTCTAAATACGTTAGACAAGCACGAAAATGATCACGCATAATGTTTCTTCGTTATAATACCTATGTGACAGATGCTTCATTAAACAGAAAAGACTCATCAGACCTGCTCAAATTTCTGCCGATATTCTAGGTCAAATGTATCTTCATTATAACAATACGGTATCACCTACCCGAGTCGTCAATTATATCCATTAATCATTCCTCCCTCATTACTTCCGCCTGGAACCATCCATCAGCAATGATGGTCCTGATACAATGAATTATCCGCCGCCAGATCTCCAACTATGAAAGTTCCGAGGAAGAGTCCTCCTAGAACCGCCAAGAAGTAACCGATATTCATCGTCATGACTGCAAGCATCCTATTCTCTGATTAGCGACAGGGCATCATGCAGCTTTATAACTCATGAACGTCAGAGAGGAGCCTACAGCAAATATCCCACGGTTGCCAGCGCGAACTCAAATGATGCTCTACTAAGACTAGTCCTGAATCTCCAGACAGCCCAACGCCTTCGTATATCGCTGTATACGCGTATGAAAGGCGATCGAGTGGCCATGTCCTCCTTTTGATAACTGGCCTCCTCGTCAGGTATGAGTTCTCCCCTATGTCCGACGGCCGCATTCCATACTGACTTCTCAAGAACTGGTTTCAGTGCCAGCATGAAACGCATAACAACTGCAAGAACTATGAGAAAAATGCAAGTGCCGGCATATTCGGCCGAGGTTGCGGGGGTCCATGCTTTGGAAAAGAGCGACGTCGTGGATGAGACGAAGAAAGTCATCGACATCTGGGGCATCTGGGAGTCGTCCATCTCGCCCATATCCATGCCACTCGGCGTGTCCGACATATCCATCGCCGTTGCCATATCATTCACCGCTGGAGAAATGAGCGGGATGGTTTTCCTCGCAACTAGCACCGATGTATTCCGTGACCGCTCAATCGATACTGGCGGTGTGTTCTGAGACATTACCTACCGGACACATCCAAATGGGCAACTGGGTCAACTTAAATCTTCAGCGGATGTTTGTGGGAAGACCCGAAGGTTCGGAGCCGCGTCTCACGAGAGAATGGGTCCCTTGGACGCCGAGCAAGTTTGCGCCAATTCGAAACCTCCGCTCGCGTGGGGAGACGGAAAACCAGAGTTTATCGTTCTTTATCGAAGTTTTAGTAAGAGTATTTCGCTGTTTTCTTCGCTTATTTCCTCGCTTACAGTGTAGCATTTCGGGAATAATTTAAGCTTAAATTGCTTCGTTGCGCGGACGTTAAATCTTAAAGTGGATGATCCGCATTGTCCAACCTGCGAGCTTCTAACTCGACTACACGCACCGTAATCGATTGAATAACCGTCATATGATACACTATATCATGCATAATCAAATCAAAAGATGACCTGCCAAGTCGTGATCCGACGCGTTCGCTTGCTATAGAGGGCATGATTCTAGAATCCTGTCTCATTCTAAGCGATCCAACAACTAATGAGGAGGTCCAGTCATAAACCGTACAGTTACTTGATTACTCTTTGCCATGTTTATGACCTCACTAGGGAGTAAAACGAGAAAATGCCGCTTTGGATCAGACCCCTCGTTGCCCCTTTCCCCCAGTTTGCCTGTGGGATTTACAAGGCTAACCTGAATTCCACGTCAATAGCACCGCGATGTCTTTTAAGGGAGTAATAGCCTTCGTATCAATGATATCCCTACCACGTTTCTACTTCTGCGCATTCCTATAACTCATGTTAACCTAATAGCTACCAAGTCACAGTACCGAGTCTGCCGTACTAGATCATTCCTCGTTAATATTCATCGAGCCCAGGTACCCCTCACGGTATGATTACCTAGGTATTTACACAAACTTTCACAGGTTATGAAATCCGCACATATTCCATTATGACTCTGAGTCAGGTCATCCATGTTTGTGAGTCTAACAAAAGCAATGTCTCGAGGGGCTCTGGGGAGCTACAAGGAACATCACAAAAACATTGTGCTCACAAAGTGCGGTTTTCCCCGAAGAGATTACAGAGCGTATAGTATCTGACCAAATAAGCTATCATCTATGGGAGGGGCCATCTCCTCGACTTCATGCGTCAAGTCCAGTTGGCACGAGACCTTGTGGCATTGGTTACGCCAAGACGGCCCAAAATTGATGAGATCTGAAGCTCGGCCTAGGTGATAATCTCATTCCCTATTAGGCATATGAAGAAGCGTAAAATAATTACCAAACCACGTTTCTTTTATGCCTTGGGAAGTCCATTCATTTGAACATACCTACTTGTCCCTCGTGGTGCGCAGGAAACCCAACGGCCCACGAGGTGTCCAGGCCTATCGAGGTCATTGTGTTACCAGGGTCACTGAGCACAAATGAGCGTGTTTGCTTCCCCAAAGTGGTTCTCACGTAACACACTGTATGGCGACACCATTGCCGTTAGACGATTGTGCTGCAACTCGTGTCAGCATGGGCTCATATACCTACCAGGTACGTACCGAGTAACCCACAAATTCGGAAAGTTTCTTCGGTGGACCTTCCGTGTCAACTCCCGAGTAACTGCCCCGGTCTAGGTCAATCGGAGCACTAAGCAAAGCTAGTAGTCCGGAGCAGTATAGCTCCTTCTCCACCAGGCCCAGCCCCGGTTCGTGGTAACCAATGATATATACTACGTACGTGACCATGGCAAACAATACAGTATCTTCAACGGTGGAAGGCTAAATCTTCCGTTATACATGACTGAATAATGAGGTATCATAAGAATATGCTACTTGCCGCTCTGGACCTTTCACCGCACAACCTGACGTTTCTAGTTAAGGTCATAAAATCGATCCCCTTACTTCTCAAGCAAGATGAACAGCTGACATCTTATTTTATCTTCAAGTTCCTCCGTGATATATATTTTCCCCAAAATCCTATGATATTCACCTAACAATCGACCAGGCTATGCTTCATTCACGTCCAACATGAGGATCAATATCAGCGTTCTCGTTGCCACTCTCCTGGGAGCAGCCAAGGCCACGACGGGCTATCGAGGTTATGGTCTGATTGGCCATGGAATCACCATGTATGACCCAACTTGCGCCTTCTCATGTCATGATGTTATTAGCAGTTATCAGCTTAGTTGCTCCGTGCTCTCAGATCAAGACGACATGGATATGGGCGGTATGTCAGGACCAATGATCATGACCTCATCCGATTGTTATGCAAACGACGACAATTTCCTCCATAGCATGGCTTACTGCATCAGTACACACTGCCCTCATGTTTCCGATACGCGACTTGAACATTACTGGGAGTATTTCCTTGTCGGTCGCTCCCCGGGCCAACCTACCCCTAAGGAGACATATAGCATTGCCTTGCTTCATGCTGATCCGCCCCCAAAGGTGACCGTTGCCCTTCAAGCACTGCTCAACACTACCACCTTAGTTGATGAGGAGGAATACTTGGCATCCTACAATTCCCTCTCTCTATGCGAGGAGACCGACACTAGGCAAAGTAACTTTGGGTACTACCTTTATACCCCTATCTTGATACCCCTTTCTACCACATTGCTAACTTAAAGTATAGACTGGCTATACTGATCACTGGTGCTGTGATACCCGTAGCATGTTCTCTGCTACGTTTTGTGCCTTTCCCCAAGGGTCTGGCGAGCCAGTTTAACGCCTACTTTATTGAACCCCCTTTATTTGGTCGAAGACATCGAGCTCCACTCCATAATCTTGCTATCATGCCTACGCGGGGTCAGACAATGTTGATAGTATATTTCTTTATCATCAACATCGTGTTCTCGTGCGTCGGTTACCCGCTAGCAATGCCGAACTCTTGGTATCCGTCAAAGCATGAGGAATTAATGGGCTACGTCCGAAATCGCCAGGGGGTTCTGAGCTTCGCCAACGTCCCGCTCCTTGTTCTCTACTCGGGTCGAAACAATATCCTCCTGACCATTACTAATTGGCACTACTCGACGTTCCTCTTACTACACCGTTGGATTGCCATCATCTGTACGATCGAGGCATGCATACACTCGGCAATGTACTTACATAGGTGCCTCGTAAGGGATGAATATTATTCCGAAAGTAAACTGCCATATTGGATATGGGGGATCGTCGCTGTTCTAGCGTTCACTGTCATGCTCCCCGCTAGCATCCTCCCACTGCGACAGAAAGCATACAACCTTTTCCTCGCCTCCCACTTCGCTCTCTCCTTTATCGCCCTCATCGCTTGCTATTTCCACATCTACCACCGATTTGAAAACCAGTGGGGGTACGAGACGTGGATCTACATCGGCTTCGCGCTCTGGGCTTTCGACCGACTTATGCGCTTTGCTCGGCTGGCACGAAACGGGATTCGGTCTGCCGAGATCACCGTCGTCGACGAGAACAACATCCGCGTCGACGTCCCCGGGGTTTCGGCGCAGGGTCACGCGTATCTCTATTTCCCAACCCTGAGCTGGCGCGTCTGGGAGAACCACCCCTTCTCCGTGATGGGAGCTTTGACGGCGCAAGAGCCGGAAAAGACATCTAGTGTGTCGGTCTCGGAGGAGAAAACCAGCTTGCCTGGAAGCGACATGGAGAAAAGAGACGAGGAGCCTTCCTCCCCTGTCCAAGATAGCTCTGTCTCCTCACAACCAACGACGGGGCCCTCATTCAAGACAGGCCTAACATTCTTCATCGCCACCAGCGGAAATGGCATTCGATCCATCCTCCACAGCAAGACCAAACTCCCCGTTCTCGTCGAGTCCTCATACGCCGCCTCCTCGCTGGACGAACTGCGCACCGTGCCCAACTGCATACTAATTGCGGGCGGCGTAGGAATCACGGCCTTGGCGCCTCTTCTTCGCACCCGCGGTACCGCTGTGCGATTATTCTGGGGTTCGCGGAGCCAAGCCCTGGTGGAAGCGGTAAGGACGGCCCTGGGTCCCGGCGTGTTGGAGCCGAGCATCATAGGCGAGATCTCGGTAGGAAGACGATTAGACTTGCGCACGATTCTGGAGCGCGAAGTTCTGGAGGGTAGTGAGACTGCCGTCGTTGTCTGCGGACCGGTCGGAATGGCGGACGAGGTGCGGGCGATCGTGTGTGAGCTCGGGCAGAAGGGCAGGATCGTTAAGCTGGTTGATGAGGCGTTCAGCTGGTGAGAGGAAACTGGGATAATGGGGGTTATGAAAAGGGGCGTTGGAAGGGTTGGCGTGAAGACACTCCTGCATCGTGGCAACTCTAGTCTTACTTATACCAGGTACCTCACAAATTTATTTCAATTTATTACGAGTAACATACCTTGACGGACGCTACTACTTGAAATGTCCTAAAATCGTCAATTCCAAGCCACTAATCACAATTAAATAGGTCAAATTTATATATATAAAATATCCTTCGGTGTTACCTACACTGGGTCCTCACTCCAGATCTCGATTTCCTCCACGACAAAGTCGACCGTCCAATCGCCTCGATTTGGATTCGCTTCATACGCCACCCCCTTTTTCCTTCCACCGTCTTTGCCTCCATCCAAACTCATCTCCACATCCCCACTCCACTGCCGGATCCGTGCTCGCCGCAATCCATCCCGCAAAACCAACACCACCCCCCCTTTCCGTTCTTCAGCATCCTCAATTGCACTCGAATCTCCAAACGCCACACTTTCACCCCCCTCAGCATCCAAAACCACATTCCACCCCGGCTCCCCCGCAACACCACGGAACACATCCTGTACCGGTGCAAGCTGGAACAACCGGCACTGCCGCTGTCCCGCGTTATCAGGTTGGATCTCGGACGGGGCCTGGATGCAGATTCCGTCTTTCTTCGGCGCGGGACTAAACAGGCCAAAGACGCACTGCTTCCCCTCTTCAGTCGATGCAGCCATAGCAGTAATAACTCGGCCCGAGAACAGCACTATCGCCTCCTCAGGAACGTCCGTCATAGCTCGTACGAGGGCAGCGGGCGCGGGGAAGTTGGGGGACTCATAGCGGTTCGTGCGGCGCAAGTACCCGGCATCTATAGTCTCAGCGAGGAAAGAGACGAGCTGGCTCACGCGGGGCAGAGTGAGAATCGCGTCTTCAGGTAGGTTGCGAGGCGGATCTGGGGGTCCGAGGATGTCGGCCGGGGCTGCTTTGTTCATGAAGGTGACTGTGAGGAGTCGGTACAGGGGCTCGACGATATGTGGTGCCATGGACTCGATCGCATGTGCGAATGAGGGCCACGTTATTAAGTCTGTTACTCCCGTCTCGCGATGTTGTGCGAAAGCAGCGCATATAGAATCCGCCGCATCATCGTATTGCGATAGATTCGTATTTTCACCAACATCAGGCTTTGGAAGCTCCAAGTGCAGCGCTAGCAGAACCTTCACAAGGTCTTTGAACCGTTGCACTGGAATTGCCAGGGTGCATAGCTCAGGAAGCCTTTCCTCCGCTTTGATCTGCTTCGCGATATTCCGGAAAGCGTCCCGTGGCACAAGCGTCGACCAGCGGGGCCGCTCCTCTTGAGTGGAATACAACACATCCAGAAGATCATGATAAATTTCATCCCCGTCGTCGTCATGATTAACAGCGCAGTTATCCAGCCAACCGTCCCACGAAACATCGAAGGCATGTCGAGCTGTAAGCAAACGAGCATGGCTCCGGGCGCTGTCTTGCGCCGCAAGGGGGACGGTACTAGTAGCTAAGCTCTGGAATAGCAGGCGCAGGCGATCCCACCGCGTGCGTATACGGGAGAAGTTGCTCTCCTCTATGATGTACTTCGCGCGGTTTGGCAACAACCAAACCAGGGCCCGGTTTAACTGAGCTAATGAGAGGCCATTCGTCTGGGAAGACGGTTGCGGGGTTCTAGGAATGTAAGGCAGTGAGCTGAGATAGTTTATGCTTTCAAAGATAATTCTCCCGGCCTTAATTCCTTCGGAACCCTGAGGAAAGGCGGCAATTGCTTGCAGAAGAGAGATGAAGGCCGGTTCAATTAAGACGGGACTTTCGCCGGAAGACGCACTAGTCGAAGCCGAATAGAGTGTGGCTTCGATGGTAGGCTCCTCCTCTTGGTCAATCGCGTAACTGATCTTAATTTTGTAGTCGAGACGGGATATAACGTGTTCCCGGGCTAGCATTCCCCGAGCAACCCACTCGTTGATCTCCTGTGTGGCCTAGTCTCCATCATCCATAATGTTGGTTTGGTTAAGCAGATGAGCAGGACGACGTTCGTACCTATGCCAGGACAGAAGTAAGACCCTTTTTATTAGGAGTAGATTAAGATTACACGTGGAATCGAAGTAATCACCAATCACCTCGGTGTCTTGGTACCATACTAGCTAGGTACCTTCTAGGTAGGTGCCTAGGCTATGTTTTCGCGATCTGTTGCGAAAGGGTTTATCTTTGAAGACCCGATGAATATCATGACCGCAAAAATCCAAGTTTCATGTTTTATTTTAAACCAATAAGTAGGTGCCTATTATCCACTATCCTGCCACCTTGTCCAAGGGAAGTTGACGTCAGGTTTTGCATCAGCTTACCACCGAGACCCGAGGTTGACGTTCAACAACGGTACTCGAGCTAAGACTCTTTCCTCGAGGTTCCCTATTTTGGATACCTCATCTCCGATTTTAATCAACGAATATAAAACTACTTATATAGGTATTTACCAATGGAATTATGTTTGCCGCTCTTAAGTTCTATTGCTATTATTCTCAAGGTTTACTTCTAATATGGGGTTCTTTTAGCAATTACCTGGGTATCGTCCAACTCATGAGCCTACCAGAAATTTCCAGAGAGAATGATTGCTTAATCAATACCTATACAGGACAAAATCTTACTAAATCCAACATATTCCAGGGCCGAAGCTAACGTTAACAGCCATACGGATCCTACACTATCGATTCAGACGTTTTAGTGCTTATAGCTGACCTACAATGTCTTAATTCCAAACAAGCTTAAAAGATCTTCAGCTGTATGTCTAGTTTCAGGGAGGTAGTATAACGTAATATTGCTGGCGTTTTATGAAACCCCGTATTCTTCGTCTATATTGCAATATAAGAAGTTTTGCCATGTTGTGTAATGTGATCGACCGACATTCGATCCCATCAATTAAAGAAATTACTCTGCATAGGTACCTAGATATAACTTAAGTAGGAATGGTAAAGGAAATTGGCCTAACAAGCATTGTGAGTTTCCTATTACGGAGAGAAGGCTTAGAGGAGTATAAGCATTGTTAGACAGGACATAGTTATTTTTAGGGCGTAACGAAGAATCATCACGATGATCTCTAGAGGAAAAGATTAGGGCACAATATAGGTAAGTATTTGTTTCATAGTAGTAAAGGTAAAGGTAAAGGTTACAGGGAAAGGAAGAAGACGTATAAGTTATCCCGTCGAGGCCTTTATTACCTATCCAGTCGAGTCAACAAGATCATCAGACTAAAGAGTCACTTCAAAAACTCATAGCCGGACTATCATTTCGTCAGAAACACGTCTTTAGCCTATAATGAGATTCACTTACTTCATTTCCGCCTTCCTGGCCACGTTTGCCATCGCGAGCCCCATCTCTAGCAGCATTGACGTAACCGAGGGCGCTGATCTAGCAACCCGTGCTGACAAGGTGGTGAATACGCCGGAGTACCAGGCGCTCGCAAAAGTCCACCCCAGCTTGAAGGTGGGAGAGTGGTACTGGGTTTATCAAAAAGACAAGCTTGGTGCGGAGATTTTGGATGGCGATACGGAGACGCTCAGCGAATTGCAGCAGCTGCAGAAGAACCTTGGGTTTGAGCACATCGGAGTGATAGTAGGACAGGTTAAATCCACTAAGAAGCCTACCAAAAAAGATGGCACGACAACCACCAACCACTTTGAGGCTGTCTACTATCACATGACGATGAACAAGGATAAGAAAAATGCTGCTATGGTACACTCGCCGAATTGGGTGGCTTCCAAGGTGGACTTTTCTAAATCGTTCTTGGAAGACGGGGGCACGACCACCAAAAAGGGGTCTATAACGGCGAAGAATGATGCTAAGGATTACACCAACGACGAAAAGCACAAGACCTATAGCGTCACCGATAACAACTGCAACACCTTCGCCCAATATATTCGCGCGGCGCTTACATAGATAGGTACCTACCTAAGAGGCTCACCAGTACAGATCCAAGATTTAATGAGCTTTGGTGTTAATCAACACTACCTATACTTTTGTATATCTATCTGCATGGGGATGGGGTTCAAGGTTAGACGACCGGTTGGAGGGTGGCTCGTGTTTAGATTTTGATTGATGGTGCCGTCAGATGTTCGTTCCATTTCGGCAACTAGTTGCCCCTTTATTGATTTTACATTTATTTCACGCGAATTTATCAATGAGTTTGATAAGAATTATCATTTTGCGTATCGGCGACATGTACATGTCACCGATATTGAGGAAATCTAGTATTGCGAGTTATCATGGGGACGCGACCACGACCCTACCTCTTGCCATTTTAGTCCAACATAAAGTAAAATATGTTTTTTCTAATTGATTCGTCTGGATAGTTACCTAGGTAGATACGTAGGTAGGCAAAGGAACTATGATTCATTGAGCACAACACCAATTTCCCTCATCCTATCCAGCTCCTCCACCGACAACTGATCTTTTTGCTTCATAACTTCTACAATTCTCGGCCAAAGGTATTCTTCCACAAACTGATCGAGCGGTACGTTCATCTCTTGAAACTTCATACTGAACTCTTCCACCAGGGCCTCTAGCATTTCTGCCAAATATCTCTCTTCCTCTCGTATTTCGTCGATTTCTTCCCGATCCTTAAGGTAAACTATATTACCGCCACATATAGCAGACTCAAGACTGAAAAACGTCCTCACACAACAGCAAGTATGTGTCATGTCAAGAAATCCAAATGTCAATGCGCGGATCAAATCTAGCGCAACTCTGTGCCCATCACGACCAGATACTGCTGGCCCGGCTAACTTCAGTTTAACATTTATCCGACCTTTGTTTTTTTCGTAATTCCGATGCTCTTTGAAGTATTTCGATGCTACTGTGCATCCGTTGGTCGTGCAGTAGCAGAGGCAAGGATCGGTAACGTCGTCTTCAAGCAATCTTGCCAATTGTGGGAGTTTTATGTCATAGCGTAGTATATAGTTCGCTTCCATCATCCAACCTAGGCGTGATCCTAGAACGTGAATCGTTCGGTATATAGAGTGCAACCCGTCATTTTCTATTTCTAGAGCACAATCGGCCGTGGGGATTGGTTCATGGAGATCCAGTCCGTGTCTTTCAAACCATTCAATGAGCATAAGACAGTTAGTAACACTATAGAAACCATCTAGTAACATCAGTGGATCATAGCCGCAGACTTTGGTATTTGGCTTGCGAAACCCGGCATCGAAAAGATTTTGGGCTACAGAAGCTGTCATGCCTTCCCAATGGTAAATAGAGCTGCATGTAGGGGTCAAGTAGTCATAATAAGTAGGTAGTGCAACGCCTCGTTGCCTTAAGGCTTCTGCGACATCAAAAGCTTCGTTATCGACAACATCACCTTCTTTTAAACCGAACTCTTCAATCATCTTGGAAGGCAGATTGAGGAAGGCGAGTTGTACTAACTCTCTTCGTTGTCGGGCGAGAGAGTGGGCGATGATCATCGATTTGATATCCTTGCTTTGAGGTACATTCTCCAAACGATACAATGTTCCTGGGTTAATGCTTGCACCGGCATCAGTCAGAATAGAGACAGAGTCAACGTCTCCTAGATCAATTGCGTAGTCAAGAGCGCTGCGCCTGAATTTGTCTTTGATGTTGATTATAGACTGAATTGCTCGGCCTCCAAATTCAAATAGAATGTTGAGGCCCATGGTCCAATTGGCAGCTAGATGGAGCGGCGTTTGGCCCGTCTTGGTCCGTTCGTATAACACAGAATTGTCTGCATCAAGTAGACGAGCGACGTCATCTTCTGAGCGGCGAAGGATATAAGTCAGGAATTCGGTACAGGCAAGAGCTAAAACAGTTAGCTTCGCTTATCACCACTAAGTAGATGCATAGGTAGAAATAGCTTGAGTCTTACGTTCATATAGCCCAGGAATTGGACAAGACAAGATGGCGATGATAATTCCCCAATGTACGCGTATAAGAGTAGCGTCCCTATTTATGAAATTGCTGATAATAATGGACCCAATGTGGTTATGAGTCGTGAAGAGCCTTGTCGAATGACAACACTCGCCAAGCGGGGTGCTATGAATTTGCTAAGTTTCCCTCTTACAAGTAGGTATGGAAGGTAGGTAGTATTAATCCTTACTCAGTAATACCATAGTGGGAGACATCATTGATTGGCACCCCCATCTCAAGCAATGCCATCATGAATTCTAAAATGAGCATATATTTCTCGTCTACCATCTGCCATCCAGAGGGTTGAGAAATGAAAAACTTATTAGCTGCCTATCTTGTTATCAGTACTATCATCTGTGATGTTATAACAAGAGGGGGGATACATTTAGCAAGTTCCTTCCAAACACATCCACATCTGTTGGCCATGCTAGCCCATCTCGAAAGAGCTCCTGCAGTTTGATTAGACATTTTCGGAGTGATGTTCCAAGGTCGTACGTGGTCATCTCTTTAGTGGTCCATGCTCCTTCCCAAATGTCAGTTATCAATTTAAATGCAGGGGAGTTGTTTGGTACAATGGCTCGAACTGTGAGGTTACGGTTGATACGGAAGTCGCGAGCCCATGCTATCCGAGAGTATTCAAGTTCCCATATTGACGTGACTTCGCGTTGGAACACTCGAAATTTCATAGCCCAACTCCGCTTCTTACGGTTACTAAATGAGAGCATGCAGCCTTTTTGGTGTTGCACACATGCTCCCCTCTGTCGAATCCTCGGACATTGGCAAAGGCAACCGAGGAGGTCTTCTTTGTGGGTCCTTGAAGACATTGTGCCAGTAAAGTTATGCCCTTGGTCGTAATATGACGTGTTTGGTTTAACGACTTTTCTTTTGTCACCGATTCCGCTATTCTTCGATAATGTCTGGATCAAATTTTCAAGTGTGTGGAATCTCTGATCCATGTGGTCCACGATACTTGAAGTCTGGTTGCCTTGCCCTTCTCTTAGCTGATCAGATAGGGAATGCATATGGCCCACGACAGATATTGTCAGATCGTTTCGGGTTTCCCGAAGATCTTGTTGAAATGAAGAACCCATCCGTTCTAGGCCGTTGCGTATCGTGTCATTCGTCGTATGCTCAGCGCTTGATATCGAGGACTGGAGCTGCCTTCCGAGAGATTCGACAGCTAGAGATACCTTGGCAAATTCTGAAATCATAACACCTCTTATATCCTGTGTGGCATCACTTCATAACTCACGTTAGCAGCGGAGACTGGCCGTGGATGCTGTACTCACAGGTGAATCAACTGCAAATGTCCAAGCAACATGGCATAGAATTCTTTGAGTTGAGATCGTAGGTTGTCGAACTCCTCTTTGTCAAAGGGGTATTTCAATCTACGTAAGAAGTCCTTGCTAGGTTTCGGGTGGGCATACTTCGCATTCAGCAGTTTGAAATGTCGGAGACAGGCGTTGCAGGCATCTATACATCTTTGCAGCGGGTTATCGACATCCTTACTTGAACCGTTAGGTTCAGATGTTCGAGTACGGATGAGAGCGATGAACGTTTCGAGTTGTTCAGCATGGTGTTTCAGTTGAGAAAGATCTGAATCTCGAGATCGGTACTTTTTACAGTACTGGATGAGCCCGTTTGATACTGTGAGACCTAGGGAGGTGAAGCCTGCAACGCCAGCACTTATTGATAAGGGATCCATTAGGATAGTTGTGTTTCTGGGAGGATGAAGAGGGAAGAAAAACGCCAGCGAAGAGTTGGGCGGTAAAGTGCCGGTTTTATTACAGGTAGGCTCAGCCACCTTAATCATACTCTCCGCACGATAGAGACGCCAGTAGGTAGGCAGACTTTGGGGCGGAATATCTCTTGACCTATAAGAGCCTAGGCATGCTGTGTAATTCTAGGTTTAGCGAAGAAGGATAATTGGTTGAGTTTGCTGTCACTGAAAAAGAGGTTCGAGAATATGGATACTTGGATGCGGTTATATTCGTTTTCCACGTTCTATCCAAATTCGTGAGAGGTCATTTCTCATTGCTCTTGAATATGTCCATAATAGCGGTTCTCAGTATCGTAAGTGCGTATCCCTTAGATGTTCTCAAAAGCTTCACAGCATTCCCGTGAGCCCTACGCGTAGGCATCATCTCGGCCTCTCTCTCACCATTAAATTCTCCATATACTTATTGACTTCACGAAAGCCATAAGCCGCAAGCATGCATCTCTATGGGGGAAGAGAAGTATTACGTCCCTTTACTAGGTACCTAGGCAGACAGCCCTCATCACCAAGCTAAGAGTGCCCTTCGTAAACGATATTATCCACCTGCACAACACAGAGTGCCCGCGTACATTCCGCTATTCCATGCACTGCCAGGCTCCTTGCTCCGTTCTATACAGTCAGACATGGCCGCGGCCATGGCGGTGCTATGCATGGCACCCTTCGGAATCGGGCTGTAGGGTCACAAGGGGACGTGGCGAAGTAAGCGTCGCAATTGCAGGTCTGGAGCAAGTGGGAAAACTAGTTTAAGAGCTCCAAGCCAAATGGCATAACGTGCAAAGCGTGATGAGCCATCAAGATCGCAGCGCGTTCCGTGGACACTACATGCGGATGAACAAGAAGGTTCGGAGAAAGTAGCGCAGTGCCTCAAGGATATACACCGCATTATCCCAACATACCGGATTCAGCTTGCGAAGGTAGGTACCTAGGTATGCCAATGGCTGGTGGCGTCGCAAGGAGGACTCTTCTTTTTCTGGAATGGAAGATGACAGTTCGCGCGCTGCATCATTTATGAATAGTCGAATGTGCGACATGAAAACCCAATGCCTTTCGTCGCCTCTTATCCTGATTATATTATTAATTCGTCGGAACTAATGGAGGCTATCATGAAGTAACGATGTTCATCCACTCCACTTCCCCCGAATCTGACAAGGAGTTTAATCGGAAAAGGGCTACCACCGGAGACATGACGGTGACTCTTGAAGACCCACATCGGGATTTACGTCCGGGCGAAAAAGGGGGCAATCGTCCGATCATTGTGAAGATCAGATATAGTAAACCAGCATTTGGCTCTCCAAGTATCAACTACCCAGGTAGAAATCAATAAAGCGCAGAGACATATATAGTTGTATAAGCGTATAGAAAATCATTGACATAAAACCCATCTTTTCCAAGCTCCTCAGCGCTTAAAGAAAAAGTCCCCGATATATCTCCTCAAAGCCAAACACTACGTGTTGCACCCAAATTTCCAATATTATAATCAGCCCCACAGAAGGAAAAATTAAAAAAAAAAAAAACACCACAACCATGCCCAACGCCTCCACATCCGACGTCCTGGTCCTAGTCGCCGGCGCGCTGGCACGGCCAGCTGCACACGGCCGTCGTCTTCTCGTCGCGCGCCTTCCGCAACGTACATGCACAACGTCTTGGGCCGGGCACCACGCGCCGCCCGCCGCCTTCCGCGACAAGGCGCGGTACGTGGACGCCGTGCAGTTCCGCGACGCTGGGGGTGGTGAAGGGGCGGAAGTTAAATTGTGGCGATGACGAAGGAGGGAGGAGGAGTAGTGGGAGTGGTAGTAGTAATAGTAAGAGTAGTAGTGGTAGGTTTAAGGTGATAGATGAGCGGGGATCGAGGTACGTCGGGCGCAAGCTGGTGCTGACTAGGGCGTCCGGGATGTAATGCCCGAGACGCCGGAGGGGTATGCGGAGTTGTGGGGGCGTGGAATGTGAGTTTTATTCCTTTTCCTAAATATTTACTTCGGATATTTTGGATTAGGAATACTGCTGATAGAATAACCTATTAGCCTCCACTGCCTCTTCTGCCACGGCTTCGAAGAACGGGGCGCTGCCTCAGCAGGCGTCCTAGGAACGGGCCCTATGCTAGGGGGCGCAGACAGCGATTCTGCGCCACTCATGGCACCTGTCATCGCACGTATGGCTGCCCGGCTCGCGGGTCGTGTCACCGTATACGCAGACGAAAATGAAAATCTCGGGTCGCGGATCCGCGCACAGCTCAAGAGCAGCCAAAAATTCGACGTCGATAACCGCCGCATAGTTCGTCTTGCCAAAGACTCGGACGTCGAGGGTGACGCGGGCATGCTTGTAACTCTGGAAGACGGGAGCGTGAACAAGGAGGGTTTCTTGGTGAGTGCCGTGCCTCTCAACCCCTAACCCCTTTTTCCTAACACAAAAAACCCGGCCCACGCTCCAGCCACCGAGCTCAATGGCTCTTTCGCCGCAGATTTCGGAGTAGCGCCAGCCCCTCGGGGGCATATTGACGCACAGCCGCCGTTCTACACGACGAACGTGCCAGGAGTCTATGCTGCAGGCAATTGTGCGACGATTGATGAAGGCGGTTCCGATGGCAACTATGATGGGGAGTAGTGTTGCAGCAGGACTAGCGCATGCGTTGCAAGCCGAGGATGGTGTGGAAGAGTAAAACGAGACCTATATGTACCTGACTGCGTTACGTTTAGAAGGGAGGTCGTGAATATTTCACTTATTATACCCAATAAAAAGGCTTCCATCTACCCGGGCCTATAGATAATGGGACACATGACTAGGTGAATTTGGGATAATCGTATAGAGACCATTGAGGTACACATTGGATCTGTGCAGAGTAATAAGTCGCAACGCACTCAATCCAGTAGGTATGTATTATGCCACCCCCAACCAGTGAATACCATGCCCAGCCATGACACATTTATTATCTCCTTTCAGGTCATTCCTGAACCCTCATGCTGGAGAATAGAATATGTACATCATAATAGCTCTACCATATTCGCAGGCCGTGTTTGTAGGGTGCCAACTTCCAACTGTAAGTTCAGAATATCCTTAACGGTAAGCTGGTACTACTATACGGGTTGCTCTCCCAAATGAGTAGACGGCGCACCATGCAAACCATCGATAATTATCACGCGTCAGCTCAAGCCATATCCCAGCCCTGACCAGATTCGTAATCCATATCATGCTGATCGTGCGTGTTGGAATTATCGACTTCACCTTCCTCCAACTCCGCGTTTGTGCCATTATCCTCGGTAGTAGTTTTGTCATGAGCTGCTTGCTCATCCTCCACGCTAGCGGTCATAGGGACATCGCTGTCAGCAGTTGCCTTCGTCTCGGGTTGAGGGGCAGACGTGGCCCAAGCGATCTCGACCTTGTCATCAAGTCCGGGAATAGCGTTATTTGCAGATACCCCGAGCATGAACTGCTCCGCCGTCTTGCGATCCTTGAAGGTGATATGAGTTGACTTAGGGTCCGTATGAATCCCTTTGAACTCGCCGATGCCCTGAAATTGGTTAGCTAAAACCAGATGATTATGCACCTGGGCACTTACAAAAAGATACTGTCGGAGAGCTTCGTCCTTCTCCGGATTCGTGAAATCAACCCCAGACAGTACGATTATCTTTGGTCGGTTATCCAAGGAATACACGGCGTACGCCGCGTGTCTAGCTTCGACACCACCTCTACCTTGGAAGCCATGTCCACCTCGGTAGGCCGTGGGGAAGTGACGTCCGCGGCCACGGTAGCCTCGGCCACCTCTACCACGCCCTCGAGGGTTCCAGGATGAGAACTCGTCCTTAACGGCATCCGGGTCGATCCCTAGTACGTTGGCTTCTTCCTCCAGCGCAGCCAATTGGGCCCGAAGAGCTTCCGTCTGAGAAACTGGCTTCTTAGCCCCATCCGCTGCATCTGAAGATGCATTCTCGCTTTTCTTGGTTAGCTTAGCTTGAAGCTTGAGCTTCTCCTCTAGCTGTCGCGCAAGAAGCTCTTTCTGGCGTTCCTCCAACTCTTGGCGCTGACGCTCCAACTCTTCCCGCTTCTTGGTCTTCTCCTCGTGAGCTTTCTGAGCTTCCTCTTGTTTGCGGAGGAATTCATCCATATCAAACGGCTCAGCGCTAGGAGTGTTGCTGCCGGCGGACTCAGCACCATTCATGCCTGGCTCAGACTTGACCTTCTTCATCTTTCCATTGACCGGCGTGGATCCAGCTTCGGCCTCGTCCTTATACCAGAACACTTTAACAAACCGATTGTCAAAGATTACCTTCGGGGAGCTCCAAGCCGCGTGAGCGGCATCCCAGGTATCGAATTTGACGATGGCCAACCGATCAGGCGGTTGCATTGTGATCTCTAAAATGGCGCCAAATTGGGAGAAATACTCGCGGATCTTGGCTTCGGTAAAACACTCAGGAGGAATATTCTGGACCACGAGAGCTGTTTTCGATTTGTCATGAACAGGACCAACAGCAGCAAAAGGGAGCTTTCCTTTCATGCGTCTCAATCCTTTGTTTGCATCACGACGATTATTCGGGGTCGTTGGAAAGGAGGATGAATTAGAGGCTTGGGACTTGGGCACGGGATTTTGGTGAATATTCGGTGGTGGCATGGCAAAGATTGCATTGCTAGGATCGTACTCTTTCTGATTGTTAGCACATGGAATGCGCCCGTCTGCCGAGAACGAAAACAAGTACTCACCATCACCTGCTAAGGGCCCAAGCGGAGGTAATGTTAACGAATCAGCGCCATGTTCAAACTTGCATTTGTTACCTCTTGAACAATAACCCTTTGCGTCATAGTCTCTGCAGCGCTTTCTTCGACGGGGCGTGGGAATGGTTCCAGAATACACGGGCTTAGGTAAATTATCTTCTTGTGGCCACAGCATATCCCACTGGTCCAATATGCCTTGATTCATCTGCGACATATGGTGATCAGGTTGGGCCTGGAATTGAGAAGATTGAAACAGTGGCAGCGGCAGTCCAGATCGGCCAGGGTCATTGGATGGTTGGAATTCGTTCATTGGAAGTGTGGATTGATTGTACCGTTCAGCACGTGGAAAAGATGGGAAAGATGAGATATCTCTTCTGGGTTGCTTGTAAATGCGGGGGCCCTGACCGTACAGGATAAATTCAACGTCGTCATCTTGATCATTGAACGATCGTTTCTTTGAACCACTCTGTTCCCAGGGATGTGTGGGCGGGAGCGCCGACGGTGGAATAGGTCTCGGGATGTGGGCATTTGCGTGAGGGAAGGATTGTGCGTTTATAGGGGCCGACGGTAGAGATGGAAGGGCAATGTGGGCGGAAGGTGCAGGAGGAGCTCCTGGTAAATAGGAGCGATACTTGATCGCTTGAAAGACGTCGTTCGTGAATGCAGCGGCATCTATAAGTTCATAAGCATTTAGATCAGAATACTATAGACCCTATTATGGAGGTGAGTGCTTCATACCCTCTCTTAGAAAATCCGGAATCTCATCCTCGAAGATCTTGCGAATGGATCCAACGTCACCATCGTGTCGAAGGAGGGCCAAGACATAATCTGCAAGCACGTCGGCATCCGCATCAGACCTGTAGGTAGGGAAGACAAACGAATGTTAGCATATGCAAGCACCTAGGTAAGAGAAAGGAACAGGGCGAGCCAAGGGTGTAAATTTGTAGGTGAACTTACGTATTCGCAAGGCGACGAATAATCCATTGTCGGAGAAGAGGCGCGTCTCTCTCGGGGAACAACATTGTCAATTGAGACGTGTCATTCAATCAAGACATTGGGGTTCGTGCGGTGAAGGTAAAAGAATAGGACAAAGGGAGGAAAGGCGCATGTAAAGTTCACGCGTCAAAGTAATATCAGAAAAGAAAGTAAAAAGATAAGAAGCTATGGGTTGCAGCTGCAACTTGTTCGCAAATGCAGCTGCCGTTTGGTCAAGCTTTGGTCAAGCTCTGACCCAGGAAAAAGTACAAGGCTGACAAACTTCTAGAAAAATTCCCTTGTAGCTGCCAAAGGTGTGGGGCAGGCCCTTAGATCCGATAGGTTGCGGCTCCTATCCCTTGAATGGCCCAAGCTTTACCATCTAAGTGGGGATACTAAAAACTTGACGATAATGTTAGAATTTACCTTTCCCATTGGGGAGGTACTACTGTAGACTACTGATAATTTCCACGTGCTCCATTCACTTTCGGAATCTACTCATTACAACAGAAGTAAATAATTTCAAAAGGAAAGAATTGTAGACAAATCTTATTTCACCAAACGTCTATGCCGTTTGAGTAATACAAGCCAAGTAGATGGGTACATACTTTAACTGCGACTAGGTACATTCGACGTATCTCGGTATGACGAGGCGGTGAGACCCGCAATGTTTTCGGAACCAGGTACCCAAGTTTACCTTTCCACCGGAAATCCGGGGGATAAGATAGCGTAGGTACATTTATGTACGCAGATATGATCGAGTCTGTTATCGAATAAGTGGAATCCACTTTGACGTTTTAACACTCACTTATATTATCGCATATCATCTTCACATGTCTCTATTAATATCTCAGTGATCCCGAGTGGTTGGGCCCTAATGTTATAAAAGCAGTACTTGGAAAAGCACCGTTTGCACCCAATCCGTTTGCCAGAAATAAGTGTGCCTACCCCAACACCAGGTCTCATCTCATTGTTCACGATAACTATTATAATTAAAGGGAACAAAAGTATAAACACATCATCGTCATGGCTTTCACGATGCATTCCCACTCGGGCCAATTCTGCCCCGGCCACGCCAAAGACCAGCTCGAAGACATCATCAAGCATGCCATCAGCCTCGGGTACACCACCATGGGTCTCACAGAGCACATGCCTCGCACAAGCCTCGAGGACTTATACCCCGAAGAAGTATTCCCCCCTTTTCCCCCATCCCCATCCCCATTCTTAACCACCCCTTATCCTTCTTCCCCCCTCCCCCTCCCATAAACCCACCCACAAACTCACAAACCCCCCTAGCTCGACGACCCCGAAGGCTCCCTCGCCGCGCTCTTCCCGCGTCACGAAGCCTACCTCCTCGAGGCGCAACGCCTGCAAACCAAGTACTCTCCGCAAATCCACATCCTAATCGGTTTCGAAGGCGAGTGGCTGCGGCCCTCCTACGCCACCCTCGTGACCTCTCTCGCCGCGCACCCAAGCGTAGACTACTTCATCGGGTCGCTGCACCACATAAACAGCATCCCAATCGACTACGACGCAACTTACTACGCGCGCGCAGTGTCCTCCTGCGCCGGGGGCACCGAAGAGTCTGCCTACGCGACGTACTACGACCAGCAGCACGCCATGCTGCAAGCCCTGCGCCCGCGCGTCGTCGGCCACTTCGACCTCGTGCGGCTGCTCTCCAGCTCTCCCAACCGGTGCGTCCGGGACGAGTGGCCCGCCGTCTGGCAGCGCGTGCAGCGCAACCTGGCCTTCGTGCACAGCTACGGCGGCTGGGTCGAGTGCAACACCAGCGCGCTGCGCAAGGGCCTCGCCGAGCCGTATCCGAGCCGCGAGATCGCCGAGGAGTGGCTGCGGCTCGGCGGCCGCTTCACGCTGTCGGACGACAGCCACGGGATCGCGCAGGTCGGGACCAATTTCGCGCGCGCGCTGGACTACCTCGACGGTTTGGGTGTGCGGAGCCTGTGGACGCTTAGACGGGAGGCGCCGGCGGCGGAGGGCGAGAAGGCGAAGTTGGTGGAGGTGGAGGTCCCGCTTGAGAGTGTGAGGGCTGTTGTTGGCAAGTGGTAATCGATGGTCGGGTAGGTACCTATGATTAAGGCCTTTGTGATATGATGAACGGGTGTTTTAAAAAGGAGTGAAAAGGAGTAGGGGCACGGCGGGTAGAGAAAAGGTACCTAACGAATAGGTGAACTTAAAAGAGGATTTTGAAGGCGTGTTATGATTTATACCCATGAAGGAAAATAGACTATCACATAACAATTTCCGAAAGACTAGATATTGAGGCAATAGTAAATCCCTACGCCTTACGCTGCAACTTGTATTGTTTAGCAAGCTTTAACTAGCATACTATCGTACCCTAGAAGGTATCGTCCTATCGCGTCCTAGCAACATGGATTAAGTTGCAAAAATTCGCTTCTGTCGTGTTAAATGGCCCTCTTGTCCCCTTCCGCCATGCATCCCAGCCGCAAAACACATATTCCTCGACCCGAGATTGCAAAAAGAAACCCTTCGAGGCATCGACTCCATCCCCCTCTACGCCAGAGAAATAGGAATGTAAGAACTGAGAAATGGGGGAAAATGCAACCGCAAATGTCTCTCCGTGAAATATGACCGCATGCATGCTTATTGGGGTATCTTTTGGCCGAAAGCTCATCTCTCTAATCTTCCCGCCCCTTGTAAACGAGAATTGTTGTGTTGGTACATGTACGTGTTTTTCTCCATTGCGACGCCGTGCTCTGCTATGTTGTCCTCGAAACAAATAAAACACAAAAGACAAAATAAATTAGGTCATTAGTGGTCGTTTATCATTAAAAGGGCCTCTCCTCGGACAAGTTAATTTCTTGTATCCTTCCACAGAGGTAGCCCAAGATCCGGAAGGTCAACCGTCAGTGATTTCCACACTTTCGAGCCACGTTCGAACGGCGGTTCGTAAAGTGCTCTCCTTCTCGCGGCTTATCTCATAGGGCGTGTTTGAGCTTGTTCCCTGGCTCTCCCTCTCGCGTTGATCCACCACGTCTTGTACGATCCCTGATAATGCGGACAAGACTACCACCTTGCATTCTGCGCGTGGTACCTCTTGGAAATCGATAGGGAAATTTGGCGTCTCTTGCTCCGTCATCTGAGAAACTTCACTATCCCTTCTCCCTCTTCGCTTGCTAGTAGATCGCGAAGACGCAGTCGAAGTTCCCTTGCTCACATCACTGCTATGGGCGATAACTCTCTCAACAGCATCAATAAGAGCTTCGTCAAAGCTGAACAATTCCTCTTCCTCGACCTTATCTTGAATCGGTTGCTCGTAAGGCGACAGCGCTGGTGTCATCAAGGACGAGCCATACGGCGTCAAGAAATTTGTGCTATTTCGATCGACCGGTAGCTTAGGCTTTACTAGACGGCGGTACCGAAGCCGCTTTATAGTAAAATTAGTCGTATCGGCGATGATAGCGGTGCTTACGTCAACCCAGTGCTCCGTGGGCCAATCTTCTGGGCCGGAGTTGAGATGAATTGTAGGAGTAGGTTCTGCAGCTAGAGATTCTCGTACTTCGTCTAAGAGGTTATTTTGCGGCGGGATCGCCTGAAGCGTAAAGTCAGGATGGAAGCGCTTAAGCCACCCCGCAACGTTCAAGGGAGCATCGCCGTCAATAGCTAGTCTCGAGAATTGTTCAAAGCCGTCGAGTCCACTACCCAGCCCGGGGGTTGAGAGATAACCACTGCTGGATGGTGAGCTTACAGCGGTCTCAAATGAAGTGAGGTAGTCTGGGAATTGAACATCAACATCTATTACTCCGTCGTCATTGTTGATAGATGTTTTCACCGGTGATTCGTATGCGCCTAACGGATCCGGGGTTCTCGACTGAGGTTCAAACTGCTTTTCCTCCATCCTTCGCGGAGTATCAGGCTGCTGGACCAATGTAGGATCACGATCTGTTGATTGGTTCGCAATCGCATCAAGAAGTTGGGCCTCTCTAACCATCTCCGAAAGCTTGTCCTTCCCACTAGGGGCAGCTTGTGTAGGCGAGGAGAGCGGACTGTCGCGATGAGCTGGCATGTCCAGAATTTGCGACGTCGTAGCAGTCGAATCTCGTCGTCTTGCGCTCCATAGACCACTGATCACACTGCCCCATCGCGAACTTTGGCGAGAGTCTGTGCTTGCATGGCTAGCATGGCCGATACTGTCACCTCTCTTAAGCGACCGCTTCAGGTCATCTGCAGCAAAACTGCTCCCACTACCAGGTCGGCCTCCGCGGCCTGTGTTGCTTCGATGTATCGTAGAGAAATGTGGAATGGCCGAATCGGGGACTACGGTATTAGCTGTTGCGGCACTGCTCTTTCGCGTGTTCTGGTCGTTTCCGGCAATGAGGAGATTTGCTGGCTTAATGAAATCAGACGATCGACGCTCTGCATTAGAGGACTCCATACTAAGGTGAGCGAGCTGCGCAGGAATACCAGTCACCGATCTCGTCGTAGCTTGCGATTGAATGCTGAAACTCCTGGTGTGAGAAGCACCTCTGGGTCCTTGCCGACGATTAATTTTCCGGCGCAGAGACTCTTCCTTGTTGATCGGCACAATGTACGACGGCGGCGAATGGCCAAAGGCGGCAGCCGACGCAGAAGTGGCCGGGCGCTGAGCGCGAACAGTTGGCAGCTGCTGGTTAGCCGGCAGGAAGGCGGAGAGTAAAAATATCAACCTCCTCGCAGCCATCTTATCTTTAGCAACTATTATCGTTCGCGACGGTAAGGATGTATCTTCCTCGCTTTTAACCTTCTGCTGTTGGTACCGTCTTCTCCTATACCAAACGGGACTTAATGCTTGAAGCCATTCGGTGTGCGTCGCCAAGAATGCTGTCAACAGATTAAAGAAGAAAAAGCCTTGCTCTTTGGTCCCGGCCCACTTCGCAACCCATCTCGCCTCTTCCCGCCACGGACCCCAACGACCCTGGCCCGTAACAACCCTAGTGGCCCGAAGTCCCGATACAATCCGGATTTTAGCATCATCTATTTCGTCGCTTATGCGCTGGTCCTGTGCTAAGCAGCTCGGCGGGAGTGCCACTAACTTCGCATTTGTCTTAGATGGTTTCATCTGAGAGCCGTCGGAGCCCCTTCGACCTTTGACTGATGTTGTTCGGGCGATCTGTGCAGATATGCTTGAGGGATATGGATCTGGCGCTGCCATATCCACTTGCTTTAACATCGGAATTAGTGTGGTGGCTACAACAGATTGAAGGTGAGTAAGAGTTCTCATAATGATATCCCAATGTTGAGTTATCGCATCCATGCGATCCTCGATATCGTTACAGTACGTTGATTCAAACGACTCCGAACCGAACCCAGAGCCGACCATCGTCCATCCAGATCGGCGAGCGGATCCGTAAGAAGAAGGGAAAGTGTCTTGCTCGTTATAAGAGCTGGGTCCTCGAAACATGGGCTTCGGTGCCGTTGCCGGTGTTGCGTTCGGACATTGCGGAAGTTGCAATACTAAAGCAACGGCATACATGGGTGTCCTCTTTTGTACGGGCTTCGACTTCTTCTTGTTCAGCTTGTTTTCGTCTGGGGAACACGGAAACGGAAAGCCCCCGCTATCATCAGAAAGCCGGCTATGGGGTGATGTAATCTGGCTAGGCGAATCGGGATCGTCGTTCGGTAAGTTCACTGGGAATAATCGAGTCACCAGGATCTTGTTACGATCCTGCTGCCGAGAAGATGTAGAGAAGGGTTGGAAATGTGTATGTGCCGAATCAGATGTGAAGGATTGTGCCAGTCTACTTGACCGCATACTCGACCTCCCCATCGACCCCCTGCCGTCTCCCATATATGAGCTAGAAATTCCAGATGGTCGCTGCTCACTTGGAATAATATGGACCTTAGTCGATGTCCCCTTATAAGACATGACTTCCGAGTTGGCAAAGATACAGCTCGAAAAGCTAGCGAGCTCTTCGCGGTACTCCCTAGCCGCCTTTTGGGAATCAGTCTCCGCAGCAGTATAGGCGCGGGACTGAATAGATCCTCGTCGGTCGAATGCACCTTGACGGGGTTGGGGACTACCTGGCTGAATAACTAATGGTCTTGAAGACTGCCCTAGACTGCTTTTCCGTGGAGAGGTAGGCACTCGTCGGAGATCCTGCATCAAGGACTGTGAGGAAGAAGTTGCACTTGGCGGCTGTGGCCGATCGCTTGGCGAGCCAGCTGATGGAGCAGGATGGCTGTCGAATAATAAGGAGGGGCTAACTGAGCCTAGGGTATCTTGCATTATTATAACGCGAACATCGCGTACATCAATATCGATATCGCCATCATAGTCAAAGGGGTTGGCGGAAACCCCGGGCTGGACGCCTGCCGCAGAAGATAAAGGGAAGACCTGATCCTGACGATAATAGAGTGCCTGCGTATCTGGAAATAAGAGGCAGCGTGTATGGATCTCTTCCTGGACCGATTCAGGAGATGGCTTGGTTGGCGTGGCCCCTTCTGGAGGATTTGCGCCTCCGGTGGTTCCCGAAGTCAAGTTAAAAAGCTTGCCCAACATGTTGGATCCGGTAGTTCAAAAGCCCTGAATGTCGAGTACGGATATGTAATCAACAATACCTAGGGCCGGAAACCACCAGACCGTCCTTTAACAGGCTCCCATCCAATGGCTAGAGCCTTCCGCTGCGTTGACCATGGCGTGGGAAGACATTGAAGTGGACGCCAAATTGCCTAGTTAGGTGGTGTCTGGGCAATGCAAGACAACGCAATAATGAGGGTCGAATGATGCAGGTATGGCGATTGGCAATCAGATCGAGTTGGCCGAATGAGGAGGGGAAGAAAGAGATCAAAGGTAATTAATATTTTAGATATCTCGAATTGATTTAGAACCAAAGCAACGGTATCCAATCTGTATGGTGGGATTTGTTTGCTGGGTGTATAATACGTTGACAGGCCTGTTTGCACGATGCACGCGTTTAGTTGTCAAGAGTCGTGTGAGCGACGTGATAAAGTGCGGAATCGGAGATGAATGAATACGACGGACAGGGGGCTCGAAGTTGAAAAGCCGCTTCCGAGGATACGTCGTTAGTCAATAGGACTTTTATTTTCCTTTATTGTCCTTTATCTCTCAATCAAGCCTGAAATGATTGAAAGACGAGTAGGTATAAGTGTTAGGCGAGTGAGAGGGTGAGAGAGGGTGTGAAGTTTACACACGGAAATTTAGTGGATAAAAGGGTTTGCGACTGAAGTAATAAAGGTAATAAGTGTTAAGAGGGGAGGTGTGCTTCTGCGAGTAATGCACAGGAACTCTTAGCCCGTCTAGTCAACTTGACCTGTGCTGTTAAACGTCCCGCAACCCGCGACGCTTAGGTACATATGTACTAGAGTATACCTAGGTGTATGCAAGTATGTAATACATGTAGGTAAATAAAATGGATTGTTAAGGTAAGAGCGAAGAGAAAAGAATGGGAAAAGAATGGAAAGAAGCATGCACCGCCGATTATGACGTCCAATCTCACCAAGTACAGTACCTATATACATACAAAATACTAGCAGTGAGGAATGCCAAGAGGGGGATATTCAAATGTTATGTACCGTACTACGATAGGTATGTGCGATATGTACGAATATGAATATCGACTGGACTTTCATTAAGATTGACGATACATAACTCCGCAAACCACTGTTCATCAACGTGCTACTCTAGCCTGTCTAGCTAAATGCTCCAGACCTGCTAACAAATCATTGGTGCACTACGCACACGCTATCCCGGAGTTGCTAGTACCTAGTTGCTACGTGCCGGTAGGATTTTAGATGCTCTTCTTAGCCGTCTTATATAATTCACTACTACTGCTACTCCTCCTAGGCATGGCTACTAGGTATCACCTACATGGGTCGATGGCTTCCTGGGAATTCCAACAATTCAAAGGTTCCGTTTTCAAAGTCCATGATGGTCATTACCCCATGATATCAGATATTGATGTATCTCAATGGTAGAGTACTTACAAGCCATCACCCCAGACGCTCCATACAACTCCATACAAACCAAAGGTAAGGGGACTCAAAAGGAAAACCAGGATTAGAAGACTGCAGATTTGTTCTTCTCCCAGCCTGTTGGTTCCGGAGTCGGTCTGAAGGATTCGATTGCGATCTGGCGGTGAATGAGAGATTACCTATTTCTACTTGGCTTGGTAATCAATCAGCTTTAACTGTCCAGAAACGAAAGCAAGCCTAGCCTCCATCAGGTAACGCCCTAGCCCTGGAGAAAACGTCTAAAAACTGATCTGCCACCGTAGGCGATTATCCAATAGATCCACAGTTGGCGGGTACGCATGCAAGTGCTGCATTAGGTATTTTTCTTAGCCCTGGGATTTCCCTTACGATCTATTCTACTCAGGGCCACTTACATATATGGGCCGGGAGTTGTACCATGTCTACCACAGTTACCTGCGGAGCAGGCCGATGTTGTTGAACAGAAGAACCAAATGGGTATCGTATCTAGGAGACGAGAGTAGACACGCTCCTCGTGGATGTCTAGGTAAGTACTACAGTATCTTGTAGCTATTAATGATAAGTATCCTACACGATATCAGTCCATATCGAGCGTTTGACATGCGTCGATGCCACTAGGATAAAGTAGGTAGATAGAGTAGGTATTTACTAGCATCCGTACGGTACGTAAGGCACCAATCGTCCTTTGGGCTTCATCGACCCATCTTGTGGCATGCAGGGCTGTTGGTTTTAATCATTTATTACAGCAACATCGCACCCATTTCCCTTTTAAGCAATGTGAATTCGGGAAAAGCGGTCGCAGCTCAATCCCTGTTTCGGGACTCGCACACGCGACGCCATCCTTGGCCCTTCTCTAAATCCTTAACTACCCTCACATCATGTACCGTGTCGCCGTATATTTGACACATGCGATGATATACTCACTTATGCACTTGCTTATTTTACTACTCCATTCCCAATTTATACCTATCCAAAATCCATCCTGGCCCCTCACATGTGGAAAGTCTTTCTATTAGTATGCCCCATGGATCTTCCTTCGATCCAAAACACCGTTTCTGGGGCATTTGGTCTAGTGTTATTTGGACCATCGTCATTCGCCGGTCTACGCATGCATATGCTTGACATATGATCACATTTCTGCGTCTCTGCGCTACCTAGCCGCCTATGCTAGTCTGAACTACCTTAGGTTAGTTACCAAGGTAGTCCAGACTTTGAATCCATCCGAAACTTTCTCCCATCTCTCGTGAGGAGGCAAGCATTTTCATCGGACGGCCTGTTCGAACTCCCGGCGGTGAACCACCCCTCGACTCCCAGCGCTTCGAAGGAATGGCAGGCGAGGTGGGATAGATGTCTTGGGTCTCGCGAACATCCGCTGCTGACGCGGCTGTCGTACTTGTGCGCCACGAAAAGTGTCCCTTGGACAATCTCGGGATGAGGCTCAGCTTGCTACGAAGTCCGAGGCAGGCCATAGTGTCGCATCCGACGACACCTTTGCAATTTCTATTTCCATCTAATAACGTAATAGAGACTAGCTGACAACGGGGCTAGACCTTCGGGTCGGCACCACAAGAACTCTGCTGGGTAAGCTACTTACGTTTAAAACTGCACTATTCCGAGATTCTCGCCGTGGAAGCTCAGGCTCTTGTTATTTAGACACTTCTCAACTCAGCCGAGTACTTGGGTATGTAACCTTCGTAGCATCGGCGACGTTGAGGTAAGTCAGGTCATTGGTAAGCAGTCAGCTCCACCTGCTAGTCCCGTCTACTTCTCCTAGCCCGCGATGATTTCCCGCCGGCAAATGTAAATATTTCTTGGCTCCCTAGGTTAGTTTATCCAGTGACGTCCAACGGCACGCCTCTCGATCTCATCTCGCATCCTCTTGGCGCTCGGATCACTTTTACGCATGTGTGTTAAAAGGGTCCCTAAAATCAAGTCTTCACGTTGCAGTCTCACAAGGATCGGCAGGTTGAAGGATGTAGCTAATAAGGGCGCTCTAGGTCCATCATCGAGACTTACATGACGATTCTGCTAGTCTCGTGGGCCCACGTTAGGAACGGACCACGCTACGGTGACGCCGCAACAACCGGTTTGGTCCCCTTTTTCTTTTCGGGGTCTCCTCGTGATGTTTGAGGCTCCGAAATATGAGCGGGGGCTAATTTTATCGATTAGAGCCGTGGCTCTTCGAAAACGTCTTACTGAGTCCTTATTGGATGTCATCCATAGCCTACGCGCTTCGACTACCGGCCCAGCACTAGCAACTTGTTTGATTCTAGATTACATGCCCTAGCAAACGGCAAATCGAATGCGCTATTTTCCAGGCGATCTTCACAGGATGGAGAAAGTGGAAAGCTCTAACAAAAACCTTTTTTGTTTACTCCTTACTCCTCTCGTTCCTCTTGCCGAAGCGCATTGACCAGGTATCCTATCAAGCGCGTGTTCTCGGCGATCTCAACAGGGCCCCCAATTATAATTGGGTAAAGGCGTATGTCATCCTCCAGGTGAGATCTCCATTGCTTCGGGGGGTTCTCTCACCTACGCAGCCTACGGCGCAGCTGCCCCAGACTGCACAGACTACCAGGAACATCACTATCACCCCCAGAATCAGCAATGACACGCTACAAAGTTCCTGTATGGCCAGGCACTTTGAACCATCTCGAGCGATCTTATCCTCGTCAAACTCGATCGGCGATTTGAACCGAAGATCTGGGGATAAGATCAGTGTCACTTTACCTGACGTCTAGGCGTGCGTAATAGAGCCATGCGGAGCTGCAAGTGAAGTCATCCAGAACGCCCCGTCGCAACGCCAGCGGTCATGGCGATCACTAATATCTAAGACATCGCTTGGTCCCAAACCAGCGTTGATAAACTGTGATGGATCCATTTTCTTAGCCAATTCGTTCGCATGGTATGCAGGAATGGCCTCTAACGTTAGAGCCATCCTCCACGAGAGATTGGTACGGCCCCGAACTGTGCCTGCGGATCGTCGAGTGATAACAACAGATCATGATCCTTACTTTCGCAATTCATTAGTCTGATTAGCAGAGTGGATGATACTATCGTAAGAGAGGTAGTTGCCATTCAGGCAAGCAGTAACTGATACGCGCCGTGTCAAGACTCGAGACAGTTACTAGCCGTCCGGTGAAACCAGGCTGTCAACTGCTTTTTGAAGATCAGATATAATGAGAAGCCATTGGTTAATGGCTAACGAATAAGAAGGTCTTCTTTTTTATAATCTTCATATTCTCATATTCCCTAGTCAATATTTGTCCCACCTTACATGCTATGGTATTGGGCAGGCTCAGCTATTTGAAATGCTGACATTACATTCGAATATTACGACAGCCAGATGACGCACACGAGGTCACTCAACTATCAGCTAGGTATATGAAAACTCTTCGCGGTATGAAATAGGGTCAGCTCGATGTTCTATTTGTCTACACTGTTGTTTGTGCTTTAAGCAAGGCGTTGGCAATACTCGTGTTAATCCCGGTGTGTTCGGTCAGGTAAGTCGATATCCCTCACTTGTGATGACGATAAGCTGTACATCCCAAGATGGAACCAAGCATATATCTAGGTACCTAACTAGGCCGCCGGTTATCATATGTAATACAGGTAAGCATTTATAATCTCGTTTTATTCGTAGCAGCATGTAGGGGAAGCAACAATGTCCGATGCTTGCTTCTCTGTCGGACGTGAAAGATAGCGTACCTAGGTACGAAATGATACATACAACTATATGTTTTGATGGATGACTTCAAGTATTCATCCCGCTCCATGCATTGTTCAGGGATAAGTATTCAATAATCGTTAAATCCTCAACCACCAGACAAAGTGAGTTCTATCGCTAAGTGCGTCAATGAATAATAATTCATAGTCGCAAAGTATTTCTCAAGTCGCCGACGATGTAGTGTCCTTTTACCTATCTCCCGCCCGCATTCTTTACTCTTTGACGTCAGCCTTGAGACACTGTTGTCAGGACGTCCTGATAACTGGTCCGCATGTACGGATATAACATCGGTTCGTCAGCATGGGAAACGATGCAGGCGCAGTTTCCCCGCCGCTAAACCTCTAAACGCCGAAAGCTCCCACTGCCCCGGATCGGGATGCGCGGGGCAGCGGCGTTCTTCACTATTTCCCGCCGATAAGCAGCGGACCTGATAGGCGCAGTTATCGCAAGCCTGGTATATCCATGCATGGATGACTTCAAATTCCTTGTGAACGAACTCTTACAACAAACCGTTACCTATATTACGCTTCTTAAGCACAGGCTTATAAGAGAACCGTTGCACTTTCGCTTCCCGATTGAGGTCGTACAGAGGACAAATTAGCGAGATTTAATGACACGATCTTAGATAGGTACCTGGTATATTATCTGCTACGTGACCAGCGAAAGCCAAGCCGCCGCAATAACAGATCGCGGAGAAACGTATATGATCACCGCTGACCGCAAGTTCACGATTGTATGCGGCGTATATATGTACCAGTACTACATAATGCCGCAGTAGTAACAGAAAGCCTAAGGCAACAGAAAAATTACAATTATTTGCCTGACTTGCATTCTTTGAAGGGATAAAATGTCTTCATGATCTATAAGCAGCGCTGAAGTCAGATCCCATTATCGTCACAAGTACCATCTACGTAATACAAAAAGCCAGCGCGAATGTCGTACATATACCATGAATGAATCCTCCCCGGGCCGGGGCCGCCCGTGGCAATTTAGCCAGATATCCTCGTGTTGCTACCGCAAGTGTCATTGAGGGCAGAAAATGAGAAAATGTACAATTAGGTAGCCTTGGGTTTCGGTACCGATAGAAGCAACCTGCAAACTCACCGCGCGCTCAGCCAGTCAGCCAGCCAAAACGACCCCCGCAGGTAGGGTATGTCATCCGTAGGCTGGCCATCCGCGGTAGGTACTACATGAGGTAGGTTGTACATACTACACGCGCGATGTGACCGCGGCTGAGATTGGGCAGGGCTGAAAAGAAGATCGAAAAAGGACAGCTGGAAAAAGTGGGAGGGGAAATCTTACCTATGTACATACCCATGCTTACGCTGCGCCGGAGCAAAACAGAAAAGAATTATGGAAAGTCGAAAAAACAAAGGAGAAGGGATGCGAGGAATCGGTGTGGTTGCGCAAGTCGGCTGTACTTACGGAATGCGGAATGCAGATTCCCTACGCGGCTCCGGAGCTCGGGTCCTTTCCCGACTTTAGCAGGTGGGCGGGGAGCGCGCACACCCATCCGCATCTGAACCCCAGTCAACGCGCGTATGAACGGTGACGAGCGAACGAACGCACACCGGTTTCGTCCCATTCCTGGGCAAGATCGATTAGATTAGATCTCTACCTATACGCAGGGTACAGTAGAATTAATCCGGCTTCGGAAATGAGGCCGAGTCGATCTCTGATCAGAAAAAGAAGCTCAACATAACCATGGTCGTTTGGGACGTGGTAGTTTGCTAATGAGGTCGTTCGCATACGTAATATGTATGTGCGCACATGCTTGATGAGGCAGATGGTCACGATGCGGGAGGAAGAAGTTGCAGGTCGGATATGCAGAGTTGCTTCTTCCTGCTGCGGCTGCATGCAGGCTTTGAACCCTTGCTTTCTTTTTGCTTTTCCTCATATTTTGCTTATTCCTTACGAAATAACACATGGATGAGATTCCTTCTCTGTTTTCTTCCTTTGAGAGATCTAGCCCTGCTAGAGCCCCCATATCTGTAGTCCCTGTCCCCCACGTTTGGAAACCCCACGACTTTAAGCTGTCGCGATTTGAGCCTAGAAACAACATCTCGAAGGTGGCGTAGCGAATTTACCACGATCACTATTCACTTAGGCATAGAGCACACCATTGTGAATACGTACCATGAACCAAGGCCACGAGTTCGAGTTCGAGTTCGAGTTCGAGGTGATGAAGAATATTATACTGCCATATTACCTGGGACCTCGATATTAAGCTCTGTTAATATAGAGTAAGAACGACCAATTAGACTCTTGGCCACCATGTTGCGAATACCGTCAATTAATGGCATGAAGTGTTGAGTAATACTGAAGCTACTAGATATCTAGGGCAGTCGGTATAGATTGATGAACCCAACTGTGACACCGCCTTCATTTAATTCATGTAGCAAGAACATTCATGATGTAAAATTCATTTATTGGTTCTTTAGTCAGCATCGAATTTATATTCGACCCTGATTCTAAGCTCATCTTGCCATGTTCATGTGATTCCTAGCGTACTAGCAATTTAGCTCGCGAACCAAAGCGTGATAATGATGTCTCCCACGGTCTGCATTTAGATAGTACGCATAGTAGTCGTATTGCAGCATGTCAGCCCCTCACACAGGTTCCCACAGGCGATTTGACAAGGGGCTGCCGCTTCGATGCGTCGTCTTCTAATCGACGCACCCGAGGACGACACAATCTCACCAGTCGCAATCGCAGGGTTCGTTGCGGCGCCACCTATGCTATTGCGCCCATCACTTTCATTGCTGTTATCAGGGGCGGTGACGGATGATAAAGTTGTCGGGGTTGCGAGCTCGGGCTGAAGAGTCGCGGAATGGATACCCCAGGCGTGTAGACACTCGCCTACGGTACGCGCACGATCCATGAAATCGCTCATCTCGGTATTTGACACTACTATGTGAGCTGTAGCGATGGATTTCTTCTGATCGAGGCGCCAGATGTGTAACTCGTGGACCGATTCAATACCAGGGATCTATGATGTTGATGCTTCGTTAGCTTATATGATATCCCACCGACCAATAAAACTTCTCAAGCATTTTAAGGTTCATTTTCTTCTGTGACATACCTTCTCGAGATCATGTTTAACATCATCTAAAGGCACGTCCTTCGGCGAGCTCTGCATGAGAATCTTGCCACTATTCTTGACAAGGGGAATTGATGTTAGTAAGATCATGAGAGCGATGCCCATACTGATGCCTGGGTCGGCGTAGAATCGAGCCTCGGAAGACGTAAGCCAGATAATCAGAGCGGCGATAATAACCCCGACGTTGTTGCATGCATCGCCGATGACGTGAAGTAATACACCCATCATACCGAGGTCATGTCCTGATGACTGTAGATTCACGATCGTGTGACGATGCTCAGCATGGGCGCTGATAGGCTGTATAGACTTTGTTAACACAATATTAACAGAGTGAACTGACGAAGTCTTACAGTAAGGGGAATTTCGTCATGATCCTCGACAAAGGTGCCATTCACCTGTATGCCGGCCTCGATGTTAACGTGGCTGTGGTCATGATCATGTCCATGAATCTCAGCATGGTCGTGTTCCGCTTCATTTGCGTGGCCGTGACCGTGTCCATGACCATGGTCATGGCCATGAAGTTCGTGTAATAAGGTTGCGCTGAGGAGGTTCAACGTAAACCCAACACAACCCATAATGAGAACCAGTACGGGTTTATCAACGCCTGTCTTAAGTTAGCCACCCAGACAACCGAACTATCCACAGACGTATATAAGAGTGAGAAAGAGCCTACGTTCAATAGAAATGAATCTCTCAATTGACTGGAGAAAGATAGATATGCCGAGGGCGAGAAGAAAGACGCCATTGAAGAAGGCACCCAACAGCTGCGCACGTGCCCAGCCAAACGAAAAATTGTCAGGGGGGGCCTTGGAATCGGAAATCTAAGATTTAGGTTCTGTTAATAAAGCTGTTGAGATATACCCAGGCAATAATTCATCGAACGTACAATGATTGCGGCTAGGGCGACACAGTAGGCGATTAGATCATTCATCTAGAATATGAAGTTAGACACAATACCGTATGATATTCTAGGCGGGTGTGACATACGTAATGGAAAGCATCTGCTAACAGAGCAAGAGATTTGGTGAAGAACGCCACTAAAGTTCCGGGTCAGTTCACACTCAAATTATTCGAGCTGTTGAGGGATCTGGTCTAGCATACCAACCAACTCAGCGACGAAGAATGAGAATGAAATGCAAATGATGGCAATGAGCTTCTGCTTAGACGAAAGTTTGAATTCGCCCATGATTAGTTGGCGATGCCGGCTTCCGGAGCCGGAGCCGGAGCCGGAGCTGGAGTCGGGGTAGGAAGCGGGCTGTTCGAGTTGAGTACCCGTTTTGGGATAATAATTCCAAGGGCAGTTTGCGCAGATACCATGTAGAAGTATGGATATCCCAGTCTTGGCTATCTTTTCTTGGTTGATTTAAAGGATTGTGTTTGGAGTGGAGAGAGAATTGACCACTAGTTGCCCATTTAAATGCTATTATCCCCGTTCTTATGTTGTAGGAAGTCGCAACCTAAAAGAGAGTGAGCATCGACCAGGTCAATTGAGTCACTAGAATAACAATGACATGACAAACACATGTTATTAGATGACGGTGTCCAAGGGGACAATAGGTATTTGGACTCATGTGTAAAGACGTGGACCTACCTGGCAAATGCCTCTCATAAGACCTCGGAGATCTGATCGGGGCTGTTGGAGGAAATCGTTGAAACGTAGATCAACCCTGTAGTATGATTCACCAACGAAACGTGAATTGATCCAGGGCCCGGGCACCAGCCGTTGCAATGGCGAATAATGAAAGGAATTTTAGATACCCTGGACCGCAGTTGAATATGTGGGTGAACAGGGCACGTCGTGTCCTTTGTCGCGGGTGAAGAGTAGAAAGAAGAGAATGCTCGGCCGATAATAAACCTACTCTGATGATTAGATATTTCAGGATAAGCGAAACGCTCTTGTGGAACGTGCGCGGAGGGAGTATTTTTGTATTTTGTGCGCTTGTATGCTGTGATATATCCCTAGGGGATCTTAACCGGCAATGAGCAGGAGACCTACCTGCTTAAGCAGCGTCGTGGCCGCACATAAACCCGGCGAATGGATCCAATCTACCGGATCGTCAGAACTCGGTGAGTATTAGCATTGAACTGCCCGATCTAGCAGCAAACGCATCTCAATCTACTCCCGAGAGAAAGACGCCTGTAACGTCGAAGATAAGTAGTAGAACATAGCTGGAGTAGCACTACGTCCGTTCTCGTTCCCTACCTTAGGTACTTTGAAGACAATCTTGGATCAACCCTGATGTTAAGTCGTGCAAGGACACAACATTGAACGTCGTAGGCCACGTTAGTTACCCACTTATTGAGTGGGATATTCACTGTTTGGTTAATATGTAGTGACTATGTACGTACGGGTAATCGGCCGAGTTGTCAATATTTAAATCTTACCTAAGTTAGGTCCTTAAAGAAAGTTTAGAAAATCGTTAACTGCTTGCTAGGTGATGTTGCCGTATGTGAATTGATTATCTAATGTGAACTTAATACTAACTTTATTTAGAGTTATCCATGCTTGCAAGTTGTTCGTTCCTTCCTGTCATCCAACCTTACTATGTAGGTACCGGTAATTGTTTCGGCAAGAGTGGATCCATCTATCTTCAAGATCTACCTAGTACCTTAGCGATACTGGGGGATCGGTGCCTTCTCTTTGTTCCACTTTTTCTCTTAGTAGTTGCTCCACTAACTCAGGACCTTTCCCCTGACGTCTACTGAGCAATAGCGCCGAGTCACGACATCATTGACAAAGCAAAATGGGTTTATATCAGCCCTATACTGGGATCGATGATCACTTCATACTATCCATGATGCCTTCAGAATGAGGCAGCTTTTATGATATAAATCCATTGCTGACCCATGAATCCAAGATGAATAAGTTTGTGTTAAAGTATCCATACCGCGATGCATATCTCACCTTGTACGTACGGTAACATACTACTCAGTCGGGCTTCTCTAGTCCGTCTCACTACCTGCCATCCAAGCTTCTATTTGAAAAATTTGTTGAGAATTGCGTCAAGCCCGGAAGCATTTCCAGGCTTGACTCATCGCCGAGAGGCCACGTCAGGATACAGCACGCTGACAGAGAACATGAATGCCATCAAGGTATGCACGTCCATGGTAGACGAATACATAAAGCCAACATCCTAAAATCGTCCGAAGTGTCGGCTGGAGATTAGAGACGGGTATTGTTCCGATGCCTAGCCAGCTAACAATGTAGCTAGAATACCCTCGCGGAGAACATTGGCGGCAAATTCCAAAATATTGGAACTCATCAGTTCAGTCTGGACCAAGTTCCCGATTTGACGGGAAAGGTCGCAGTGGTTACAGGCGGAAGTGAGGGCATCGGCTTCGGCTGCACTCATACGCTTCTAAAGCACAATATTGGAAAAGTCTATATTCTCTCCGTCTCGGAAGAGGAAGGCGCCAAAGACGCCATCGCGAAGCAACTAGGCCAGCAAGCGGCAGACAAGACCAGGTGGATACGGTGCGACTTATCAGATTGGTGGAAGGTGAAGGATGTCGCTGAAGAGATTTCGAAGGAGAGCGACAGGCTCGACATCTTAATCAACAACGCAGGTAGAGGGATTATGACTTATCAACTCACCGACTATGGCGTGGATAGGCATATGGCCGTTAATCATATGGGCCATGCGATTTTAACATCACATTTGCTTCCATTGATGAAGCAAACCGCCGAGAAGGGTAACATTGTGCGCATTACGAATCAGGCTAGTAATGCACACCAGGCCGCCCCGAGCGATACGAAATTTGAGAGCTTGGAGGAGTTGAACCGCGACCTTGGGGCTAATGCTCAATATGGACGCAGCAAGCTTGCCAATATCCTCTATGCCAGGTACTTTACGGAGAAGGTGACGAAGGCGGGTTATCCTAAGTTGCTCATGAATGCAACTCATCCGGGGTTTGTGAGTACCAAGATGAGCAAGGAAGATATCTTTGAACCGTTCCCGCTCGGTGGATACGCGATGGCCGTTGGCATGGAGCCTTTCAAAAAGGACCAATTCGAAGGCGCAGTCTCAGCAATGTTTGCTTCCACGTACACGGAGAAGTCGGGCCAATACATTTGCCCACCGGCTGTGCCCGAGTCGGGAAGTAAGCTCTCACAAGATAAGGTGCTTGCAGACAACTTGATGAAATTAACTTGGAAAATTGTAACGGAGAAAACGAATGACGGGGTTGGATCTTGTCTTTTACTGAACAACTAAGTCTCGTTAGGGTTTCTACCTAGGAATCATAATTCTGTTGCTGAATTACATAATTAAATTGATTACCTAAAAAGCTATCTTTGTTGTACACGAATTCTACATAAGTACTTCGGTACCTTTTGTAGAAATGGAAAGGAAAGGCGGTGGAACCTTGTACAGTGGATTCTGCCAGTCACTATCGACCCACAATAATGATCCACCTCGTCATTGGTGAATCTTGCATCATTCTTGAATTATTGAACATTGAAGTTATCATCTACCTTTTCCAGTAGCCACCTTTAGCGCCGGCGTCACTTCGTATCGAGGAAGGCGGCTTGTATCCTCAAAATGAAGTGTTCAATTATGTTTGAAATAGGATAGAAAGGGCGAAATGTCTCGGAATTCCGCTCTCTCGCCCTCGGCGCCGCGACGAGCTTCGCAATGGACATCACATTTGCGACAATTCAGTAAGTCGAGCCTCGACAGGACTTCGGAAGAGTCGCCCATATCGCCAGATACTGTATTCGGAAATCCAACCACTCGAGATCCTTCATCTTCGAAACGACCGAATGAACGAATATGCAGTGTAACTATCAATGAGTCCGTCATCCGTGACGAAGTCCTTGTCAATTTCGACCTATTTGGAGGCACCCTTCAACCTGGTGCTTTGATGTCTATCACCCCTATAAAGTCAGACCAAGATCGCGCATCAGGTCCTCAATATGGTTCCTCGCGACAGGCATCTTATAATCGGGGATTTACCAACTTTACTCTGGCTGACGACCTTCCGAAACCTGACGGCGATGGAGGTCGAAGATATGTTTTTGTTGCTAAGGATGTGTCGAAGGAGTTGAAAGCCAGACAACCGAATGTAGAGGTGTACGTCTCGAAGCAGATTGGTAACGCGTTCAATATGAGAAAGGGTACCCAGGTGATACTCGCTCCAGTTGACAACCTTACGCCTGCCGTCGAAGCCTCCCACGTCGAGCTCACCTTTAAAGATATGTATATGTCCCGCGCGGATATGTGGAGGCTTGCTGTCGCCGACTTAACAGATCATACTGTCTACAAAGGCCAAGTGGTTTTCTTTCTGGGTGCGATTAAGGCTACCGTGAGTACGGTTTTCGTCGAAGGCCGTAGAGCTCGGTCAGCCTTCTTCGGTCGTAACACCCGCCCTATCTTTCGGAGTGAGTCCGCTAGATACGTCCTTTTCATCCAGATGGCGCGGGAAATGTGGGATTTCGACTCCGACGGCTCTGGCGAGATCATGTTTTCTAAGGTTGTGAACGGATTTTTACCAGCGCTCTTCAAAAAGTGGGCTCTACTGCAAGTCAAACACTTAGTCAGTATCGTGCTCTTCGCGAGGGTTGAGTATGATACAGGGTTGACAACAGAGTTTGCAAATTCGGCTCTTCACAATGACTATTATACCGGATACCAAACTTTTGGGGATAGGCGTCCTTTTAAGGACTTCTATCGCGTTGTCGTAAGCGAGATGTCTAGCGGGGAGTGGACCAAGATATTAAATCAGTTGAAGATGGAGTTTAACGTCTTCCGTCGAGACATTAGTCTTCATCATCAAGATGCCATGAGTAACGATATGGAGATTCCCGAGGATCCTTCTGCCAAGAGCACTTCCACTAGTAAGATCAAAGCACACTCTTCATTGGCCATGTATGGAAACTTCCTCGAGGCAATTAACTTGGCATCTTCCTTGTATGCCCACGATTATGTAGATCGAGACCTTTTACGCACCGGGATATCTATAGTGGTCATCAGTCCAGGCCCGGGAGTTTTTGAAGTCGGATATGAATCCTTACGGCGGACGACGGAAGCCCTCGTCGGCAACGGGATTGGCATCGATCTCATCTGTATTCCAAATATACCACTGCATTCTGTTCCTCTATTTCGCTATCGAAATCCCCACTTCCTCGAGGCGAATCAAAGGTCGCAACCTCGGCAAATCAGAAGTCGCGACAGCACGCCTAAGCAGCCTACGCCACTTGTCGGTAGTTATACTACGCTAGGCGAGTCTGTGTCTCCTACTAAAGCAGGCGATTCGTCTAGCCGGGTTGATTCGGGAGGTTCTACGCTGTACGCTGATGAATGGGCTTTTGCGGTACCGCAATGGTTGCATATCTCCTACTGGACTGGAAAGTCGGAAGAAGCTCTGTCCTTCCAAGGCATTTCTCTGTCTGCCTCGGCTCAACCACCTGATAACTGCCATGACGAATTCACAATTCGGTGTAGGCTTTATGATCTCCAGATGAGGAGCGTACTTGAAACCAATGAAATCGAGACAACGCCGTTACATGCTGATCCAACTTATTCGAGTACCGTTAGCAACTATGAAAACAAGACGAAACTTTTGCAGGGCGACGAACGCCTGTCGACACATATTGGTAATCGAAAGGTGCCCGAAACGTTGTTTGAGCCAGTTTACGGCTTCCTGAAGTTTAACCCGGACAAGTTGGCGAAGGCCGGGGAAACATTACTCTGGAAAAAGCTGCAGGCTTATGATGAAACAAGGGCTCGGCTCCCGGCGCATCGGCCTTTACCGCCGACCCATCATTATCGGGAACTTGAGGAGAGCGCCGGCAAGCAACTGATGGAAGATCTTAATCTCTTCGGTACTTCGATAGGCGATAGCAAAGATGCTGGCCCATCAACTGGACTGTCGTCGAGTGTTTCATCTTCGAGTAGGATACGGCTAGACGTACCTACGTCTGCTGCAGCTTCTCGACGCAACTCTACCACCAAATCCAAGCCTCCGTCAGCGAGACAACCCAAGTTCATGAGGCAGATCAGCCTTGGCCAGCGTGGATTCGGTATCGCCGCAGCCCAACCATTCACAGGTGAGGTGAAAATAGAGCACGCTACCCGAGTTGATACTACCGGTCCCGGATCCAATACTCCTTCGACTCCCAAACTAACGCCAATTACACCAATCAAATCTGCGACAAGGCCAGGCTCTTCACAATCATCTAGTATTAGAAACATCCCAGCAACGATCATAGCAACTGATTCAGCAACGGGCCTTACTCAAGCATTACCCAGTCTTCCGATCCAAATAAAGAACCCCGCCCAGACTCTAGATCCTGCGAGTACATTGAGATCTGGCCAGATACCAGCCACTCCTATTGCTAGAAGCGCACGGCCTGATGATCGAGATCTTAGATATTCCAATACTCTCAGAGAAGAGGATCAAAAGAAGCTTTATAACTCGAAGCTACGGGCGGGAGGTGTGCCGGAATTGCCCACCACGCTTTCACCGACTACCGCCATGGCCCCGTGGTTGGTAGTTCTTAATCCGTCGAATCCTAACGTCCATAAGGTCGACGACTCAATCTTGTTTAGTCGATGGCAACATGTATTTCCACGGCCGTCCGAGATGAGGGTTATGAAATGGAAATCATTATCCTGCCCTGCGGCTGTTCCATTGACGACGGAGTATTTCCCGACTCAAGCTCAATTCAATGTCGAATACCAGCGTCAGCCGTACAACATTTCTCAGGAAGTAGAAGATGAAATTGCCGAACAACCTAGGTCACGCGTGGAGTTTCTGAGGGAGCTAGTCAGTGCTCGGTTCTCGCATGGATTTCAGGTCGTGACCGGTCCCTCGGTGGCTAAAGCGTTCGACCAAAAGGTCGTGAGGATCGCGGATGTATTCTCTATAGATAAAACTGTTGGCGACGGAACAAGTATTTTCATGAGTGTTGGTAATACAATTCACCAACTATCGTGTGTTAATGGCACCGAAGTTGAAGTGAACATTTATATACGGAAACCAACCGAGCCATTGGCGCAGATAACGCAATTACCTTCATACAAGCCGGCAATTCGTACTCTACTCGATGACACGTATCATAGTGTTGATGTCGACATCATGACACCCAAATCGGAGCGCAATTGGAACTATATAGATTCATACCTCGCCGGTCATACAGACGAAATGACGGAGAACCTGAGGTTCTGGAGGGCTCGATTTGTGCTCATACCAATGTATCCTCGAACTTCCTCAGCTCCAGCGCCGCGGAACGAGGATGATGAAGAAGAGGTGCGTCTTGAGGGTATTAAAAGGCTGGCCCAACTTTGGCAACGGTATCGATTCTTATCACCTTCTGAACGTCAGTTTCAAAGCGTCGGCGCAAGGAAACGTGACCCGAACCCCCTTGACATCACCTACAAAACCGAAGACCCTTCGGTAGTAATTGCTGCTGAGATGGAGACGCTTCCCCTCTTTGAAAACGTAGAGGTCACGCATCGCAAAGGTTTGGTCTCGGATAGGGAGCGTTTCTCAAAGACCAATTTTAATGTCGCTGCCCTAGCTGAAGCAATTCAACAGCCGGTCGAACTCGGTGGGATCCGAATGCAAACGCGACGATGGCATTTCCGAATTCATTATCATTGTTTCATAGGATCAGACATGACAACCTGGCTGCTTGATAACTTCGAGGATCTCGATAGCCGGGAAGAGGCGGTTGAGCTCGGTAATTCTTTAATGGTTCTCGAGGAGGACAAATCGAGGGAGAGGGACAAGGACTCTATTAAAGACGCAAAGAAGGATCGTGATCGTGGCATTTTCGTTCATGTCGAGAGGCGACACCCCTTCCGGGACGGTCAATTCTTTTATCAGGTTGTTAGCGATTATGCGAAGCCTCACCCCGTTGGTTGGTTCAATTCGAGGAAAAGAGACGTTTCGGTTCCTTCCACACCCCTATCGGAAAACCTGCCAAAAGACTCACCTCGACCCAGCCAGCCGGGAATACAGAAGTCGATGTCTATCCATGAAGAGAATTCGCCCATATCAGGCAGCACGACGCCCACTTTGGCGACGACCAGTGGGAGAAAGCCTAAGGTCGTCCTGAGTAAGATGATGAAATACGACGTCGATCCTCGCAAGAAGTCTTATCGCCCTGAGAGGATTAATTTGCATTATGATCGGCTTCACAACCCCGATAATTGTTATCATATCCGCATCGACTGGATGAACGTCACGGCAAGGCTCATTGAGGACGCCCTCAAGTCCTGGGCAACAATTGCAGCTCAGCATGGTCTCCGACTTGTCGAGGTGCCCATCGCAGAGGCCTGTCGTATCACAGAGATCAATCCATTCCGAAGACCCTATCACATTAAACTTTCGCTGCCTCCTCCTGCTCAACACCCAGTAACATATTATGACCCTACTTCCTTCGGCCCACAGGCACAGCCAGGAAAGCACTATTACCAAAAGGCTCTTCTGAAGAAATTCAATTACGTACTCGACGTTGAGGCCGCCTCCAACTTCCCGAGCAACGTAGACGTCAGCTATTCATGGGGCAAGCCTGATTTCAAATACTCTCAATACGTCCACCGCTCTGGAGTTATATTGGCTGAGATTACCGATGAAGGCGACTTCCTCGTCTTAGCCAATAGGCTGTGCAGTAATCGAGCAGCTGCTTTCCAGCCAGCTCAAGCACGCGCTGAGGCAATGCCCAATGAACGCGTCTCGCGGCTTATGAATACAAGCGCGTATACTAACTATGGGCTGGCCGAGCCCACACCGATATCATCCCCAATGTTCAGGCCTGTCCTATTTGCATCCGCCGCTTCTCGAACACAGCCCGAACCGTCCCCCAGCAGCAGCACGAGTGGACCGCAACCTTGCCCACCAAGTCCCAATGTCAATGCTCTTGGTGAGCCTGAAGCCCACAAAGACGCGCTGGAGAAGTTTTGTAGCGACGCGAACGCCCTAGAAGCATTCTATAAGGAGACGCTCGAGAAAGGTGTGATGGGAACACCTATGGCCGGAGCAGCGGCGCCGGGTCCCGACGCCATACCGGAAGCTAACATCCCTACCCTCACTCTCGGAGGCAATAGCATTAATCCAGAATCGGGTGCCAGTCCCGGTCCCAGAATTCCTACGCCCAACTTAGCTGGTTCGTTGTTATTTAGGCGAGGAAGCATTCAGCATTAATTAGGCGATTGCAGCCCGACGCAAGTGTAAACTTACGATGCTAGATGATCAGATATTGTCCTCTCAGATATCCCCAATGAAAGACCCGCGCTTGCGGTGAATGAAACACATTCTTTGGCATACATGCATACGTGAGACTTCTAGAAACTTAAGGCTTTATTCTATACATCGGCCAAGGACTAGGATTGTTGCGGAGCTCTTTACGCCGTATATTCTACATGAGGGTTGTCGCAATGTCTCGGCTGGTCTGAAATGAGCTGCGTATTAAGATACATTTTGCGAGATATAGACCCCTGACCGACTTTAGCTGCGGTCATACTTCTGCTGCATATGTAGATACTACATTGAGAGATGACGCTTCCTTTTCCGTGCGAGTCTTTCCAATATATCCCTAGGTACAGCATTTACTATATGCTTACTTACATGCAGGGCTTAGGTTTCTAGAATAGGTGTAGCGGTGGAGCATGGCCCCGATAGGTCAGTATTTGCCTCCTCCGAATGCGAACGAACACAGCCTACGGTAGGTAGGTGGGATTAGGTTTAATTCCGGGCCCGAAAGGCTGTCTTGTACACGACACCGTAATTTGTCAGAAGATGATTCGTAGGATATTCGGAATATGCACCAACTGTCTTTCCTGGTTGTTCCCTCGCATGCTATAGGAGGCGTTTCTCCCGCACACGCGCGTTCGGTTGGCACATGGATGGCACGAGGTCATGCCAGGCACTTTCACAGCTCACGGTGATTAAAAATGGCAATACGGAGGGGTCCTATGCCATATCCGTGTAGATTTTAGACGCGCACCTTGACTTTTCGCAATAGGAAATCGGGCGTATCGCTCTCCTCGATAAGACGGCAGTTAGAAATTGGGGTCCAGGGCGACCGGGGGCAGAAGTGCTTCTTTTGAATTTCTGATTCGGTTGTACCCGCTCGCCCCCATGTTCCAACTGTGTGTAACGCGGCCTAGATAGGTTAAATACCTATCGCATCTCTGCGATCATGTAATTTTGTCACTTTCTATTTAAACTTCTTACCGGTTCGTTCTCGCTCTCAGCAACATATTCCAGATGGATATCTTACGTATTATAACTGAACCAGCTCGTTCTTACATGCCCCATATAGGCTATAGTAAGATGCGTAAGCTCATAGTACCCAAGCCATCGAAGTAAATCCGTTTGGTCGAAATCCGCCGAGCTCGCGTGCGTGGCATTATACATGCCTACTAATCAGGGGCTTCCTAACGTGTTGCCCTTCCCTTCGCCGCGGCTAGAAAACTGATCCATCGTCTCCCTCCAGGTTCTGATCTGCAGTCGGAGTTTTTTTTAACCTTAAGAGGGGTTTACGAAGAGAGGCGTAGTTCTTCATAGCGGGTGTCTTCTAATATTCGAACTATGGGGAAGATAATGAAAACCTTGGAACTTGGCGATTGCTGCACCGAACTGCATTAGAGGGTGAAATTGAGAAGAGCAGATTGGGCTTTCCCTTTGGACAATGGTCATAGCTCTTGATTAGCTTTAAGTTTGACATCATTTTACATCGACCGGGTTATCTGTGTATCCACGGGTACCCACGTTAGGCTGGTTTAGTTGGTAGGTAGGTAAGGATCCGAATAGGGCAGAACCTGTGAAACAAATTCAAAAAGATCCAATTAGGAGTTTCCCGAGGTGCCACGTAGGTAATGTTTCACGCCATAAACAAGATTCCTTCTGGAAACTGATGACTCCCGATTCCTGTATTGACATATCACCATACCGCCATTAGGTATCATGAAAGTTGTTCGTGAGTCAATGAGGTCACTGAATGGTGAGTGACTCGTGCAGCTTTCCAGTCAACTTCGCTTAATACCCGCCCGGGGAGATCAAGACCCGGTGCAAAGTGAGCAGGAAAAGGCGCGATGAGAAATTAACCCCATGGGCCACGGACCCCAGAGTTGCTTGCGAATCCATATCCTGATACGTAAATAAACCAGGCCGTTGCAACTCAAAAAAAAAAAGACTTTGATAGTAAAGTGGCGCAGAGCAAACGGGTTTACGCGAATTTGGAATCGCAAGACCAATAAGCTGAGTCCTACAGAACAAAGAGGCCTCCTCTATAGTACCTAGGTACGGACATCTCAAACTTTCTATGGCTGTGCGAGATTTGGACTTAGGTACGTACTCTTAGCTAACCCGATCTAGTAATTAATATGGACCCGATGCGCACTTACACAGGTACGTGGAGAGTCAATTTTACTACCCCTGTCAAAACAGCATTTGGGGCCGTCAAAACTTAATTCAGGGACTGTAGGAGGAAGATGGGTGACTTGTGGAATCTTGCGCGAACTCAATAATAATAATCATCACCATCCATCCATCACACCTGAGTCCTTCGTTTTTCCAGTTTTCTACCTTCCCTGTTGATTCTGCCCTGCCATCAGTCTATAGGTAGCAGTGGTTCCCTCAACAACGAGCGCCTGATTCAACAGTGCCTCCTAATCATTCTAATTCACTCCTTGAATAACATTTTCTAACACCATCACCCTTTTTTCACAGCCCCAGATCAGGTCTCGATTGTCAAGAGACGCTTCGATATAAGGACAATTGAATCCGAGTGGCGTCAAGAGGATCGCGTTTGGCAGAAGAGAGATTGACGGAATCTCACATTGAAAAAGTGCAACTTGCCGTTACCTGAACGAACCCGGACAGCTGCGCGACAACGCAGATTATATACCGATCAAAAGCGGCCCCCAACTTCCTACAAGACAAGCGGTAGATATTACCAGCCTGCCTCTACGGAGTCCCATAATTCAAAATAAGGCTGAACGTCACGTCACATTAAGATACAGCTCATCAAGATGGGCGACGAATGTAAGTGGTTTATTTTTGCACTTTGGTTCAACCCGATACTCTCCTTACTGCACCCAACCCACGCGCAAACGAAGTATGGCAGAGCAAGGGCATCGAGGCTCCAGGGTATTGGAAGATGTGAATTATTGGGCGAAATACAAAGCAATTGAGCGACAATTAAATCGTTGGACCAGACTACCGTGGAGAGTCTACTTCGTCACTCCCCACACGATTGTCCGGCCAGAATACGCATGACTCTTGTCATTTCTAGCCCTATGATATTGGCGCCAAACACCCATGGATGCTCCAGCTTCATTCCATTCACCAATTCTCGGCCTATTGTTTGCCTATTGTTCTGCATCTTTGATGGCTGCGACTCTGCCACATTTCACATCAAGATCCAACACCAGTGTTTTTTGATACAAAGAAGTATCAATATTACGCAATACATATTTTAACCAGCCAAACATCCTCCGTTTTCTATTCACATTCCCCCTATCAATCTCTTTCTCCAGCATTGCATCGCCAGTTGAACTGGCGCGTGGCAACCGCATAGCACAATTATTGGATATTTACTTACATGATGAACATGGAAATAGTGAACACATGGAAGATGAAGGCCAAGGCCCATGCTATGGGTCGTCGCAATTCTGGTGGAAGTGCTAGATTTAATCCCTTCAGACACATTTCCTATGGATCTCCGAAGCGAGCGAGCACAATGGATGCCGCAGAACGAGGGAAATCAGGTAGCGAAGGCGACACAGCACAACTTAACCCCACTTCGAGTGCCCCAGGTCGTCTCCTGACGCCTATTCAGCAATCAGCGAGGAATAGCAAGGAGCTAGATGGTAACCAGGAGCAGGGTGAAGTATACGATTCTCAGGCGCCAACACTCCCGAATGAACCCGACGGTGCTAGTATCCGACAACGTACTACTCAAGACATTACCTCCAAACCTCAAACACCCAACACCATCAAGGAGGCTGCCGAGGAAGACAAGTCAAAGGAGAGAAGAAATACGGGGTTTTTCAAGCATGTCGAGCCGACCTCTCCTTTCACCGTCTGGAACCAAATTCAAAGAGTATTCTTTGGATCGCCTATCAATATTTTGATACTGGCTGCTCCTGCGGGTATTGCGCTACATTTCATAGGGTATGATGGCAAGGTTGTATTCGCCGTGAACTTTATAGCCATCGTTCCTCTTGCTGCTATGTTGAGCAATGCTACCGAAGAGATTGCCATGCGAACTGGAGAGGTCCTAGGCGGTCTTATCAACGCATCTTTCGGGTATGTATTTTGTCATTGCTGAATTTATTTACGAAAAGCTAACGTCTCTAGTAACGCCGTTGAATTAATTGTGGCTATTATTGCCCTCAGTCAGGACCAAATCAAGGTCGTACAAACGTCGCTTGTTGGTAGTATCTTGTCGAATCTTCTCCTCGTCTTAGGAATGTGCTTTTTCTGCGGTGGCATAAACCGCAAAGAGCAGTTCTTCAACACGACCGTTGCCCAGACCGCCGCTAGTCTGCTGGCCCTATCTGTCGGAAGTCTTATCGTACCCACTGTTTTTGCGCATACGGATGACCTGAACTCCGGCTCCATCGCGCTTCCCGCAAACGCAGTTCCGAGCTTGTCCCACGGTGTTGCCCTTATCCTACTGATCGTATACGCCTCCTACCTCTTCTTTCAGATGAAGACCCACGTCACGATGTTCAACGAGCAAAGCCAGAAAGTTGAAGGGAAGCCAATCTTCAAAAAGAGTCTTCCAGAGGGCGCGATTGCCTCTGGGGTTGCCAGGGTGGGCGCCGGGGCTGCGCTGGATATTCGCAGTGAGAACGGCGAATCGAACAAGATGATGGTGGATCCTCATGCAATGGTGGAGGAAGAGGAGGAAGGGCCCCAGCTAAGCTTTGTCGTCGCTTTCGCTACCCTCATTGGTGCAACGGTGATCATTGCACTCTGTGCTGAAGGTATGGTGAGCGGCATCGAGGCCATTACCGCGACAGGCGCCGTGAGCGAAGAATTCGTCGGTCTTATTCTCCTCCCTATCGTCGGAAACGCTTGCGAACACGCCACTGCTGTTACCGTTGCTATCAAAGACAAGATGGATTTGGCTATTGGTGTCGCTATTGGTTCTTCCATGCAGGTTGCCTTGCTTCTAATCCCCCTGCTCGTTATTATCGGCTGGGGTATGGACAAGCCAGATATGACGCTAGCTTTCGACACGTTCCAGGTCATCGTCCTGTTTGTTTCCGTTCTTCTAGTCAACTACCTAATCGGTGACGGAAAGTCACATTGGCTTGAAGGGCTCATTTTGACGTGTCTTTACGCCATTATAGCTACTTGCGCATGGTGTAAGTGATCCCTATACTTCCGAAATATTGGATACTCAAGCTAACTATAATTTAGTCTACCCTACGATCCCTGAAGACTCATCAGGCTGAAACAATAATCATCAAGAAACTATCGTTCAACGCGTTCTCTTGCAGCAATCTCTACAACCTGTTTTCGATTCCTTTGTACAAATCGAAATGGAATTACTCGAATTCGATATCCAGGCTGTATATATCAGATCGGCACTTTCACTTCTATAGGGGTTGCAGCCGTTTGAGCACTTTAAACTCGACACACGACAGATCTAGAAGACTGAGTCGCCTCAACCGCTGTACTACCAATTCATTATACCACAAATAACTCCTTTTAAGCGGGGTGGCGTTAAGGACCGGGAGTTACGATTTGAGGAGCCCCCAAATGACAGCTAGGGGCTTTCAACTCAGGTTTTAGGGGAATACACGTTTATATTTCTGAACTATCAGGATGAGGTGACCTTACGTTGTTGTGCAATTGCTGTTTTTCTCTGGGTGACAAGAGATTTGGTTTCCCCAGATGGGTAGTTGTAGGCGAGGTATTGAAGTTTGACTCCGGCCGTGGATGGTTCTATACATTATGGTTGTCGATGAGCATCTTGTTGTGAAATCACTTGTACGTGTGTGGAACTACAGCTACGGCGAGAGTTGCGCGATAGTACCCAGTGCGATGGATGAAGACTAGAGATACCCATAAGGCGTCAGTCTGTTGTTGCTTATAATTCTTAGCACGTTATACCTACTATGTAGGATACCTAACCTTCCTGTATGTACATGGACGTCTATAGTAAGCTACCGTCAAAATGCTATTTGCTTCTTCTCCTTGTGTCATATACGAGGCTACATGCATGTATGCTGGTGAAAAGTCCTACCGGCTTTTCGCGTCATCTAGATGCGCCGACGGGCATGCGTCACCGGCGGAACAAGGTCACACACCAGCTAATTGCCTACCTACGTAGGTATCTACCTATACAGCTGGCATCCGTGCTGCGTTGGGCGGCGCGTGGGACAAAGATCGGGAAGGGTTTCCGATGACGTGGTTGATGCCCTATCTAGGGCTTTTTCTAAGGCTTGGTCTGTGTTCCCGCGTGTCCCACAGTTGATTGGTGAAAGGCGCTGTGGTGTGCGACGTATCATATTCTGGATTATGATCGAGCCTGTCATTTGTCCGGGGGTAAGGTGTGGAAGAAAGCTGGCTGGCTTGGTATAATGCGTTGAAGGATTTTGGCTTTATTCGGTGAGTCATTATAGGTATTCAAGGCTTTCCGTGCTACTATGTATGAGGCTATGAATGACCAATTGAGATGTTTGTAACTAACAAGAAATCTTGGTTTGTGTGAAGCGTTTATGAATAGAATATAATAGGGATTCTGCGACAAGTATTGTATCGAGATTGAAGTAGGCTCTAATATGTGGGAGTCTTCTTAATAAGAGCTGCATTATTGAAATACCTAGCTGACCACTGTTTGACGTTACTCTGGAAGAATTCGGTATATTGATCAATATTGCTTGAATCCCCTCAACCTGAGCCTCAGGAAGTCGATTTATGATCATCAGTTTCTTTAACCAAGATAGAACTGACCTGTTCGGTCATGGGCGTGGGATGAGACATAGTCCTCTACCAGTATTACGCTATCATTGTTAATAACTTGGAAATCAGCCAAATCACAAATCATGTATTCTGTACGTAAAGGTACATATGCTTCGCTATCAAGAAAATGCTATCTCTATGAGGCTATGCTGCAAAATCACACCCACCACCATCTCATGACACTCCAACACACGCGCGAGTCCCTTTTCGTAGCTCAGCTATCAGCAGCCAAGCTTGTCCTAATCCTACCTACTCCTCCTTAATCTTCAAAACCGCCTTCCCAAAATTCTTCCCCTGGAATATCTCCACGAGGCCCCGGGCGCCGTTCTCAATGCCGCGCGTGACATGCAGCCTTGCCTTGACGCTCCCGTCCGCGAGCCACTTCTGCACATTCTCCTGATGCTTCTCCGCGTACGCGGGTCCGAAGTCCTCGTCGCCGACGAGGAACCCGGCGATCGTGAGCCGCTTCGCGAAGATCTCAAGCAGGTTGCGCACGCCGTACCGCTGCTCGAGCGGGGTGTTGTACCCCTCGATCATGCCGCAGACGACGACGCGGCCGCGCTCGCGCAGGTGCCGCAGCGCCGCCTCCAGGTGCGCGCCCCCCACGTTCTCGAAGTAGATGTCGATGCCCTTGGGCGCGAGACGTCCTAGCGCGTCCCACGGCCGCTCCTTTTTGTAGTTGAAACCGGAGTCGAAGCCCAGCTCGTGAAGGATGAAATCCAGCTTCTCGTCGGACCCCACGGATCCGATCACGGTGAGCCCTTCCCGCTTGGCTAGCTGGCCGACGAGCGAGCCGACGGCGCCCGCGGCGGAGCTGACGAATATGGTCTCGCCGCGCTTAGGCTGGCCGATCTTGTACAGCGAGGAGAAGGCGGTGAGGCCGGGCATGCCGAGGGGTCCGAGGTAGGTGTCCAGGGGCAGGTTGTACGGGTTCTCGAGCTTGACGGCGCCTTGCAGCCTTTCTGGCGTGACGGCGACGTATTCCGCGAAAGGCAGGAATATGCGTAGCACGTCGCCGGCGCGGAACTTGGCGTTGTCGGACTTGAGGACGCGGGCGACGGCGTCGTTCTCAATGGGCTCGTTGAGGGGGAAAGCTGGCTTGTATGATGGGACGCTGGCTTCCCGCATCCGGCTCCGTAGGTAAGGATCTAGTGAGAGGGAGAGTACTTCGACGACGATGCCGCCGGTGGGTACGGCGTCGAGGTCGATGGGTCGTTCCTCGACTACGAGATCCTCGCCGGGTTTGGGGAGTCCGGTAGGGACCTTCTTGAAGATGAGGGTCTTGTTGGCGACCATTTTTGAGACGACTATATTGTACAGAAATAGGGATGGGCAAGGGAGAGGTGAGTTAAAAGTCCTATGATCCAGGGGTTAGAAGACTTGACTAGAGTGGTGTTTAGATATATTTCTTTGACATGTATTGTATTTCTATTACGAGTATATAATTGTATGAACTCATATATACTGGTTCTCCTGATTACGTATTACCTTCATCATTAATTCATAACCGTCGACCCTCGACCGTCTGAATGACTGATGGCGAAGAAATTACCGGGTCCCCTTAGCCATGTATGTTACAATTAGCTCCGGTAATTAATAATATGAATCCATCGCAATGACATGCCTACTGCTAATCTGCTTACATTTTGGGAATGCAGATATGCCTGGGTCGTGTTTCGAGGGATCCGCTCGCCTTAATAGTGGCGACCAGAACTCAATTGTAAACACAAAGATTGATAATGTTACCCACTAAACTGCTCTATCACCGCTGCGTCAATTGAAATGGCTCGGGTCAATAGATATGCGGCCTATAGTGGATTGTTTCCCCTAAAACTCCAAAAATATCAACTTTTCATGGCCTTAACTAAGAGAAAACGTCCAATAAATCTAGGTAGCATCGACAACATTTCCAAAACATATTCGGCAGCTACACGAAATAACTTTAATGAGAGATTCGCGTCTATCAATGGGCCTGCGAACCCAAACGGTAAGTTGGGAGGGGGTTGATTCTAATATATTAGGAGGTAGGCATTGACTTAACCTGACGAGTAGGTTAAACATCTAAAAGTCGACGATGCGAGTATACCATGAAAATAATGTGGGAGCCTCCTGAATGGAGACTGACTATATTTGTTGCCGAGGTCTTTACCATAATTCCTGACGAACCAAAAGACTTACATATGTCTACTTATCTGATATCGTCTTGGGATATGTAATGGCGCAATGGTATCAAAATTTAGTACTGCTATGCTGAATATTTCTTAAAATTTTACCTATGTCTTTTCTGGCGTATGAAGTTGGAGTCCCTGATAGCGCTGTGGCATCATCAGCCCTCAAATGACGTGCTTGGCGGATCGCGCAACTTCATTGCACCATCTGGGATTAGAGTGGGTATCCCATCATATCACAGTGAATTCATAAGAGGCTGGACACCTGGGTAACGGTCTTTTGACTATAAAATGTTTTGCCGCGCTTTCATGCCATAAATATTCTCCGCGTCCCCGGATCGTCGATCACAGGTGTGATAGACCGAAACACGGTGGAGCTACTTTCACGATCGCGGTACTAAGTGCGCATAGATAAGATGGGTGAGCTATCCGAGAAGGGAGGAGATATCCTCGCGCCAGAAATAGTTGAAGGTTCAACTGCGGTCAAGACGAGCTTAGATGAGCCGGTGAAGAGTCCAACTCAAGCCAGGACGCGTCAAGCCCCTCGGATTGGCGCTGATGCCGCGCTTGAGTTGCTCCGGGAGACGGGTAGTTTGCACCAGCCATTAGATCCTGAAGTCAATCGCAGGCTTGTCCGGCGCATCGACACGCATATCATGCCACTGATCTGCATTATCTGGTTAGTACTCAGTGAATTACCCCTGAACAGAATCGCAACACTTCATATGGAGACTAACGTGCTATTAGTATGTTATAATATCTGATATCATACTCATCTCCCTAGCCATCATCATTCAATGAGGCATCATTACCTACGGAGAAAGTACCTCTAGGGCGAAAATCTTTACTAACATACAAGAGACTTCCTACAGTACATTGATAAGACTGCGGTTTCGTACGCCAGCGTCACTGGTATTACGGAGTCGATAGGACTTAAGGGAAATGAATTCAACTGGGTCGCGTCGATATTCTTTTTTGGGCAATTGGCATTCGAATTCCCAACGATCCGCCTGATACAGCTGTTTCCTCTTGCCAAATATACCTCTGTCAATGTCACTCTCTGGGGTGTTACTTTGGCTTGCTTAGCAGCCTGCAAAAACTACGCCGGGCTCCTAGTCTGTCGCTTCTTCCTCGGCGTATTGGAAGCTGCTATTGTGCCGGCGTGGGTTTTGTTTACCTCGCAGTGGTACACGAAAGAGGAACAGGCGTTTCGCGTAGGTATATGGTTCTCTACCTGTGGGATGGCGCAGATGTTCGGCGGCTTTTTCGCGTACGGCGTCGCAACACACGTGGGCAAAGACCCGAATGCGGCCTTGGAGGGTTGGCAGATCATCTTTCTATTCTTGGGCCTGTTCACCGCGGTCATGGGGATCGCCTTCTGGTTCATCGTGCCCGATTCCCCCGCCGTCGCCGGATTTCTCGATAAGGAGCAAAAGGGGCTTCATCTCGAACGAATTAGGCATAATGAGCAGGGAATAGGGTCGAAGACGTTTAAGTGGAGCCAAGTTAAGGAGGCTTTGACCGATACCATGACTTGGCTTTACGCTTTTTGGATATTTGCCGCCAACGTTCCTAACTCGATCGCGACTTCGTTTGGGAACATCTTGGTGAAGGGTATGGGTTATACGAACGAGGAGTCTTTACTCTTAGTCACTCCGCTCGGTGCTTGGGAGATTGTAGCCCTGATTGGGCTTACGTATGGGGCGATGAAAACGAAACAGCGACTGTATTTCTGCATTGCGGGCCACATTCCTGCCATAATAGGTGCCATCCTAATGGCTACGACGGAACGAGTCCCGGCTCTAGTAGGCTACTATACAAGCGGCGGTATTCCAATCGGCTGGACGACGATACTCGGGTTGCAAAGCTCTAACGTAGCAGGATCAACGAAGAAAGTCACCGTGGCTTGTATAGGTACAATCGCCTATACCGTCGGCAACATCATCTCGCCACAGACCTTTCAAGCTCGGGATGCACCCCGCTACCTTCCAGCCAAAATCTCCATCTGTATTATCTACGTTCTCATTACGATCGACTTAGTCGCAATGCGATGGGTGCTCGACCGCCGAAATAAACAAAGGGAAGAAGAGAAAGCTGCTCTGGGGAATACTCATGAGGCAGAGGAGAACCACGAATTCTTGGATTTGACAGACTTGCAAAACAGAGAGTTTCGTTACGAACTTTGAACACTTTCAGCTGAGATGACCCGAATAGATAATTTATATCTCAAGAAACCTGAGAAGACGAGACTATCTGACAAACCCCTTGCCTTTTGGGATATTCTGCAAATGGCGACGAGCATCTTCTGCGCCTGCGTATCAATTTTCAAGATACTCATTCCGCTACACAGTCCCTGGATTCATTTAAAATCGTCCATCACGTCCTAGACTAATAAGACTCACATATACAGGACAGTCTCTGATTATAAGATGATTTCTTCCGGAAATATTAAAAATCGACATAGAAATGGCGGAGATGATAGAAACATATCTCTGCAATTAGTGAATGGGCGGCCTGTGACCGAGTACATTTGGTCCTCAGAAGGGACGGTTGACAGGGAACTTACAATGCGGAGTCTGACGGAGGCAGAATCTGTGCAAACAAGAAGGGGATTTTGGCGAAGTCTAAGGTACAGGTTACATGGCAGGTAGATGTTAGGGGAAGGCGATGTTTTTGTAATACCTAGGGCCCTGACGTTGGCTAGTACTGGGAAAGCTAGCTGGAAAGCCCTCCTAATCACCTTTTTTTGAGATCTAATATATAGATACCTATATTTCGAAAGAAAACTTATGACATCCTTCTCATAAAGTCGCTACCAGCTTCTTCCCAGAGACCGACCCTGATTTCAATAACTGCAAGCCATGCAAAACACCCGTCAGCCCACCGTTGAGTTGTTGTATCGGATGCGTCTTCAGTGCGTTTTCGTCCAGAAACCTTTGGAAGATACGGCAGTATTTCACTATAAGGGCAAATTTCTCCGGATTTGCCGAGCTTTCATAACCTTTCGAAAGCGCTACATCTTCACCAAACCCCTCGTAACCCAGGACAAATTTTGCATGCACTGCGCGGCGTGTACGCAGCTCTTCGGGCAAGATCTCTAGCGAGACATACCTACCACCTGTCCGTCCGATGGCAGTGTAGCAATGCCGAACCGAGACTGAATCAGCGATGCAGTCGTAGGCGTACTTGAGTTTGCCGTTCGTGCGCTTCTTGATTTCCTCGGCGACGTCAGGCCGTACGTAATCTATCGCGCTCCCGGCACCGTAGGCCTGGACGAGTTCGAAGTTACGCGGGCTACATGTGACGATGGGTTCTAGTCCGGACATCCGTAGGAGTTGGGTCGCTATAGTGCCTGTCGCCGTGCTCCCGCCATATACTAGCACGGGAAATGGCTTCTCCGCGGGCGACTCAGGAGTGGCAACGAGCCCCAGCGCTTCGGGATCCCACAAGGCTAGCACGTTTGTCATCAGACCAACCCCCAGTGTGGCGGCCTGTTCCATGGTTAAATCCCGTGGTACGTGGAACAGCAATTCGGGGCGCGCCCGGATATACTGCGCGAACGCGCCGTTGGTCGGCTCGCTGGGGTTCGAGCCGTGGACCGCGCCACAGACGCGGTCGCCAATGCGGAGTTCTGTCTGAGTGTTGGAGTGTATCGATACTATGATGCCTGAGAAATCCATGCCAATTATAGCACCGGGAGTCGGGAAGGTCGTGCCCATTTTATTGTCACTCGGATTAAGGGCTACTGCGACAGTCTTGATCATAACTGTTCCATCTCTGAGTAATGGGAGAGGCACACCGTTAGCCAGTTTTGGAGCACCATTTTCATCCTGAATGATGGCAGTTTGTGACACAGGCAAGATGGAGGTTGTGTTGGTGAACATTATCGTCTTTGTTTGGTGTTAGTATGTTTGTTGCTCTCTACATTCCTCCCAGCTAGAGCTATGTGTTCATATATAACAAGGTGCTTACCTAGGTTAGGGACCTACCTATCTCTGGCTTGCCTGTTTTAGTTATTTAACGCCGATGCTATCATCCCTTGACAAACCTTTAGTTGCCTGATGTCTCATTTCTTCGTGTACCCTTCGATTTGTCCCAGGGAAAACTACAAGATTAAGCGAGTGGTCAAATATGTTGATGGACTCTTTGTTATTTCTATCAGTATGCGCCGTTGATTAGACCCATTCAGGTTATAGTTTGGCCTAGTTTTAATCTCATTCTGGGCATATTAAGTTTAATTTGCGCCCGTTACCCATCGCCTATCAAAGAGAGTGCACAGGTAGAAATTCCTCCTGCCTCCAATATGTGTCAGGGGGTGGGCCCGTCGTTAAAGACTGTGACACAGTGAGAGAGAGTAGTGGTTAGTTCGCCTTTGGCTCGCTTATATGTAGTAAAAGACCTTGACTAATGCCTGTCACTCTCCCAAAACCCTTGGGGCCTTCGGGCCCCTTACATATTCGTCCCAGTATTATACAGGCCGCAGCTAACTAGCTGTTATCTAGCCCCTTGCTCGTAGCCCCTGACAATATGCTCTGTATAACATCATGCTCGGTTACCTTCATCGGCTACCCGTTTATTGGCTTTCTCAACCGTTTCAGCTGTCCTAGTTGCTTTCGGCCGATTGTATCGATCATTCTCATGCTTTAGGCCATACTCCGTATCCAATGTCTTCCGCAGCACAATCTCGCTCTCAAACAGAGACAAGAGAAATCCAACTCCAGCAAATGCAATAGATACTTGAAATACGCGTTGGATCGCTTGGGAGTAAACAGACCTTATTTCGGTCTGAATGGAGCTTGGAAACTGCATGACCTGCTCAGCCGATGCCGAGCCGTACGCTCCCCCGCTAGCCAACATCTGTGCAGCCTTAGGATCTGATATCTCGCCGACTAACTGGCCGATTCGGTTGTTGAAGACGCTCGCTGGAATTGCCACACCCCAGACCCAACCGAAACTTCGTATGAAGCCCCAAGCTGCGGAGGCGGCTGCTTGATCACTCTCAGGCACAGCACTCTGAAACGCAGGTAGTTGAGAATTGAGTAATACGCCTCCACCCAGAGCAGCCACACACTGGTAACTCGCCCATTGAGCGATGGTGCTATCGGGACTCTGAAGTGTGAAAAGTCCGAGACCGAGACTGAAGAGGGCGAATCCACCGATATGAACTGGCTTGTAACGGCCCCATCTGCTGATCGCCACTGCGGCGATAGCTGCCCCTGGGATTGCAACCAGAGACATAGGTAGGAGAGCCACTCCAGAATACTGTGGTCCATAAAGCTTGACCGCTTGGAAGTAAACAGGCTAATAACCTCTACGTTAGCGAGTTCGAGAAATATGACTTAGTGCTGTAGCTAGGCCTCAAAAACACAGCCACGCTCATAACTAAGGGTTTAACCTACAAGGAAAAATACACTCCAGAACGTTAGTGCAGAGTTAAAGAACGTGTTGATGCTAACAATGATGGACGTGCGAGTTTTGAAGAGGCGAGGAGGCATCACCGGTTCTGCAGCCGCGAACCGACCGCCTTGTGTATATCCGAAAATGAAGAAGCCGAGGAAGCCGAGGAGGAATGGCACAAGTATATTCCACGAAGCCCAGCTGTAATTAGCACCGGCGTATGCTAAGGCGTAAAGTACTGAAATAGTGGAAGCTACTAGTACAGCGTTGCCCAGAAAGTCGATCCGTTTTATCTTTTGCGTAAATGTTGACTGGTCACTGTAGTTGACATGTAAGAAGAAGAAAAGAATCATAAGCGAGACTCCGCCTATGGGGAGGTTGAGATAGAAGATCCAACGCCACGTTGTGTTGGCGACGATGGAACCGCCGATGAAGGGGCCAAGAGTCGTACCAACCCCATAGATGGTCAAAATAACTCCGATGTAGTTGCCACGATAACGTAGAGGAACTAAGTCGGATACGATGATGTCTGAATAATGGGTGTGACGATATCAGTAAGACATGTAGGTATTTGATGACTCTCAGGAGGGACCGACCGTTGAGCAAAGTAATGCCTCCTGATCCTAATCCTTGAATTGTTCGGCCAGCGATCATCATGGCGGCATTTCTCGCACCACCGCAGAGACCACTGCCCATAATGAAAACGGCGACGCTGATTAACATATTCCATCTTCGACCGAAAACATTGCATAATTGGCCGACAAAAGGCTGAATGGCTGCGCTGTGAGCATCAATTTTAGTGGATAAGAATCCTTGGTACTTAGGTAGGTAGGTAAGTAGTCACTACGCACCTGCATATGAAGAAGGCGTTCGTTATCCAGATGTAGTTTTCTCCCATGTTGAGATCAGAGATGATTGTTGGTATTGCGATAGTGATAACCGTGTTTTCTAATGCTGTTAGCAATAGCGTAACACCCAATCCGATGATGATAACCCATAGACGCAATCCAGGGCGGAAGTCATCTTCTCCTGATCTGACATCTAACGGCGCATTACTGCTTTGGTCGGGTTCGGTATCGCTGCTTAGCAGCGTAGCAGCCGTTTCTGACTGGGCGGTTGATTTTTGGATTTGTGAATCTGGAGCAGGACTCCTATTATCACCAGCCGGTTGAATATCCCGGTCAATGTCCATGAGCGATGAGGGATGAAGGATGGGATGGTGTTATTCGTGGTGTTAGGGGTTGGGTCGCGAAGCTTAACAGGATGAAAGCCGAGGCTCTGATACTGTAGTAGAGTTGTCATTGAGTAAATATGAAATCGGTTTAGTTTACGAAATTGGGCATGAATGGTCTTGCTGTTTTCATGTACTAGGTAGTTGAAGTTGGCGATTAGTTCATGACCTGAAGCTTCATGTGTTAGTTGGCTTCGTGCATTCCAAATTCGCAAACCTTTCTCCCTGGCGGCGTCGTTTTGCCCAATTGGGACTTAGAGCTCCTAACATCAAATCCCGGTGTCTCAAACGTGAGGCCACCCCGTGCCGGGGCAGCAAAGAAGCCTGAGTTTTACTCAATGCAACGCCAACGCATCACCAACCTCTTGTTTTGGGCCTCCGCGTTTTTGCTTGTCGGTTCGCTCCGCTCGCCTCGCCGAAAAAAGCCTCCGGCCCCAGTATGCCGTCTAGAACTTCAAGTAGAATGGGTGATATATTGAAGTTATCGTGACGAAAGAAAGCACACCAAAAGCCACTAGACTTAAATAGGCAAAGTCACTATTATTTCCTAATCGGGACATCAAGGCTAAAAAGATTGGATATACTGATGAAGCTTATTATTATTTTTTCAATGCAGGTTTTAATATCAATTTAACCACGTAATGGAAAGGAAGGATCTTAGTATACGTATGTACCTACCTAGGTATCTCAATAACCACGCCCACCTTGTTCTGCGTAGTAGGTACCTAGGTAGGTAGATTTGGTGACAGATACCTGTAATTTAATCCCTCGCTGCGTGGAACTGCTAGGGAGGTATGGATAGGTACCTAGGTACGCTATGAGCCCCTGTATTTAGAAGCCATTTAGTGGAAAACGCCTTGCAGGCACAGCGCGGCTTTGTCTAAAATAGGTGGTACGGTACGTTTTCAAACTACACTAATAGATACATACCTACCTAGATAATCATTAGGAAGCTATCCTAAATAACTTCACATTTAGCATGACAATGGGCCAGGTCCGAAATATCATTGAAAATTAGTGCTCATAATCAAGAGATATGTTAGGTATCGTACGTTGGTTAATAACCATACCTAGATATTTCTCTAGGCGTAGATGCCGTAGTGGACGTGTTGCTTGCTTGTATACAGGATGAATGGAGAACCGTAACGCTCACTAATATCCTGCCCCTTTTGCAACGGTAGGAAATTCAACCTCTCCATCGCGGGCAAAGGCGGCCAGCAACGCCCCCATAGTCGGATGCATGCCAACCTCGCTCGCCCTGCGAATCCATTCACCCATAGGAATCTCAACCAAGTCGATATCTGAAAACCCAACATTTCCATCAGTAGTCCGTTCCAGGGCCCATTTCCGCATATCGTTCAGTGGCAAATCAAGATTGCCAGAAAGGTTGACGAAGTGCACCTTGCCGAGTTGGTGATGGCCATCTGGCCAACCTTCGTCATCTTGATTCAGCACGCAGTCTAACACGCCCTTGACTACGGCGTTTAGTTGAACCACGTTTACCACGCCTCGGGCTACGCCCTGAGATACGGGCACGGCCCCTAACTTACGCGCGTACCCAAGAATATTGTGCATTCCATCAAGCTCGGGAACATCATCGCGGCTGATGAGCGTGGGTCTGTGCACACATATGGGCCAGCGCGGGTGTCGCTCGACTAGTTTCTCGAGAAAATTCTCGCTTGCCCATTTACACGCTGTGTATCCCATTGAGCCATCCGTGGGCGGCGGTGTTGAGGCTACCGAGGTCTCCCATAAACGTGAACCCGGTGCGAAACTTCCGACCCCGGCCGTCGAGATATAGTGGAATGGGATCATCCTGGGCATGCTCCACTCAATGAGATCTTTAGTAGTCAGGAAGTTGGACTGTCGCATCGTCTGGTACGTCTTCATGTAGGAGATGTCAGCGCCGTTGTGGATAATTGCATCTGCCCTGCTGAATAAGTCGGCGATGATAGACAGCGGTAGTCCAATATTAGGATGGCTTAGGTCTCCCTCGTAAAGAGTGACCTTGTCGAGACTTTTCAAGTCGGTTCGGGAGGAAACGTTGCGCACTCCGAGGCAATGGATCTCTTTGACTGTTGGGTCTTTAATCATGGCGTGGATGAGGGCTTTGCCAAGGTAGCCCGAGCCTCCGGTAAGGACGATTATCCTGGACTGGGAGTATTGGACTCGTTGGAGGATGCTACTTTGTAATTCGATCATAGATGGTCGTAACTTTGTCTCCTCATTCCAGTCAATGGCATCTAGCGTATTGATGTGACCTTCAATTCGATGTGCCATGTTGGACAGCACACTTGCCTCAAAGAGATCCACCAGCGGAAGCTCAATCTCGAACTGTGTTCTGATCTTGTCACGTAGACCTAGAAGACTCAGCGAGGTGCCGCCAATGTGAAAGAAATCTGTCTCTGGTGTGATTTCCAGCGCATTTGTAGAATCATGGGAGAGAATATCGTCCCAAATCGCTTTCAACCTTTCCTCTGTCCGAGTCCAAATGACATCACTGACGTCTGTATTAACTTTGGAGATGGGTAACAAGTTAACAGCTTGGCGATCAAGCTTCCCGGAAGCCGTCGTTGGTAACGCGTCCAATGCGACGATAAACGCAGGTCGCATGTACAGTGGAAGCTCTAACTGCGTACGAAGCTCCTGTAGACGACGTTCATGAACTCCTTTCCACGGTGAAAATTTCTGTTCGAAGACGACGTGAGCGACCAAAAACTCGGGGGATTCAGATGAGCTTCGGCGGATCGAGACGATAGCTTCACTCAGCAAGCCAGCACCAGCACGCAGTATCGCGACCTCAACCTCTCTTAAGTCCACACGAAGGCCACGTAGCTTGACCATAGTGTCACCGGAGATGCGGCCTTCGATAAGAATAGCACCGTGATCGACTCGAGACCATCGGCCTAGATCGCCGGTCCGCTGCATCGTGTTCCAACCCCTGTCGCGGTCACAGGCCGTGGCAAAAGGATCATGAACGAATGTCTGCCGGGTCAATGACGGATTATTCAAGTACTCCCGGGCAACACCAGCACCTCCGATATATATTTCTCCTTGCATACCTGGAGGCAAAGGTCTCCTATGTTCGTCGAGGATATACACGTTGTAGTTGGGTAGTGCTATGCCAGCAGGATAGTTGGGTTGAAATTGAAAGGAATTCTCTTCCGAAGCCTCCTTTAGGTAGTCCAATTCCATTACGGCGGCGCAGAAGGTCGATTCGGTAGTCCCGTACATATGGTTGAAACGAAGGTCATCCTTTCCCAAAGCAGCGAACTCCTTGAGCACGGAGGCAGCAAGCGGCTCACCCCCAACTAAGGCTGTTTTCCATGACGACTTCCTCAGTGCTTCTGAGTTGCCATACTTGAGCCAGCTTAGGTACTCGGACGGTGTCCCGTAAGTATGCGTTACTTTGTGTCGCGTGATAATCGCACTGATCGCGCGGGCGTCACCACGAAGCTTCCGCGGGAGGAGACAAACGCTTCCGCCGAAGCATAGAGCGGTGCAAATCTGCATGAGGGACATGTCAAACCCCTGAGAGCTTTGCTGCAGGACGACTTAACTTCCTCCCATGCCGTACAGAAACTTGCAGGGTTCGAGCCATGACTGTATTCCCTGGTGCGTGAGAACAATGCCCTTGGGCGTTCCCGAAGAACCGCTGGTATAAAGAATCATGGAATCGTTCTCCGGCGTGGCATAAATTGGTGTTCGATACCCCTCACGTCTATGCGAAGTTCTACCAACTTCGATGGCTTTCATGTCATTGAATCCCAGTTTGTGCGCATTCTCTCTGGTATGCTCATCCACAAGGACTGCCTCAGGCCGGCAGTCTGCGACTATGGCGGCTAGTCGAGCCCATGGCGTTCCCAAGTCGAGTGGCAAGTATGTAGCGCCAATCCTCATCACGGCAAGTATTGACGATACCCAATTAGGCGTTGCTTCTTGTAGAACTGCTACCCGTGACCCAGTCGTGATCCCGATGGCTTCAAGGTCTGCAACTATTGCGTCGACGTTTCTATGGACGACATCGTCATACGATGTAACATTTCCGTCACCGGAGACTACTGTTGTTCGTTTCGGGTGCCTTTTGGCAATTTCGTCGATTCGATGGATTACGGTGCTTCCCCACTGCCGTGACTGGTATATAGAACCTTTGATACAGACAAGGGAGTTAGTCAAAAATCATTGTTTCAAGCATCTCCTCACCAGTACAGTAAAACAGAACTGACCTCTGCCTAAGTTTAGCGCCTCGTTGATCTTGGCATCATCAAACATGTCTGTATCGCCCAGGGTAGTACTTGGCTTTGAGGCAAATGCTTCGGCGAGGAAGACGTAACTTCCGGCCAGTTGTTCCACGTCTTCCTGAGTGTATATATCGTCGCGAACTATAAATGTGAGAAGACAATCACCGTCGGCATTGTCAAGAATATCAACTGCTACATCATATGCCATCTTGGATCGTTGAAATGAAAGCAACTCAAATTGGAAGTCTCCCCAGCTCATTTTTTCACCGCCGGTCAAGCGATAGTCCATGAAGGTCTGGAAAATAGGCGTAGTTACTGCTGATCGCTCAACTCCCAGTCTGAATAGAAAAGCATTCTTAGTAGTTGTCTCTGATACTCGCCAGCGTGGTTATACTGAAAAGGGACTTACTCGTTCAGGAGAAGTTGGAATGGCACTCGGGAATTGGCTAGTGCTGCAAGTGCCTTGGAGCGAGTCTCTTGTAACATTATATCGAATTGAAGAGACGACTCAGTGCGGAATACCAGTGGCAATAAATTGACAAAATCGCCAATAGTTCCCATGAGATCTTCTTCAGTTCTGTTTGCATCTCCGATACCGATTGAGAAGTTCCCAGATCCAGTATATCTATGGAGAAGCACCCTGAAAATCGCGAGATGGAAGTGAAAGGGGGTTGCTCTGCACCTGCGACAAAGAGCCTGTATTAATCCTTTGGTGTCTGGACCAATTCTCACATCCACATGTTTGTTACCGTAAGCCTGTAGCAATGGCCGGGATGTAAAGGTTGACATCCGTAACATTGGAAGAGGTGGGGGCATCTCTGCCAACTCGGTCTTCCAGAAAGCGAGTTCATTTTTGAATCCTCCAGACGCGTGTTCTGCATGTTGCTTCTCACTAAATTCCGTGTATTGCCTTGCTATCATGCCTTGATAGCTATGTGTGTAGTGTTGCAGCATGTCCTGTATCAATGGGAAAAATGACTGACCATCCATGGCAAGATGGTGCATACCAATGATGAAAAAGTGTTGATTTGAGGACATAGATATCACCGCAAGACGCATTGTCTTGCCCCTTTCGAGGTCATAGACATGATTATGTATCATGCTTGTGTACTTATCAAGTTCGCTTTCGCGTTGGATAGAATAGTGCTCGAGGCTAAGTGCAGTAGAATTCATGATTCCTTGCATTGGTTGGCCATCCTTAACGATGAAGCGGGTCCTAAGAGATTCGTGCTGTTTCCCTAGTGCTATAAAGGCGCACTTCAGATTCTCAATGTTGATCTCAGCAGTCAAACGAAACGTTCCGGTAAGGTTGAGATTTGTTGGGTCGTCCGAAAAAGCAGCAGAAAACCAGAACAGACTTTGGCTGAAAGATAACTTGAAGTATCTCTCATCGAGTGATATTGACGGCCCATCAACCTGCACCTTTTCGTGTTCTGGGCACTGAGACGTTGTAATATGGGTGCCTGTTCTCCTGAGCAGTTCGCCGGTCTCTACGACATCATCACTAGGAGTCGTGTTTGGGGATTGAATGTGGGAATGAGTGTTGTTACTGTCGTCATCTTCATCGTACTTGGAAAGTTCGACAGGATCTTCACCCGCAAGTTCCAGCTGTTGCTGATGCTCAGCTACAGTAGACGTGGCTTGTTCTGTGAAATCTGAGCGTGGGATCAGTTCTTTTCCATCCTTGGATGAAAGCAACCCCTTTTCTAGAACCAGCTTGTCCGCCGGCTTATGTTGTGTTGATATGTTGGGTTGGGAAGGCCAGTCGTCAGCTTCATGCAAATGCTGCAATGATTGCTTGACTTCTGTCGGTAGGGACTGACCTTGCTCATTCTGAGGACCTGGACCTTCATCACCAATCCCCGGAACGAGCTGACGAGGTATCGTCTCTGCTGCTGTATCGATGAGATCGGCTACTACACCTCCGCTCAATATCTTCAGCACTGGTATATTGGCCTGGAAGGTTTTGAAGAACCAGCCACGGATCTCCACTGCCATCAGGGAGTCGATGCCCATTTCGTCGAGGCGCAGTTGTTTCGGGTCTGACTGCTCAAGTTTGGAAAGTTCAATCTGGAATAAAACGCTTAGCTTGATAATGAGTGCTTCCCAAACGATGCGTGTCACTTCTATTCGCCCCTTTGCAATGGCGAGTTGCGACATAAGGGACATTTTTGATTTGCTAGTCGATAAATCCGTGGCTATCTCAGTCCGATCTTGCGTGAAGTGGCTCAGGAACGGTCCCGCCTCGTGTACCGATTTGAACTTGGCCAAGCCAGTTGTCACTTCCAAAGCTCCTGTTTGATATTTGGAACGTCCTGCGATAAAGGCTTCGGCGAAGTGCTGGCAAAAGTCTTGTTCTGAGATAGGAAACATCGTCTTCAAGGTCGGCGCAAACATGGAACTTGAGTCGAGTCCTTGTTGGGTTATATAACCAGCACCAAATATGGGGCCAATATGCATCACAGAAGCAGCTTGGCCACGTCGCCGGCGCTGTTCTGCAACTGCCGTCATAAATAGATTGGCAGCTGCATAATTGCTTTGACCCGCTCGTCCCGCCACGGACCCAACAGAGGAAAAGAATATGAAGAAGTCAAGGTCTGAATCTTGAGACTGGAAAAGTTGGTCCAGGTGTAGACTACCCTCTACTTTCGGTCTCGTAACCTTCAGCAAGGCGTCTAGAGACATGTCACGAATCAAGATATCCTCGAGGACCACTACACGGAAAAGCAGGTAAGCATCATAACGAACATAACATCGTGCCACTAGTTCCGGAATGAAATTTACACTTACTTGCACCTTGGCAGACTCCAGCAACGGGGGGAAGTGTTGACTGTAAGTTCCTGTACAGTTTCGATACCGCAAATTTATCGGTGACATCACTGCGTAGGTTCCAATCAGATTAGCATTCTCAACGGGGACAAGATGGGTTTAAGGAGAAGTCACAAACCAGCAGAAAACCTTCACAGTGGCCCCGGAAGCATGCATCTTTTCAAGCCAAGCCTCATCAATGTTTGGGTTGCGGCTAGATATGACAACATATTTTGCTCCATGGCGAATCATCCACTCGCAAAGCAGGAGACCGAGGCTTCCACTGAGACCAGCCAGCCAATATGTTCTGCAGTTAGAGAACTGAACCTGCGAATCTGCAGGATGCACTAGGATGGTGAGATCCGATGCAGGATTTGACCAGTCGATGACAACATCTGGATGTTGACGGTTAAGCACAGTCAATTTATCCAAGGTCACTATGGAAGTTGGGACAGGAAGGCTAGCAAGTCGTGATAAAGTACGTGATACACACCCCTTTAGCCGAGAGTGAATGCCTGGTACCTGACTTCCTTGGGGCTGCCAGGTTGAAGAAGCCATGAAAGCTGTATCAAAGCTGTAATAACGGCAGTGACTTGGGAGCTGAGCCCGTAGGCGAGATCCAATTGATGCTGTATCACTTTCTGAGCTCATATCAAGCAATGCGATCGTATTTGTGGGGATCAATGCACGCATAGCGCGTTCTGGAATCATTGGATGGATTGTGAGCCAACCAGATTTGGGCGCGGTCACTGTTGTTGTGAATGTGATATGTATGCTGTGGTGCTCTGCCTCATCTGCTAGGACAGCTGCAAATGTTTCACTTGGCTCATGAATAATCGCGGCCGCTCCTTTAGGCAGGCCCTCGAAAAACTGACTTGCGAGTAAGTGATACGCAAGAAAGGTCAGGAAAGTAGCTTCTTTGCCAGCCGTGACCTCGACTGGAATTGAAAGTCCGAGAGGAACCTTTAGAGTATGTTGACTGGTTAGAGCCACTACCTGGTCACCCGAGGAACAGTTGTACCCTAAGATGACATGCATGAACCCGAATTTAGAAGCGCGGATAGCTGAGCACAATGAGTGAGTAACCTGGGCGATGGACCCATCCCCACCCTCCGGCTCCGGGACTTCGTGCAAGCAGATATTCTGCCAGTCAGAATTCATAATTCCGATATTCTTATTTTTCTCATAAGAGCTCATAGGAGTGAATATGGAACGCCGTGAGGAGTTGTATCTGTTGTTCATCTCATGGCTAGGGACTACTCGAGGGATAACGAGTGTCCCATTTTGCTCAAGGATCAGCTCTGGCTCGATTGTCACAAGAAGGCTACCTTGACTTTCTTGTCTCTGCCACATCGTTGTTGCTTTCAATCGTAAAAGCGTCTTTGCGAGTTCACGCGCGTCCAATGATTGGCTACCCTCAATGTCGAAGGACTGGATATCGAGCGTTGGGATCTCTTGCCTTGCAGAGCGAAGTAGGCCGACCATAATATTCGCAAATGGATTTTCTGCCCGACGACCCGATGATACCCACAGAATTGTACCTGCTTCTTGTAGCAATAGTTTCAATGCTTCCCAGTCGCTAGTATTAAGGCCTCTGAAGACGGGTCCATCTATCTCGAGGAGACTCAAGATGGTCGTGTTAGAAGTGATAGCAAGAGAAGTTATGTCGGCCAGGGATTGAGCTATCTTGATATTGTGTCCCCATTGATGATCCAGTTTGGACTTGAGCTGAATTATGGTCTTCGATACTAGTGAGCTACTTCCGCCTAGTAATATGAGGTCTTGCGTCGTCGCTGAGCTCTTGTCCTTGAAAAGTGGTATGGGTGCGGATAAAGGATCTCTTAAAAATCCAACACGACTGTCAACAGCTTGTGAAACAAACACGCTCACCGGTGTTACTAGATCATTCTGAATAGGAATAATAGTATCACAACCTGAGAACCCTGTCGCACGAAGCAATTTGTCCCAATCTGCAATGTTGATGCAAGGAGATAGGGTACGTCCTTCGTCAGCACCCAGCCACCAGCCAGGAAATGCTCCAAAAAGAGCACCTCCTCTCGCAATGTTATCAGGTTGGAGTTCATGCACAACTAGGAACCCACCCGGCTTGAGTAGTTGTCGAATATTTCTTAGTGTATCCTGGAGTTTAGGGGCTACACACAAACCGTTAGTCCCTCCGAATAATACATGATAGGATACATGATATTATACTCACTTGCGTGAAGAACTGCAAAGGCAACTATGAGATCATATGAGTGCTCTTTATATCCTTGTTGCCTTGCGTCTTTACTGATATCTAGTACCTTATAGACCATTTTGTATTGTTGGGAGGCAAACCTCCTCTGCGCAGACTCGAAAAAGCCAGAAGATATGTCGGTGTATGTGTATGAGGCGAACTTCTGCCCAATCTCGAGAAAGATCTCCTTCGCCGCAGTACCCGTACCTGCGCCGACCTCGAGGATATTCATCCGCGGATACCTGTGAGAAATTTGCTTCACTAGGCGGCCTAGGAACTTGGCATGTTTTTCAAAAGCTAGGCCCTGCTGGTATATTTGTGACAGCATGTCGTCTTCCATACCTAATTCGATTGCTAATGTCCGTCCCGTGGCAATGTCAATGATGTTATCCCCGATAGCTTTGAGCAACTTGACTTCGACATTGTTTATGTAAGGCCCATATGCTGTAGCCAGGTTATTTGGAGAGTCATGGTCCCACTGCGAGGACCAGTGAGAAAGCTTGCCTTCCTTAGCACGGGACACAATATGTGTTGCAAAGGAGAAATAATGCTGATAAGGTCCTGCAGACCTAGCTGGATGCTCCTTCGGCACTTCCCTGTCTAGACGTCGCAGGTAGAAGACGGCCATACGCTCCAGCAAGAGAGCAAGCTCTACTTCTTCTTTTGATGGCTCGCCGTCGTATGCAATCCGTTGCGCATCGGGATTCGCCACGTCCCAGACTGTCATCGAGAACATCTCTTTGTCTTCCTTTGCACTTGGTTGGGAGAAAGGCACGCAATTAAGTGCCTCTACCTGGACCATGATATGCTGGGAGCCATCAATGTCGGCCACCAAGTCGACATCGCCCTCGAGAGTCGATACTCCTGCTGGCTTCACGCAATCAAATGCAACGGGAATATTCTTTGCCATGTGAGCAGCGCAGAGAAGAGTATCCACCCTAATGGCTCGAATTGTCTTTGGGGCGTGAAGAGACCAGATACCACCACTGTTGGGTGCACAGTGCGCAAGGAGAACTGATTGGAAAGCAGCATCTAGGACGGCGGGGTGAATAAGTAACTGTGACTGCTCGTTGGTGATGTATCCAGTCGCAAACCCATATTTCCTCTGGAGTTGGGACAGCGCATGGAATGGACCTGTATATTGGTACTCAAGTCTCGAAAGCGACCTGTAAAAGTCCTCCGTATCAACTTTAGATAAACCAAACTCAGGAGGGCCCCGAGCTGGAAGGACAGCTTCGTCTTTGTGACCTAATGTAACTCTTACATGACACCGAGCAAGGAGAGCGGGCACAGTTCCCCGAAAAGTTGGTGCCGCGTTGAACTTGAAGTGAGCCTCGATTTTCTTGCCATGCTGCCGAATATCTGTCAAAGAGTTGATTGTCTCGATGCGTGAATCATCGGAATCAAAGGCCAAAGCATTACCAATATCAAGGTGCAGAATCTCAATGAGAGAAACTGAGAGGCCTCTTGCTCTTGCCATTGCTGCGGCAGCCTCAATCGCAGCAACAACGTACCCGGCAGCAGGGAATACTGCTTGCTGCTGTAGCGCGTGGTCCTTTAACCAGGGCAGCTCCTTGGGGCAAAGAATATTTCTCCACCGCATATCTTGGTCAGTGCTCTCCGGAGTGAGGTGGCCCAACAATTCGTTTACTGGTTCAGGTCGTGCGCGAATTGCCTTCATATATCTAGACTCGTGCCAGTACTCTTTCTCGTGATCCCAAGCATATGGTGGCAGTCCTGTGACGAGATTATAACCATTACAGCCAGTTATGTACTTGTCGTAACTTGGCAAATCCACGGTACCCAGGTGAGTCCAAATAAAACCTAGCGCGTTGGCGAAAGACTTCACTGCATTCTGTCCTCTAGCGTGAATTCCAGTATATGGGATTTCTTGCATGGACAATTCTTGAATAATTTGAAGCGCCGGGCCTCTCAGGGCAGGATGGGGTCCAATCTCAACAACCAGGTCGAATGGACCCAGGGATCTCCAAGCCTCCTTAATAGCTTGCATGAACATGACTGGCCTCGTCATGTTATCGTTCCAATACGTAGCTGTAAGGCCAGTAGCCTCCTCAGCTACCATAAGCTTGCCTTCGTTGACGCTAGAAAACCAGGGTGTTGTTGGTTTGTGAGACTGAATGCCAAGACCACGAAGAGCACGGAGATAGAGGCTGGAGCAAGGAACCATATGAGAGGAATGGTATGCTTTATCGACCTTGAGGCGTCTTGCGAATTTACCCTCGTCTTCAAGAATTAGCTTTATCTCATCAATTGCGTCCTCGTCGCCAGACAGAGTCACGCTAGCCGAAGAGTTAACAGCCGCCACGGAGACCCTGCCTTGGAACTCTTCTTCGCTGCAAATTTCGTTTGCGTCCTCAAATGAGGTTCCGATAGCTAGCATCGCGCCTCGTTGTCCTTTAGGGCCTATCGCTAGGTCAGAAAGGAGTCCTCGATAGTAAGCGATGCAAATGGCATCTTCAGCCGAGATCATGCCTGCGGAGTAAGCGGCGCCAATCTCTCCGGAGGAATGGCCCACGACGGCGGCGAAGTCTATACCTGCCTCACGCAGAAGATCTACCTGCAATATCTGCAAAGCTGTGCACAATGGTTGAGATAAGGCAGCCTGGCTGATTTTCTCATTAGAATCCCTCAGTAGCTCTTGCTTGAGTGACCAGGATGGGCGATCTGCCCGTGGAAGCTGAGCAAGTCGGGTTTCGAGGTTGTCAATGATCCGTTGGCATGATTCGGATTGTTCGATGAGGGCAGCTCCCATACGCACCGACTGTGCCCCTTGACCTGTGAATATACTAAGGACCCTTGGCTTCCTACTGTGATCGCTGGATTGTCGTACTGAATGTTGTATGCTGTGAGGTTGTTTAGTGTTATCACCTTTTTCCTGGCATAGTTGATCAATTTCCTGACTGAGTTCTTGAACGGTGCTAGCAGCAACAAAACTTCCGAAAGGGAGTCGTGACCGTCGAGAATGAAGTGTCATAGCCAAGTCTCGCAAATTCACGTTGGTTCCGTTGGCTTGCAGATAATCGCGCATAGAGACCATATTCAGAGAAAGAGAAGCCTCCGAGGCAGCAGAGAAAACAAAAGGGATGAAACAAGCATTTTCAGTGCACACTGACGGCTTGTTAGGCATATAGCTTTCGAGAATTGCGTGGGCATTTGCGCCACCGAAGCCAAAGCTAGTAAACGCATTGTTAATATCGGCATACGACAACATTTCATCTCGGTGCGCGGCACTTACCTATTAACACTAGCCCTTCGAGGGGATCCGTCATGAACATCCGGCCAAGGGATAGCTGAGGTAGGAATTCGTAAGTTTCCATAGAAAGGTTCCACCTTGGGGTTTATCACAGAGAACAGTAAGTTTGGGGGCACTGTGGAGTACTGCAAAGCTAAGGAAGTTTTTATCAGTCCCGCCAGCCCGGCAACACTCTCGGAGTGGCCAATGATAGTTTTGATACCACCGACGAAAAGGGGATCCGGGCTACCCTGTACGACGCCATCATTGGGAAAGAAAGCTGTCTTGATCGCTTCGGCCTCTATAGGGTCACCTGCGGGTGTTCCGGTACCTATGTTTGTGATGAGAAAGTTTCAACTAGCAATATATGTTTCATTTTTATCAAGGCTGTATCTCATACCGTGAGCCTCAAAATACTGGGGTCTTTGCAAGGGGTCGGCTGGATCTAGTCCAGCACGAGCATAGCAATCGCGGATGAGTTGTGTTTGAGCTCTAGCGCTCGGCCTATAGCATATGTTAGCAATTTTCCACACGATCAGGTTGAGTAGTTTCACATCGTGATCCCCGAAGTCTTTCCATCTTGGTTAGTAGCCGTTTCTCGAATGATACACTCAATGTGGTCTCCATCAGCTTCAGCAGAACTCAGCGTTTTGAGGACCACGGCCGCCACTCCTTCTCCCCGAGCATACCCATTAGCGTCCTTGTCCCACATCCGGGAACGGCTGTCAGGGGATAACATCTCCAGCTTGCTCATAGATACATAATCCGAAGGGTCAAGCAGGAGATTCGAACCAGCAACAATAGCCACAGGTGATTGGCCGCTGCGAAGTTGCTGGACTGCTTGGTGAACAGCAATAAGGCTGGAGCTACAAGCAGTGTCAATGGTCCTGTAAGTGGTTAGTTAACCAAAGGCCAAAAGACCAGTATTATTTCAAATGGAAAGGTGGTCATAGGTCTACATACATCGAAGGACCATGCCAGTCGAAGAAGTAGGATAGCCTATTAGATAGCATACAACGGCTTGTGCCACTAACTTGATAGGTTCCCATGCTGTCCAGATCGCGATCCAAAGCTGCTTTATAGCTGTTTGTCATCATCTAGAGATTATTTTAGTACAACATTATTATATTGTGCTCAATACTTGTGTATGTAGGATGACCATATGAAGTGACAACTTAAAAGATAAGGAAACTTGCTTACCCCTGTATATACTGCTGTATTCGATCCCCGAAGCCTCTCAATAGACTGGCCGGCAGCTTCCAAGCCTTCATATACAGTTTCTAGTAGGAGGCGCATTTGGGGGTCTATAGTGTTAGCCTCGACAGCGTTTACGCCAAAGAACTGGGCATCGAATCGACGGATGGACCCTTCCCCTGCTAGCTGATATGACTGCTTGACGTTACAATGCCCATGATACTTGCCATTGCTATGATGCCATCCCTCTCCGTTAAACCGTTCTAGAAGCGGCTCTAATAGATCACAGGGCTCGCGGAGGAGGTCCCAAAGCTTTAATGGCGTATCTGAATTTCCAGGAAAGCGACAACTTGTGCCAATGATGGCAATGGGCTCTCCGATAATAGACATACTGCCGAGTTGGAACGCGGCGTTACATTGAAAGTGTTCTTTGTACGATGATAATGAAAGCTTCGTACAAAGCTTGGTGATATGTAACTTGCTAGGTATAAAGCGGAAGTAACAGCTTGAAAAGCTTGGCTGTCAGTAAGAGCACACTTTTCTCAATCTAATAGGAAGTTAAGTCTGTATAAACTAAAAACACTACCTGCTTAAATACTCGTCTTGGTGTATCTACATGTGATATCGTATTGGAGCCGTAGTTAGTGAGGATGGTTGGAAAGCGACCTCGCTTAGAGGACAAGGGCTAGAAGTTTCACGCAAGGGGAGTAACTATAGTAAATATTATTGAGATAAAGTAGAGTCATACTGTTTCTTGACTCTTAGATATTAGGGGCGTAAGCAATGTTGGTTCACCGATAGTAGACCTACAGCTTCCTGTCCCTGTTAGCCAATGCACACGAAGGTCGATGTTAGAAATACATAACCACTACAAATAGGGGTTAATAGTACGTTATTAAATAAAGATGCGGCATTTGAACAATATGTGTTGGTGCGACCTCATTCAAGGGCTCGGCCGTTGACGAAAGAGGTGCCTACCTGATAAGTCGGAATTACAGTAGGTCGCTTTGGTCGTTAGTGCTAATTTCGAGCTACGGCCATTGATATTCGTGCTACACAACTTCATTCACAAATTCTAATCCTCCCAGATACGCCACTTCCTACAACGCTACAGCGTCCATGGATGGTCTTATATAAGCCGCTTACCCGATGTCTATGTGGTTAAGTCCTTTGATATTTATCCACGTACGTAAGCTCTGGACATATCTAATATTTCGTTTTAGATACGGTGAGTTGGTGCTCTCGAAAAGCTCATCTTAGCATCGTATCACTTTGAATAGCAGTGATTGCCAGGCGAAGATTAGAAAGCAGAAGAGAGTTTCATCTGAGCTGGTAGATAAGACATAGAATATAAACAGTACATACCTACCTAGGTAGATAGGTAATTTCGTACCTAGGGGTGATAATTCCGGTCGTAGAAAGAAGCTTCCTTTGGTGCTATAGTCCTTAGCTAATAACAACCGCCGGTTCTAGGGATATGCTACTATCTACACCCATAGATACTGGGTGGAGGGATGAAAGGTAGTTTAGGATCAACTCCTATTAGGCCTGTTGGTGCCTCCCTTTTATCCCATCTAACCTAAGAATTTGTTGGTAATAGCTCGGAACCGATAGCCTCTTTAATAGAGATATCGCATTAAGTGCCTATGGGACTAGTGATAAAATCTAAATGGGTATCAAGGGTCGATGCGCTCTCTTAGCAATTGTTTCGCCTTGGCAATGTTCTTCCGTAAGGCCTTCATGCCTCCTTTCCCGTTTAGGCCTGTGCCAGCATCCTCTTTCTCAAGAGCTAACTTCGTCAAACTTAGGAAACCTGGCGCACTAAGTAAGCCCCTTTCTTCTCCTCGGCGCCTACTTATTCGGAATTCTTGAGGAAGGCCTAGTAAAACCCCTATTCTTTCAAGAAGGCTTGTAACTGTTTGAATGAGGACAAGAGTCTGCAGGTTCCCCGATTCTGTAGAAAAATTTAGTATATAAATTGGTAGTAATGCAGTGCTGAGCTTACCTATTGGTAATGCGCTGATACTGAGTCGTAAGATTGGACGTAACTGTGGGTTCTCGCTTTCGGAAAGTTCTCTTAGGCAGCCGTAGATGTTTGTAAACACAATCAAATGGAGCCGAAGTAAATGAATATAAACAGATAGTACTAGAAGTAAAGACGGCGTGTCAAGGTCATGATAAGACGGTGGAGTAGACGCCAGAGGCTGCGATTGATGAGGCGAATCTGCGGTGCTATCGTGATCGGAGTAGATGCTCGAAATGCTACTTCTCCTTGAACCATGAGAGCTATGTCTTGAGTCGTTACTGGCATCTACAGATGGAGAGCCAGACGACTGTAGATAACAACTGTTCAGAAGCTTCAATATAATGAGATACTCTGTTGTACTGTTGAGTATATCATCCACAACCGTTGGAGATGATGGGTTTCCTTGTCCCTCGAAGAGAGTTTTCAATATCACTCTAGGCGGTTCTCGATCAAGTCGAATGAGAAATGTGATTAAATCATAGTCAAGTTTCGATAACCGTTGCAAAGGAGTCTGCTTAGTATCCACAAGCGCTTTGCCATTACACCTAAGAGCATTATTGTCCGAGGTCTGAGGTGAAAAATCTTGACTAAATTGAGTAGCAAACCCGCTAACCAATTCTGTGCTCAAGGATGGAAGTGAGGCTAAGGGCGTTATGGGCTCTGCTCCGGATGATGCAGGAGGAGTTGTCGCGAAGAAGTTCTCGGATAGGTTTATGTCGAAGTCGCTTTCAACATGGCCAAATGTTGTATCCATTTGGGTCCGTGTTTCATCTCCGTACAATACGTTGGGCGGATCGGGTACACGAGACTGCTTTTTCCAGTCAAGGCTTTGATATGTTGAAATATCGCTGATATAGGGGTGTATTTCGCCAGCACTCAAGAGGTTAGCATCCAAACATGTGCTTGATTCTCTCGGAGTAGGTTGTTGCTGTGGCTGGCTATTGCGTCTCTGTCGCTTGTGTGGTTCATTGGTACTATTGAGCATGTCAGGCATATCATTACCAGCAGCAGGAGGCTGCCAGCTCCGTAGCCTAAAGATAGGGCTCGTGATGCACTCGGAGTCGATGCGGGAGCAACGATCACACCGCGCCTGATCGGGATTTGCGCGCAGGCACCTGGCCTTTGAAACTCGACATTTATCGCAGGCAGAACGCCGAGACGATATACCTGATATACTAGATTTTCTAGTGGCCATTGTTGAGCAGTCTAATGCAGCAGATGAAGGTGCATGAGCGATTCAAAGCAGTACAAGAAGCACAAGTCAAGTCTGCAAATTCGGATATAACCTGGAATAGTCGTGACTAGGTACCTCCCAGCCTTGCCTGATTATTCAAGCGCCTTTTCGCTTTGAAATTCTCAAATGTGTTATCGTACAAGCGTCGCTACCTTCGTTCTTACAAAGCTGCAGCTGTTGGTGTGAATGAAGGAATGCAGCATGTACTGTCTCAGGTACATCCACTGGCGTCCATGGAGGAGACCAGTTGATCTGCAACTGGGCCAGTCAGCTACTGTCTAACTTTGAATTACGTGCAAATGGATATTACTGACCTATTAATTAATGATAAGGGCCTACATGAGACTCTCCGAGATGCCTACATACTTCCTCTACAGGAGAATTGCTTATCATAATACGAAGGTATTTGGCCCCTGACACAAGGCTGTGTTACCGGTCATCCGTGCATGTTGTTGGTGATACAATCGGAATAGGGGTCCGGGTTTATATTTCCAACCAACAGCCGTCCGCCGTCCGAAATCCGATGATACGGGGTGTACGGGATCTTCAAGTTAGCAGACACTGAAGTGGTCCAAAAATTTGATTATTAGGTAATTGACAAAGATTGATTATTAAGGGGGCTTAACTAGGTAATCAAATGTAGGAACAGTGACTTTTAAGGTGATCCGTTTGCGAACAATGGGTTTTAGATAAGATTCGGATTTTCAGAACGACAGTAGAAAATAGGTTTCGAGCTTAATGTTTTTTATTTGATTATTTTATCCTTAATCCAGTTAACCGCTATAACATTTCCCCCAGCCTTTATATTTCGGTTCCTCTCCTATTATTATATCCTTCCGCCCCTTATTATATAGCTGTGACGGATCAGCCTTATTACCTGTAATATCGCGAGGCTGTCCGACTTGCGATTCTCGTCTTTTGGTGGTTGTTTGGCTCAATTGGCAGGTGATAGCTTCCACCCGCAGGTTCTTTGTCCCTGTCGTGACAATACCTAGCGATAATTATAAAAGGTAAATTAGTAGGTGGCCTCCCTGTACGGGGTGTTTACGTACGTAAAGCGAAGAAGGGAGTTAAATCTAAGCGCACCTGTTAAAACTTTGCAGATTACCGGTCACTGTAGTCTATTAAGGTGCTACGGCCCGCATATCCATACAATCGTATCAATTTAAAAAATTAGGAGAAAAAGGTAAAATAGGTTATATAATGATAGGAAATAGTGAAGCGGGAGAACGCGTGGTGCTAGTAGAAAATGGGTCTCACGTACGGACCAAGTCCAGGAGAGATTACCTACCTAAGGAGTTTACTTAATCAGCTCTCGGGTCTATTCTTTAACATAGGTCAGGGACCTGACCTAGAGCAGGACGGTGGCTACTCTATATAGGCACCTAATCAGTCAACCCCTAAATCAAGGTGACTAAGCCAAGTATAAGAGACTGGAGGGAGAGCCTGGAAGGACTGGAAGGGTGGACCCATCTATTATTAGCATGCAGCCAATTAGGTAGCTTCAAGAGCTCAGCTTCGCAGTGGTCAAAGCTACGAGGGTGCTGACTTAATTGACGACTTACTTACTTGAAGCTATTTTAGCAGTTGACTTAGTCCAGGGATAATTAATAGGTTGTTTAAAGGGGGATACCATACGCTTACCGATGATGCAAAGCGCGCGGCTTATAGTTTGCGTTTTTTGGTTGATAAGCTTAATTAACCATTGCAAAGGTTTAAAAGCTGTAAAAGTGCGAGATCGGGGAATCGAATCCTCGGCTCGGATCGGCTGAACTCAGGGTTATTGTACCACCAAGGGTGGCCTCCAGTTTAAAGTGATTATGGAAGTTGGGATAGGAAAGCTAGCAAGTCGTGATAAAAGTACGAGATGTTAAGATATACGCAGGTTACCTACTTATGAATGTTATATTTGTTACTTATATGAGAAGGTAAGAACTCTAGGGAATAAGTAGTAGGACATCTAGGTTATACATATATGTTATAAGATGGGGGGTAGATATCTAGCTACCTGATTTCAGCCACCCATTATTTCAACACGAGATACACACCACCTTAGCCGAGAGTGGATGCCTAGTACCTGACTTCCTCGAGGCTTCCAGGCCGAAGAAGCCGTGAAAGTTGTATCAAAGCTGTAATAACGGCAGTGTCTTGGGAGCTGAGCCCGTAGGCGAGATTCAATCGATCGTATATTACTTTCTAAGCTCATTCATATTAAGCAAATAAGGATAATTAAATGGAAATTACGCGAACAGTTAACACAAGTATACACATTACTTACCTCCTAAATAGTATACTGCTGCGCGTTAAAGTTCCTAAGTAATTAAAACATGATTTTAGAGGCAAGGGGAGGCGTCATAAGTCCATGTCATACCACATAATCTAGTTGTTTAAGAAAAGCAAAACTACAGGTAGTTATCTGAATTGCGATCTCTCATAGGTAAAACTGTAAGTAGTTTCCTGATGATGTCTGAAGGAGATACATATCTATCATCCCTTTAACTACCTTGTTAGGTATTCCATACCATCACTTCATACAACTCCAATAGTAGACTGAGGGATTAGCAAGCTTAGGTATATTTGAGTGGAACAATAACCCGCACGTCTTCCCTAATCAGTAACTATCACTTATGAAGCATATCTTAATAATGTGTTAGCCCTTGCTGCGATGCGAGGCCATACGAACATCGATTCATGGGAAGCTTACCTGTTTGTGCGGTAAGAAACTGGGCACCAATGCCGATCAGGTCGCTTGTTTCAGTCTTCTTTCTTTCTTCCCTGCCCTTGTGCAGATTGGCGGTCTTTGGTGTTGTTCCATGAGCACTCTTTTTCTCTTCGGTCGGCTTAGGAGACCCATGCCTTGCAGTGGTACTCGAATTGTCTAGATTACTTCTATTTAGAATGTTAGCAGGCATATCTTAGTCAAGTCGTTTTCTGTCGAGCTTAGACCAAATAGACTGTTATAGAATTTCCAGGTCCTGGGCAACAGACGAAAATTTCTACCTCATTGTAAGATTGAAGGGAAGGATTAGGAAAACGGCCATGGATACTCGAGCAGGGCACTATAGACTGACCAACACACATACCTTGAAGGCATTATAGATCGGTGGAAGTTTCCAAGTCTTAGGCTCTTAAGACGGCTTGTGATGTCTATCTGATAATATTGGATAGGGCGCTTGATAGTAGAGCAGTTTTGTCCCACGGCAAGTAGATATATGAACTTGATTCAGGTAAGGAAGGTAGGAGTGATGGATGGCAAGAGGAAGTAGATAGAAACGGATGGGTAGAATTGGCTTTATATACAGCATTTCATGAGCTCTAGGCGTGGGTCATGGGATTTCAACCTCCTCGAAAAAGCTATACCTATATCAGGCAAGCTCATCGAGGAGAGCTGTGTAGCTTGAGCATTGTACCAACAATGAGATGGAACACGAGTTGTACCGCCATCTAAGATCATAAATTCCAACAATAGCTACATATCCATGCACCTATCACTTACCTTGATCGAAAAGTACATTATCTGCGTGGCTTTCAAGCAGCAGTGGGGGTTTCCTGCCATCACTCACATTCGGTGCAAGATACCTACCTATTATGCATCTATGACAGATCATCTGGCTGAAGAGTAGGACAATTTTGCGATAATTGTCTGTCCAGAAGCGGCCGTCTTGGGGAGAAACACTGCCGCAGGTTTAAAGTCAAATGATCTTATTGGATTAGCGATCTGCCTTCCGAAACATTAATACGTTCTAATTGGATGGCTCACTTTTGTTCGATTAGATGTAGGATCCACTTCACACCTATAATAAGGTATTGTTATACGTTTTTGAGTTTTATGTATGCGCGGCTAGGACCAGCCGCAGTCGATCACTGTACCTCGCCTATACGATCGACAAATCGGACCTCGGAGCCAAATCTCTACGGTGTGTATATATAGAGAAGAAGAGGGATGCTAATTGGCCTGTGGCGTTTTGTCAGAATGGTAGGATGACGTGACTACCGGTAGGCAAGTAGGTAGAATCCTACTTGTGTGACCCCGAGCAGCCCTAGGAGGTTGATTCATGCGAGGCAATGGGGAAGCATGGGCAATGTTGGCGACAAGTAATTGGTCGCTGAAGTTTTGTTCAAAGAGGCGTAAGAGGGGTAATCGGTCGCTTACTAGTGGAAGCATTTCAATATTACTTGCCTCGTTTCGCTGGTTCGCGAAACAGGAGTTTCGTGCTAGGGCTAGAAGGCAACATTTAACGTCTGTCATTTACCTGGCTAGGTACCTACCTAGGTATTCAGAACTTTTAAAATCAAGCGTTATCTAAGCCTCAACAACAACCATCTATTTCCTATCGAGCGCACCCTCTGCACCTACTAAGTCACTATGGATCCTGCCGACTTAGCACCTCGCTCCGAGGCAGAAAAGTTCCTCAACGACTCCTACGATGAACGATGGGAGAAGCTTCGGGATGTTATAGTGAGATTGTACCTAGGAAAATACGGCTCAAACGGGAAATCGATGACAATACGCCAAGTTGCTGAGTTCATGAAGTCTCACTATAATTTCTATGCCGTGTTGGTTTCAATGGCTTCCCAAGTAGCTAACATGTTCACATCTGACTAACATTTCCGCTTTCTAATGTAGTGTCAACCAGTATCAAACACGATTCCGTAAATGGGATGTTCGTAGAAGAATTCTCTCTTCTGAGAAGGATGAAATTGTGAACCATCTCGGGAAACGGAAGCACCCCGGAACGAGCACATCGGATGTGAAACTCAACCATGGTGAACGGGAGAAACCACTGGATACGAAACAGTTGAAGCGATATGCGAAAGACGCGATACACCGCTATAAGGTAGAAGCTATGGTACCAAGAGCGTGCGTAAATTACTATTAATGGCATGATGGTACATTGGACTAACCATTCGACTCTATTAGGCTCTCATCGTGGAATCTTCCTTATGCAGCGTACGCAGCATCCTTGCCTCAATATCCTGACGAACCATCTCCATTCGGAACAGCGGGCACAACTCCGAACTACTTGAATATCGATAGTCCTGAAGCTGTGACACCAGGGGGACGAGCAGCTGGTCCATCACCAAATATGCAGCTGATCCGTCAGAAGGCCACCCAAACCCGGTCGAGTTTATTCTTGCAAGGACGCTATAAAGACCTCCTAATCAATTGTGGAAGAGAAGATCGAATGTATGAAAGCCCACTACTTAGTTTACTCGTTTATGTCTATGGCTAATCAATTGTAGTCAGTTGATAAACTATTTACATGACTTTCATATCCACACCTTCGTCACAGCAAAGTACTGGGGCAAAGGACCTCGGGCTTGGACGGCAGAGATGATAGCTGCCCTAACGCTCAATGGCTTGAGTGTTTTCAACCCCGCGACGCCCGTGGCGCTTAGCCCTGTCGGAAGCCCTATGTCCGGGATATCGCCATCCATATCTCACAATAAACCAGAAAGAATCGAAGCGCCGACGATGCTTTGCCGATGGTCGATTCACGTACCTAACATACAATATATGGCTATCAAGGAACCTGAAACAAGTGCGCAAGATGAATTCATTTTGAATGATCCTTCATCATGGCCACAATGGCGAGAAACGGAGCTGTCCAATCATTCGCTTCCAAAATCGATGTTACAGTCGATCACTACCAACGCTTTCACTACCAGCCCGTCTCAAGACTTACCAATCTCCATGGAACTGGTTGAACAGTCCTTGAGCAAACAACCAGAGACGCTAGTTGCTGAAGCCTGGAAATTTGCAATTATGGCAGGAAATGCGGAGCTTTTGTATCAACTTGGGGAGCAGGATAAACCTCGCGAGATCGACGAAATATACCCATTCCATCTCGCAGCTGCTTTCCTAGACGGTGGTCACGGCTGTTGCACGGTGATCGACGAGCTTGCTTACAGCCTCGGTGGCGATCATGTCTTTAAACACAATATAAACGATTTAGGACACACCATACTGGATTCCCTAATGGTATCTATTCTTCGATCACACACGAAGGTCAAACCGGAGAAAGTGAGCATTGGGTTCAGTTCCCCGAATAGATACCCCGGAGAAGAAAGGGACATTTGCGGTAGATGGGATGCTGACACGCCGGCTGTCCGAAAGCTCTTTCAGCATGGTCACCCTCGCATTCCTGGACCATGGAAACACCCCTTCTGTCACACATCTGTCCAGGCTATTTGTCATAGTGTGATTGGTATCTTTGGCTCACCCCTTTCCCCAGATATTAATACTCTGAGCGGGCTGTTCCTCCGACGTTGTAGTTGCTGTGGGCTGGAGCTAAAGCTCGGCCCATTGCACACTCTCGTCATCGTGGCATACTATCTTGCACATAGGGGAATGCGAGGGGAGACCATGTTCGGTCCCTTGGCGATTCTCGTCTGTCTGCTTCGCCTAGGAGCTGATGCTTCCTTAAGCGTAACAATGTCAGTCGAGGATATTATTGGTGAAGGGGATCCAGAGACATGCTACCATAAGAAACTAGATGCTTGCGATCTGATGCAAGAAATTTCCCAAGGCGAGATTAACCGATGGCCCATGGACTGTCAAATAGGGTGGTCATGCATTCTTCATACACTTTACTTGGCCAAGAGAGGCAAAATCAGAAAGAAACAGGAATTTGAAAGGAATTTTGGGCAGTGGGTACACCAAACGCCTGAAGAAGAGTCTGATGAGGAGCCAGAAGAAGCGGCAGACACGGGTTCAGAGCACAACAGATGTACCTTGGAAACAGACACAGGTTATAAGGGTGTGCACGGTATCTGGTTGAAGCTACCCTGCGGGAATCCAGAGCTTGGGCTTCTCTGGGCGACCATCCAGGTAGAGCTCCTCACCTACCGCAGAGTCACAGATAACGCACCTTGGGTCTCCGACAATTTTTCAATGGGTGCTCTCAAAATCTGGCTGACTGGGGAATCTGACGACTTTAGTATTCCATTGGTGGAAACAAAGATGATGAAGGAACACTCACCTTGCGGGTGGTTCCCAAATTCCGACTTTGTCTGTCCTATCGCTCAAGACGTGTGCGAGGGCTATTTTATGAACATGGACATATACGACAGGGCATCAATGATTGAGAGGGCTAGTTTTACTGATTCTTGGGCCGAAATATACGTGGACCGGGATGATAGCCCATAGACTAGTAAGACCTGATAGATGAGACCATGACATAGAGGCATGGATAAACATGATGGATCTCGTTATGCCTTGTGCTAGTGCTAGGTGTACCCTAAGTTGAGTCGCGTTAAAAAAAAAACAAAATAAACGTGTTACTTAATCAGGATTCATCTTCAGCTAATTATATGGAGAGTATAATCGGCATGTTGCTAGAGACGACTAACGTCGCACAAACCGTGATTCCCGCCATCGGCTTCTTCTTATTAGGAGACTTAATTCTCGTTGACTCGTCAAAGACCAACTTTTATCTCTTCAGAGGGTGGTGGCGTCTACATCAATGCCCTCTTCCTAGGAGAAGGACACCTGCGCAAGTGTGATGAGGTTCATTGAGTCGGAAGGGTATCTCTTGCAAAATGGACCCTACGATGAGCATTCTTCTCAGCTCGCTTGCTCATATCTTCAACTTGTAGATGAGGTGTAAAGTCAGTCCAATTGGACGTACCAGGTATCGTGGCGTGTTATCGCCCATTTCCATCAAAGCCGGTACGACGCAAACGGCTCCGCGGTGATGGATCATCCACGACATGGGCTGGCCCAGTAAGCTATGGATGCCGCCGAGGCCAGGCGCGGGTTTAGCGAATTGCAAATATTCGAGAGCATGCAGACTCTGGAAAGCTGGCATCGCGAAGCAGGGGACACGGCACAGAAGCAAGCAGCACGGCTGTGGAGAGAGAAGGGCTTGAACGATTATTTCCAGTCATTACAACAAGATCGTAAAACGGAAAATTTCCAAAGACAAAGTTTGAGATGAAAAGTCTAGCCATTTCTGACATGTGTGCCGATTTTCTTGATCGACATGGATGAGAACTGCAATTCTATCATAACCATCAGACACTGCACGTCCGTCCTACTTAGGTATAGAAGGACAAGTTCGCATTATAAGGATTCAAGCCACTAGAGTTGCTATGATCCCGGAACGATAAAGCGCTTTCCGTACGTAGCGAATCGAATCATTATATTCTATATATCCTCCTTACCACAATTTGGCCACCCAGTCTACAACCATCAACACATGATGAGCCAAGCAACAATGTCAGAGCAAACAAGAACGTGACAATACCACATGCTTCTCTCAGCCTTCCCCGTACCAGTAATACCATGCATGCAACAAAGTTAGATATTATAGAGTAACCACGGTCAAATAAGAGCAAACAAGAAAAGGGGGGGGAAGCCGATCTCGCGACCTATATCACGATATCGCACCGACCTTCTCCTCCCACCAAGCCTTCCAATCGACGTACTTCCTTTCCCTCCTCGCCTCCTCGGCCGCGAACACCATCGCATGGCTGCGGATGATCTCCTCGAGGCCGCAGCCGATGAACTCGCGCTGGGCGCGCGGGGCCGCCCAGCCGTGGTTCTTGACGCGGTCGACGGCGAGCACGAAGTTGCGCGTGATGCCGTGGTCGCCGCCGCCGTGTCCCAGGCTCTCCAGCTTCGGGTGATACGACGCCTGGCCACCCGTCCGGAAGTCCTCGACCGTGATCGTCCGCGAGTCCGCGTAGATCTCGCCCGCCGTCCCATACACGTACGTGAAGCGGTGGCACTGCCGCTTCGTCTGCGCCACCATGTGGAAGGTCGCCTGCTTGGCGCCGCGGTGGCCGACCGAGTCCGCGTACGTGCTCTGCTCCGAGGCGAGCGGCTCCTCGTCCCACTTTATCGTCACCGTTTGCTCGTCGCACACGTCGTTGTCGGACTCGAACACGCACCGCCCGAACCAGTTCCGCGCGTCGATGTCCTCCTGCGGCGTCGAGGCGTCGTAGTCCTCGGATAAGTTCTGTAGCAGCTTCGACCGCGCCGCCTCGACGTCGTCGCCGAAGCTCTCGATGTCCGGCAGCACGACGCTCATCGGCCAGCGGATGTTTCCCGTCTCGAGCCCCTGGTGCCGCGCGCTCTCGTACACGCGCCGGCTCGAGTACATGCACGAGGGCTCGGCCGCGCAGCTCAGGCAGTTGGTCGCGGCGCCCGCGGCCTTGGGTTTGCGGCTGCGCTTGAAGAACTGCAACGAGCCCGTTGAGGATACTTCGGAAGGGATGTGCGGGGCCACGTCCGACTCGGGGTGCGCGGGCGAGCAAAGGAGCCAGAGGATGATGTCGATGTCGTGGCAGCTCTTAGTCAGGAGCGAGGGCGCCGTCGTGGATTCTTTGCGCCAGTTCCCGCGCACGTACGAGTGCGCGAAGTGCCAGAACCCGACGGGTTCCGTGTGCACGATGCTCAGGATGTCGCCGATGGCGCGGTCTTCCAGGAGCAGCTTGCGCAGGAGCATGTTGTGCGGCGAGTACCGCATTACGTGGCCCACCGAGAATACCTTGGTGGGTTGTAAGGGCGCCACGGCCCGGTACATGTCGACGCAGTCGTCTAGTGTCGTGGCGAGCGGCTTCTCGCACATGATATGCAGGTCTAATGGCGCGAGCGCAACCACGACGTCGTGGTGCATCTCATCGCGGACGCACACGAATGCAGCGTCTACACCCTCGGGAACCGGCTCTCCGGCGGCCTCGCGCTGGCGGCGCCGCACCTCCCACTCGATAAAGTCACGCCAGTCGGCAAAACTCGAGCCCTCCGGCGGCGGGTTCTTGGCGTCGGACGAGATGAAGGTGCGGACGTACTCCTCCCGTTTATAAACGTCTGGCTCGCAGACGGTGGTGACGACGCCGTTGCTGGATTGCAGGGTGCACCGGCCGTAGACGCGACCCCGAGAACCGGCGCCGATGATTAGGATGCGCGGCGGTTTGGCGGATAGAGGGGGTGGCGTTGGGGGCCTGACTTCGGTCCCTGCAGGCTCGTTTTCGAGGTCGGCAGGGCCTTCGTCCTGGACATTGTGGGGGGCCATTGCGATAGAGTTTTATGAGTCTAGCTGTACGCCCGGATGGAAAGAAACAAGTAATTAGAAGGCATGCCCTTAGCCCAAGATTGGTGAGAGAGGTCTCTATTTTAGCAAATCTCTTACTTGACACCTAGACCAAAGTCGAAGCTGAAGGTATATGTGCACCAACACCACATAGGATCTCACTCACTAGAGGTGCTTTACATGTGTTGGTATGTTGGTGACGAATATGATATTACCTCAGCTTCCGAGCATTTGCGATGGATGAATGGATGAACGGAGATTTCAATTACTTGATCTACCTAAGTTTAGCAGCAGGTATGAGACAGAGACGGAGACGGAGAGATAGTCGAAGCATGGAAACCCAAGGTTTGGTATCGGCCTATCAGGCGATAACCGATTTGTTACCGAAACATTCTTAGTGGCTGCTCTGTCGTAGACGGGGCGGCCGCATGAAGAAACAAGGAGCGAACAACCTAGCACTCCATGACCTCGACTTTGGGGCTTGACCTGCCACGATTGGGGTTCACGATCTGATGCAGAGAGATAGGTGGGAGTGTTTCTTGAAATCTTCACGTGAAGTATAGAAAGAGAAGGAAAATCCCGATGCGAGGTCCATATCTCGGGAATGCATTGTGACGTTATGTACCGCAGAGCTCCAAGCCTGCGGAATTTACCATTTAGAGCCATGATCAATTGACAACCATTGCGGCAAAACATTTAATTAACATCTCACTATATTTTACTGATAGAATAGAACCAGATCTAAATCAGCGGGGAATAAAGCATCGGATCTTAGCATGATGAGTTAGTTATCTTGCTGTTTTCACATACGTCTAGCTTGCTTATAATGCGCAGTAAATCGATTGTTCTATAGGCAAGATCTTCTTTGCTTTGATGTGAGGGGCGTGTAACTCAGTGGTAGAGTGCTCGCTTTGCACCAGATTTAATGTCTAAATAGTGCTTTGTTTGCGAGAAGCCCAGGGTTCGACTCCCTGCTCGTCCAGCTTTTTATTGGTTACAATTGAAAGTTTGCATGATTCATTGCCCCCTTTTAATTAATTTTTATTTCTTTCTTTTCAACTAGATTTACGCATCGTCAGTTTCACAATAGGTGTTTCTTCCACGCTAACATTCCATAAGTCGTAAACAAACCTATCAGAGTAAATCATACATAAAAATAGGACCTTGAGAGGATGTATGTGTACGTAACTCTAATACCAAATGTTACTTAGGATTTATGAGTGATTACTCGCGGAAATACCGTTCAGGTCACGCTGATATATTAGATGTTGCTTGCCAAATGGCACATTGTGCCCCTTTTATCGACGAAGGAAGTAACGGAAGTGGTTCATCAGCCTTGCCATCTACAAGACTTCATCTGAATCACTTATTCCTCATAGAAAAGTTTTTCTACAAGTGTATTAGAGCTCAGATGTACCTCCCTCACACCATCTATCTTGTATAAGAGATAATCAGACTCAAACGCAACTAGGCCGAAACACGACGATACCTCACTATATATATTTCCCCGCCGAATGATCATGAATTATCAAGATATGCTTACATTTGACGAAATAAAGCCGTAAGGCTCTTAGATATAACCCCTGTGGAAGTCACAACTGTTAGGTACCTCAGTAGCCGCCTCAATCTAGCCAAATTTTATGGAGTCCGTATCCGGCAGGCTATCGCGAACCTACCTTACTATCAGTCCTCACGTCGTCAACAGAGACCTCTCTCCAAACCCTCGTGAATTCCCTCTCACCCGTCTTCTTTTCTCTAAACCTAACCTCCTAGTCAACCTCAGCTTGTTCATCTCACGATAAACCTCCCCCTCGCAACCAAGCTCAATAGGGAGGCCACTCCGTAGGCCGAGGATTATCACATTTGGGTACGGGAACGTACGAGCCATCACCCCGATCGTACCATGAGTTCTGGCAGCCCCCATCGCACGCGTACAAGCTCGCGTCGCCGGCGTCGCACCGTAGGAAGAGGTCGGCGTACTCGCAGGAAGCCCACGTGCCGCCCCCGGAGACGCACTCGTCGCGTCTGAATCGGAGGGGTGGGACGTCCGGTTTCGGGGCGGCTGCCGTAAAGCCGTAGAGAGCGGCGGTGATGAGGATTGAGATGGTGAACTTCATGATTGGTTGGTTAGGACAGGTAGGTAGATTGGAAACTTTGGGGTTTGGGTTTGCTAAGCTCCGTGTATTGGGATGAGGGATGAGATGATGTGAGAGTTTGGAGTCGAAGAACTGCGGTGTCTTTGCGGCACACGAAAGACTGGCTAAGAGGCTTGATGATCAAGCGTGGAATTGGGTAGATGAACCAACGAGGAAGTGTTTATAGGAGAACTTATGGATTGGTTTTATAGTTGAGTGGCACTCTTTAAGGGGTAAGTAACTCCCCAGCTTCTTGCTAATCTGGATAAGTTGCCTACTCGTTCAGGGACCTTAGTCTCGTAGAAAGCCTTGATTGTCGCTTACATCCATTACCTAGGAATTGAAACATCTGAACACCTGAACTCCGGGGCGATGTCGCATATAGCAAAAAGTGATATTGCACGAATGTCTCAGATAATCCCGTGTTGGCTATAGTTAAAAGCATATCAAGGGAATATTGCAATCGTTAATTACCTTCTAGATAGGACCTTGCCAAATTAATCGACAATAAGGGATCAAAGAAGAAAATTTGGGGCTTGCCTAGCGGAGCTGAGGATCATGAGAGGCTAAGATAGAAGTTTTCTTACGGCTGATGCCGTCTCAACAACTGGATCCCTAACTTGCGAGGCATTCGTGACTTGTTACAGTAGAACTAAACGTCAGTTTATTTGAGCTGCTAGCTACTTTCATATTTTAGAAGTCGGCACAATTTACCTAGTTACGTCTGGGAATGCAATAGTTGTATGTAAGACTCGACGGTAGTCTGATTAATATTGATCTTGCGCATATCACTGAATGCCTACCACTCATCAAAATCAGCTAACATCAACGAGTGATTCGCTTTATTATACTATGCTTCTTAAACCAATACTACACGCACGATAACCAACCCAAAGAATCACCAGCCGTCCCTCCAACCCGCACGCCAATATTTCTTCTCGATAATATTATTCATCTTATTCATTCACAAATAAATATCGGGTCCTCCTCATATGATTACTCCGAACACTGCAGCGTCCAGACGTCGGTCCGGATTCAAAGGCCGAGTAATTCATGAGCGAGTTGAGTCATTTCATCTTCGCTCAGTTCCTGGCCCTTAACTTTCTCGGCCTTGGCGGCATCAAAGCGCCACAGACCTCCCGTTTTGTCAGCATCACCGTTCGCACTTAACCCGACATGCGTAGCCAATGCTTCAAGCGCCGCATCCGGCTCAGTTGCAGCGGTGAAGTACCTGCGCTCCCACTCACGACCCTCGGATTGCTCCTTCTTCCGCATCATACGCTGCGCCTGTTCGATCCTCGCCTTCTCTTTGCCGACGTAATCCATGTCTCCCTTCGCGATACCTGCGGCGACATTGGCCCATGCGCGCCGAGATTCAAGGGGATGTTGCTTTTCGGGAGGGGCGACCATAAGCTCGGCGATAGGGTTGTTGGCGGGATCCCAACTCTCAAGGAGGGTTTTCGAAGAATTACTCTTCACTGGTCCGGTATAAATCTCGAATGCTTTCGTCCACTGACCGGAGCAGTTGTAGATCACTTCCTTTTCCTTGCCTGTTGGATATAGAGTTGCCGTAAACGAGTTCTTCTTGCCGCTTAACCAACCCTTGCCACTGTAGTCGACCTTGGCGGTGTATCCCGTTGAGGAGGTGATGTATGATGCGCCATCAAGCTCTATGAAGGGCGCACCAAATATCAACCCTTCGACGTGGAGTGAGGGTAGCGTGATCAAGAAGGTATCTTTTCCATCGGGATTGGAAGGGTCGGGAACCGCAAGTATCGCATGTCCTATTTGCTTGATATTGATGGTTTTGGAAAAGCTAGCCTTCTGGGCATTGTACCCTTGGAGGTGAACACCGGAAGGATGGTTGATGATGCTGTAGGCAGTGGCTGGCGGGTGGTGGCTAAGTTATTGGTTAACAAATATCTCTGAATGTATGGACAAGTCGAGTTTCGTAGACATACTTCACCTGCTCGCTGATCAACTCGGTTGTACCAGCCTTATCTTCCCATTTGCCCAAGAATAGCTCGCCCAAGAAGGGATTCAGAGGCTTCTTCTCATTACCATATTGCTCGCTTCTGCTTGCATATTGCTGCTTAAGAGTAGTCAAGAACCACTTCAGCACTAGCAAGGCCCTCTTCGCGGGATCAGTTTCTTTGGCGGGCGCAGCGAACACGCTGGGGTGCTCGGCCCAGTATGAACTGAACTCGGTGAGACTCGTAGAGGAGAGGATGAAGGGCGGAGCGGTCAAGGAGGAGAGATCGCCATTGAAAGATGCGATGGACTGATCCAAATGATGCGTCGTCAGCAAGGAGCAAGATAGAGGTTGGAAGATGATTGATAACAATTAACTGACTTTGAGGAATGCGGTCCAACTAGAACCAGCGGCCTGGGCATTTGGCGTGGCTTCGGCCATGATGACGTTTCCAACTAATCGCCTACAGATTCACGGACACCGCGGGGTTCGGATGATACCCTAAGTGGTCGGCCAGACCCCCCAACTTGAAGTCCGAAAGCTGGCTTTCGAATTTCGTGGAAATGGACGAGGCACAGCACCGACAAGAAGATTTCTTAATATTATCTTGGCGGGGAAGTTCCACAACGGGATCTGGATCTAAGAATACGAGTTGTTTTATTCGATAGATCGACAAGCTCTGTTTCCAAGGTTGGGTCGCGTGTAGGGGGTAAACAAAGCTTCTTGTGCTTCTTGTACTTCTTGTTTTCGGATGAAACGGAAAAGGATTGGTATCACCAAAACTGAATCAAAATATGGCTCCCTCTTTCAGCTGAGGCGCTAGGTCGGCGGCTATCGGACTGAATGAGTAAGAGACAATGCTAAGGTTTGAGTAAAGCAAGAGCGTGAAGGCGGCTGCACCACTTTTGAATTTGACGTCAGAAAATAAACTTCCCCACACGTCATCAGCCCCGTACAGCTCAACTAGTACCTTTGGTAGCTAGTCCTGTTGGGGTTGCTTGGCTTGCTTGGCTACGGATTAGCGCGATCTGAAATCGGTCTAAAATTGCGTGCCCAACTTGGGAATCTAAGGTTTAGGCCACAACACCTGCCTATACCGGACAGAGAGGCATGAGATGACATACCTCCTAAGTAGGGAGGCACCTACCGGTAGCTAATAAGCTTCTTACTCGCATGTGTATTAGCTCTACCAGATACGATATTAATTGAAGTTATGTAAGAAATACATGTGTCAGATTTTTGCCGAGTCGTGAAAGCAAGTACGGAATGTTGGAGTATTATAAGTACTACATAGGCTCAAATTTAGCGTGCGGCAACACACTGTACTCTCAACCCGCATTCATCACATGTAGAGATTGCCTCGACTGCCTATGTAGTACATACCAAAGCTGTACGCACGAGTGAGGAAACTCATCCAGCAGTCCTACTATGTTTTACAGTCAGGAACATCACCCCTCCAAGCTTGCGGCCAATATGTATGTGTAGGAAGACTGTTGAGTCCTATTAGGATTAAGATGCTCATCTACGATCCATTACAAATTACAGTCCGTCCCGGGTATCGTTCCAATTCATGTGCTTCCCCCGTGCGAAGTCTATGATTTCGTCCGTCCGACCAGCATGTCCTTGCCGAATGAGACACCCCGCGTATATCATACCCGCCTAGTATATATACAGAATAAAATCTTAAAATAGAATGCAGAGACGTAATCGTCCTATCGTGGAGAGTGGCATGAGTTTTCTAGCTTCTCGGCTAGCTTCCCATTTATGCCTGAAAATCGTCCCTCAACATGATCGCCAACAATGGCCCATCGCGCAAAGTGACACTGTTGCCGCCCTGGATCAAATGTCCAAGCAAGGCATCCGACAGGGTGTTCATGGCAGATTCTGACACACTCGTCAACTTCCGTGATTTTATCCACGGTCGTACTATACTCGTCGAGTCGCCCGACGTAATCCACATTGGGTCGAATCGGTTCGGCGATGAATGTCGAGAAGTCCGGCGCGCCATAAATCTTGCCCATCTGTCCCCAGAATACAGGTTCTGTCATGTTCTTGAAGGTTTCGCCTACGTGTATCATAGCGTCGCTGTTTCCAAGACCGTGGAAGGAAACGAGAGGCAAACAGAACCGATCAACCCACATCCGCGTCATCCATGGAGGCTCGCCATTGAATAGGCGTCGATACGTTTCGTCTAGGTAAATCCCGATCTTCATGAATGTCGTAGAAAGAAGCTTGTCACCATAGATCGCTGTAGGGGACTCCTGATGACCTTCAGCAACGACTTCGGGGTGTTGATCGTATAGCTTGCTAAGAGCAGCACCAGACATGACCACAGACGACCCGCCATGCGGAAAACGGCCTTTGTAATCGCCTACCGGGTTCCCAAGGAATTGTGGTTTGGCATAGTTCAAATGTCCCAGAACCAGATTCAAAGACGACTTGATGATGTACGTGTCATCGTCTGCCATGATGTACCACTTCTTCTTCGGTAAGGTTTGCCAGGCATACTCAAGACTGGGGAGGAACTACACTGAAATTAGCAAATACTCGCTTGTTTAATATCCGTTGTGAAGGTCTAACCTTCATCGCATCGAGTTCCCATCCCATGTCTTTACCTAGCCCATCGGCGAGCATCCACTCTTCACCATCAACGGCATCGGCAAGGTTCGCGTATTTCATCACACGTTCCTGCTGCTCTTGGCCCTTGAGAGCCCCTCGTTCCAAGTTCCATCCAATGATATCAATGACTGGCACCTCCTTGCCATTTGCGAAAGTGTAGTTTCTTTGATCTGGAAGTAGTGGGAAATCCTGGGTGACTATAGTGTCGGCATAAAAAGATTCGTTGTTCAACGCTCGTAACGCTGCTGGAACCCGGTGCTTCGTCCCAAATCCAGTCTTAACTATTATGGCGATGTCATTATTAGGATCGATCGGATAACGCTGCGGTTTGAAGAGCCAGGAATCGGTGGGGTGGACGTTTTGGTAATAGTCTTGAATGATATTGTGTTGAAATCTAAAGAACGACCTTGGTCGGCTGTCGTATGGTGTCAAATTATAAATAATAAAGAGAAAAGCTAGCACGCCTAATATTATCTTCTGCGGACGAGACAGGCGTGTAATACAAGAGCGAATGGACCTTCGCTCGGCGATCCCCATTGTTGTGGTTCACTGCTGTCGTTGATCTACCGATGGGGTTCTGCAACCGAAACCAACAACCATAAGATGCCGACCGAGAAGACGTGGAACATGCGTACGAAGGACAGGAGGTGGGATTTTCGAAAAGATCGTGTGGATAGATCGTAGATGGCCGGGATGTAGGACAAACTAAGGTGACGAGCACCTAGGAGATAGGTACCTAGATAGGCCGGAATAGGTAGACTGAAGAAAGGGATGAAAAGGAAAATGAGAATTGAGAACTTTTCCTCCTTGGAACTTAGTTAGAGTAGAGTTGAGAAGCAATCAAGTAATCGAGTTCGCAACATGCGGGGGTTAGGAGGTTTAGTGTACGGACTAGGTATCTAATTTTGGGATTGATCTTGCTCAGGGGTCCGTGGTTGGCTGAGAATGATGCACGATGCTACGGGTGCTACGGAGTTGAACCAAGGATGTGCAGGATGTGCTAAAGCGAGATTTTCTTGATTTTCACTAAACCGTAGAATCGGATGCGCACAGGCCATATACAAGTCCGGGTGTACAAAGATTACGCGTACTTTAGTACCGAAAAGCGCGCCGTCAGGGGTAAATACCTAGTACATGCGTGCCTTCAAAAGATAAAGCAGGAGCATTGGAACATTAAACATTCATTCAATGCACTTGAAAGGGATCGCAGTTACGATGCATCTCTCTGACCCATGTCTTTACGAAGTAATAATTATGCGATTGCAGCGATTCAACTTTGTACCAATTATCCAACCATCTAATCATCTAACCATCTAACCATCTCCGATACATACCTACCTACCCTCTTCAAAAATCATGAGCAGACCTTCGGTGGCAGCACAACCTGCATTGTTTCGTGGTTTCACGTCCCAATAGAATGGATTGGAAACATTCGCATCGTAGTTACAGGACCGTTACCAGACTCTTTCTGACGCAACGATTCCCTACGAAAATGAATGCTTTTATGCCGCTATAAAATTCCATAAATCAGAGGAAAGCTAACGGCAGCCAACCATCTGAGAACATCCACACCCTTTTACACAGTACTACCTAAATTGATACCTAGGTACCTACTATGTAGTAGGTAATAAAAGAAATCGCATGTTGGTAGGTCAACATCTAATCAGGATTTACTATCTAGCTTGACGTAAGGGACTACTACTAACAACGAGGCTCGACAAACACAGTAGGACCAGTCATATAGGTAAATTTGAGCACTGCTGATTTCTTCAGGACTACGTCGACGGTAAAGGCTCAATCTATGTAGATTGAGATTTGCTTAAGTCAGTATCTACACAGATATTCGATCTTCAAGACTCGTTTCTCACACTGTGAAATAATCACGGTTCCATTGCCCCATATAAGCTTGGCATTCATCCCCTCGACATCAACCCAACTGATCACCCAAATTGACGGCTTTGTGCGATGGATAAAAACTAAATTATCTTCATTCTCATATGCGAAGCGATTTTTAAAGCTAGAACACGATGTCGGAACCTTGGGGCCCCAATACCGCCTCGCTCGTCAGGAAGGGCCTCGGTTACCTGGCCTTGATTTGCCTGGCCGCTTTCTTTTATCGCCTATATCAAGTTCGAATGTTGTTTCGACGGATCCAGAAGGATTACGGCATCGTAGGTCACCCAATATGGCCATCCCGCTGATTCTGAGCTGCTACATCACAGCATCATGGTGTCCCCTGGTACCAGACGCGTTACAACATTTGTCTCGGCGTCAGGTCCAATTCCAGATCTAGACATCTAGTCCGAGAACAGCTATTCCTTTTACGATACTAACCATTCATAGCCGATTCTCCCACACTCCTTTATATTTGGCCATCTGGTGACGATCGCTAGAGCCAGCATGAAATACGGAATCCCGCGAGACGCCCATGGTCATTGGACGTTCTATCACCTCAAGCGGGAATATCCTGATATTCTGAATAAAGGTATAATGTATATGGATGTATGGCCAATTGGATATCCTATGATAGCAGTCTATCATCCGGATTTGATGGCCCAGTTCATCCAGGAGAATAGTCTCCCTAAATACTGGGCCATGGGGCAAGTTGAATTCAAGGCCTTCACAGAAGGTGAGGACTTGTTGAATCTGGATGGCCCAGAGTGGAAGAAAGCTCGGAGCATATTCAATCCTGGCTTTTCAGCTAGGAACCTTTTATCGCTCGTTCCGAATATGATAGAGGAAGTCTTAGTCTTCCGGGAGCGACTCCGAAAAGCCGTGTTATCTGACCAAGTTGTGCGGCTCGAAGATTATACGACAGATATAGCCGTAGACATTGTTGGGTGCGCTGTATTGTAAGCTCAAGCCTAGGAGCCCAGTGGCAAAATTATGCCTATATCTAACATGAAGATAGGGGAGCACGCCTGCAAACACAAGTTAAGCCAAGTCGATTAATGACAACAATGAAATCCCAGATTAGCCTCATGTTTTTCGAGCTTGATATTATGAAGCTGTTGAACCCAGTTCGAGTATTCAAAAACTTGATATACAATCGCATCATTCGGGACGAGTTAGTCCCTTATATTTTGAATACAGCTCAGAATTATGAAAAAATTGAAGGACCCAAAACCGTTATCGCCCTGGCTTTAAATTCATATGTCAACGAAACACAGGATTACTCTGCCAGAGGGGATATTCCGCGTGAGTTCATTGAGCGAGTCGTTAAACACATCAAGATTTTCATGTTCGCCGGACACGATACGACCGCTACTGTCCTTGCATACGTATATTACCTGCTCGGCAAGCATCCTGATAAATTAGCTAAGATACGGACTGAGCACGATGAGGTTTTAGGTGTCGACCCAACAATCGCTGCTGACCGCATTAGAGCCGACCCTACATTGCTCAACAAGATGCCCTACACGATCGCTGTCCTCCGAGAGACATTGCGCCTATACCCTCCCGTAGGTGGTTCGATTCGCCAGTCCCCGCCGGGACACTTCCTTACACATCCCGAAACTGGAGTTCGTTATCCGACCCATGGTTTTATGCTACATTCCTCTGCGTCGACCCTACAACGCGACTCAGATTACTGGCCCGATGCCGACTCGTTCATTCCGGAGCGATTCATGACGCATGACGATAGCGATCCTTTGTACCCCATAAAGAACACCTGGCGGCCATTTGAGATGGGACCACGAGCGTGTATCGGCCAAGAATTGGTTTCCGTGGAGATTAGACTCATCCTCGCCTTAACGACGCGCGAGTTCCAAGTCGAGGAGGCCTATGCCAAGGACGCGCCAGAATGGATGGGTGATAAAGCATATCAGATCTTTAACCCCGATGTTGTCGCCGCGGCCCATATCAAAGATGGCCTCCCCGTGAGGGTTAAATCTAGAAATCTGAACTAATAGATGGCTCTTACGATAGTTATATAAACATATCACATTCGAGTAGCATCGTTTACAGCAATAATCACAGAGACACATATGAAATGATGTCTCTTCAAAATGGGTAATGAGCAAAATCTTTACTAACGACACCTCGACACCGTGAGACCATCTAATTGGATTAAGAATTCTGAGTTATACACCTAATATGCTTTATTTATGGTTAATAAAAGGTAACTAGTTTTATACCATATTTCAGGATGGAATAGCCACTTGATCTTCTGATAATTATCATGCTCCACAGGGATATCGCACCGTACATCATCCTGAGGCTCCACGGAAGGGTCAGTCCTAGAATGAATCGCTAACCACGCTGTCCTCATATTCAGGTTGATCGCCATCGGACTTGCACCCAGCCAGATTGGCTGAACGCTTAGCAAGCATCCCTTGATTCTTCTCAGCCCGGGTCATATACTCAGTAGCCTCATCAACCACAACGCGCAGGTCCTCGTCGACTTCGGTTCTTATTTCCCGGAGACGACGCTTCCAAAAACACCATCGCTCAAGACTATACCCGCTTTCGCCGGTGTATAGTGGCCCTCCGCGATACGGACGACCACGATTCCCTCCTTCAGGGAAATCCGAAAAAGTGCTTAGGAGTGAGTCTTGTAGGAGTCGAGGTGCCGTTTGGCGAAGCCATTCCTCCACCACTCGTATCCTGATGTCTGTTGCTGGTTCACCATCGCTTGACAGTGGGGTCTCGAGGCTAGATCTAAGTTCCCAAATTGGATAGTTTTCCAATTGCACAATTTGTTTTTGATGAAGCTTGGCGAGAAAAGAGTTGAGGTCTATCCACTGATATCCGGTAAAGTTGTGTTTAGACGATGGACCGGTTCCAATGTTTGGGGCTAGCCTCGCGAAGTCAGCGATACACAAACCCCGGATTACGAGGACCTTAGATATAATTCTTACAAAGATTCCAGGCTTCTCTCATGGACATGCTAAAAGACTTTAGACTCCTCCACTGATTGACCTAAGCCAGGTTAATGACTGTCATATGGAAGTTATCTCTCATTTCGTACCTCATCCTTTTCCTCAGTGGCGTATAGTGAGGCTATGGTTTTCACAAGGACGGCTTGTGCTAAGTTGCGAGGTGGGATTTGAGCGGCAATCCGTATGAGTTTCTCAGTGAATTCCCACGCGAAGGTACTAGGGGAATCTTGTGTTTGTGTAGATGCGAGCTTTTCTACTTCGTCGATGAAATACTTCGCCCTCCCTTTGGATGTAACTACAGATGGCAACTTCAGCGCACCGGCAAATAACTTGCCTATGTCGCTCAACTGAGTACATTCGTGTGCAAGGTAGTCAAAGTGGTCCACACTAATGATCCTTCTCGGATCCGGTTCGCACGAGCCAAATTCCGCCGTGTCGGGTTCAATCTTGCCAGGCGGCGCATTAGTGGTGGGTTCTGCGGGGTTTAAGACAACGTCAGCGTTCGACATGCTGATGACAAGCTGAAAAGTTAATCGTAGATAAGAACTTGAGACAAATATCGGTGTCTTCGATCTCTTCAGATAGACGTCTATGTCCCTACCTGATATTCAGTGATGTTGAGGTAGAGGTTAGGATAAATAAAGCTGATAGGTTAGGTGTACAGTAGAAATAGGAAGGAGATTGGCTAAAAAAAGGTACGTACCGATCAACTCTTCCAAGTTCTCGGTGTGACTCGATTATGGATATTCCCCGCTGTGTTGAAAGCACTTTTCTTAGACAATACCTCGTTAATGAGATATAGAATCTATACACTTAATTCATCTTAGACGACTATGTTTTATTCAATCTTCTACTTCGTCAGTTGCTATTAGTCTGCACGTCCTTTACACAGTTTCAATGAGTTGCGGTAGGTTGATAATAGCCAATCAAAACTCAGATAACCTTATAAGACCTTCCCTTAAGGGCATAGTGCACAGTTTGAAAACTGTGCGTGAAGTGTTCACCCACAACTATAAGTCGACTGAGTTCTCTTTATAAGTATATTACTTCCATTATTCCTATAAGATATAGAACTACCTACCTTCCACGGCAGAAATTTCATTGAATATAGATGAACTATATGACTGGGTAATTTCCGCGGTAGTCCAAAACAACGGCATCAGCTAGAATATCCCAATTATACCTCGGTTAAGTTCACTTGATCCTCGTTAGAATATACCTAGGTATCTAAAAAGAAAAGTTAGTTTTAAGTCTTTCTTTTTCCCCATTCTAAGTATCATCTAATAAAATCAGTGAACTCTTACATCTTCTATAATATCCTTTTGGTTTGCATAAGACTAAGCTCCCTTAGCACCCACAAAAGCTAACTTCTAGTTGGTTAGACACCTGAAGGTTACTGTGACAACCTCAACGCTTACAGATTCACCAGGCCTGCTCTATCGCCAATGTACAGTTACCAGTTTTATGGAAACTGTCGTCTTATGCCAACCAAAGGGATGACACGCAGATAATCTTCGAAATCATTAACGAGCAAAGACACATCTAAGCACCCGAAACTCTTTATTTTTCATGTTTCGATATAAATATAAGCAGTTTAGGTATGAGTGAAATCAAACATACCTACTTAAAGCTTAAACCCGCTTCTAAGGTTTCTCAGGGTTGTCTAAAAGTCAAAGTGAAGCTCATAGTTTATCAGCATTCTGGTATTTACATATACTGTCTACAACTCCATGACCTCTAAGCTGTCAACGATGACGTAAAAGAGAGCGGTTACGGCCACTTACTTAGGGGTAGCCCATGGTTGCGGCGCAGCTACCACAAGTTCTACGTACTAAGAGTAATGTCCGACGCGCGACGCGATCGGAGCGCGAGTCGGCATTGAGTCTAGCCGTTTAATATAGCTACGTACATGAAAAAAGGGCTCAGATGGCGGGAGCCTCATACGGTTGCGGGTCGGATCATATTCCGGTTCGTCGATGTGGGTCTGCTGATGCCATTTGATGTTGAGAGCCCCGGCATTGCCAAGGGATAGGGGTCGATAACGCCGGGGACTTGCTCCGCTACCATGAACCTGGACGTGATAGTATTTAGGCATTCAACGATACCGGTAGATGCTTGCGTTGAGGGGGATACTCGGGACGGACCGATTATTTGTCAAGTAGTATTTACGGGATCTCGTAATCACCGTGTTTCCGGAGAAGATCCACATCCCGGTGGGCTAAAAAGTTTCCGGATTATAAACAGTACGGTGTGATTCATGTTAAGCTTCTATTATGGGAGAAACACTGGTAAAGGTTGCAAGAGTGCTTCGATATCCAGGTGCAGTAATCATACAGAGGGTAATCGAAGGACCTAGGTATAAAATGTAACAACGTATGACTTCGCTTATACCCGATACACGACAAGGTAGTTTTAATTGAGTTGAGTGACTTTATAGTTGGTCTATACTGTATTGAAGGCATATTCCGCAGGTATTCTCCGCGACTGGGTTAAATACTACATGATAACAATATGGCTTACCTACCTAGGTAATTACTTTGAGATTTCTAACTTGTATGGATTTACGCCTTCAGGGGTCTTTGAAATTTCCTAATTTTGTAACCTTTTTAGAGAAAATACTACCGACACGTTACCCTTTCGGACTCTATAAGTTCCCCAGTAACCCGAGTTTCCGTTCCAGTCGACGACTTCCGAGTTCACCACTTAATATTCCCGGTCATTTCAAGCTCTTAATGTGGAGACCAAGATGCAGGAGACCCTGATTTCTGGGTATTGCGACTTATGTAACAAGGAATACCATATTTACTGCTAGGTAGGTATGCACGATAGTTCGAGACACGAGTAGGCCTCAATTTTAGACGTGTTTATATGATTGGAGTTACGACCCAGCATTAGCTCCAATCTATTTTAGAGAAACACTATATAATGGTACTACGTATTGTCCGTGTTATCGGCCGGAATATGGCAATTGAAATGTCAAAAACCACAATTTATATAACAATTAGCTGATTCAGCATTTGCGGAAGTATGAAACTATCCGGCGTGGAGCACTCTGGACCTCTGGGCGGCTTGACAACGTACAAACTGTGCCGTGATGACGCGGCCAAGTATTGGTAGATACGATCCCTCGACGTATACGCCGCATTTGCCGTTTGCTAAGCATGGGTTAGGTTAATTGTTCGTGCCATGCTTGGTTCTGCCATAATGGCGGACGAAGCCGCAGATTGGATACTGTCCCTGGTCTGCACATAAACCAACGGTTGCGCGCGGGGGCCGAGGATTGGGAAGGGACTCCAGATCAAGATAAAGACCTAGGAACATCCCGATACCTTCCTGGGTAAATAAGGACTCGGGAACAAAACAGCTCCCTTATATCACTCGACGAGTCCACAATGGCAAACGAAAATTTCAAAGTCATAGTCGTTGGTGGAGGCCCGGTAGGCTTGACTTTGGCACACTCGCTTGCTAAAGCCGGCATTGACTATCTCATCCTGGAGGGCCGCCGGGGAGTCGCGGAAGATGAAGGCGCGAGTCTGGTTCTTTCACCTCACGGAATGCGTGCCCTGGCACAGCTCGGACTCCTGGATAGTCTTCTCAAGATCAGCGTAGAGGCATCCGATATGCGGTGCACAACCAGCGACGGCCGCATGTTAAAGAGCTTTCAAATTGAGGGTGTACTCGCAAAGGCGTAGGTTTCTTATAATATCCCCTTAAACCTACGTAATGCTGACATAGATCTTCTTAACTAGCCATGGCGTTGGGTCGTATATATTCCACCGAGCTCACCTGGTCAAGACGTTGTATGACGGCCTGAGCAAGACACACAAGTCTCGCGTTCTGAGTAATAAGAAGGTGGTGGATATCGTATCTGATGATTCGGGTGTCACTGTTAGCTGCGCGGACGGGACAAAATACGAAGGATCTATTGTCATCGGTGCTGATGGCGTACATAGCCGAACACGGGAACGAATGCGTTCACTTGCATTGAAGGCATCGCCAACCATCGATATCGATGAAGACAAGCCTTTCACGTGTCATTACAAGACGTTGTGGTGCTCTTTCCCCCTACAGGGGGATAAGAACGGTGGCCCCCCAGGAACAACGTGGGCTGCGCACGCCAGAGACCACTCAACTCAGTACATCGTAGGGCGGGAGAGGGCCTGGATCTTCTTATATGAGCGTCTCCCCAACGCACCGGTGAGGATGGGAACTCGCTACACGGAACAGGATGCTATCGAGCTGGCTAGAAAATGGGGCGATATGGCTATCAGCGAGACACTGACAGTAAAAGACGTGTTCCCGCAGCGATATTCTGTCGGCATGGCGGCCCTTGAGGAGGGTATCCTGAAACGCTGGTCTTGGGGGCGGATAGTACTTACCGGCGATGCCGCGCACAAATTCACACCAAATCAAGGGCTCGGGTATATCAACGGCCTTCAGGACGCGATGGTCCTTACCAATGAGCTTTACCGGGCTTTACATACCCCTTCGCGAGAGCACGGTGGTAAGAAGAACAAGAACGACCCAAGACTTGAGACATTGTCTGCCGCGTTCGAGCGTTACCAGAATTTGCGCATAAACGAGGTTAAAGATGATTGGAAACTCTCGAGTTTAGAGACGCGAATGTCTGCTTGGTCTAATCCGTTGTATTGGGGGTTCGACTATTGGATCCAACCCTATCTGCCCCGACTTTTCCATCTTCTTGTGTTGAAGAACGTCGTTTCGGAGCGTGTTCGTAAAGGACACGTGCTTGACTTCTTGGACGATGAGGAGCCGATCCCAACTGCGACTATTCCTTGGAAGCACCCTATTCCGGGCCGTGCAGCAAAGAATGTTGGGCGTAGCTCAACGTCGTCATTTCTTGGAATTTTCAGCATCTTGCTTCTTTCAACGGCAGCGTCGGTGGTGATTAGTCATTATAGACTTGCATGAGTGGATCTAAAGATAGATATGAAGGTACATAGGCCAAATGATTTATGAGGAGTCGAGTATTTTCGTATACCTACCTAGCTAGTTATTTGGAATTGAGAATATAAGGGTTGCCTTCTCCCCTCTATCGATTGAAGACTTTCATCTGTTTAAGGGGATTCCGGTCCTTGGAGGAGTGTAACCTTGTGTCCCTAAGAAACGTGATAATTATTTAAGATGAAATTTGACGTTATGGACAAGGATCAGAAGAGCATGGCCATTGATATATGAGCTTCGAACTTGAAGCTATTTTCAACAAACCACGACAAGAAGATGAGAATATGAATAATTGAAAAACATAAAAAGGGGTAGGTGTAACAAAGGAGCGTCCAACGGTTACTAAAAAGTGGACCGTGCCTTAGCACTGGGTCAAGCGCTAAGTACCTATGTACAGGGGTGTGGCTGCTGTCCTACCTGACTTAGGCATACTTAGTGTGGCTTAAGGCTAGGTTCCGTAGCTTTCCAATAGCTGGACTTTTTAGTTTGCTGCTCTGAATTTCGTCCCGCTCACGTCAACCTTTGGAACCGTCGCAGGCATCCGAATTCTCAAAGATCTTTGCTTGCCGCAGGCTCTTCCTGCATCCGGTCATCAAATTCAGCAAACGGCAACCCAATGACTTGTGCGAGATATTGCTAAACTTCCTTATGGTATATATTCCTCCTGCGAATCCGGCTATTACCATCGATATAACGCTCGAAAATGTCAACAACTCCTGCTCCGCCTGAGGACCAGGCAAGATTATTGGAAGATGCCTTGATTGCCGTGCGCCAGCAGACTGCGCTCATGCGCAAATGTCTCGACACTCCTGGAAAGCTTATGGATGCTCTTAAATGCTGGTGAGTCGAAATGTGATTCAATTGTTACGCAACGTCCCCCGTATCCGGCTTCTCTCGTCTTCCTAGCTTGCTAACTATAGATTACGTAGCTCTACCCTAGTCGCCGAGCTGCGGACAAGCAGCCTGGGTCCAAAGCAATACTACGAATTATACATGGCTGTATTCGATGCCATGCGCTACCTTTCGATGCATCTTCGGGAGAACCACCCTACCAACCATCTCGCCGACCTCTATGAACTTGTCCAATACGCTGGCAACATTATTCCGCGTCTGTATCTGATGATAACCGTCGGCACTGCATACATGTCTATACCTGGGGCGCCAGTAAAAGAGTTGATGAAAGATATGATGGATATGAGCCGCGGTGTTCAACATCCCATTCGTGGTCTATTTCTGCGTTACTACTTATCTGGACAAGCTAGAGACTACCTACCCACCGGCGACGGCGACGGCCCCGAAGGCAATCTCCAGGATTCGATCAACTTTATCCTAACAAACTTTGTCGAAATGAACAAGCTCTGGGTACGGCTACAGCATCAAGGCCATTCGCGAGAGCGCGAGCAGAGGACCAAGGAACGCAAAGAGCTACAACTCCTCGTAGGTAGCAATATCGTACGGCTAAGCCAATTAGTGGATCTCGAGGCCTACCAAGACGGTATCCTAGGCCCCTTACTTGAGCAGGTGGTGCAATGTCGCGACGTCCTAGCCCAAGAGTATCTCTTGGAGATAATCACTCAAGTTTTCCCGGACGAGTTCCATCTACACACTCTCGACCAATTCCTTGCGGCAGTATCACGGCTGAACCCCCACGTCAATGTCAAGGCTATCGTCATTGGCTTGATGGACAGGCTATCTGCCTATGCCGAGCGGGAATCACAGGAAGAGGTTGCAGAAGACAGAGCAAAGCTGGAAGAAGATGCGTTAGCAAGCCTTTTAGAAAAGGTTCGGTTAAGCAAGGAACAGCAGGAGGCGAAACCAAGTGCAGATGACGTATCCGCGGATGCAAATGGGGATCATGCCAATGGCGAGGCTACCAATTTTGCTGAACCTCACGCACCGGCTGACTCCGAACCGGCACCATCAGTCGCGGATACAGAGGCGACAGCGGTTGAGAAGGAGACCGACGGGTCTTCTCAGGCCACTAAGAAGCAGCGTGGAATCCCTCCCAACGTTAAGCTGTACGAGGTTTTCTTCGAGCAGGTCAATAATCTTGTCAATGCGCAACACCTACCTATCCAGGATACGATTGCCTTGTTAGTCTCTCTTGCTAATCTCGCATTGAACATATATCCCGGCCGACTTGACTACGTCGATCAGATTCTTGACTATGCGAATCAGAAGGTCAAGGAGCATGCTAATAGTGCTGATCTTCACTCCGTCCCGGCGCAGCAGAGCCTACTTGGACTGCTACAAGCTCCACTCAAGAGATATGTATCTATCTTCACAGCACTTTCTCTTCCTACCTATGTGCCTCTCTTCCAGTCTCAAACTTATCCTACAAGGAGGGCTGTCGCCGGTGAAGTTGCGAGAACTCTATTGCGTAACCAAACCATGATATCTACTACTACCCAGCTCGAGAACGTCCTCGAGATCTTGAAGGTCTTAATTAAAGAAGGATCTCAACCTCCGGCAGGATATCCTGGGGGCCCCCAACGGAGAGCTCTCGAGACTGACGAAACGATGGAAGAGCAAGGTTGGTTGGCCCGAATCATCCACTTGCTCGACGGCGAAAATAACGATACCCAATTTCGCCTTCTTCAAATGGTCCGTAAGGCGTTTGCTGAAGGAAATGAGAGGATTCGTACGACCACCCCACCTCTCATCACCGCAGGCATGAAGCTGGCACGCCGCTTCAAGGCTAGAGAACACTACGACGATAACTGGGAAACGCAATTAAGTGCCCTCTACAAATTCTTGCACTCCGCAATCTCAAGTATTTATACAAGAGTCAACGGGTCAGGTGCTGCCGAACTCTCCCTACGATTGTTCTGCGCTTGTGGTCAAACCGCCGACATGACCAGCTTCGAAGAGGTTTCGTACGAATTCTTTGCACAGGCGTTTACGGTGTATGAGGAGGCGATCTCCGACTCGAAGGCGCAGTTTCAGGCAGTATGTGTCATCGCCAACGCTTTGCATCAGACGAGGAATTTCGGCAAAGAGAACTACGATACCCTTATCACGAAGTGCGCCCTGCATGGAAGTAAGCTTCTGCGAAAGCCAGATCAGTGCAGAGCTGTATATCTAGCAAGTCACCTTTGGTGGGCAACGCCGATTGCTGCCGTGGAAGAATCGGATGAAGGTGTAAGTTTTATTGGTAGCGCCAGTTTGCGGAGTGTAACTAATCCTCGGCAGCTCTATCGGGACGGAAAACGAGTCTTAGAATGCCTGCAGCGAGCTCTACGTGTTGCGGACTCCTGTATGGAGCAGGCAACGTCAATCGAATTATTTGTTGAAATCCTGGATCGCTATGTCTATTATTTTGACCAGCAGAATGAATCAGTGAGGAGCATACCCATCTTACTATCCTGTAAAGAGATGATTAAACTTACCATTGATAGGTCACTACTAAATACATCAATGGTCTTATTGAGCTCATCCACTCAAACTTAGCAACAAACCAGCAGGACTCTGCCAGCATAGAGAGCAGCAAACGGCATTTCAAGCACACACTAGACAATATCGCCTCTAGACAGTACGAAGGGGTTGTTCTCCAGCCGCCGCAAAAATAACCAAACTTCTTCGAAGCTGTGTGTCGTAATGCTTTCAAATCACACGATCGCGGCATGTACGAGTTGCCCTGATGATATTATACCAAGGATAAGGAGCCTGCGTGTTTACGAGAAAGGGGACAGTGACCGTGGCCACCGGTTTAGTTATAGATTACCGTGTACATATGTATATTCTTGACGATTTGAAGGGATGCGCTTGGCTTCTTGTAGGAGTCTCGGCGTCCTTGCGTCCTTTTTGAGAGTTCCTTTTTAGTTAGTGCCGATGGTCGCCCAACCCCTCTTGTACCAGTTCGTAGAGAAGCCGGATTCGCAGATACGAAGGTCTTCTTGACTATCATAGGCGATGCAGATGCAGAATGCATTTCTACATATTAATTCCATCCATCCGATATCCGTTGGTTTTGATAATGTCTAGGCAACTGGTTATGTATATCGCTTAGAAAGGTACGATTTAACACGTATCAAAGTATCTAGAACTGGAAGTCATAAGTACCTGCCTCTTATACGCATATGTATAAGTACATGTAGGCTAGAACCATTCCAAGATTTTGGGTTCCTAACCCCTGATTGTGGCAGTGCTAGGATGACTAACATATGGTAGCCCGCGTGCTCCGCAAGACTGGAACTAAGACCTGCAACGCCTCAAGATCCAAATGCAGACTTGAGCTGAGACATCTACCTCTATGAACTTTATTTTTTCGGCCTCATGTTTCTTTTTAAATGATACCCTAATATATCAATTATCCTCGTTTTCCCCCTTTCAATGACCACCTCGGTGGCATTGAATCTGTTCTTGCCTTGTTCCCTTGATTGAACTTTCTTGTCAAATCCACTCCTTTATCGTGACTCGACTCGTAATCACTCGTTCGAACTACTCCTACCAACTACCAACGATCCGATGCATTTTCCTTCATCCGACCGACCCCATCGAGAAAACTGATACAAATCTCATATGTTACAGCATATCCATGACGTCGTGTAACCACAATGCCTTCCGAAAAATCCCAGTATATACCGCCGCCTCCAATACCAACTTACGATGAGGCGACCGGCGGCCATCCATCAGGCCACCGGCCCCATTCGCCAATAGATACGCGACCCGACCACGAAACCGAAGCGCAGTCTCTTCTCTTCTCACGATCTCGGCAGGCTGATTCATCGAGACGCGCGCCCGACGGATATCGACCTCCCTACGTGGAGTCAGACGACGAAGGATCGCAGTGGACGCTCGAAGATGATGATAGTGATGATGGCGAAAATGCGCGCGTGCGGCGCGAAATGCAAGAGCTGGAAGTTGAAGATCCACTAGATGATGCAAGTTCTAGGTCATCCACATCATCATGGACAAAACGGATAGCCTCTTCTCTACCCCAGTGGAAATGGCAATGGCGATGGCGACTTCCTAGATTTACTGTCCGACTACCTCGTCAGAATGAAGCGACAAACAGTCAGGATGGTGAACCAACAGAGACGAGGAGGTTTAGGTGGCCGAAGATTAACAGCGCCGCCGCCATACTTCTGGTCGGCCGATTGCTAGCCATTTTCTTGATCCTGGGCTTCCTATATATTCTCTTCATGAGTGATCTTTTCACAAAAATGACACGGCGTATCGGAGGGCACATGTTTGACCCTGAAGCCGTGCGACAATATGTACAAGCCGAAATTAACTCGGACTCGATGAGGACCACTCTCAAGCACTTTACGAGCTACGCACACATTGCAGGAACCGAAGGCGACTATGCACTGGCAATGGACGTACGGAACGACTTCATGAATTATGGCTTGGAGGATGTGACCGTCGACGAATACCAAGTTTACCTGAACTTTCCGATTCCAGGAGGTAGAGCTGTACAGATCATGTCCGAGGATGGCAAGGAAGCTGCATGGACGGCTGCCCTGGAAGAGAAGGAAGTTGGCGAAGAGACGGCCGGCCACCAAACACTTGTATTTCACGGTCATTCGAAAGCTGGCGATGTGAGGGGTCCGCTAATCTATGCTAATTATGGATCGAGGGAGGACTTCAAGATGCTAGCGGATAAGGGAATCGATACAAAAGGCGCCATCGCGCTCGTCCGTTATTATGGCACCCAAGGCGACAGAGCTCTCAAAATCAAAGCGGCAGAACTGGCCGGGTTTGCTGGATGCATTATATACAGCGACCCGGCGGATGACGGCTTTGTAAAAGGGGAGCCGGCTCCTAATGGACGATATATGCCAGCTGATGGTGTCCAGAGAGGTGGCGTGAGTTTGATGAGCTGGGTAGTAGGTGACGTCCTCACTCCTGGTTGGGAAAGCAAGGAGGGCCAGCCTCGGATGGAAAAGAGCAAAGCTGTAGGTCTTGTCGGTATTCCAAGTTTACCGCTGGCGTGGCGCGATGCCCAGGTGCTCCTACAGCATATTCAGGGTTTTGGCGAGCCGTGCCCTAATGACTGGCAAGGAGGGGTACCTGATGTCGAGTGGTGGTCAGGGAATTCGTCGTCGCCTATCGTACGGTTGAAGAACGAACAAGACGAGAATGAACGGCAGAAGATCTGGAACATCTATGGTAGAATTACAGGCATCGAGCAAAATGAGAAGTCGATCATTATCGGCAACCACCGCGATGCTTGGGCCTTTGGCGCAACCGATCCTAATTCAGGAACAGCTATCATGCTCGAAGTCGCACGCATTTTTGGCGATCTCTTAGGCAGAGGCTGGCGACCACTTCGCACAATTGAATTTATGAGTTGGGATGCCGAGGAGTACAACTTAATTGGCAGCACGGAGTACGTCGAAAACAACCTAGAGGCTCTACAAAAAGACGCATTCGCCTATATCAACCTAGATACTGCAGTTTCTGGCCAGGAGTTCCATGCTGCTGCGTCTCCGGTGTTCCGGAAGGTCCTATACAAGGTGCTTGACAGAGTCATTGACCCCAATTTCAACACTACATTGCGTGCATTGTGGGATGGTCGCAATGCAGAACTTGAGGGCCTCGGTGCTGGTAGCGACTACGTCGCATTCCAGGACATCGCGGGCACCAGCTCTATCGATATTCGATTTGATGGAGCGGCACATCCTTACCATTCTTCATACGACAATTTTGACTGGATGGATCGTGTTAGTGACCCGGGCTTCATATATCATAACCTCCTCGGCCAAGTTCTTGGGCTTCTCATTCTCGAATTAGCCGACCGACCAGTTTTACCTTTCGATATGGGCAACTATGCGCTGTCTCTCGGCCGCTATCTAGGAAACCTATGGCAGTGGGGCGAAGACAAGGGTGTCAACGAGCATTATAATCTCGACCCAATCAAGGATGCGGTCAATGAGGTTGAGAAGGCAGTCTCGGAATTCGAGAGGTGGGAATCCAGCTGGCAATCGGCCGTTCTATCGTCAAACGGTTGGGAGCCGGTAGGTTTAGGCCAAAAGCGAGGCGATTACAATAGTCGCATGGCGAACTTTGAGACTGGTCTGCTTGATTTGGAGTTTGGTGGCGGGGTAAGTCTACTTTCACTTATACATCCAAACAACTTGATCTCATATTGACGTTCACTCATAGATTCCAAACCGAACGCAATTCAAGCATGTCGTCTTCGGTCCGCAGCTGTGGTCCGGGTACGATGAGGCATTCTTCCCGGCTATCCGGGACGCCGTGGACGCGGAAGATTGGTCGCTGACCCAAAAGCTCATCGACAAAACCGCAGACATCATAACGAAGGCGGCTAAAGCGCTGTTGGAATAATGGACTGCTGGACGCGGGTGTCCTACTTTCAAGGAAGCTCCTTGCGGGTTTATAATGGGATGCATTGTTCGGCGTCAACGGGGTTAGGGGTGGTTTTCGTCATTGTGTGTATTGTACATGTAGATGTAGGTGGTCGACTCCTATGCTTCTACCTAGATTATTTCAGGGTATCGTCACATAGCTTGATAGCCGGCTCGGAAGCCGGCTGAGAATAGTATATTTGAGAATACGGTCGTGAACCTGGGAACTATTAACGTGTACAGGCGTCACATACCGATATCACATGATACTGATCATACGAATTGTGAATATTTCTTATAAACCTGTCATGTTGTTCACATGTATCACCTATTTACTACCTTTTCAATTCAACATATTCTAATATATTCCCGGTCTATGCAAGTGTCTACAAGCTGACCTGTCATCGAAGCGAAGCCGCACTTTTAACAGGTATGTTATCCTCACAAGCTAGTAACAATCCGTTTTAAATACAAACATACAGACATCCAGCCACCCAGCCAAGTTTTCTAACCGTAAACACGACAGCCCGATCACCAGACACGCATATCTCCTAAAATACCAGCAAGATCCCGGAACTCGTTACCGATGCCCAGCGCGACATGCTCCCTGACTCCCGCGCAACAACCTTAAATCAATACAAAAGAAAAGTTCGACCAATGGTAAGCAAGTCTGTCTAGATAGGCGGAGGAGAGGTAGTGTCTTATATGTACACATATATATCACCGCTACCCTAAGTAGTAGACCTGGTTCCCGCTGTACTGGTTGATCTCCTCGGGGCTGAGCGGGTCGTCGGAGTCGTAGCGGCGGAACTTGCAGGCGTCGGTGGCGCACTTGTACCACAGCGTGTTGGGGTACTTGGCCATCTCGCCCGTCACGTCCTCGCGCGCCGGGTGCCCGCACCAGCACCGCGGCCACAGCCGGTCCTTGGGCGTCAGGCCCGTCCGCCCCGCCGCCCAGGTCAGGCGCGAGTCGGCCCAGCAGATGAAGGAGCCGTAGCCGGGGCACTGGGGTGTGGTGTTAGTGGGAGTGCGGACGCAGGATCGGGGGGAGGGGAGATGGGTTCCATTATAGGGATCTCCTAAAACGGATCAAGGGGGTAGAAGGTTAGGTAGGTACTTACGTCGCGGCATTTATAGTATAACCTATCTAGGTTGCGGCCCGACGTCGACACCTCGCGCTCGATCACCCGATGCACCGGGTTCTTCTTCGGACAGCAGAGGGCCGGGCGATCCGGGTACTCCGGGTGGTGGAAGGGAACGGGCAGAGGGCTAGGAGATGGCGTCGACGAGCGGTAGAAGGGGATCGGGGATAAGTCGAATTCCGGCGTGCATCCTCGCTGCTTCTTGGGCGAGATCACGAATTTGTCGTCGTCGTCGGAATCGTCGGCCTTGATGAAGCGTGGGTATTCGTCTATTGGGGATGATGGCGCGTCGTAGTCCCCGGACTCCTCTTTGACGATTACGGTGATTTCCGGGGAATCGTAACGGCGCTTGCGTTGGGTTGGGCTGTTGTTGTTACTGCTGTTGCCGTTGGTCGCCGTTGGAGCGGGCCTCCTTCCGCGCTCTGCGGTGGCGGATAATTCGGAGACGGATGTACTGTTGCCGGCCTCTGCAACTGTCGTTCTTGATCTAGACGGCGAGACAACTTCGACCTCGACCCTGCTCCTTGATACTATTGCTGGCGAAGGTGAACGACGACGGATTTCTTTCCCTTTAAATATCGCCGGTGGTCCGTCAAGTTCTTGGATTTCCCTTTCTCCCGAAAGTTCCCCAAGTGGAGCCGGTGTCGTCTCTCTTGATAAGGTCCTAGAGCTCTCGCGCTCGCACCGATCAGTACCAAGCGTAGTAGACGACGACTTTGGACCCGACACAGGTTGAACCGACGTCTCCCTAGACGGCACTGTCAAATCGATAACCTCGCGCTCCTTAGCGGCCATCGTCTCAACACGGATAATTATTGTGGCCCTAAAAAGCTTGCGAATAAGGGTCTTGATCGACATCGCGGGCATCGCGAGAAAGAAAGACTTACATGGCAAAATAAAGGGAAGATCAGACTTGATTGGAAGAGCTGCGGAGATCTGTAGTTATAAACTTCCTCTCGATTCCGTGGGATAAGGGGGGAAGAAGCCAGGATCCGAGTGTCGCGAACCACGCCCTTGCCTAGATACATAAGTAATCTCCGCGTCTGCAACGCGCAAAATTCCCTATGTTCTTGTTCGCGCGGTTCGCAACGTCTCCCGTTTTGCCTTGGGGGTCTGCCCATCTGTGCGCCTTACTACGGGCTTGCAGGGCAGGACAAGATAGCCAACGTTCAGCCGCTGCCCGGGGTGCGGCCTTAGCTCAATGCGAGTGCGCTTAGGGGGACGCGACCATTGGCCACGTCGCGCGTCTTGGGGGTCGAAGGCTTGGTTCGGACGCCACAGCTGAAAGTTAGGCTGCGTCAGTCAGTGCAGGCTTGCCGGGGTAGTCGACGGTTAGTCTGCCGCTCCCGCGCATGTCACACAAATATCCTGGCGAACCTGCCCTTCAAGACGGATACCCCAGGGGGAGCGGAACAAAGCCGTGTGCCCAACGTCACTACATAGATAGTAAGGTTGCAAGGCCATCACCATCGGGCTTAGTCAAGACGCAGAAGCTATAAATGGCGTTTGCGACGAGGCGAATCATCCTCGAGCGGAATTGAAAAGAGGTCACGAGATGCTATCTGGACTGTTTTCGTGCATGCTCTCTTGAGCGAGACGCCGACGCGTTTCCTTTTCGGTGGCTGGGCAGGAATGGTAGGCCGGGCTGTTTAATATACTGGAGCGAATAACAGCCTCCACCAAATTCAAGAAGCGCATTTATCGACGGACTTTACCGCAGGCAGTCCCTTTTTATTAGAGGATCAAATAGGCGTCTTGGAGAAATTGTTAGCTTGTTTGCAACTATCCGCATTCTGTTTAGTTTTCTAAACTGTGGTGTGAAGTCTCTTGGTGTATATTTAAAGTCATTCTTTAATACCTGATAAAACATTGGAGATTAGTATAGCTCCATAACTCATTGAGATCTATGCTGATCTAAGTGTAGGTACCTATATTTTTCTCCATATGAAAACAAGATCATATTTTTTGCCATAACCTCGCAGCATAGGGCTGATCGGAGATTCCATTTTCTTCAAGGCTTTAGCCATTCCATGCAAGATGCGCATCCGGGTCGAGCCGGCATAGGTACAGGTTGGTCCTTAGGTGATGCTAAATAAAGTCTATGGCGCAGGTACCGCCTTTGACAAGTACCAATCAGATATATAGCAACAAGCCACAGATTCTACAAAGCTTCGCGCAACTTTCTAGTCTTCCCCGGTTATGTGAGACATTAAAGTCACATGCCCTAATCTTTCTGGAAGGAATCAGAAGGCGTCATGGATACGAGGTCGGTTCTTAAAAAAAAAAAACACATGTGTACCGATAAATCCAGCATTATTTTTTCTGAATACCTAAGATATAATCTAAGGCGTCATGAGAGATAATCTATGATGGTGCTATCTTCCAGTCAATTCTCACTTGCATTCCGATATTTTCCTACGAGCCATCATGCTTTAAGGGGCAAGTTGCGGGTCCTCTATTGTAACTTACACACAGCTACAAATACTGACTCATCCTTTCCACAGGATAAGAAGTCGAGTTAAGGTACTCAGATTAAGTATCCGCTAAGTTACCGCCATAGATTAGATAGCAGTAGCTAATCTTGTTCTCGATAAGTCATGTATCAGAGGTGCATGAAAGTCTATGGGACCTTTCTACGGAATTTCCCTTCTCGTTCCCCACTGATACAGGAACAAATCAGCTAACGTATGATGACTACATACATCCTTCCGTCCGCCCTCGACGGCGACAGCGAACTATATGATAGCTTTACTACCAAGGTAAATAGCATCACCTTATATTGCTGCATGTTTTATATGCAGGTACAGTGGGGCCAGTATCATCCCGTCATTACTGATTATTGATTACGTTATTGATATCATTACTGATCTCGTTGTGTAAGACTCTAAGTTGCGGGTGAATAAATCTCCAGTTCAACGTTGAGAATGTGTTCGAGTTGGTCCGGGGATAATAACAGCTTGTTGCATGGAGAGAATAAGGCGACCAGTGCGCTATGCTGTAAAAATTTTGGCGTTTAAATAGGGATTTGCATTGAGGAAATAGGGGGTGGCTGACATATGAGGGGCTTACATAATCTTTGACGTGGCCACAGTGAAACAACCAACGACGTCCTGCAACAGTATCGCCAACCAATACATCTATCATGTGTTAATGTCGTACGTTTGCCAAATTCGGTAGCAGTTGATAGCTGTGGGCCAATGACGGGCGTCGACATTGGTGGAGGACCTTGTTGACCCAATTGAGAACCCGGTTGGTCGAATACATAATAATCAAGTTTCCAACACCAGTGTAAAAGTCGGGATTATGATCTTTGGGCTTCTATCTTCAGCTCTTCCTCCCAAAGATCCTCTGGTTTACTCATATAAACATACGATAGAGCATGTGTTCTTGAACATCAGTCCGGGACATTAAGAAACCTCTTGAAGAGAACATTCGTGATCAACGAAAACCAGATGCATACCTCACCGCTCATGCGCGCCCCGGCGGAGGTGCGGATGATGATCTACGATTATCTTTTCGACGACGGTGGAAATAAGCAATTGCGCATACAGAATGCAGGACCCGGCAAACTGCAAAAGACAGACGGCCGAACCAGGAGTACATATTACGTACTGGAGCGATCATTCCACCGTCGCTGTTACGTGACAACGTACCTGCTCGACACGAAGGGTGTCAGCTTCTGCGCCTCATTTATGCGAGTCAACAGGAAGATATACGAAGAAACGGCGTACCTGATCTACGGCGGGCATACGTTCGACTTCGGAAGCGACATCGAAGCCGTGGAGCCCTTCCTCTCGGATCTCACACCGCCAAGCCGCCAACTAATCCGGGAGATCTCTTTGTACAAGCGGGGACCGGTACCGCCCTATGACTATGACCGCAGCGAGTGGAGGAATGTGTGCCGGTTCCTCCAGAACCAGGCGTCCATCAGGAAGCTCCGGCTGATGGTGCAAGGCGGTCGTCCCAACACGACTTGGGAGGGGCCGAAGGAATTCTCCGTCGAGGACCTGAAGCTCTTGTTTGACATCAAGCACGAGAGCCTGGACTGGGTTGGAGAGTTAATCCGCGTCAAGGGGATTGAGGAGTTGGAGGTATTACCAGATGTCCAGTATTGCCCGCCGCCTTCGTCAACGAACATGATCATTTTTGCGGCCCTCTCGGCTTCGATCGAGAGAGGCTTGACTGAATTCCTAAGAACGCAGTTACGTCTACCTCAATGAGGATTAAGGAATAGAGAACCTTTCCTTGGCTTGGGTTGGTGACTTAAGAGAGCTATGCAACTACAATGTTGCGTTTGATGGAGGAATATCGTCTTGTATGTTTGAATAATTTCGTGGATTCTAGGTACAAGCCCCTTATTCTCATAGATATGGAGTTGGCTCCTCTATCAATATAGTAACTTTAGAATTACCGTACATGCCCCATAAATTAAACCAAGCACGCCTAGATATAGTCATCCACAATATGATCTCCCGGCTTAGGTTTGACTTCTCCGTCTACGGGACGAGGAATCGAATTACGCTTCACGAACTGCCGGATCTCCTCATAATCTCTGCATGTGTGCATCCGATCCATGTCAGCCGTTAAGCGTCCCTTCTTGCCTGCCCACACGAACGGGACAATCCCAACATCCGCGGTGCACATGAGCCGATACCGCAGGTATTCGACACAATGATCTGCCGAGGAGTTCAATACCAACGCTTGTACTAATGAGTCTTGTGGGAAGTTATCTGTAACATACCAACGTGGAGGCTCTGGTAATACGCCGTGGTTCCTGAGAGAGCCTCATGCTCTGCCTCACTGGTGTAATTGAAGTTGAAATAGGAATACCGTCTGAGCAAGTTCTGAGGGTCGTTAATATAATGCAAACACTACTCAAGGTAGTGGCTAGGACAGTTTACGAACCAGACAGTGCAACTGATGAGTCGCCTCAATAAGAACCGGGTGACCAACAAGTCCCTTCTCAGGATTGTCAAAATAGGCATGAATTTCCGGATCGATTCCGGACTCTTTTGCTTCTTCCTTAGGTACTAGGAGAATACCGGCATCTATGTAAATATTTATTAGTGGCTGTTTATAAACATCAACTCCTAACTAAGCTTAGGTCTGTTTACGTACGAATCTGCGTGAGCTCTAACCAAGCCTTCTCTGTAGAGGGTGATTCATGTTCTCGATATGTGCTGTTCTCTCTGTTATAGAATGGCGTATTTACCCTCGTGGGCTTTACTCCCGATGGCAGACTACGCAGAAGTGGTGCCACGCCAGTTGGGGGCTCCGATACGCTCTGGCATCGTTGAGGGTTGCGGGCGACTTGAAGGGTCACTATTATGCTTATCGCATTGGTAGCTAATATGGAGAGAATCAATACTGATATCCATCGTGTTGTACTCCAAAATTGCGTATGTGCTGTTTCCGAGGACTCGGAGTCGTAGGAGTCGTCATCGGAGGGGAGGAGCCTGGTTGATGACGACTCATCCTTGATGTCTGGGTATTCAGATGACGCCGCCATGAATGGTTTCCCTCTCCCTACTCACCCCCAATTTAAGGTAAAGATGTCGGTGACAGGAATTAGGATAAGTCTGAGAAATGAAGTGTAGATGTGTGCTATGACGCCTCCTTTCATACATGCATGGTATTACACGGAAATACCCATTGAACTCACATGATATTCAGAGACGTTTCTCTAGCTGAATGATTTCTGGGACATGCGAAGTTATGCTCCGAAGCTTACCTATTATTCATCTCCCTGTGACGCCGCACACGAGCAGGGCCACTCACTTCTAGATAGGGAAGGTCATTATGCAGGTGAGCAGGCTCAGTAAGACCTTTACTCACGACACGCAGTAAAAGCAAATTCGATACATCGCATTATCTACTATTGCTTACCATGGTAATAATTCTTTTCGATCCACAGTATCGCACCAAGCTGTATAGATTCGTATAATCCACATAACCCCAAGCTGAAAGCCAAGACAAACCCCTGAAAATCCACTACCAAATTGTTTTCTTACAATGATAGAACCCTAGTTCAACCTCTGTCTTATCTTGTAAGCCCTCGCAACGTTCCGATAACTGGTCAGCGCAATGTTTTGCGTGATGGGCGCTAAATGTTTTGGTGTCTAGGAATTCTTTCTGGTTTTCCATTCCATAGCGGAGCTTTCTCCATTGGAATAAGCAATGTTCCCCATGCATCCTAAGTATCCGATAGTCAGATTACAAGGGGGTTGGATGAGTTGTCAGGGCCTTACTAACCGCTTGGTGTAGATTTTGATGTGCTTCCCCTCCCAGAGATCTTTGACTGGTATCTCCTGAGTCAGGTTTACGTCGGAGTACCACGTCCTATCTTCGAAAACGGGATACTTCTCGGTAAGCTCTGGAAACATACAGCGAGAGGGAAACCATCCATAGAAGTTCGGTTCCATGAGACAACCGCGGGACATAGCATCAGCGCTGGAGCGGCCGCAATGGTTCCATTCCTCGTCCTCAATCTCTTGGGAGGTCTTTGTTTTCTGAATAGAGGATGAATGGACTAGTAGAAAGATTAAAAAGGCAATCAAAACCGTAATGATGCCAGCTGCAAATGGCCATATCTTCGAACGTAACTCTTGTATCTTAGACCGTGGTAAATTATTGAGGTCTTGTAGCTGGTCGTATCTGACATTTTGGAAACGTTCTGCATCATTCTGTCTGGACGACATTGCTAAAGCAATTTAGAGTGATTTCTTTGGAAGCTTGGTCTTCGCCAAAAGACTACGAAAACAGAACGAGTAGAAACTTCATAAGAGTATATTTGATAAAGTTACAATTGATGATATATCGCTTTCTCGGCAGCCAGATCCCACTTAGATGTTGCAAGGGGCCTAAATACTGTGCCACACGTAAGATTCTAGATCCCGGGGTTTAGAACGGATAGAAGGATTACTAGAACCCAGATAGGAAGTTAATACGAATTATGATAACTGCTATGAATCCTTCAATAACTGATAGGCTGTGGATGAAAGTTACGGCAACTTGCGTCTACACTTCCGCATCTACGGTTTCAGACAAGCTAGGTAGGTAGAGGGTTATCACAACACACATCAGGCAAGGAAGCGTAAACTTATCACAGTCTTGACTGAGTTGCGTCCTATGTAATCGCTCTTGGCATTTGACTTTCCACGGCTATAAGTAGCCCTGAACCATTTTTAAAACCCCGAGTCAACCTTCCAATTAATCTGCAAACACAAGCTTCCAATCACATACGTCAACCTCAGAATCCAAACTACAGAGTCGTCACTACAATGAAGTACTCACTCTTCCTCACTCTTGCTCTTGCGGCTATCGGTTTTGCTGCTCCTAACGCAGCACCAGCCCCAGCTCCGACGGCCGCTCCAGAGCCTGTACAAAAGCAAAAGCGTGCCGAATGTGAGAGTCGTATGCTTCATATTTCTGGTGGTTAGGCACTAACAGCTTTCTAGTCATCTACACAATTGTGGCTGCCGAAGATGAGGGAGAGACAGTTGAGAAAAACTAGATCCTCAATGGATATTTGGAAATATATCAAAATGAGCGACACCCTCTTGAAAGAGGTGTTTGGTTGTACTTAATCAAACGGCATATGATAGTAGCGTCGACTGAGCTAGTGGAATTGCTTGTCTGTAAGGCATAGTTCCAAAGAATACAAATAGTTCTTTAGACACTTAGATGCTATGACTTATCAGGCTTGATAACAATAGATCACAGTAGATCGATTGGAGCCAACCTCAAAGTCCTATACTAAAGGTGACAATGTCTAGTTTCTTCAAAGAACGAAAAGAAGGGGAAAAGCAAACATCAAAACACTCTGGCGGGCATATACAAGACGTTGATAGGTACCACTTAGTCGCTTTGACCCTTTACCCCTTTTCCCTTACCCCAATGAGCAATCCCGAGATACATTCAACTAAAAACGTCAACAGAAAGACACATCATAGGTCTAGTATATATAAGGCACAGAAGTCATAAATGTTTTTAATTGTGGCATAAGATAATCATTGGGTACGTCGAAACCATAGGTATTTGGTCTCACCGCCAGTGGACCTTAGGTATCTACTTCCATCTCAGATAGAAGAAAATATGAATGTAAAGTATTTCGCAAAACCAGAAAGAAAACCCAGTATGAACTTATCCTTTCTGTATCTCCTAGTCCCTCCTTACCTTGACCTGTCACTCGTGTACTTTTCTTTTTCTTATTATGAAAGCATATATTTTGGTTCCTAGTATTGGTCATCTTCAAATTCAATAGCTCAATTTCTTTCATTGCACTTCTCGGCTAAAACACCTAGCACTTCGACATATCTCAGTAATTGTATGGTGAGTAAATTGAGAAGGCTTCTGACCACAGTGGGGCTCCTTGTCATATATAGATGTCTCAGTAGTGTGACAGCAGTGGCAAAAGCCTTTGCACATTCATAGACATCCTTACCATAACTCATGGATTGCTATTGGTCAGGTAGTCACTGGATTGCACAGAGTAGGCTGGTTGCCGACTCTTATGTCTTATATCTTCTAATAACGCCTGGTATCATCATGTTCTGGAACGCATGAGCACCCAAGTGCTTACAGCTAATTAAAAAATGCTGGCTGTAGTGTTATCGAGGAATACTCGGACTACAAATAGCATGCCTGTGAAAATATTAGATATTTGGAGACAGGATATCGGAGTTACAGAAATAATTACAACCTTAATATGAATGGGTGGTGAAATGCCAATCAGGAACAGCCTTCTAATTACATAAATCGTAATGGCACCACTTTGGTGTTCCGTGTAATGGTGATGACATGTGACAAACTAAGTATCCTTAGCATGCCCTAGGTATCTTCATAACTTAGTAATTATGGCCGGTGAGAAACGTTGACTTGGTAATGCGGGGATAGTTCATTATATGCGGTAGCCCTGGAGTTTTTGGGCACGTCATTCTGTGGGTTACCCCATGTCCTTAGTGTATATAAAAAGTTGCATGTCACATTGGAGGAGACGGATAGAAAGGGGCGGGATTTTCATCAGCAAGTCATCTGATGCATCGTAACTACCCACCCCCAAAGAAGCCATATTAGACCTTTCAGCCTTTATACCCCTTTCCGGTGTAGATCGACTCCTTACTGTGATCTGATAGGTAGTCGCTTATTCAACAAATAGCCGATACCATTCCACTGGGAAGTGCAAAATTCATATAGCACCAACGTCTTACATCTCCTTATGAAAGACTAATCTGCGTCAGGAATTATGCACCAACGTGCATACAGCAAAACCAATGAAGAAGACCGAAAATATTTCTTCAGATACATTCAGCCTAGCCTCATGCACTCTCCCGTTGGTGTCTGGACCGCGATGATGAAATTCCGGCTGAAGATAGTTAACCCGATCATCACAGCCGAACTTATAGTGCATGTCAGCAAGGCTTCGCTCCGCGAGGGGCGACTTATGCCGTGAAACGCATGTGGTTACTGCAGATCGTCGGGGGCTGTCGTAGAAATGCTCGATATGGATGCTGACGTGCATGGACATCATGTTGTGTGATGCGAAGGTGAATAGAACGTGGAGGGAAAATGGTCACTAACATAGCCTTATGTGAGGTCGTATAAGTCTTACGAAGAGAAGGCTGCCTATGCCATTCAAATTCTCAGGGAATCGCTCCTCCCCACCTCTCCCTTCTTTGCTTGTTCGACTACACCTCCAGTCTCTTGTCTGGTTCCTGGTTCTGCTCTGCCAAGCAGCACAATGAACGACACTGCTCTTTACGTCTCAAATGGTACCTGCTTCTTCGGTCCAGGCCAAGTTGCTGACCCGAACTATATCCCCTGTGGCAATGCTGCACTTGCGGGGCCCCAGTCTTGCTGTTACGCCGGCGACTACTGCCTGTCGAGCACTGCCTGTTGGAACAAACAATGTGCGTCTCTGTTATGACATGACATCACCCAGTCTTGTAATGTTAAGTGATCATAACTAATGCCAGTAACAGTCGTGGTGACGTATGTTGCCGGTTGTACGGACACAACCTTCAGCGCTGCTGAATGCACTAACAAGTTCGATTATCCTGACCAACAATATGTCGCCATGGCGCGATGTGATGGCGCCGATGTGGACATATGGTCAGGGTGTTACAACCACACAGACTGGATCACGATACACAAGGAGCCGGATTGCAAGTGCAATGCTTCAAGACCATTAATCCGGAATTCGAATGGTAAATCTACGCTTGATGAAATTGGACTCCTGCCAACTACTCCGGGAGGAACTATCTCATTCAACCCTACTGCAATCCCTACATTGGAAGCTACTTCTAGCAATCCATATTCATCCCCTGCGACGCCTCCAACATCCACGACATCACCCACTGCCGTCGCGAGCACTTCGCAAGGGCTCTCATCGGGTGTGAGAGTAGGCATCGGCGTGGGGATAGGCATTGGCGTACCCTTAGTAGCCGCCCTTGCCTTCCTCGCCTTCATCCTCCAACGCAAGAAGGGGGCAGCAGACACAGCAGCGCCGGCTTCTGGACCGGCACCTCCAGATACCACACCACCTCCAAACGACCAAGATGACACCGCTGCCGCGGTCAGAGAAAAGACGTCTAGCCCTGAGAAGGACATGGCTACTACCCCTGAACCACCGAGCCCGGGCTGGTACGGGTATAAGCCTGAGCTAGCGGCCAATTCAACCTTCAAGTCGGAGTTATCCGGTGATGAACCTCGGAGTGTAATAAGCTCCAGTTGGAACTCGGGAACCCTTGACGACCATCAGGTCTCTGAATTGTCGAGCCATGACGCGGTGACTAGCGCAGTTGGGCGGAACTCTTTGGGCTACACACATGACTAATTCTATTTATGATAATAGGGGTAAAACAGTTATCAGGGGTCTAGGTTTTCCTGTAACACGAGCTTATGGAAGACGTTGAGTCGTAAATGAGTTGAACACATCCAAATGGTTTTTTTTTTTTTGTCAAGGAGTCAGTAGCGTTGCGTTGATCATAGCATTTAAATTTATTATAACAATTGCTGAGAGTAGTTCGCTGGCAAAGTCCACGCTACCTAGAACCTAGGTCTGGGTAGGAGGTACTACCTACATAAAATCTTCGCACTACCTATTATGTGATCAATACCTCTATTCACCTACGAGTTCCAGCCCAGCGAAATAGCGTCCTCGGGCTGTGTCCACCGGAAATTATCGGGGACTTTCACCGCCTGCTCGAGCGACGCAGACCTCGTGTATGAAGCCGTTCTTGCGGGGACGCTGTTGATCGTCTTCGGCACGTTCATGACCAGCCTGGCCACGCAGTATTACCAACTCCTTCTCGCGCAGGGTATCTGTATTGGACTTGGAATGGGCATCCTATATATGCCCGGCCTCTCGGTGCCATCGTCGTACTTCATGGCGAAAAAGCCTCTAGCAATTGCTATCATCGCATCAGGGGCAGGTTCGGGCGGTTTTGTCTATCCAGCAATGACGCAGCAACTGCTTCCTCTCGTCGATGAGCAAGTCTCTGCCCTCCTCCTTTGAGCCTTTAATTTTGTTCTTCTCATGCAAACAAAAACTCATTGTGGGTTCAAACAGGATTCGGCTGGACGATCCGCAGCATGGCCTTCGTGTCCCTTTTCGTCTGCGTTCTCATCAATCTTCTCCTGCGAGTGCGCGTTCCAGCCCGCAGATCCGGTCTGATCGCCGACCTCCACGCCTTCACAGAACTGCCCTACATTTTCTTCGTCGTCGGCTTCTTTCTCATTTACTGGGCAGTGTACTTCGCCTTTTACTACGTTCGTGCCCCCACCCCCCCACTCATTGTCCTGTTCTGTCGCAATCTTAACCTGAAGCTGACAGATCGATCTCTACGGCTACACTTACGCCTCATTCACTTCCCTTGACTCGATCAATCTCCTTTTGATCACCAACGGCCTCGGCATGCCTGGTCGCGTCCTACCCGGCTTCGTCGCAGCGCGCCTCCTCGGGCCCCTGAACACGGCGATCCCCACGACCGTGTCGGTCGCGATCGTGCTGTACTGCTGGCCCGCCGTCGCGCTATACGCGTTCGCGGCGGTATACGGCCTCGTAGCCAGCGCGATCCAGTCGCTGTTCGCCGTCTCGCTCGCGGCGCTGACGGACGACCTGAGCCAGCTCGGCACGAGGATGGGGATGGTGTTCAGCGTGGTAGCGTTCGCGTGTCTGACAGGCAGCCCGATCGCGGGCGCGATCGTGCAGGCGAGCGGAGAGAGTTACTTAGGGGCTCAGATGTAGGCGGCTAGTAGCATGCTGCTAGGAGCAGGGTTTCTGGCGGCGGCACGGGTGAGCAGGACCGGATGGGTGCTTAGGAGGAAGGTTTAAAGAAAAATGTCTCGGCGGCTCTTCCGAAATGTTACCGTCGGTCGATTAACACTTTTAGGTAGGCAAACAGGGTATCATTGCTCGTTATTATAAGGTTTAGTGTAACTTGTTTAGCGTAAGATACAGGTAGTTACACTACCCCGCCCAGTGCGTTCCGTACCCGGCTCACTGTTACAAGGGACCAATTCCCACAGCTCCCATAAATTATTGAACCGACAGCGCTCAGCCTCTGATTACATAATACCGTAGGAAAAGATCTGACGATCGCATTGCGGTACCTGGTACGTATTGCTACCAGACAACTCTTACAACCAACAAACGTGGATGAGCCTGATGACAGCCCACGGTGCCGTCGAAGGTTGGGTGAATGTTCTCGATACTGCTTGTAAGATATTGGGACTAGATTCTTACTGCCGAGTTTGGTAGGGGTAGGTATCTAATTACCTATTCAAGCCATGAAAACATCCGATCAACCTGTCCTAATCATCGGCGCCGGCGTCGCCGGTCTCATGCTGGCGCAAGGCCTACGCCTCCGCTCAATCCCATTCCGCCTCTTTGAGCGCCACGCCGTGTCGCACAGCTCGCAAGGCCACCGTTTCCGTATCTCGAAAGATGGCCAGGCCGCGCTCAACAGCATCCTGTCGCCTCAGCTCCGGGGCCTGCTCAAACGCACCGCGGCCGACCCATTTCTCTTCAAGCCCCGATATGTTGACGCTAAGAGCCTCAACTTCGCAAGCTTGAGCCCGGCGGATTCGGATTCGATGGCCATCGACAGGACGTGGATCCGTATGTTAACTATGCTGGGCATCGAGCATGCTATCGAATACGGGAAGGAGTTTAGTTCTTACGACATCGTGAACGGGCATGTTCACGTTAGATTTACGGATGGCTCAGTCGCACGCGGACGGCTTCTTGTCGGCGCGGATGGTATTAGAAGCCGTGTGCGGAAACAGCTACAGCCAAATCGCAAACTGCTTGATTTGGAACGCTGGGTCATGTGGGGTCGGACCTTAATAACGCAAGATTTAAAGAAGAATCTGCCGCAAGATATGATGAGCTGGTGTATGTACCAAGATCAGGAGGCTAATGTCCAGCTTGTCGTTGAGCCAATGATTTTCCCAAAGATCTCGCAGCAAGAAGAATCGGAGGACATGTTACCTGAAATCCCGGATTACATATTCTGGGTTGTCTGTACGGCATCTTTGCAATACTCAGAGTATCTACCGCAATCAGTGGAGGAGAAAAAGTTGTTTTTGGAGGAAGTGACTAAGACCTGGCATCCTGCTTTAAAGCTTTTACTTGACTCAGCTGCGCACAATCTGACATCCTGCGCACCTGTTTTATCAAGCAAACCAGACATCGAACTTAGCTCAGCTGGTCAGGCTAATAAGCTAGTTACTCTTGTCGGTGATGCAGCGCATGCGATGAGTCCCATGGGCGGTTCTGGTGGCGATACAGCTATTTGGAATGCCGCAGATCTAGCGCAGACGATTGCTAAAGAAGGCATTACGAAGAGGAGTATCACAGACTTTGAGGTGAGGATGGAGAAAAAGGCAAAAGAAAAGATCGAGCACTCTTTTAGAGGTGGCCAGAAATTCTGGCGTGGAAAGGAGTGGACCGAGTACAACGAAATCAATGTCTGAAGGCTTATTGGGCTAAATGAATATTTCGTGACTGCTGGATGGCCAAACTTGCGATGGGTGATCAAGCCTACCTAAGGACCTGCCTCAGTGGCCAACTATGAAACACCACAGGCAGATTGACGGGACAGATACTGTTAATAAGCGAGTATCATCAGACTTACACATGAAATCTTGGCATGAATGTGTATACAAGAGAGATGGAAGGCCTGCAGTGTTGGCTTTGTCAATACGCACAAAGGGTGCTCCGATCTCTAGTGATTTTCTCAACAGGTAGCAGGACATATAAACTACCTAGTATCACAAGGTCCCAAATTAACAAGGATGACCAGTTTGACTGTACCCAATGGCCGGAGTGGCATGGCAATGCTTACAACCGATTCTAATGCTATACCTAGCTATAGCTTTCCTAGTAAGCTGTCGCTCGAGGGTTCGATTCCCTCGACGGTCCTTTCAATTTTTTTAGTCCTTCCAGCTAGTTAGACGCATCAAAACAAACAACATAACCTCATATACCGTCTCTTAGCTATTTCACCCGGAAATATGGTCTAAGAATGAGGATATAACGACATCTTCTATCTGTTACTATTACATAGTAAGTACATAGGTTGGTTTAAGCTCTAATAAGGTTATTCCAAACCACCACCAACCACTCTCAGGGTATATCCTTCTCGCTCACTATCACTCCACCAAAAGATCCTCTTCCGATGATACCTCCAGCCACCCTATCCTATCCTACACCGCATCATCGCCCGTCCTATCCGATCCCATATCATACATCTCGATGACCTCCGCACTGTAAGCAGAGTTCTGCCCCAGTGACTTCCTGCCTCCGGTACCGGGCCGCAGTCCCACGCGGCTCTCCGCCTTCTTCTCGCCTGACGCCTCCTCGCCGGAGCGCCGTGCGCTCCCCTGGTCGTAGGGGTGGTGGTGATGGTGCGTGGTATGCCGTCCCGACGAGGCCAGCGACAGCGCCGCCGCCGCGTGCCGGAGCGAGTCGAGCGATATTTACAGCGCGCGCGGTAAGGATAAGATCATCGATGAGCAGGAAGGATTTTGTGCTATCACTCCAGGATTCCAATCGGGATAAGTTCACACTGTATACCTAACCTAGATACTTGAGACATCCTAGAAACGAAGTTATTTAGATTATGAATTCGGACTTTTCTTAAGCCATGACTTCATGATAATTGTGGTGAAATAAAGATTGACAATTGGAGCGAACACAAGGGTAACTTTGGTGCGAAAATCTTAAAAGAGGAATGCTTCTTGGCGCTGCAATTGAATTCTTTATTCGTATTTAAACCCCTTCCGTAGATTCCACAATAGCGAGGTTCTCAAGTTCCTCCTATGAGTTATGAACACTATTGTTCCTCATTCTGAGCGTAGACAAAGTTCGCTGCTGTTCACTTATTAGCCTTACGAGACTAACCCCATGCGCAGCTAAATAAATCATGGCGAACCACAATACTCACCCACAGGTTCCAGCCCATTTTCCTCCGCCCAGTCCCTTACCCCATGTCTCGCCTTTCCTGTGCCCCAATGCTTCCTGTCGCTCGGCTTACTTAGGTCTAACGAACCCGTAGTGCCATTCACAGGTGCAAGAAGTAAGAAGACATATCTATGCTTTCCCGTCTTAGGAGGCGGTCCTGGCGGTTTATACGGCACGATATCCTTCAAACTAGATGATCGCACGGCAGCAGAGGTTTCTGACGATGAGATCTCCACATCAGTAGCGATGAAGTGGCAGAACTCGGACCACTCTGGGTTTTCCCGGGACGGGGCGTCCGGGTCGGTAATAATGATGGTATATGTCACGTTGGAGTTCCCCCTAACCCCTGACGAAGAAGCAGAGCCGCCTCTACGTACAGTGATGGTTGGTTCGTTCTGAACTTTGTCTACCTTTACGGTATTTCCAAGTTCCGTCCGTTCTCCAGACGACCATTCAGCATTTAGGAGAAACGACGGGAGGAATTTATCGATGACTATGGTGGTTAGCTATGAACATCTCAGCGTTTAAGGGGGGACTTAGGATATTAGTTAGCAGTTAGTAATCATTACTAAGCGATCTTACCTGTTGGGAAGATCTCGGCCTTTTCCAACCTAGAATGAAGTTTTTAGATACCCCTTCTCCATGGTAATCATGAGTGGTACTTTTGCTATCACATACTCACGTTGGACCTCGTTCACATCTGAGTCCAGCAGGTGTGGTTTGAAAGGCGAGATGACAATCTGCTCGTGCTCAGTGGCTCCAGCTAGCGTAGCCAACAGGAAAGAGTAAATCCAAATAGATAAAATCGTCATCGTACTCAATTGAAGATTGAAATCTACAACTTCGTTTATTGTAGGAAGAAAAAGTATCGTGGACAATTATTCATGTCGAGGTCTGTGACATTCGAACCCCGCATTGCATTATCGTGATGTCATTTAACATGGCATAAAGGGGTACTAGATCCTTGTAAACGCTACAATTCCTGCAACAAATTGGCCTTGAAATAGACTCTTCACTGCGCGAAATTCTTCAATTCATATAAAGGGGGGAAAAATCAAGGCGAGGATCGCTGCATAGTAAGAAAGAGACCCTACAGATCGCCTTCAGTTAATGCATAATGCTCCAATGGGAGCAAATAGAGAAGTCTGGCTCAGACATGCCTTTTGGGCGTCATTGTTGGTAGCTGTTCGATAAAAACTTGCCAAGAGGGTTACTGTAATACAGAAACACACACTGGGGTTTAAAACGAATGCATTGCAATCCAACTCGGAAGTATCTGATGAATCATCACCGCCAGACCATCGAACTTTCGATTATCCGATTCTCATATCAAAAATCAACGGTACTAAGTTGAGGTGATGGGTGCCGTGCCTCGGCGTCTACCCGTGGTGCTCTCAATCTTCGCTGTCCTTGACCCGAATTGTATCTATCAAATTGTTAGCCGCATACCTGTCTCATACCCACAACCTTGACTCACTGCTCTTTTCTTTTCCCTTGCAATAATGGGAAGGCCGAGCTTATCAGCTAGAAGCCTAAGTATCCTCTTTGCTGGGTCGATGATAGCTGGATGGAACTGGTTTTGAAAATCACACTTCTCCCATACTGGAGAGCTGATCGCAAACCTGACAAGTTCCTCATCTAAATAAGGAAAGCGCACCTCCTTCCCCCAGTGTGACATGATCCGATCGTCACGGCCCAAGTTCCTTTGCCCGATACGACTAATATCTAATTTCAACTCGTCAATAAGACGGGGATATCCTCCGTTTTTAAAGGCAGCCTCATGTCGTGCGTAACCACCGAAAAGTTCATCGGCACCTAGGCCAGACAAGAGAACCCTAGCTGGTGAAGTTACGATTGGCGGTGTTGGCTCCCATTCACACTTGTGTATATAGGAGTGGCCTATACCCCGTGCAGCAAAGTAAAGTGCTAAGGCGATTGAGAGGTCCATCTCCGTGTGGTGGGGATGGAGTAGTGAAACGATCTTTGACTTGTGGCTCATGGCCTCTTCAAAGGGTACATTAACCTATTGAGTCAGGTCAGTCTATCGTTAGCCATGTATGACAGGCTGAAAACGCACTGCGATGAAGCGCCAATGCCGATCCGGACACGCAGACTTCAGTTCAGCAAAAGCCTTGCGGCCAGTCACCCTATCTGGACAGGCCTCATAAATATCCGACGCATCTAGGTGTGGCAGAGTTTTGCCTATCGAAACCTGGCGCGGGTTTTCGAAAGCAACATTAATCAAATCAATTCCTTGGTTCGCTGGGACAAAGTCGTGAGCCAGCCTCGCGAGAACAGTGCAGTCTATGCCGCCAGAGAATAGGATGGCGACACGAATATCAACATCATTGGATGGATTGGGCGGCTCTGGGATGTCCAATACCCGCAGCTTGAGGGATCCGCATAGCCAGTACCTAAGATTTTCGACTGATAATGAGCTGAAATCTAACTTGTGTTCGGGTGGAGGCAAAGTCGTATTGAAAATGCCAATACTCGAAACCTGTAAATATAAGTTTATAGCAAGGGTCGTATGTAATAGGTATTTAATGCTCTTCGGCCGAAACTTACCATGTCGTCTCCTCCAGACGGTATCCAATCGTGTTTGATAGCATGGGTGTCGAGCTTCAGTCCATGAGGTGTAGCTCGGCGGGTGTCCAGGTTCAAGGAATAGACTCCATCTGCGTTGACTTCCATCCAACCAGCGGTGGGCACGTCCGCGACGCTCGAGAATGAGATCGAGTTGCCATCGTCTGCTTGATTAAATAATAGCGATCGTCGCCCAAGACGGTCTCGGCCAAAGTAGAGACGTTTGATCTGAGTATCATAAAAGAGAAATGCGAAGGGTCCATCAATATTGCGCAAGACGTCTAGAATGTGCGACTCTCGGGCTTCGTTCGAAAGTGCATCCGTTGCATCAAGTTTGGCTATGATCAGCTCCCCATCATTTTTACTCCTAATGAATTGACCACTGATCCTCCAGGCTTCCCCGTTCCAGCAAAGAACAGATCCAGTTGTAGGTGATACCAAAGGCTGTTTTGCAATATGGTCCCCTCGCAAAGCTAAGACGGTAGAAGTAAAACTGATGTGAACCGCCGAGTCCCCATTCTCGATAGGAAGTTCCCGATGAAGTTGGCCAAAATGGTCTGGTCCACGATTTGACAGCAGCGTTCTCAATTCATGAGAAATGCTTCGCGCAGCATCTGTAGAGATTATTGCATGAATACCACACATGGTTCTGAGCTCAAATCTCAGGGCAACATCCAAATCTGTTGATTGGAAGAGGAAAAAAATACAATGAAGTTTGAAGGGAAATACGGCTTTAACTCACGCGTCGCGTTTGCCTAAAGCATAGCCACATGAGCCACATATTGCATAAAAAGAAATATTACATAATGAAAATATGAATGGGCTAATGGTGTGGGAAAAAGAAAAATTGAAGCATGCTAGCACCTCTCCGTTTCGATCGGAGGACCTCCGGGTTATGAGCCCGGCGCGCTTCCGCTGCGCCAAGGTGCTGTTTCCTCATGCTGAAGTTGATAGATCACCGCTAAGAAAGCCCTATATTCCACTGGGGGATTTGCCGAGCTTTCACCGATTTTGCCAAGCGCTAATCGATAACGTATTATCATAAAGATTCACAATCACTCAACCTAACTACCTCTTTTCCCATCACCACTTATGCATGTTAAAATGTGTTCAGAAGCTATTATCACCAAATCCTAGAGTTAAGGATATTATTCTGTGAATATCAGGCAGGCAATTCTAATTCACCCATGTGATAATATATTTCAAGATATCCCAGTGAGAAATACCTTGATTAAATATCTTAAGACATCTACGCGTTTATCCAAGTTGCTATTACACCAACCATATCCCATCTTCAATGTTATGGAATTTTACAGGCCTAGCAAAGATCAATCATATTCATAGCACAAACTCAAACTCTCTTATATTCAATGCAAAAGATCTAATCCCCCAAATCGACAAACAAGCAACACCCATCAAACCCTCTCCCAACCCCTCAAGCCTTCTCCGTAGTAACACCCTTCAAGCTATCCCGATCCCTCTCATCCCAAATCGCCCTCTCAAGCGAAGGATACACCACATCCGCCGCATCATCCATCAACCCATCCACATCAGCCAGCTTCCACCCAGCCCTCGCAAACCTCGCCCTGACCCTTTCCGTCATCCCCACGACGCGGACCTGCACCCCGAAGCCGAGCTGCCGGCGTATATCGTCCTTGAGCTCCGCCAGCGCCGTGATGCCCGTCGCGTCGACGAACGGCACCATGCCAAAATCCCAGACCACGACCGCGAGCGGCATCTGCCTCATGACGATGTTCCGCTGCACCCTCAGGCGTTCGAGCCGCCGCTCCGCGGCTACGCTCCACAGGCGCTCGGCGTCCGCGCTGTAGTGCGGGTTCTGCACGGACGGGTACGCGAGCTGGATCGCTTCGAGGGTCGCGACCTTGTTCCGGTTCGCGTTCGGGAAGAAGAGCGAGTCGGCGAAGCGGACGATGACCGTGTCCTCGGGTATGCTTGGGCCGCCGACGTTCTCGGTTATCTGCTGCGTGAGGGTCGTGGTCGTGACGGTAGGGAAGAGTTGGAGGGGCGGGAAATCTGGTTGCTCGTTGTTGCTGTTTGAGTTTGAGTTTGAGCTAGGATTGATGGTAGTGTTGAGGTGGATCGACGGTGTGGCGAACGCGGACCGCAGGAGCGTCCAGGCTACGCTCCAACCTGCCGCAGCACCGATGCCGATTTCGGCCGACACGAAGATGGTGACCCAGAAGGATACCATGCAGGCAATGAAGTCGGCGAGGGATATGCGCCAGTATCGCCAGATTAGGGAGAGTGGGCCGAAGAGGTGGATGACAGCCATGATCTAGCACGAAAAGGAGTCGTTAACCATCCGCCTACATACCCATCAAAGCGTTAATAAAGCGAGAGTCAAGACTTACAATGATGGCAGCGAGGGTGGATTTAGGAAGCCAGTATAGGGCTGGTGAGAACACGTATAGCGTCAGGATGATGAAGCCCGCAGTCACGACACCGTTTAGAGGGCTCTTGACATGACACTCCGAGTTAACAGCTGTCCGAGATATAGCTCCGCCGACAGGCATCGCGCCGAAGAACGAGTTGACGATGTTGGTGACGCCGAGGTAGTTGAATTCTTGAGTCTGGTCGATGGTGTAGTGGTTCCTGCGAGCGAAGGCCTTGCCGACTGCTTGGTGCTCAAGCGTACACGCGACCAGTGGTGCAATAGATCGACCAACAACCTTGGAGAGCAATACAGCACCTGGGGCCTTGGGATGCTGTATTCCATGGGTATCAACTTCGCTAACACCCCAGAGATACTCGTCTCGGTCCTTGTTGACGAGGTAGGATATCAAAGTAAAAATCACCACCGCGATGATCGCCCTACTGCTCGCCATGTACTTAATGGCAAAATGCTTGTGGCCCCATTTCTTGCCTATCTTCTCGAGTATCAGAAGGATAACTACCGTCCCGAATCCGATTCCGCAGGTTGGGCCGTCCCATTGTGGGAGCCGCTTGAGGGCATCGCCGAGTTGATTGAAGGCACCGTCCGGGCCGCCGTTGAGTCCGACAAGCGAGGCCACCTGACCCATCCCGATGACAAAGGCTGTAGCCGATATGAATCCTGTAAGGACGGGGATTGAGACGTAATCGAGGAGAAACCCAAGTCCAAGTAAGCCTATGAGGAGGGACCAAATTCCCACCATCATGGCGACGGCTGATGAGATGTCTACAGGTGAGTACTCGTTTTTCAGGTCGCTAATTATTTCTGCTGTTAGCAAGCCGAGGATTGACGTTGGTCCCGTTGATAAGTCTGTCTCATAGTAAGTATAATTTCATTTTGTTATATAATTCTCGTTTCGTGGTCATCGTACCCTTCGATGTCCCCATAAAGACCATCACGGCGGCAGGAACCCAACAAGAGTACAACCCATTCTCTATCGGGATTGTCGCAATCTTAGCATATGCTAAACCCTGAGGAATGAGCAAGACTCCGATCGTAAGGCCGGCCATAAAATCCTGAAGCAACCATGACGGCGAGTATCGTGGAATCCACTGTATAATGGGGAGCTTGTCGAGGAGGTACTGTCTAGCGGCAGACGGAAGTTTAGGTGGTGCAGTGCGGGCGAATTTCGTCACCCTGTTAAGGGTAACGTCCGTCCTAAACTCCTTTTTAACAGCAGCGACGTGCTTCTCCATGGTCAGATGTCTGATAAGGATGAGAGACTAAGATCGAGGTGCTAGTCTTCTACTTGATGAGGCTAACCTCGATATAGTCGTTCATATAGACTCTAGATTAAGTCTAAAGAACCAGTTCTCAAAGCTCCTGGTCCCCACGTTCTAAAGGGTTGCTTCCGTAAACAGAAGGTTTCATAACACTTGATCATTGGAGCAACAGCGTCTTCAACTCGGACAACCTATCGCTTCCAAGAAATCATACCCTCCATCGGCATATTCTCGCCACTCTGTCGGCATCAAATAGAGACTCTCTTTAACTGTTAACCTCGATTACGTTTATGTTCGCATTCAGGTGAAGGAACACAACTTGAAATCACACCGAGCACAACACGCGGACACCAAGGATCCAGCCAAGGCATCGGCGAGCTGAATGGACTTTCTATTCTCCTTTCTACGTAACCACCCATATCGGTGGTCCACGAACGAACCTGCAGCCACGAATTAGGCGCCCTTCCGTGGGTAAATGCAACGATATCCAACTATGGTGGCCGATCATGTCTTGAAGTAACACTGCCGTCTGGGCTGATATTAGGACGCGGGGTAGTCAACGTTGGAGCACGTAAGCAAAGGGGATGTCTTCAAAAATAGAAGCAGCGAAGTCCAAGGGCCAATCAGTATCTAGAAGCATGGTTGATCTAACGGCTAGCATCGCTATCACACATCTGCGCTGTGATTATAACAAACACGCACGGTCATTGTTTCATGAGGGATATTCTTGTGGATTTGGTATCTTCTCTGGACGGATTCTCGAGGGTGGGATAAGTGGGATAATTTAGTAGTGTTGAATGCATTAAGGGGCAATTCCCGTACCTGCCGTAGGTATTCATACTATGGGATGTAGATCGGTGGATTGCTTCTCCTATTCACGCCTTAAATGTCATTGACAATTGGATTGGATCTCCCGCTAGATGAAGATCGTTGGCAATCCCTCAAACGCGTCAAACATTTACGGTCAATAAGATTCAATTTTACAACGATAACATGCATTTCTCTGTCAATTTTATAATGAAGTCAAAAAATCTAAGCCTACAGTCTTGGCAGCGTATAGATTTTCGAAACATTCCGAATTTTCGGATCTTAGCTAAACCTAGGTGAGGAATTGTCGTACATAAATGCGATCATATGTACAGCTCAGCATTGTCGTGCTACAAGCCCATGTGGCAATGCGTCCAAGGAAAATTGAGACATGCTGCTCTAGAAGCTGCCGTATATCCAGGATATATTTCTACCGCCGGAATGTTTTTGCGTACATGATGCGGCCAAGGTCTTAGAATTCGCCACAGGTTCGTAAACTTTCCCCTCTAGGACAGTTTGCAAGCATGACAGAAAGCTTGACACGTACCAAGATTTGCGTGTAACGGTCACATTGCATGAACAAGATCTGCTACATACAGCTTTTGCTGCTTGCTTCCATTGCCAGGTGCTATGGTTAGCCGGGTTGTATCTGTTCTATCACAGTATCAATTTACTCTATCTGTCAGTCTGTCTATCTGATTTCTTCTCGTACTTGCGAGTTATCTGAAGTGTAAAAATAGAACAAAATTGTGATGGTTGAACATTGACGATCCTGGTCCAAGGTTATGAGCGGCATGAAAGATGATAGGCCAGCAAGAACCGATTGCGACATAGCTACCCCTACCTACATAGTATCCATCCACCCCTACTAAGACACACGGACGCTTTCTTAAATGGTCGGGATACCATACTGCCAGACTACCTATATACCAATCGGTGGGATGCCGGTGATATGGGAAGTTCAACGTGATTGATCCATTCGTACTAGTAGGGTTGTGCTCCAATGCGGAATTCGTAAGCATTTCCGGGGATTTGCCCTAACCTAACTCGATGCTACCCTCGTGGGGTTCATGAGTAACTAGCAAAGAGATGGAACGGACAGTTCAAGTAGAATGTGCTTATACCAGCCTAGATTAGGACAGCCTTGCGATTGGATATTCTTCGTTTTATTGTGTAGGTAGCATGAGATTTAACCAATTTAGTGTCAGGGATATCTAGGTTCTAAAAAGGAGACAGGGCACGGGTGGTAAACTACCTGGAACCTGTTTGTTAAGGAGAATGAAGAGGGCAATTCAAGTTGGAAACAAGGAGTTTTTTTTCTCCTATATCGTGCTACAAAATTAAGAAATGGGTTCAGGTGCCCAGGTAGTCACAAACATGAGTACTAGCCAGCTCCTGAAATAGTAATAGCGCTTCCATTATTTTATTTTGATTTAAGAGACGGAGGAACTCTAGCATTAAGCTCAGCCTATTCTTCGGTTGATGATAGCTTCTTCACATGCAGTCCTAGAATAAGCTGTGCCAGGGAATTCAAATTCGTCATACCTATCTTGAAAAATGCCTTCAATATGGAGTTATGAACCCCCTGTCGACCCGTTTCTCCACATCAAGCAAGTACAGCCCCTGAATGTCTACGCACACTTCCGCGGCCTAGACTCTTGATCCGTGCATTAGTGGCACATTCAGATATCCTCTAATCCGGGGAAATAGCTACAGGCAGCCGTGAACTGGGATTATTTCGGTGATATACAAGATTCCACACTAGGTTAATCCAACGTTGCAGGAGGCACTTACGGAGTTATGAAGTCAGTATGAGGAAGGAGAAGCCCAGAATGACCAAGACTCTAGGTTCTTAGCATGAGCTGAGGTTGTTATGATATTTGAAGCACGATGCCGTGAGCAATCCGAGCTTCAAACAGGCAGAAGCCGATCCACCGAGCAAACAATCCCAGGTAAGCAGCTGGCTCAACTTGAAACCAAAGATTGTTTGGAATTGCATGCAAATGGCTTATCAGGATATCTCAAGGTCTAGAAGTTGTCGCCGACCACTTCTCGCTATGTGACCTTCTCTGTACAGGGTCAATGTTGATTCCACGTTTGAGGTTTTGTCTATTCTTGATTCATGTCTAGCATCTACTTGAAAGTAGGGACATGAACATTACAACACCCAGGTACCTAATAATATGACGACTCACGGTGGACAGGACGGACAAGAATAAAACTCGCTAAATTGGCAGGTCGCGCTATTTTAAACCAGAATAATTCGAATGATACACAAAGCTGCTAGATTTTCATAAAGCAAGCCAGAAAAATAGGTACACGTTGACTAAGACTAATCGTGAGAATTAGAACCCCGATATTTACAACTCACGTTGCTCGGACTCTCCGTCGTCAAAATCGGGAAGGGTGACTTCATCTCTTTGTGCGCTTTGAACCTTGTTCCAAAATATTTCACCGTTCTTCGGGTCGTCTTTGAAAAGATGGTCGACAACCATCCTCTTCGGCGTTTCGCCCAGCCACTGGAACAGAGAAAAGTCTCTAAACTCGTCGGCGCGGAAGACTTCTAGCATCTCGATCGGCTCGTCTCCGATGTTCTCGACGAAATGACCCATATTTCTCGGTATGATACCTACGTCGCCGGGAACATAGTCGAAGGTTCGAGCGGTGCCTTCAGAAGCGAATATTGTAATTCGAGCTCGGCCCCTGATGATAAAATTCCATTCATCGGCATTCGGATGCCAGTGCATTTCACGTAAAGCGCCAGGCTGGATGATCAGGTGTGCTGCTGCCACAGTTTTCGAGACGGGGAAGTTCTTGGAATCCGTAATGCGAACTTCGCCTCCGCTAGTTAAAAGAGGCTTTTGGTCAAGCATCTTATGGACGAAATTTGTCTTCGACTTCTTAACCCCTTTTCCTGTCGGTTTCTCCTCGTCGATCTCACCGGGCTGAGTGCCTTGGAAAATATATTTCTCCCCTTCGGGAAGGTGGGCGAAAACTTCAGGTGCTAGGTTGAAGTTCTTTGAGATAACCGACTTGGGAGTGTGAGCTTTGGAAAGTTAGCGCCGATGGGGTCATGCTGTCAGATACTCCACTGCTTACCTAGCCAGTCAGATAGGATAAAAGTAGATTCTTCGGAAAAGTTTCCATCATCGAAGATTAGAAGAAATTCGGTCCCGTTATCGCCTAGACCTTGAAGAGAATGAGGGACGCCCGAAGGGAAGTACCAGAGGTCACCTCTCTTGAGGTCGTCTATGAAGTTCCCGCCCTCATAGTCAATGGCCGTTACACGAACTTGGCCATCAAGGACAAACGCCCATTCTGCTTCCTTGTGCCAATGTAGCTCACGGATAACCCCCTTATCGAGTCTCATGTTCACAGCAGCCAGCTCGACACTGGTGCCTAGCTCTCGGACGGTGGTTTGTCGAGTCCAGCCTCCTTCCTACGCACAAGTTAGTCTACACAGAGTGACCCAGTCTGGTTACAGTGTTCCCTACCTCGATGCGCACGTGAGAATCAGCGAAGCTCCATCTCATATTATTAAGATTTCCATGATCCGTACTAGGTGGTCGAACCAAATCTGGGTTCTGACGAGATCGATCGCGGTTCCAGGGACCAAGAACTGAGGTACCTAAGCCATTTCGATAGGGAAGAGGGTCTAACCCCTCGCCGATGGAATCGACAGCTTTGTCATAGGGATCTCTGAAGCCTGGTTTATAAGGCGATTCTGACTTTCCATTGTATTTAGGCGGTAGGTCAATGCCAGCCAGAAGATATTGTCGCGGGCTGTCTTCGACGGGAATTGCAAGACCTCGGTTGCTCAGCGCAAGTCCCGCGACTAATAGCTGCCACACAGAAACGTCACGGCAGTTACAGGGCTGCATTTTCGGGAATAAGATGGGTTGATGAACTAAGAAATGATTGGAGTTGAACCTCAATATGAGACAGGATAGTGACAAGAGTAGAGGAACACATAAAAAGAAAAGTTGTGTGTCGTATAAAAGATTTCTCAGAACTCAATGGGATGGATGTCGTCACAACTCACAATTAAGCAAATCAATGGCCGGCCTCGTCCGATAGCTACCCCGAAGCTTCAAAGCTTCAGATCCAATTGAACTAATCACCGTCCATTGTAACGAGTTCAACACCGAGTAAATGCCGAACAGCTGTCCGAACCTGCTTCAAAACATTCCAGCTCAGGAACCCCCCTGTGTAAGCGCCGGATGAGAGGTGCCGTCCAGGTTAAGAATGCTACTTCCGGGGCAGCTGCCGGGGCAAGCTCCAGGGCGTTGGGCGTTGCGACTGCCCCGAAATCACTGAATATTGTACCTAAGTACCTAGGTAGATAGCTTCAAGGTTATTGCCAAGGCCATATACCTTCCGGGTGATGGATAACAAAAGGGACTAGGCGGTTTTCAGTTTTCAATTGTCATCCAATACACCAACTCGCCGCCGTTCTCAACCTTTTAGATCTCGGCGATTTTTTTACGACGCGGGCGCGCCATCCTGCAGCTGCATGGGTGAAACCATACCTTCAGCTTCAGGTACATACCTGGATGTAGCACCTCCACCCTCCCAGCTCTTCATTGGTCCTGCCTATCTGGGGTTTCTGGACCGAAGCGCTCGTTGATCACAGTTGAGCACCGAATCAACGAATAATAAGAGACTTCAAGACCGTTGGAGGTTGTCTAAACTTTTAAACAAAGTCCCGATTCAAGCTCCGGAATTAGGTGCTCTGCCTAATTGGGATAGCTAGCGTCATCGACATTTGGCGCGTGGGTCCGCGCTGGAAAGACGGCAGCTTACATGGTTAACTCGGCAGCAAACGCCTCGAATATTTTACTCATTTCGCCCGACCTCGCTCTACTTATTCCCAATTTACTCTGCTAAATCTTTTCAATTATTTGTATTATAGGTTAGTGGGTTTGCGGAATTCGCAGCGCTCTGGGGCTGTTCTGAGTCATACCCGATGGCTTCTTCCAATGGGTACGGCGCCCTGCCTAATAACTCCCGGCCGAGCGCAAATGGCGACGAGCAGCAACCTTTACTGAGCGGCAGCGACAATCAGATGTCTAAGACGATGAGATGGCGGAAGACTATGACAGCGGACGTGCGCCGTGACTGGGCTGATTTGGTCCTACTCGCCTGCTACATCATCACCGGTCTCCTGGACAGCGCATCAATATCAACTTGGGGGTCTTTCGTGTCGATGCAGACAGGTATGTGGCGCCTTAACATTAAAATATAAAAAAGCAAGAAATTACGAGTCGCATCAAGCTCAACCTATCAACCTAAGTTGACTAATCCTCGCCAATAGGCAACACCGTGTATTTCGGCCTTGGGATCAGCGCGCCTCACGAATCAACGCGATGGATCAAGTCCGGAACGTCTCTAGGTTGCTTCTGTATCGGATCAGTATTCTTCTCCGCCCTGCACCGGATGCCCTCGCCGTCCCCTAAACGGCGCTGGATCTTGTGTGCCTCATTCACACTACAGATGCTATTCATTGCCGCCGCTGCCGCCATCCTAACTTTCGGCCCGCGGACCCCCGACGGCGTCGACCCTAAGGAGTCTATCGATTGGCCGGTGCTGGCACCCATCGCGCTGGTCGCTTTCCAGAGCTGCGGCCAGGCGGTCGCGAGTAGGGCGCTGAAGTATAATGCCTTAACAAGTGTTGTGCTCACGAGTATTTACTGCGACCTGTTCTCTGATGCGGAGCTGCTCGCGCCGCGGAATCCCGAGCGAAACCGGAGAGTTGGGGCACCGACGCTACTACTCATCGGCGCGGTCCTGGGCGGAGTGCTAGCAAGGAGTAGTCTTGGTGCCGCGGGTGTACTGTGGATCGCCGCCGCGATGAAACTACTCGTTGTTATCTCGTGGCTGGTTTGGCCAGCCGAGAAGGAATAGGTGTAAATATCCTACCTGCGTTTGCGGACCTGTTTAGATCTAGTCGTGTTCAACAGCCGATTCCAATTCCCGGGCTTTGGTGGCAAAAAGAGAAAAAACATGAAACAACAGTATCAGAATTGGTGCAACGTCGTCTCCGAATGGCTGGACCACATGTAGCCGCAATTCGCCGTTGCATTACGTTGATAGGGTATATATGTAGGTAATCCCTAAGGGTACCTAGGTACCATTGAGAACCTCCCGGAATATGAAAAAGTGCCGAATTGAGCATGGCCTTGAGCGATCATCATAGCTTTCGAAACGTTGATAACGCGGGCGGCGAAGATGTTATTTACGGGCAGCATTGTCTCCCACCCTATCCTCCTGACCAAGGACCCTCCCCGATCGTTGCTTAATCTCAATTTTGCCAACAATACCAGTGCCGCGGAAAAACACCACAACGGTGGTCGCGCAACAGATCGCAAGTGCGAAATTGAACCACATACCTGCTCTTAACCCAGCTAGTGATGCTGGTTCCCAAGGCATTATCTTACCCGACTCCTCTACGGGTACACCCCTGTCCCTCGCCATCACCGCTGTCTGGATTGCTGTCGTAATCGCCAACCCGATCGCTCTTCCAATTTGCCCCATTGCGTTGACGAGGGCGCCACCTATCGCCTGATCTTCCTGAGGTAAAGTCTTGGAAGTAAAGAGGGTTAGGCACGGCCAACCAGTATCAGTACCAAGCACCGAAAGGATAAATGCCGGTAACGCATACGCGAAGTAAGACGTGTGTGGAGGAATTGGCACAGAGAATAAGAGGCAAGACACCGATACACTCAGATTGCCAAATAAAAGCAAAATCCAAGTAGGCGTTCGTGAGATGAGATGACTCACGACGAATGCAGTGATCGCCCCACAGACACCTGTGGGTATAAATCGAAGGGTTGTCTGCAGCGCGCCGAGTGCCTGATAATCCTGGAAAAGGAATGTAGCGGAAACAACCATATCGTTGAAAGCGCCGAAAATCATAGCCATAATAGCCATGGCAGCGCTGAAGCGGGGGTCTTTAAAGAGGGAGACCTTCATAAGCGGCCTGCTTGTCGTATGCTTCTCCTGATACCATTGCCAAACGACGAAGATGGCGAGAAGCAACATAGAAATGACGATCAGCAGATAGATCCAAACCGTACCCCATCCTACAACGTTACCCTCCGTCAAGGCAAACAATAGTGCTAATATGGAGGCAGTAATAAGGGCACCACCAGTCCAATCGACGGATTTCGGCGACGAGATGCTGTCTAGCCTATTCGTTGAATCTGGCGGCGGTGGCGGAATGAAGAATAGTGCAGCAAAAGTGATAACAATCGCAATTCCACCAGTGGCCCCGAACACCCACTTCCAGTTAGCAAAAGAAGCAATGAAACCGCTAATTATATTTCCAAATGCGGAACCAAGAGGCGCGCCAGCAGCTATTCACGGTACGCGTCAATAATAGGTGACAAGTTTCAAATGAGGACGCGATCGCATACCGTATGTGCTGAAAGCGTAGTTCTTGGCTTTGCCCGGCGGGAATGTAACGCCTAGGATCCCAATTGCTGTGGGTACATTGGCGGCAGCACCCTAAAAGACCATAAGTATGTAGGTATGTAAGATCGTACGAATTTGTTCTGTATGCTCACAAGCCCTTGTAGACCACGAAATACATTGAATCCTATTTCGTTACGGATGAATGGATTGGCAATATTAGTCGCTGCCATGAAGGCACTTCCCAATATGAAAATGTTTCGTTTTCCATAAATATCTGCTATGCGACCCCATAGAAGGAGGAAGCAACCAAAGGTAAGGGAGTAAGAAGAGACTACCCATTGCTGCCTACTGTTAGGAATACCGATCTCCTGACCAATCGTTGGCAGGATAATCACAACAGATTGAATTGATAGGGTCTAAGTAGAATCAGCGAGAGCACGTCGGAGACTGACGATGGTACTGCACCCAGTACCTACATTCAAGAAACTGGCGCCAGTGACCGTGGCGACAAGAGCAATACATCTCGCTTTAGAAAACGGCAACGTTGGTTTCGCCGCATCGTCGTCATCTTCCGGCTCAATCGCTACGGCCTGACTCCTCAGTCGGTTCTCTGCCGCAACAATATCAAATTGCTCTTGTCTTTTTTCTTCGGCGTTCTCGGTATCCGACACAGGATGTTGGTCAATCTCTGGTTGCCCTGTCATTTTCACGACGATAATGACGATGGCAGCGCAACAATCCGGTACATATTCCGAGGGTGAAATCAACAGTACCGTCCCCGGACCGGGCCATGGGTGACACGCCCATACATATAGGCCTGTAGATTTCCGCCATCGCGATGGAGCAAGTCGCAATAGGATCTTTAGGACTGCGTTTCCCGGGGGTAATTGACCAACAAATTCGCGGAAAACTTTACCAAAAGAAGCGACATGAACGGTGAAGCTCCCCACTTCTCAACCAATCAGCGTCAATTCCGTCTGAATGATTCGTCCGGTCTCATAGAAAGGCAATCCCGGCCTCCCCCCGGAAACCGGTATCGGTTCTAGATTCCCCATGAGCTTATCTCAAATCGCGGGGTGCCAAGAGCATGCCTAACCAGGCAACAAACGACGACTGTGCGATTTTCAACCGGTGGACAGAAGCGAAAACGAAGTTGAGTGTTACGTAAGTAGGTGTTTGAACATAGAGAAGTTTTTGGTGAAGTATTTTCTATTTACCTAGGTACTAGGTAGTTTAGGACGTAGATATTGTTGTATAATATGATATATGATGTAAATGCCTAGTGTGAATAGAAATCTTTCAAACCTTACCTGCTTTCCTAAGAATGGAATCATGGAGTAGCTCCTAATAATGAGGAAGTAGCAAGCCTCAAATATTCCTTTTAGGAAGGGAAAGAATAAAATTCTTCATATTTATTCTTTATAACGGCGTTTTATTGGTCGATCTCGTTGTTTTCGCCGTTGTCGTTACCACTAGGAACGTGCACCTAAGCCGGTAGTAAAACACCCGAGGTGTAAAAACACTCCTAAGTGTTGCACCTCGCACTTGCCTGGCCGTCAGAATAACGATTTTTGATAAGCAAAATAAAATTGTCAAAACATAGAGTTTACTAGTGTCTATGCTTCGATCATAATGGCCTCAAAGGTATCTAGGTACCAAAAAGTATATAACGAAGGGCAAGAGCTGTAAAAAATCCAATTGGTTGTTGCCTTAACACCCCTGCTCGTGAGTCACGTTGTCGCGCGTTGGTTTGGCGTCCAATGGCCAACTAGTATCGCCTGTTCCTTCAGCTGCATCACCTAACCTGCCCAGGTGCCTAACGGTTGGTACCCACGTTGGTACCTGGGCAGGCGGTAAGGTGCCTGGACCATGGATTCTGCCCGTCGTCGTCGTCTAATATATAACATCACATGCACACAGTACCTATTCTACCTATCTATTCTATTTAACCATTAATTCATCTACGGAATATTAACATTAAGGGATTCTTTCCACGAAAACTTTAACAATCTATTTCTACGATTCAACCTTCTACAGTTCAATCTTAACTTTTCATTCTTCATCTCTATTCACCTCTGCTCCTACGCTCGTCTATTTATCCACCCACCAACCTACACACACACACATACAATTCACTTTCAATTATATTTAACACATCTTCTTTCTACAATTTCCTTAGACCTACAAATAAGCGAATTCTCAGACAAGTCTAATATCTGAGGATCAATCTAACTGTACCAAGAAGTGTGTTCCTATCATGGCGTTATTGGCAGATTCAACTGCGGAACCTGCACCGCTTCCGTTAAGCGGCTGCGTCGTATCCATGAGCGGTGCACTACCTGGCCGAAGAACACAGGCCGGCATAGAACGAGATTACCTCCAAGTTCTAGGTGCATCTCTATCGAAGGAGGTTACTCGTTCCACGACACATTTAGTCTCTAGTGAGGCATACTACAAGCGACATTTCCCCAAAGTTCTACAGGCGCAGGAGTACGGTATTCCAATTGTCACATTTTACTGGTTGGAAGATTCCCTTAAACATAACAAGCGCATGGACGAAGAGGATTATCACTTCAATTCATCGGCCCCAAAATCGCTTACCGACAACTGTCAAAAACGACAGCTTCCAGACGACAATGAGAACAACGACGACGGATCACGAGCTAAAAGAGCTCAGTCTACTAAAGCTGAATTGATGAGGGAGAATGTCAAGGTTGGCGAAGCACAAATAGCCAAAACACGAAACGTTACTGTTCCTCTAGACGAAGGAGCTGAACATGACCTCCCCGGTTATGAGGTTTATATCGACAAAAACGGGGTTATCTATGACGCCTCATTAAACCTTGCGTCAAACTCCAGTAACATGAACAAGTTCTACAGACTTCAAGTACGTATTTCGACTTTAACCCCAATAGATACCATCAGGACTAGCTCCTCTCCTTCACCGTCCTTCTCTTGAACATCCATATTAAGAAATCGAATTATCCACTAACTAGCTCTTCTAGCTTCTTCGCTCCATTGGCAATAAGTTCTATTGCAGAGTCCGATGGGGAAGAGTTGGAGTTCGAGGAACTACTAAGGTTCACGGTGATGGTACTGAGGGAGAAGCTCGCTATCACTTTAACGCAAAGTTCCAAGACAAAACCGGTCTTGGTTGGGTGAATCGTGCACACCCCCCACGACCCAAGAAGTATATCTTTATTGAAAGAAGCGTACGTCTTTCTTCTATCTTACTGAGGTTTTTTTTTTAAAAAAAAAAAAGAGCAGTTGCTAACTACGAGTGATTTAGTACGACATGGAAAGGGAGGAAGAGCCTGACGATCAAGTCGGGCAGAAGTCTCACTTGGCCAAGCCCGTACAAGAGCTGATGAAGTTGATATTCAACCAACACTTCTTTGCAGCGACAATGGCTGAGCTCAATTACAATTCTACTAAGCTACCTTTGGGCCAGCTCAGCAAGTGGACGATCACGCGAGGATACGAAGCCTTAACGAACCTATCCGCCCTTCTCAATAACCCGTGTCTTGCTACCACTCAACATCACACGACCTTTGACTCAGCCGTAGAAGAATTATCTAACTTATACTTCTCGCTGATTCCTCACGTCTTTGGGAGGAACAAACCTCCCATCATCAAGGATCTGGCATTGCTCAAAAAAGAAATAGAACTTCTTGAGAGCTTGTCAGATATGAAAGATGCTCAATTGCTGATGAAGGAGAAGGAGAAGGATAAGCTTCATCCAACGGACCAGCAGTTCAATAGCCTGGGACTAGACGAAATGACTGTCCTGGACAGTCACAGCCAGGAATTCCTTGAATTAAAGGATCTCCTCCTTAAGACCCAAGGTGCAACGCACCAGGTCAACTACGAGATCTCGCAGATCTTTAGGATCTCGCGACAAGGAGAAAAGGAGCGTCTTGAGGGTACATACAGCCCTCCCCAAAATAGACGACTCCTTTGGCACGGTTCGAGATGCACCAACTTTGGTGGCATCCTCTCGCAGGGATTGAGAATCGCACCTCCCGAAGCTCCCGTGAACGGTTACAGGTATGCAGATATCACTATCCCACGACCCCTTTTCTTACTTGAGTGTGCTTGGATGAGGCTAACATGTTCGCAGTATGTCATTATTTCTTCTTGATTCTCCTTGTGTTTCTGATTGCATGGACTTACAGAGTACTAACGCATGGTAGTGTTCGGGAAAGGTGTATACCTAGCAGATACTTCCAGCAAGGTGAGCTCTCATTTTAGTTGCAGCACTTAATGTACATCACTAACACCTCATTCAGTCAGCAAATTACTGCTGCCCTGGTAGTAGTAACGGCCACGCCCTCTTATTATTATGCGAAGCCGAGCTGGGTAATGTCGTGCAGCCAGCCATGAGCTACGCACCGTACGCTGCGGAAACAGCAAAGGCTAACGGGTTCATTTCGACCTGGGGACAAGGCCGAAATGTCCCCGCGCAATGGAAGGACGCTGGATGTATACATCCGTCCTTGAAGGGCGTCAAAGTGGTAAGCAAAACCCTGATCCAAAGCTTGTGCGTTGTTGTATTGATACTAATGGTCGCCTTTTCTGTAGCCCGACACTCAAGGCATGGTCGGGACAAACATCCCATCCTCTCTTATATACAACGAGTATATATGCTACGATGTGGCTCAGGTGCGTCTCAGGTACCTTTTCCGGATCCGGATGTAGGACCATCCTGTCCAATAAGGACCTGGCGACTCCCTTCGACCCTCGACTAAGATCTGGGGCAAATCTCCTCAGCTTTGGGCGGCTGGTATGTCCGAGCCAGCCTCAGCCGATTCTACTCGCTTGGAGCTAACCCTACCGAAATATATACTCCGAGGGTGAAAGGCTTGTCTAGATCGGCCTTTCACCCAATATTACATCATAGGGGAAAGGGTCTTGCAGCAGACACTCAATGGGATGAAGCAGAGAGGTCTTCGATACGCTTGGGAACCCTATACAACCAAGGGGGTATAGTATGTATACTCCTGTTCGAAGACGCTCGTTCATTGGGCTCTGGGCAGGGCATCAGCAGCGAGAAGTGATTATCACGATGCTCGAGGTATTGTAAAAATATGAATTTAACTAGGAATTGAGATGGACTGGGAAAGGAGAAATAGGACAAAGGGAAATTACACATGGGAGGTTATCTGCTGGGTTTCAGTTGCAACGTTTGCCTGTACTTGCATGATAGGGTAGGCTGACCCTGTTTCCACGATTACTGTGGAGTCCTTGTATGTCAGGGGCATAAGTGGAGACAGGGGCTAGCTAGCGGCTAAGCCGCAGATATATAAAAGAGGTTTTGCTTTCCTTAGATTTAAAAAGGATTACGTGATATTTTAGTTATTATTTTATTTATTTATTATTTATTTATTATTTTTTATATTAATTTATTATTTTAATTTAATATAATATTATATTTTAATAATAAAAATAAATATTAATTTATTAAATAATAAAAAATATATTAATAATCCGAAATTATTACGAAAATAAATTATTTTTATACGAATAATTTTAAAAATGTAAGTTTATAATTATTATAAAATAAATAAAAAAAATAATAAAATTATAAAAAAAATGTAAAAGTTTTAAATTTTTTATAATAAAATAAATAAGTTTTTTTTTAAATAATTAATTAACGTAATTTTTAAAATTAAAATATTTAAAAATTAATTTATTTTAAAATAATTTTTTAAAGTAAAAATTATTTTTAACCCGATTAAATTTAATATTTAATTTTTAATTTTAATTTAATAATAAAATAATTAATAAAATAATTAATAAAATAATTAATAAACGTTAAAAATTTAAAAATATTTTTAAAATAATTAAATATTATTAAAATATAAAATTTTTTAAAAAATTATTTACGAATAAAATAAACGTGTAGTTTATTATAATCATTTAATTATAATATAATAATTTAATAATAATTTAATAATAATATTAATTATTTTTATTTTTTATTTTAATTTACCGGGTTAATTTTCGTTATAATTTTATTATTAAATTTTTTTAAAAATAAAAATAAAAATAAATTTAATATATTAATATATTATTAATAAATTAATTATTAATTAATTATTTAATAATAAATTAATAATTTAATAATAAATTAATAAAATTAAAATAAATATTTATTATTTTTTTATATATTTTTAATAACGTTAATAAAACATTTTTAAATAATTAATTAATATTTTTCCCGTTTAATAACGGTTAATTTTTTAACATTTAAAACTTTATAAATAAATAACGTAATAATATTTTTTTATTTTTAAATCGTTTTTTTTATAATAATTTACACCGTTTTTATAATATTTTAATAATAAATTAATAAATTAATAAACTTATAATAAATTAAAAAAAAATTTATAATATAACCACCGTTAATAATAATTAAAATTTAAATTAAAATTATAACGTAAATTTTTAAAAAACTTATAAAAATTATATAAATTTTATTAAAATAATAATAATAAATATATTTTATAAAATTAATTAAATAAAAATTAATTAATAATTAATAAAAAAATATACGCGGAAAAAAATCATTTATAATTATTATTTTAATAAATTATAAATTAATTATTTTTTTATAATTAAAACGAAATAAAATAATAATAATAAAATATAATATAAAAAAATATTTTTAAAATAATTATTTTATAATTATTTAATAATTATTTTTATAATTATTATTATAATTATTTTATAATTATTTTATAATTATTTTATTAAAATTATAAAATAAATTAAAAAAATTTTTATAATAATATATATATAAAAATAAAAAAAATATTAATTAATTAATTAAATATAAAATTAATTTACGGAAATTTATAAAACGCGTAAATAAATTATAATTATTATATAATTATTTAATTATAATTTAATAACCGTTATACCATTATTTTAATTATAATAAAAAATTTATAATTAATTAATAAATAATTTAAAAATATAAAATAATATAAATAAAAAAATACGAAATATATAAATCATATTTTAAAATTTATTTTTAACCATTATTTAATAATTAAATAATAAATAATTTAAAATTAAATAATTTATTTATAATTAATTTTAAAATGTTTTATTTTTTTTATTTTTTTTATTTTTTTTATTTTTTTTATTTTATTTTTTTTTTAATTTTATTTAATTTTTTTTTATATTCGTTTTTTTTTTATAACTTATAAATTAATTAATAAATATTTTAAATATAAAAAATTATAATTTTAAAAAAATAAAATAAATAAATTTTAAAAATTATAAAAAACGTTAAAATTAATTTATAAATTAATTAATAATTATTTTAAATATAAAAATAAATATTAAAAATTATAAAAAAATTAACTTATAAATTAATTAATAATTATTTTAAATATAAAAAATTATAATTTTAAAAAAACAAAATAAATAAACGTTAAAAATTATATATTAAATTTATAAAATAATAATTAAAATTAAATAAATAATTAAAAAATAATAAATGTTTTATAAGTTTTATTTTTATAAAAAAATTTCTTTATATTTAACACGTAATATTAATAAATATATATTTAATAATAAAATAATAATAAAATAATAATAAAATAATAATAAATTAAAAATTATTATATTAAAATTTATTTTTTTATTTTATTTATAATTTTAAAATAAAGCTATAAAAAAAAAAAAGAATTTATTAAAAATATAAATAAAAATAAAAGCTAACTAATAGCTAAGCTATAAATATATAAGGAAGGTTTCACCTCCCCTAAATTTAAAAAAAATTACGCAATACTTTAATTACTATTTTACCCATTTACTACCTACTTACTACCTTTCATGTTGACTTGCCGTCCCAACCTGACACTGTACTAATACCTATTACATTTGCCTTGGTTTCCAAGCAAATTATGACTGCATTTCGGTATGACTTGTTACAGGTCTGGTTAAAGGGAGTTTCCTATGTATACTGCAATTCTTAGCATGGGAGTTTGGAGTTGATCACGCAAGATATCATTGTTTTCCCATCTGGTATGCCCCCACAACGTGACATGACTTACAATCGTTCAATTGCCGCTGTGACTCTGTTGCAATCAAAGCGTAAACCTACTCGGAACAAGACATTCCATGGGTTTGAATGTATGATGATACATAGGATAAGACGTGAGAAGATTGCCCATGTTTAAATACAATACCTGAGCCCAATCTTGGCAAAGTAGGATTCTGCCAGTTTAAAAAGGAGTAATGGGAACTACCCACCTAACTTTTGTAGTTCTTTGGGAAAACCCTTAAACACAGAAAAGAAAGGGTGGCTAGAGACAGGGGAATCTTCTAGATGGGGAGAAGCAATGCGAAAACAAGAACGATGTGATTGCAATGATAAATTTGCTTGGGTAGTTGTTGTTCTGTTTCTCAGCATCCATTGTGCCTCTGTTACCCCTTTTCCATACCTAGGTAGTTTTGCCGTCTGTATACTATGCATCTACTTAGCTCTGGCCTGTGGTATAAGACTGTTTCTTAGTCACATGTAACCATTCCACGAGAGAATGACTTATTGAGACGATGTGCTTCATCTACCTAGTAGCTTAGAAGAAATGGATTTACTAGGGTTGATGTACTTAGTATTTCATAACTATCGTTAAATATCGCCAAGAAATTGTTTTATAGCGCCGTAAGAAGCTTAGGAAAGGGGGTTGAAAGTATTCACATTTAGAGGAGTAATGATAGACCTTACAATACCTAAACTAAGGACTACCCTTAATAACGCCGAGCTCGACTTCCTTTTCGCCGTTTTCTTCTTCGAGCCTGTTGCTTTTAAAAGCCAGCAGGCCAGTGCTAGACTCCTAAACATCGTTGTCTTCGGCGACTTCCTTCTCATTAACACCAAGTGAAACAGAGATTTGATCACGAATCGGGGCTAGTCGTCGTCCTTTAACCTTTAACATACAAATCTACAACTAATTCTAGAACTGGCGGTTTAAGACATAAACAAACAATAACTACAAATTATCATTTAAGCCATCTCGGAATGTACAGAGCTCGAAATTCTTGCGAAAAAAGTGTCCAGCAAGGGAATCTAAAGCTGTGCTATGCTGAAATTAAGTACAAGCCAAATCGCACCACTCACTCCCTTTGATGACCTGAACTCACAACTATGCATGAAGAACGCCGTTGCTTCCGGGTTTTGCCTTGGGGGTGTGAAATCATAAAACGCCTTCTTCCATGCAATTTCCGTCTAGGGACGCGAACCGTGATCGTGACTAGAAAACCAGGGCAAAGAGGCCACTGCAGCACCGCGTGTTTGTGTAGAACAACCTTGTTCTCCCGCAGAGCAGACTAGAAGAGAAGATTGGGGTTTATCGACCTGCGGCAAGGCGTCGTCGTCGTTCCTCCTTCTCACGCTTGAGCTTCTCTTCCAGTGCCTGCTCTCGTTTGTCCTCCTCACGTGCTAGCAACTCGGCTCGTCGCTCCTCTACATCAATGTCCGATATGCCAGCTTCCATGTCACTCGAACCATCCGATGCATAGTCGTAGTGTCGAGGATCAGGATCATCATCTTCATCGTACTCGATGAAATCGTCCAAATCATCATCATACTCATCTTCATACTTGTCTCGGCGACCCGTGCGAGGAGGCGCAAGAAGGCCACCAGCCTTGTAAGAGGTTGACGGTCCCTTCTTAGACGAAGAAGACTTTCCTGATGATGCACCAGGACGAGGACGAGCGGTTCCGGTGTAGCCTGTAGTAGCCGTTGCTGCTTTCTTGAGTTTCTTCTCTGCTTCACCGCCAATCGAACCAAGTCGGGCCTTAGTACTAGTAATACCACCGACGTGCTTCGCGGCACCATTTCGATTGTCAGAGGATGCCAGTCCAGCCTTAGTCACACCACGAGTTCCAGAAGTCGGTCGGGCATTTCCAGCGTATCCTTTGCCATTTGCCTTCTTTGCCATACTGGACTTTGGTTCCGGCTTCGTAGGACGATCTTTCTCGATAGGTTTGTGTTGAATCACACCAACCTTTCCTGGCACTATCTTTGCCTGAGCCTTCTTCGCACGCTCCATAATCTCTTGGTACGATCCTTTCTTCGGCGGTTTTGACGGATCGGACGAAGTAGGTGTAGTAGGTGCTGATTTAACGAGAGGTGCCTTGGAGGCGGCTGCTAGGGAAGCTGAACTTAATTTTGGCCGAATAGCAGTGTTCGAAGATGGCTTTGCCTGAGATGTACTAGATAATGATCCAGGTGTCGGCCTGCCGTTCGATGACGAGCCTATTACACGCGGACCAGTTGGCACAGGTGGTTCGTAGCGGCCGTTCGTTGCTGGCGAATTCGTGCGGTGAGGAAGAGATGAAGGTTTGGAAGATGCGGATGTAGATGTGCTGGCCTTCGTTCGGTCAATAGGCTCATTCTTCACTTCGCGTACCACTTTATTTGCCGAGTACGAGCCATCCTGTTGTCGTGACTTCACAAGCTTGACTGACGTCGCACTTTGCGAATCATCTTCTGCCTTGCGCTTGAGGTTTGACGATGCAGGTGTCTTCGGTGTCGGCGCAGAAGATGGATTACCGCCAGAAATCTCGGCAAGGAGATCGCCGATCTGTATGCGCAAAGCGTTAGAGGCAAAATAATCAATAATCACAAATGGAAAATGGAAAATGACACGTACAGGCATCTTGATAAGACTCGCTGTCGGCTAGAGAACGGTAGAGAGCCTTTAGGATAGGTTATAATTGCCGTCAGGAGCATTCAAAGTGCCTGAGGCGTCATATGTCGGTCGGCTGTGTCATGGATAGGCGATGATTCTTGTCTTCAACCTGATGCGACCTGAAAAAAGAGGGTGAAATGCGGTTCAGATGATCGGTTGTTGGCGATTTGAATAGTGAAATCGAGTTTTCACGTATTTCAGAAACACGACCAACGAAAACGGCGGGGGTGTCGAGCAACAAAGGAATGCGGGTATGTATGGAGTTGTTCGGAGGTGAAGTGTTAAGTGGTGATGATAAGAAGTTTGGCAGTTGGCACTGCTGTCTGGTCTGGACAAAAAGAAAGTCTCGTGCCGTTCCGTTCCTACGAATCGTACCGGGTACAAAGGTACTTCCACGTTTATGAGCCTGATTGAAATGCACTTTACCACCCCTGCCACCCTGGCTGAGCCTGGACAATTGGAGCTTGGATGTTGTGGCTGAGCTACGTCATTTCAGCACTTCAATTCGCCATTAGGGAATGCAGGGAAGCGACAAGTGGCTGCCAGCTGGAAGACAAAGCCACATACATAGTGGGGTAAACGTAACGCTTTTGATTGGTAAAATCAACGATACTGGGTCCTTTAGATCCATCCATCCAAGGCGACCCTAATCAGGTGATAGGCGAGGATCCACTCTCAAACTTCTGCCCACAGTCAATTCTAGCCGCACCGAAATCTAAAGCAACTGGGACTTTTTTCTGGCCGAAAAGTCACAACTCTCCAACTTCCAACCTCGTCACACCGAACTTCCCACAGAACTCGAAGTCTCAGTCTCCGCCCCAAATCGCGGTTAAATCGATTGATTACTCGTGTTCTTCACATATCTCGTAAGTTATTCTATTCTCGACATCTCTGCATATGAAAACGTTGTTGCGGTATCGTGGAGTTACCAATTTTACCTTGAACCCTCCCCACTTGTCGCAAGAATACATTTGCGCAAGAAACAACCATAACTGACTGGAGATATCGCGCATAGAACAAATCAACAAAAATGAAGCACCTCGCAGCTTACCTTCTTCTCGGCCTCGCCGGCAACTCCTCTCCCTCCGCTTCCGACATCAAGGAGGTCCTCGACTCCGTCGGTATTGAGGCTGACGATGAGCGTCTCGAGACCCTCATCTCTGAGCTCAAGGATAAGGACATCAACGAGGTGCGATCTCTCGAAACTATTTATACGTCAAGAGACGATGGCGTGGACTGACATGGGTTATAGTTGATCACTGAGGGCTCTAGCAAGCTTGCCTCCGTTCCCTCTGGCGGCGCTGGTGGCGCTGCTGCTGGTGGCGGTGCCGCTGCCGGTGGTGCTGCCGCCGCTGAGGAGAAGGCTGAGGAGAAAGAAGAGGGTATGAATTGGAACCCATATTCTCCCTTCTGGTTTAGTATACTAACGCACATATGTAGAGAAGGAAGAGTCCGACGAGGACATGGGCTTCGGTCTCTTCGACTAAGCAGATTTCGTACGTGTTCAAGACAACGAAGTCATGGGTTTCTGGTGGAGTGGCACAAAAATGGGCTGTGGCGGTCTTGCATGGTATTCGGCGCGGAATGGTCTGCGTTTGATCAACTAGGGTATCTAGAGACGGTTCAGGCAAAGGCGAATACAGTCCTGCTTCTCCAGATTTTGATTTGTGTCCCATCTCGGGAATTGAATGGTGAAATGTGCTCGTAGCTTCCTGCTGCTGCTTTCCAGATAAGGACTGATTTCGTGATAGTCAAATTTGCATCAGGTGTTTGCAGTTTCTGTTATTTGGACGGCTATGATCGGATATGGATGATTATGTAAGTACATAGCATATGTGTGAAATCTAGTTTAAGAGCTTTGGATTTTGGAATGGGTTGCTGATAATTCCATGCGTTTAACAGCTCCCATTCCTTGACTTGAATGTTGCAATCGGCTTTGCCTAACCCGGTAGAGGAGCATGTGGGTTAAACAGGATAGACTGTTTTATGCAAACAGTCAAATTGTATGTACGCCCAGTGCATAAACATAGTTCCACAATTAGGTAATCTTAGCATTGCCGATATGTAATTAGGCTAACTCTAACGTGTGACCTGATTGGTTACCGGGATGTGGAATGTCTCCGTTGCTCCTAGCAACGGGGTAAAAAACGAAAAAAAGAGCGCTAGTGTTATTGAGCCAATTAAAAACAATCTTTGGCCAATCTTTGAACAGTTTGAATCATCTGAACCAGGGGGGCCCTTCTAGCAATCCCAAGCATCCCACGACGAATTCCGGATACATCCTCCATACCCATACCATGAACGCGCCAATTACTTTTGCATCTCGCACCCCATTCTTCCAATCTTCCCATTACCATTAGATTTACAGATGCTTTGGATAATGACCGGATTCGACACGTAGAACATCGATTAAATCGAACACGACTAATTCGCCAATTCGACGCGCTTTATCCGCTTGAGCTTCCCGCTCCTTTTGTTTTTCAAACCCCATAACGTGTACATATACCATTACAATAAACCAACAGTTTACATCGCAATGGCCTCCGCTTTACCGGCCGCCTCCGCGTCCGGTCACCAATCTGGTGCAGTAACAAGAAAATCGTCTCTCAGATCGGGATTGAGAAGACCACAGATAAATCGCGCCGAATCGAATCCGGTATCCTCTGCAGCTCACGGTCCCAAGTCGCAATTTGCGGGAAATGACAGCTCCGATGACGAGATACCTGTGCCTATGAAGCTCAGTGCTCTGACCAAAGCTCTTCTCAACGACGAAGGACCTGAACAAGAGAAGGATAATGGACGCGTTCTGAGAACCCGGGGCCAGAGCCATCGACCTTCGTCGCCGGTCCGCGCTGAGCCAGAGAAACCTATGAAAAGACGTAGTGTTTTGAGTTCATCAGTGACTTCGAATGGAGAAGAGAGGAGACATACTCGTGCTAGCAGCGCACAGGTTCCATCGCGACAGTCTTCTCCTGTCAGAAGCCAACCTAGTAGAGAAAGCAGTCCAGTCAGAAAACGGGTGGTTCGATTAAGCGCTGCGTCGGGAAACTCGGCATCTGCTTCTGCTTCTCAAGTTAAACCTGCGAAGAGGAGGTCAACATCGACGTCGCTCGCAGCCTCGCGGAATGGAAATCGACCTCCTAGCCGAGCTGATAGTAGCATGGCCGAGGAGAAGGCCAACGCATCGGAAATAAAGGACAAGGACTTGAACACGCCAGCCCAGCAGGGACGAGTGGTCAGGATTGCTGTTAGTTCTTCGGGTGGTAGGGGTCGCTCGGGCTCTTCAGCTCAATCTTCTCGACCAAATGACCTTGCCTCCTCTTTCCATTCTCACGCCGTGCAGTCTGACGAGAATGACGGCCCCGAGGTTCCGCGAACTGCTCCACGGCAAACTGGGTCGTCTAATCCGGGTAGCGCCTCTAGGCCAGGCTCTAACGGATATAGAAGTCGACATGAAGAAAACCAAGGAGTACAGAGCTCGATGCGTGTCAAGAGAGTAGGAAAGGTTCCCGGCAGCTTCCTCAGCGGCCCGGCGCGTCGAGGACGAAGGAGACAAAGTGAGGAGGATGCCGAAAACGAAGGAGAGCCACTTCAGTCTAGCCAGGAACCGGATGGACAGCAGCCTCAAAATGCAAACGATTACGAACAAGGGGACAATTTGGCATCATCATATTATGTACCGGATCGTCTTGCTTCGGGGAGCCCTGTTAGCTCCAGGGGCTCTGCGAGGGCATCCCAACGGAGGGACCTATCGTCTGCGGAAGAGAACGGACGAGCGCTGCGCTCGCGACAGACGTCTCCCGAGCATGATGAAATTCCCATTCCGCATTATCGAATCCCGCCTCCTAAGCCAGAAATGCCTGCGAAAAACGATCAAGAAAATGAGGCCCCACCCACCTTCAGGAGAAATAAGCCTGCTGTTAACAGCTTCCTAGAGAAGTTGGATAAAGATATACCCAAGATCTCCGCCTTATCTGCTCGTCCCATGAGCGCTATTGATGTACCTTCGAGCGCCTTGCGTCCTACCTCGCCCGAGCGCAAGGCTTTGGGCTCATTGAGCCAAAACACGCCTCGTAGGGCAGCCCCAGCACCCCCGCCCAAGATGTCCATCCTCGAGGCTGCCACATCCACAGCCGGAGCAGCGACCACTGTCGGGGCGGCAAAACGACGTAACTATATGAAGGTTAACGGCAAATGCTATACCAGACTGGACTCTCTAGGTCGTGGAGGAAGCGGAAAGGTGTACCGCGTGGCAGCCGACAACGGCAAAATGTTCGCGTTAAAGCGTGTCTCCATCGAAGGCGCTGACGAGAACACCGTCCGAGGTTACAAGGGCGAGATTGATCTTCTCAAGAAGTTGAATAACGTGGAACGAGTTATTACTCTGTACGACTACGAGATGAACGAAGAGAAGCAGGTCCTCAGTTTGGTAAGTTTTATATCCCTCTAACGCCTGTATCCCTTATTGCGTGGAGTGGCTTGGCTAACCAGTCTTTGCTTTTCTATCTAGCTTATGGAGATGGGTGAGTTAGACCTTAACACGCTCCTCCGTCTGCGGCTCTCTCCCGAGAACGCCAAGTTTGATCCGGTCTTCGTCCGGTACTACTGGCAAGAGATGCTCGAGTGCCTGGCGTCGGTTCACGCTCACGATATCGTGCACTCGGACCTGAAACCGGCCAACTTCGTAGTCGTCCAAGGCCGTCTGAAGCTCATCGACTTCGGCATCGCCAACGCGATCCAGACGGACGAGACTGTCAACGTGCACCGCGAGACCCAGATCGGCACGCCCAACTACATGAGCCCGGAAAGCCTGATCGACTCGAACGCGACGGACGCGGCGGGCCACCGCATCAGCTCCATCACCAACCCTCCGCGGCCCAAGCTCATGAAGCTCGGCAAGCCGAGCGACATCTGGAGCCTGGGCTGCATCCTGTTCCAGATGGTGTACGGCACGCCGCCGTTCGGCCACATCCCGAACCAGATGGCGCGCTGCCACGCCATCATCAACTGGCAGTACGACATCGAGTTCCGGGATCGCGGGATCGGCGGCGCGCCCGTGCCCCCCTCCCTCATCCGCACGATGAAGCGCTGCCTCACGCGCGACCTTCACCTGCGACCCACGTGCGAGGAGCTGCTGTCGCGCTCGGACCCGTTCTTGTACCCCGTCGAGGCGCCCGAGGGCACCCTGCCCATCACGGAGGAGCTCCTCGGTAGGATCATCCAGAGCGTCGTGACGCGCTGCCGCGAGCGCATGCCCACCGAGGCTGAGGCCCTGAGCGTCTGGCCCCAGGCCTACTGGGGCAGCGTCGCGAAGGCTGTGGGTAGGGATGTGGGCGCGAGGAGTACTGGGACGCCGGAGGCGAGGTAGTAGTGTTGGATTTGGGAGAGGCTTAGAAATAAAGACATAAAAGAAGGGACGGGGACGATGAGAGGAGAGGAATAAAATACAGTTAATACCTACGACTTATGAAAAGGGGAGAGGGAGTTAAAAGAAGAGATACTCAAATCGGGGGTTGAATTGTAAGAGGAGGGAGGTGAGACGGACGGTGGCCTGGTTGTATAAGGTGCCGTGGCCGCGTATGGATAACCATTGACGGGATCGCTTTGCGTATAAATCCCGCGTTGGATCCGACTTTGTTTTCTTCTTTTTTCTATTTCTTCCTCTCTTTACCTTGCTGAGGAAGTCATTGTCTTGTTTTACCGCCATCGAAAAAAATATCCCTGACGTTCTTCTGCTCATGTTTATTTTACGCCCCCATTAGCCATGGAGTTCAGGATAAGGGGGGGAGGGGGAGTACGGATGAGAGAGGGGGGAGCAAGGCTTTGTTTATTTGCTTCTGGCATAGAAAAAGACACTGACATCACTGCACGCACCATACACACATTATCATATCACTACTACTACTACCACCTTACACTTTACGCTTACATCTTGATACCGACGAACGAATGGGGTGGATTCTTATATACATCGCGGGCAGGATTTCTCTATTCTGCCCGCGGATGCTGTTTTGTTTATAGCGCTTACGAATCTTATGCCGTTGTTGTCTTCCGGCGTTCTTACGAGTACAAAAGCTTATTCGGCTTATTTATAATGAGAAGACTCGATCGTTTTCATAGCTCACACAACTTGACAATTTTGGTGACATGTTTAAACATATAGTACATGTCTATTCTATGTCGAAGTCTGGGCATCGCATAGCTTGATGCCCGGTCTTCGTTTGTTTCTTTCTAGGATGGGCGTTTTGTACATGGAGCTTGCCGAGTGCTGCTTCACAAGCTTATCGTTCTATGTGATGTTCCACATCCGGCCAGTCGTAGAGGCGATGTTTCTATCACCCATGTCCATGGTCTCCCAATGACTGGACACAGATCCGAATAGTCAAGGGAATCTAACATCCATCCCCTTATCCTCCATCAACCTCCCCCCTACATAGGCGGGCAAATCCACAAATCCTTCCCTTCCCAGCCCAGCAGCACTCCACCCCAACCTTAAGAAGGGCCCAACAGCTTCAACTCGCTAATCCTCAAGATGGTATACCTGTGCTTGCTCGTGACGCGCTGGGAGCGCCGGTTGCGGCGCTTGGTCTTGATCTTGACGCGCAGCGGCTCGCTCTCGACGCCGAGCACGGTGGCGCGGCACTCGAACAGCGCCGGGTCGATGTACGGCTGGCCCAGGAGCGTGTAGTCGCGCGAGCCGATGGTGGACGCGCGGTCGAGCCGCAGCACGTCCCCCGGCAGCACGCCGTGCATCAGGAACGGCAGACGCACACGGTCCCCCTCCGTCACCAGGTACGGCCGCTCGTGGATGTGCACCGTGATGTAGTGCGATGGCTGCGCGCGTAGGAGCGGGAATAGCTCGGCTACTGAGGCTGATGTCGTTGTTTCGGCCGCTGTTGTTGGGGTTGGTGCTGTTGGCGCGTGCTTGGCCGGTGTTGCTGCTGCTATGGGCGCGGACGGTTCGCTGGAAGAAGGAGGGGGAGGGGGAGGAGGCGGGGCGCTGGGCTCGATGTTCTGCCGCGCGGGCGTAGTAGTGGTGAAGGCGCGGGTGGGGGCGCGGATCCGGATCGGGAGCAGGAAGGGCGGTGGGAGCCGGGTTATAGGCGTGCGCAGCTCCAAGACGGAGCGGAGGAGTGAGCGGCTCATAATTCCTTTTTATTCTCTCTTTCTGTCTTCTTTGTTCCTCTTTTCCCTGTTCCTCGCTAATTGATATCCGTTTCAGCCCCGTGTTCTGGAATAATAAGGAGTGGGGTACTTTCGTCTGGTGTACAATAGGCCAAACTGGTGGCCTTTTGGGTCGCCGTGGTGAATGTCTTATCAAAACTTTTGGACCGAGGATACTTTGAGGTTTGGACGACGAAGTCAAGTATTGAAAAGCTAAAGTGGGTCTCTGGTTTTTCCGCTGTGCGTGGCTTTAATGCGTTATTTGTGTGGCTGGAGCTCAATTCTGCTCAATTGTAAATTTCGATAGTGGTGGGTCCCCCAATCGATAACGAACCTCAACTGTAACTTTTTTTATCGCTAGCCACCGACCTCGACATATCAAGTGTACATCTTCGCAATTACCACTGCCGACTTACTGATATTCTAAGCCCGGAATTGATCTCAGAGTACCTTACACATATATCCTCGAAGTCCCTTTCGAGGGCACAATCCATTCATCATGGTAAGCAAATACCTTCCACCCCAAAATCCCAAAAGCCAGCCATGCTAACAATGACGACCAGCCTCAAAACGAGTACATGGAGCGCTTCCGCAAGACGCACGGCCGACGTCTGGACCACGAAGAGCGGGCGCGGAAGCGCGAAGCGCGCGAGGGCCACAAAGCGTCCAAGGACGCGCAGAACCTGCGCGGGCTGCGGGCGAAGCTGCACCAGGCGAAGCGGCACAAGGAGAAGATCCAGATGCGGAAGCAGATCAAGGCGCACGAGGAGCGCAACGTGAAGTCGGCGGCCGAGCAGGATCCGAAGACGCCGCTGCCCAACTACCTGCTCGACCGGTCGAACCCGACGTCGGCCAAGGCCCTGAGCTCCGCCGTCAAGAACAAGCGCGCCGAGAAGGCCGCCAAGTTCGCCGTCCCCCTGCCCAAGGTCCGCGGCATCAGCGAGGAGGAGATGTTCAAGGTCGTCAACACGGGCAAGAAGACGCACAAGAAGAGCTGGAAGCGCATGGTTACCAAGCCCACCTTTGTCGGCCCGGATTTCACGAGACGGCCGGTCAAGTACGAGAGGTTTATTCGGCCTATGGGATTACGGTACGCTCCCTCTCTCTCCTCTCCTCTTCTGTTCTATTTTATTATCATGCGAACTCACCCCACGAACCCCTTGCTAACCCCCAACCCCAGGTACAAAAAAGCCAACGTAACGCACCCGGAGCTAGGCGTGACGCTGCAGCTCCCCATCATCAGCGTGAAGAAGAACCCGCAGCAGCCGCTGTACACGCAGCTCGGCGTCCTGAGCAAGGGGACCATCATCGAGGTCAACGTGTCCGAGCTCGGGCTCGTCACCGCCGGCGGCAAGGTCGCCTGGGGCCGCTACGCCCAGATCACGAACAACTGCGAGAACGACGGCTGCGTCAACGCCGTGCTGCTCGTCTAAGCCGCCCCTATACCTATGCGCCTGTATGTGATACGAAGTATTTATGCCATAGTTAGGGTGTGGTGGGTTGGCTCGGCCGAAGGGTGGGGTACGTTAGGAACGGGATGGAAAATAGGAAGAGGGGACATGAAGATGAATGGAGGATGAGTCTTTATTTCTCTTCTTCCATGGGAGACGACGGGAAATAAGTCTTGGACTTTCCCTATCTAATGATGTTGACCCTCTCTTGGTCGATGAAAGATTATGCGAAAGGACGTTGAAGCCGAACGGGTAAATGCCCGCCGCACCCGCAATTCGAACCTCCGATATTACATATTTCGTCAAGGGTCTTTTCATTAGGGTATGAGGACGATAGGCAATAGTACCTATCATTATGCATTAAAACGGCGTCCGGTGTTTTGCTGTATATGCCAAGAGATCCCAGTATAAGAGATTCGATGAATGGAAAAGGCAAAGAGGCTAGGTGTGCACAATGATTCATAGATCTAGCATCAAAATATACAAGTGTCCAGATCCTGTCGAGATACATCTGGCTCCGCGGTTCAAGTTAAGCGACTATCCGAATATGACCTCTAGAGTAGACCGAGGATACAAGGATTTCAGTGTCAGCCCTATCAATTTTAAATCCATGAGCTCACTAATGTACATAAGCATATCGAGTTGAGGGCAAGGTCAAATCCTACTATACGTGGGACGGTCATGTAACGTGTAAAAACGATGTCGATGTAGCTATTAGTACAGTCTACTACGGTTCTGTCCCTAAATCCGCCCTCAAACTTACGTATAATCCGTATAAGGTCAGTCTGGGCCCAGAACGCCTTCTAATTCATTCCCCTTTTACCATACTTGCTTGAACCTTGCAAGCCTTTACCTTTACCTTCGCCAACGTCCACCGCCCACCGAACGCCAGCATGGACCATGATAGCAAAAACAGAGAAAACTTCGGCCAATTTATGAGGATATCGCGAAACTCGCCCACCGTACTAGAAGGTCGAAGCATTATTAAAGATGGATAATTGTAGAACGTTGGGAGTTTGGACTTGGTTGCGCTTCTCGGTCGGGAGGGAAACGAGGAAGCAAAGAAAAGAACGATAAACCGGAATGCATAAACAAAGAGCTGCATCACTACCACTACTTGGAAGGATGCGCGGACTAATGTGGATTCGCTCAAGTGACGTCTGAAAATAATAACCTGATGTCGGACAAGTGTTAAATTAATAAACTCAGCCTTCCCCAACTCCTGGGGGATACTAATCCGAAAGGCGTATGTAAGCTGCCGCCTGCCACATGGCAGCACTTTAGTGGGCGTTGATTCATCACATTGATGAATGCTGTTATGCGTGACACTTCAAAGGACGAACCAGATCGGTAGGAAAGTTAAGCTCTCCCAGAGTTTATGGCGACGGCAACTACTTAGGTGGCATGCCTGCGCTTCCGTAGGTAGGAGGGTTCCACCCTTGGTGCTGGCCTGCGGTAGGCCAATCATTGTGTTTCTTGATTGGCTTGCGGTTCTTCAGGTGCGCAAAGGGATTGGGAGGTAGGTTCGCTTCTCCACCCGTAGTAGGCAATGAAGAAGCCATCGGAACAGCAACCGTCTCCTTGGGTTGATCGTCGGCTTGAGATAACGGAGCCGAAGTCTGGGGATTGTGCAGACGGCCATTGGAGCGCATATCCACAATAGTCTTAATCACCTCCATATCATCCTGATCCTTGTCATTCAGGAGGAGGCGTTGCTTGAGTGTCATCTGGCCGCCATTTCTTGTTCTCTCTTGAAGGGCAGCCTCACGAACGGCTGGATCGTGTACAAAACGGCACTTGCCCTTCTTACCACAGATACCTCCCGTAGAGTAGTATTTGCAGTGGTTAGAGGGGTCGGCTCGCGTAATCGGCGGAGGAGGCAAGAAACCAGTGGCTGACTTGTCAGTCGGCAAGGTCTCGGGCTTCTCGTCTTCGGATTCCTCATCTGAAGACTCCGATCTCATATCATCACCTTCATCATTGGGGGCGCGTTTACGCTTCTCAATCTTTCTATCAAGTTTGGCGAGTCTCTTACGAAGGCGATCAGCCTCTTTCTCAACCGGGTCAACTTGGATAGTCGCTTGCTCCTTTCCATTGCTAGCGTGATTCGCGAGTTGTGAGTGCAACTCTGCCTCCTTCTGCGCAACACGCGCCTTGGTTGGGAAATTAGCTCGTCGTTCTGCCAACCACTTTTCCAGGTCCCCATCAGGGATGCTAAGTAAAGGAAAGTCAGTAAAAGCCGTAGAGTGGAGAAAAAATACAAAAAAACAGGCTTACCCTGGGCCATCAGAGCCAAACAGCTCTGCTAGACGCTTCTCGTCGTCTACAACTTCTCCTTTGTCGGATTCATCGTCATCGGGTGTTAGTCCCAACGTATTGGTCTTGCGCTTCTTTTTCTTTCCAGAAGCAGAATCAGACTTCTGATAGTTGACGGCTGGGTGAGGTTTCTGATCACGATGGCGAAACTTCTCGCCACGATCATTACCTATCCCATGAGCTCCTCTGCTAGAGTGAGCATGGCCGCCACGACCATGACCTCTGTTGCTAGATCCATAATGAGGCTGGGGAGGTCCGGGGAATGCTGGAACAGTAGTCGGGGGATACCCGTACGGTGGCTGTAGAGGAGCCGGTTGATGATGCGCAGGAGGGTAGGGGTTGCGTAGAGGACCACTTCGGTCACTCGGATACCCACCGCGTCCACCGCGGCTTGAGTAGGGGGGATATGCTTGACCATGGTCACCCCACTGCTGCGGAGGTTGCGCATACTCACTGGGTGCTTGACCATATGGGGCAGCGCCATAAGGAGGGCGAGAGGGCTGACTGGGGTAGGGTGGTTGATAAGATTGAGTAGGCTGCGGATAGCCTTGGGGTGCGTAACTGGGAGGGTAGTTAGGGGGGATCGACGAGCCGCTGGAATGGCCATGACCCGAGGATGGAGCTCCTTGCCAGTAGCTAGCCGGTTGAGGAGGGTTGTAGGGACCGCCACTAGGAGACGAGTAGTCCTGCTGATAATAAGATGAACTGTATTCGCTACGACCAGGTCCTTGATGATGATGATGACCATGACTTCTGCCACCGCCCGTTGCGCCGGCATGGCCGCCGCGAGGAGCTGGATGGGCATATCCTGGCCCTTGACTATAGGGAGGATACGGGCTCGGAGAAGCTGCCGAAGGAGCTGGCGGAGGGGGGGCGTAGGGATAGTTGCTCATTTTGAAAGAGTTCAAGTATCAAGTTTTAAGAGTTTTAGGAGTTTGGTAGAGAATAGGTTGAAGAGTACTGAATGATAGATTGTTAGAGGATATTTATAGATTATATTGAGGTAGATAAGAAGTAGGACTCACCGCCAGCTAGACGATTCTATCCTGTCCGGAACGACAGTTGAAGTAATATATTCCAGAACTTTTGTAGACGAGAGATAATGTAAAATGGTATCAAATTCAAATTCGCTTTAGTTCGACAACGTATGTGATGAGGGCCAGGCGAAACGTTGGAAAGAGCAAAAGGGCACCTGGGAGGAGGTGGCTTCGGAGTTGAAGTGGAAAGGATTACGACGTGGAAGACGATCAAAGTTTATGTTGTGTCGTTGTGTGGTCCTTACGTGCACAGCGTGCACGTATTTTTTCAAGGTTCCAAGGTTTACAGATGACCCCTGTAAGTTTCTTATGCAGACGCGATCCGAGTTTTAGCGCGGTGCTAGCGCATATTTAAATAATGTTCCAGTTCTGACTCACTAAGACTGCGCGGTGCTGGAAAATAGATGATGCGCTTCAGCCGCAGTGGGTCTGGTCCGCCTTGGCACCTGCCGCAGCTGTCGGTACGTGAGCCCCACATTTTACTTTACTTCCAGTTGATTTGACTTGTCAAACAAGGAACATCAGCAAGTATCTTCAAATACAAAACATATACATGGTTGCAATGAAATTCGAATTACAATACAATACAAATGAGTGTATAGTAGAATATTCGAAGCAATAACATCGAAAAGATGTTCATCTTGGTTGGTTACCTCCACAAAACAGCAATCTAAAATCACAATATCCCCCCATCGCTAACAAACCGTCCAGACGAAAATAGCCGATCTGGTTCAGATCAAACCGGACCAGTTCGAAAAGCCCAGTCACATCGCCATTGAAGATGCTATCAACTCCAAGTACTCAAACAGAGTAATCCAGAAGATCGGGCTCTGCATCTCCATGTATGACCTGCTATGGGCTTCTGAGGGTCTCATTGGTCATGGAAGCGGCATGGTGAATGTCAATGGTATGTTTTGGTGCTTCTACAGTTTTATTTTCCTTCCTGTTTACGAACCGATTTTACAACATCAGTCCTAACTCATTCATTATGATAGTCGAATTCCGGATGATTGTGTTCAGGCCCTTCAAGGGTGAGGTCATGTTTGGGAGGATCACCAAGGCTGATGAAACCGGCATCACACGTATGTGCTTCCTACTCTACGAGATCCCCCGCAAGGTCGCTAATCCAATCTCAGTCCGCACTGATTTCTTTGAAGATATCTTCGTCCCATTCAAGGAGCTGCCTGAGAATACGCTATAGTAAGTATCACGGGATCCATACGACACCTTTCAAGTGAACTAATTATTATTCAGCAACCAAAATGAGAAAGCGTGGACCTGGGTATTCGATCCTGACAGCGACCCCATGTATTACGATAACAACGAGATGGTCCGCTTTCAGGTACAGGATGAGTCGTGGTATGATCAGAGACCCGACAACTCGGACCAGGAAGCCATGGACAAGGCAAAGAAGTTGTCCCCTTACCACATCGATGGAACCATGATGAAGGAGGGGCTCGGAGTTTGCTTATGGTGGGAATGATTATAGGCGTGTCCATTCGATTGACTGCATTTTGCACGGGATGGCGTTTGGTTGGCAACAGCTACTTGCATTTAGGTCTAGCTGATCAGCTACCTAACCTCGTTTACTTAGACTTGATACCCTCGAGCAATCGACCCTCTACACCATCCAAAATTGAGTAATGCTCAACTACTGCAAGGTTTTCTGCTTCGGTCTTAAATTGCTTGTCGGGGTCAACACCAGGTCCGAACATTTGAGGATTCTGAGCTCCCATCCCAGACATCTGCTGGGCCATCTGGTTTGCGGCTACCATATAATTAGTATATAAACATGCTGGAGCCAAGAATCATATTAAACGAACTTACCATTCTCATTGCCAAGCAAGAAGTTGAAGACGAATTGCAGACCAAAGTAACACAAGAAGTACCAACTGATACTCGACATCCATCTAGGGTCCATCTCCTTCGTTGCGACGCCAGCTTGCAACATGCTCTTGAACTTAATAGTAATAGGGAATGGCAGCTTGATGATGACGAAGCCGCTGAAGAAGGCGTTGATCCAGCTCATGATCAAGGTGTTTGGAATCATCATGGCCATGTTATTCTTCATCATACCCATCATGCCATCCATGGCGCCCGGGTCGGTCATCGGGTTAGGGGGAGGTTGGCCACGTCGATCAGGGTCTTTCAAAAAGGCGCCGGATTCGTAGGCATTGGTAAGGTAGTCTCGTCGCGTGCGGAAGGATGGCGCGGATAAGACGTGATAGTTGCTGCGCACCGCCATACCATGCATCAAGGATCGCTGTTCTCTCAAAGTCTTCTCATCGAGCTTCTTAGGGGGCGTTTGCATAAGGACGGTGGCATAGTATCGTAACACGCCAGTCAAGATCATAACAACAGTAATCGGAAGTAGGATCCAGTAGCTATATATCGTGGTCAACAAAACTCCCGATCACCCAAGTTAACAAGACTCACAATAGCTGGGGATCTCTATGGATCGTCTGCGGCGGTAATTGAGCCATTTTGACGTAGTTGTCCCCTTCTCCCTTGAGGACTTGGATAAGAAATTGGTTTTAGAGAGAAAGCAGGATGTTAAGCTTCAAGGTTGAGCTAGGTATTTGCTGACTGATGATAGGTTCGGATTGACGTTACACTAGCTCGGTACAGGGCTGAACTTTAAAGCGACCCATATTAATAAACATGCTCATTGGACCCTGCAAATACCTAGCTACTTCCAATAGCTGACAGCTTAGCTGCTTAGGTGGCTTCAATATTCCTGATATCATTCCTGCGATTGACAAATTCGTATCGACAACTTTCTTGCGAATTAACGTCAATGCAACATACTAAGTATACCAGCCCATAAACCTCAACGATGGCCTCCCAAGAACGAATTTCCGTCCACAATCTAGCGGGTCAGTCTTCCTCCTAATCTCCCAAGCTTCAATTCCATACTAAACCCCAACCCACCTAGACCTGAAGAACACATCCGATGATGCGATCCCGAACTACCTCAACTCCCTCGGCTTCAAGCAGGACAACCGACTCCTCGACACGCGGCTGGCCCTCGGCTACGGCGCTTTCGCCATCGCCGCCGCCTGCTTCGCGTGGGACTACAAGCTAGGCTTCGAAAGCACCAAGTACTACACCGCCGGCGCCGTCGCCCTCTACGCCCTACTAAACGGCATCCTGACCTACTGGATCGGCTTTGTGGAGAAGGGGACTATATACCAGGGAACAGCGCCCGACGGATCCAAGGTACACATTTTACGACTTACTTGAACCCCACTTGGGGTGTTTTGACATCCGCAAAAAGCGAAACTAACCAAAACCCCCAGATCTCGATATCCACCTCGACGAAAAAGAACATCCCGACCTACAACCTGAAAATCACCAGCACGCCTAAGAAAGGCTCCCCCACGACGATCGAGCTAGCGCGCTCCTTCACCGAATGGTTCGACTCGCAGGGGCACTTCGTCGCGCGGCCCTTCCAGGCCATGTTCGCCACCTCCGTGCCCCTGATCGCGAAGGCCGATCCCAAGCGCGCCCAGGCCGCTGCTTCGACGTTAGCAGCTGATTTCAGCAACGTGGATTCAGAGGTCCTGGACGCCATTGCCGCCTCCCAGGTAGCGTCTACCGGGGCCGACGACTCGTCCTCAGGCAAGAAGTCGAGACGTAGAAAGGCGTAGTTAAACCAAACAAGAACGTAGTTTAGGCATACTTTAATGCGTAATAAATATCCAAGATCACCAGTGTCTTTCAAACATTTTGATTTTCCCCTACAGCTAACCCATAAGGGGTGCCCCCTAGCATGCAGAATGTTCGCAAAAACCTGTCTAGCCAGGTAGGTACCTGGGAACTAACTTAGGAAATCTGATATGCCAGCTTTTGCGTGAGCAGTTATCTTTACCACGTCCACCATTCTCCTCATGTCTCTTATGCCATTCATATGTTCCCTAGTCAAATCTAGCAAGAAGACCTGGCACCCTTAAGCCAGAGCTTCCCAAGCCTTCCTAGCCGCTAGTGCCGTGCGTCGAATCTCCCTAACCGAATCTCCGCAAGCCGTGGACAGCGGGCGTAGAAGTAGCTGTCTATGAGGCACGAGATACTGCGTCTCGTACGTCTGGGGCAACTTCTGGAAGAACTCTAGCGCAAACTTCCGGCACAACACGCGTCCCTTCTCTTTGGCCTTCGCTGTAGGGTACCATTCGGATTCCGTGGTTTTAGGTGTCTTTCTCGCCGTCCCATAAATCGTAATTATGCCTAATATCAGACCGGCTAGATGCTCCTTGAGCTCGTTCGGTTCCTTCTCGAGGATCTGCAGTAGGACGCTGAGGCAGGACTCCATTTCGATACCAGCATCAAAGGTAGATAATGAGCGGATGCCAATCCGTACGATCTGTCCAATGTCACTGGCATATTGTTCGTACTTTAAGTGCTTCAAGATGCCGAATATAGCCACAGCACGATTGACAGTGGCCGTCTCATCCAAGCCCGAATTGGGGAAACACTCCTTCAGATAAGGCTGGACGGCTTGGAAGTACAACCATTCGCCATTCAGTCTTTTTTGGATCGCGTGGTTCGCTTTTTCTAAGCACTCCTTAGGACTTACGAGTACTTGGAAATTGCTCGCTAGTTGCCGACCCAATGTAGGCTCCAATGGTGCCCTATCGCACACCAACTTGAGTAATGCATTTTGTTCCGCAGGGATGCTTCGAAACCGGGCTACGTCGCCAGCCAAGAAGTGAAGAATACTCCTGAATATGCAAATGTCGTTGGACGCATCCAAGCTAGATCTTGACTCCTTATTCAAGATTTTCATCAGTGTTTCTATCAGAGTTTGCTGGATTTGTACTTTCGCTTGACTATAGATCTTATCTTCAACGCGCAGCTTGTTCGACAGTATCGTAAGACTAATGTCTAATGCAGCTCGTGTTGTATCCAAGCAAGGCTCCTGAACTGAGGTCAGGATGGTACAAAGACGCTTCAGAGCGTGAATATGGTGCTAGGACTACAATTAGTAGCTGTTAATTTTAAATTAATCAACTTCACGTACCTCTGGACTTATCACACCAGGGTAGAGACCTTGAAGGATACCCATTGATAACGGCGCTGTACGCAGATCGTCTAATAGGCTCACTCCGGTAATTTCAACGGATAAATCTCCTTTAGGAACAACCTCTTCGCTCGTAGTGTCATTGAAAAGAGTAAAGGCATCTTTGCCTACTTCTAAGGCTTTCTGCTCATCTTCGCTCAAGCCTCGGATAATCGATGCAGCCAAAAGGCCGAGTTGATGAATGCATATATCTTCATCGGCGATAGAAGCATGCCTAGCACTAAAATCTTTCCCCAGGGCTATGTGCGGTGGAGCGCCGGTGCTCTTTCCAGACGCATGATGGACAGACGTGAAACGACGGTATAGTTGCGCTACGACGAAGACGGAATATGCCAACAATCCCTTACGAGCATTGGAGCCTTCAATATTTTGTCCTGTCAGAGATGTGATGAAACTCGATGCCGTTAGCTTATCCAAATCAATTTGAGGTGCTCCAGCGTCCACAAGGTTCTTCGAAAACTGGGTAAACCATTCCTTCGTAATACCCTGTGCTTTTGGTTTGGAAGGGTTATCTGCTTGACTTAATAAGGAATCTAGAGACTGAATAACGCATAGATGAATGGAGCAGATGAACGGCGTCCAGTATTTTGGTGGCGCTTGTTGGGATAGCATCCAAAGCAGTCCTTCCAGTAGTATGTTAATCAACGAAACCGTATTTGACAATGGCGACTGCTTTCCAAGTAGATCTGAGCAGCCAACCTCACACAGCGTACTAGCAACAAGCTTGATCTCCAAAGGAAGATCACGCGAAGCTAGACGATGCCAGTATGACTTCGTAAGCGACGTGAAATATTGTTGTAATAACATCTGGAATGCAGGAGGATACAGAGATACTGCATCCTTCAATGCCATAACCGCAGAATCCCGGATTTCTTGATTAGCTTCACTATCAGCAATCCCTTCGCTAAACTGTCTGCTTTCCAAGGGATTGACGATGGATGGACCGGCCAACCATCCAAAGATCTTCTCACAGGTTGAGGTCGAGCACAATTGACGACATGGGTTAGCATCACTAGATTGCTGGCCCACCAGGGCTGCAAATCCTTCCATGATCTTCTTGAGAATGCCTACTTGCTCGACAGACCCCTGGCCGTCTGAGATTTCTTCCCACAGGGGGAGGTAAAATGTAGAAAAGAGGTAATCGCCAAAAAGCTCATCTTTCAACAGATCAGAGCTCCTATCAACATTCGTATTGTCCTTCAACGTGTTAATCAGGAGTGATCGTACAGCAAGGATCGAGTTCAATAATGTCAAAAGTTCCTGCTTATGGCTTGAAGATTGAGCTTGCTTAAGCGTAGTCTGAATACTGGGAATGGCCTGAGATGTGATCATGGAAAATGACTGGAAGCCAGCCCCAGCAATTGCCACTAACAGTCGACCAGCTTGGGCCGTGTAAGTGGGGTTGGACAGATCATCGACTAGATCCCTCCAGGCACTTGATAAGAAGGACCGTAGTTCATCATCGTCGAGTCGGGTAGTTATAGATCGTATAACTTTCAAGGTGGCCTTGATGGTATCAGGAACCTCGCCGTTTCGAACTTCGTATTTGAGCGACCCCCATATTTGATCAACGAAAGGAACAACACTCTGCTTTGGATGTTCATATTGTACCACACAGGCATCGATTGTCTGCAAGATATCAACCTTAACGGCAACGGTGACCGCGTCGCCCTGGTCAAGCTTATTGAGGAGATACGGTATTGCATGGCTGGCAACCCGATAATGAGCAGCGAAGCATGAACGCACAGCGCTTTTCAAATCATCAGCTGTGATGCCAGATGGTGTTGCGTTCGCTCGAAGTGAGATGGGGAAATAAGCCGAAAAGGTCTTGAAAACCTCCAATGTGACGTCCTCCGAAGGTGAGAAGTTCTGGAGGAATATCTTCAGGATCGTAAACCATTTCATCAAATTCTGAGGATCCCTTTCATTCCTGCATAGGTCTAGAAGGTTGGTAATAAATCCGCACGCGCTTCCATGTCGATATTCGAGGTCATTGGCCACAGCAGGGTTTTGGAGGAGCTCTAAAAATAAGTCGTAAAGCTCCAGACGTGTGGCTGGGGCTTGTAACTTGAAGTCTTCGCCCAGTCTACAGATGTTGGTAATTATATCATCTCCACAGGTAGGTTGGAATGATTTAGTGTTAATTAGATGCCTCAAGGCTTTTGCGGAAGCCGTGACACCAGCCCGGTGATCACTTGAAAAGAGGGAACCGAAGAAAGTGACCAGAAGCTTAACTTGGTCGGCTTTAAGAGAAACGTTTCTTTTCCTGAGGACGCCAAGGGTGGCGGCAAGAAAATCTAATGCTTTGGCCCGTGCGATGATGTTGTCGCCGGCAGCAGTATCATCACTTGGCTGGATCCAACGTTTTATAGAAGCAACCCACTGGCCAAGGGTTACTCGGGTGTTTGTAGCCTCTTCAATGGCTGGGAAATAGAAGGTTAATATTTCACTATAATCCATGTGACGTTACGGGAGAACTCACCTTTAGCGGCCTTCTCTGATATTTCCCGTTCCTGGTCATTCTCATCGGCGAGAACATACTGCAAGGCAAGATCCTCAAATTTGATGTTCGCCATCTTCACACGTAGGAAGTTCCTGTTCGGTGAAGGCGAACAAGTGTGCCCAAAGCACTATTCTTCTTATTCAGCCTTGATGTTGTCTTTTTCTTTCAAGGAAAATAAGTCGGTCTCAAAAGATGTGTCGTTTGACGCTGAATATTTGTTGAAAATCGCTTCAAGGGTTTAGGTACATGTAAGTAGTATCTAGCGGTACATTGCAGATGTACTTTCCCCAAATGACGAAATGCCCCGCGGTTACATAATGATCCGTGCTAAATCACTTGCCGATTTGGTGCTGTTCCAGAAGCAGTAAGAGGGGCAGTCAATTTTTGCCAGGCAATTGACAGGGGATTTCGCGAATTGTTCCCACTAGCGTAGCTGCGTAGTGGGGTTTTGGTAAAGAGCAGAGGGAAAAAAAGACGAAAAAAAATACTTGAGCTCAAAAGTCGTTAGCGACGTGGGATGTATGGAGATGAGATTCACCAACTTACGTTTAGTCGCTCATTTCCCATTCTCTTCTCCTAGGTGTCCAATTATTGATCGGATTTATCACGGGTTTCCTTCACAATTTCAATTGCAACATCGTCGTGGTTGTGGAGTGAAAAACTCTTTTCCTCGTTACACAGCTTACGTTAGCTTACACACGCTGTCATTGCCGCTACCGCGTCGTTTTTATCGCAATCGCGGGGCAATTGTAGAGGGGCAGGTACGTTTAAAATTCACTCGCGCCTTGCATTTTTATTTTATTTTATTTTATTGATATTCAGATATTGATGCCTCTTTTCATATGATAATCCCAAATCTTGCTCTTTGTAGGCAACTCACTGATTGTCTTAACTCAGTTAAATCTTCGTCGAAAAATGTCTTCTCAAGACGTACCGAAGACCTGCAAGGTCATATTAGCAGACACCATTGCTAAAGGCCTCCTTGCTGAAGTGAAGGATACATTGAAATCCATCCAAAAAAGTCCCGAGACTCAACCAACTCTCGTTGCATTCCTAGCGAACGATGATCCTGCAGCCGTCAAGTATGCTGAATGGTCTAAGAAGACCTGTGAAGAAAAGTAAGAATTTCGTAATCCTAAGTGCAAGACAGACATTGTCCACTTACACAGTAGATTAGTGGCTTCACTTTCGACTTGCGCCAAGTAGACAAGGATAGACTGGAAGAAGAGATCGTAAATGCCAATGAAGACGACAAGGTTGATGGCATCATTGTCTACTACCCCATCTTCCCCGGCAATCCTGCCCATGACCGGTACGTCCAGGAGACTGTATCGCTCTCCAAGGATGTCGAAGGGCTTTGCCATAAACACATTTACAACATGTATTATAATATCCGCTTCCTCGATCCACCTCAAAACTTGAAGAAGTCCATTCTCCCTTGCACTCCGCTGGCCGTGGTCAAGATCCTAGAATACCTTCAAATCTACAATTCCATCCTGCCCTACGGAAACCGGCTCTTCGGGAGGACTATCACGGTTATCAACCGCTCGGAGGTCAACGGTAGGCCGTTGGCTGCTCTTCTCGCCAATGATGGTGCTACCGTGTATTCCGTCGACTTGACGGGAGTCCAGCTCTTTACCCGTGGCCAGGGTATCAAGCAGCCGCGGCATCAAGTCCAGGAGAAGGAAGGGTGGACCTTGGAGCAATGCATACCTATTAGCGACGTTATTATTGGTGGCGTCCCCGTAGAGAGCTTCAAAGTGCCAACGGAGCTCATCCGTGATGGCACTGTCTGCATCAACTTTTCTTCCTATAGGAACTTTGACGGCCCGGCTGTCAAGGAGAAGGCATCAATTTATGTTCCTTCGGTTGGAAAGGTCACGATCGCTGTTTTACTGAGGAACTTGGTGGTATGTTGAAGCCAGGAACGAATGTTCGGCGTACGCTAACTATATAAATCTAGCGTCTGATTGCAAATCGTCCCTCCACCAACCAAGACGGCTCAGCCGACGAGTCTACACTAAAAGCTAAGAGCGAGGCATTCGTGCACGATATCTAATTTAGGAAACGAAATTTCATCCCCATCTACGTACCTTGAACACTAGGATCATCAGGCCTATTTACACGAATAAAGGTAGAGCACATTGGGTTTCTGGCGTTAGACATGGTTATTGAAAAGTTTTAAATATATTTAGACCTGCCCTTCGAGGCATTATGGTTCTGTGGTATTACAGCAAGGATACTATACCTTGTCCAATAAATACATCATCAAAACGACGAACTTCATAATTTAGAAAAAGTGCATAGTCGAACTAGGTAGGTGAGTGATAAGTAGCTCAAGGAAATTTATGTAGAATACCGGTTTGTGTATAGCGTGCCCACAAGTCGCGTTATTCCAAGAATGGTCAAAAGCGATTGCGATACAATAAGAGGGATTTGGAATCTGGATCGATACATCTCTAAGTAGTTATCAGCTTGAATTTCATAGCTTAGCTACTTGATTCCCTCTCAGCAAATATCTAAAGTCAACTATACCTCTTGAGAAAGCGTAAGATCATTATTCATCTGGATCTCCCCATTTAGTTGCTCCGACGATTCCTTCTTGGTATTTCTAGGGCAACCTCCACAATTCACAGCGCCCCTTATAAAATCACACATAACATCTCTCACAATAATAGTGGAGGTCCGTTGGGAAACCAGCCACGCTGTCCGTCCTTGTCCTAGTCATCCTTCCACGCCGTGCTACGGCAGGTCTTATACTCAGTCGTGACGAAGTCGACCTCCTTAACCTCCTCCTTTTCTCGCTGCTCCTCCTCTTGCTCCTCATCGACTGCTGTGCGCTTCTGGAAGTATCGCTGCCAGGAGTAGCTCTCGCCTAGCCGCTTCGCCACGTCGTTTGCCTCGTTCAGGCTGACTAGTCGGCGCTTGCCCTCGACCTTTCCGAGCTGTTCCTCGATAATTCGCCAAGTGCGCTCTTTGCGACACTTTCCAATCGAGTCTTTGGGTTCTTTATCCTTAGAGGCACACTTCTTTTTTAGCGCAATCTTGATGTTCTCATTCCCGTAATGAACATCAACCGCGACGGGCTCTAGCTCCTCTACCTTTGCGCTAATGAAAATATCGTAGGCTACTTCGCTAGGAGTTCGGCCAACTGCGTTCTCGTGATAAAGTAGATTGGTATTTCGAGCGAGAAGCACCCGGATGTGTGCCGGAAGATGACGGAGTACTGCGGTGTGGAGAATTGTATCACCAGCGCCGTTGAGCATCTCGAGCTCTGCACCACCGGAGAGCTCTAGGAGGACTTGAAGAATCTTGAGATTTGCAGTGTTCTCGTCCTGAAGCTCGAGGTGAGAGTCGCTGTTGCCTTGGACGTACTTCCAAGTGTGTCGGAGCGGATTGGCTTCCTTGAGCCAAAAGTGGAGAGGAGCATCACCGCCGCGGGTCAGATTATTTCGTTGGACAAACATATGAGACCTTAGATCCTTGTCTAGAAGATTCAAAAGCTGTTGAAGTTGCTCAACCTTGGGATTATTCGTTAAGGCAGCGTGGATGACATTGTTGAGTTCCTTATCCTTCACGGATTGGTCGGCTCCCGCATTGATAAGTATCTTTGCAAACTCAACCCTTCCGAGCAAGCAAGCTAGATATAGAGGGGTGTATCCTTCATCTGACTTTGCTTCAAAAGACGACGGGCAAACCTTGATAAGGTATTCGATGAGTTTGTTAGTCTTCTCTCCCCTTGGTCCCATCACTGCGCAGTGGATGGCAAGATCATCTGGTAATGGTTAGCAAAAGATGAGATAGATTAATAGAAAAAAACAATAATTCATACTTTGGACACCAAGCCATTTAGAAATCGCTTGGTCAAATCCACCAGACGCCTCGGTCAGGTGTTTCAAGCGAATATCCTCCTGAGCGACCTTAGATTTTCCAAATTCCGCATAGTGCCGCATTGGTATGTCGCTAATAAACCATTCAATAGATTCCAAAGAGCCTTGGAGAGCAGCCGAGAGCAATGGTGGGATCTTGCTTCCGGTAGTTTTGACTACGAGATTACGGCCGGCCTTGGCCCAATCTGCCCTTTTCTTTCCATAGACGCTCAATCCCTGATAGTAGCGAGGTTTCAAGTTAAGTTTCGTGCCACTCTTCTTCACCAAGTCTTCGATGGGAATTCCAGCACCGACTTGCCGAATAACACTAGCGAGCATCTCTGTGCGGCCAAGCTTCAGAGCGTGATCGAAGTAGAGCTGAGGAAGCGTATAAAATCTACTCGACTCGTCTTCGCCATCCTCGATAGGCTCTTCTCGAGCGAAGTGAATATGCAAATTGATCAAGAAGTCGAACCCTTTAATGTCATTTTCGGATATGACAAATTGGAGAAGACTCTCTTTCTGCCTTGCTTCGAGTGAGCCATCACGAACCACGAACGTTGGTACCATCCAATCCAGGAGCGCACTGGCAAGAACTTGGCTCTTAACTTGCGTAGAGACTTGGCCGATATTATCGATTGTGAGTTGGTCATTAATGACCTTCTTGTATACTCCAATTTCATCACCATCATCAGGCTCATCCCCGCCGGAACAATATTCCCCATCGTCATAGTCGTCCTTCTTCATTGTGAAGCGTGTTGTCTGACCTGACTTTGGTGCCCACTGGGCTTGCGCAATCTCCAAAATTGCTTTCGATACCTCATAGTGACCGCGGAGAAATGCAAGTGAGAATGGGTTATTGCCTTTTATGTCGGAGACCGCCACCTTAAGAGGTGATTCTTGTCCGTCTGCATCCCATGAAGCTAGGGTGAGTGATTTGATCACCTCGAGGTCGCCTATCCATGCCGCTTCAAAGCTTTCAAATCTTTAGCAATGCAATGAGGAGAATATGAGACATTGAGATACACTTACAGCTTAATGTACGCATCCTTTCGTGCATCGGTGACGTCTGTGACATTAGTAAATTTGAATTCGAGGGTGTATGGCGATAAAGAGCGGTTTTCGGACGAGTCTTTCGCATTAATATCAAAAGGAGGCTCTGGTATACTAGGGTACTGTTCCTTAAAAGTTTTCCCGCCTTGAGATACGAGAGTTTCTAGCACTCTTTCAAGTTGCGAGATGAGGTCTTGGGTGGCTTCGACCTTCTCTGTCAGTTCTCCCTCACCGATGGACTCAGCTCGCTCTTTCTCAAACCTTTCCAACTGCTTTTTGTAACCGCCTATCTGTTCCACGATATCAGTGGAAACAAGCCAGTGTTCGTAAGTACCCTCAGCGAAGTTTGATAGGAATTCTGTCGTCCCAATGGGCTCCACTGGACATTCTAGATAAGTGCCCTTCTTAGGAGCATAGAACCCTGGCTTCCGCCAGGGTCGGGGTGTTCCGGTCAAATCATCCTTAAATTCGCGGTATTCTTTGAGCAAGTCATGGACGACGTCAAGGGCAGACCGGCCCTTATGATATCTTCGAGACCAGTCGTTTCGAATGATATTGTGGCTCGCCCGGGTCAGTGTGTTGGGGTCGGCTCCTTTCTCCAACAATTCGATAGCAATGGAAGGATGCGATGACTTTATAGCTACTATCAAAGGCTGCTCGGTAGCGTCTTTGTAGCGTATGACGTTGTTCTCGTAGTCCTAGATGTTTCAGATAAGCCCAATGATTGCACAGTGGGGGAAGGGATGTTAGGGTCATATGAAGAGAAGTTGGTCTATGGCATAAAAGCGATATGTCATTTCAGAGGTTGGATGTAAACGACGGAAAAGCCCTAGGGGTGAACTTACGCGGAGCTCATTTTCGAATGTGAACTTGGCGCCCTTTAACCATGAGTCAAAATCAATCTGGGGCTTCGCTCCCGCCTCAAGTAGCTTGTGGATGAGTATTGGATCGCCTCTGTCGATGGCCGTCGACAACGGGGTTGTAGCATTGCCATTGTAGCATGAACCAGTGACGGATACATGATTAAGAGCTGCCTGGAGACCGATTTTGTCCTTATCCCATAGACACTCAACAAGCTTGGATGGACCACTTCGAATGTATTGGTGAAACGCAGTCACGCCTTTCGTGTCAGCCTGCGAAGAAGTAGCGCCTAAGCTCAGTAATGTCTCCACCATGGGCAGGGCTTTCTCGACAGGGAGAGCAAGGGCCAAGACCATTGTCAAGATCGCCATATTAGGGCTAGAATATGATCCATCGCCGATCTTAACAGGTGATAGCACATCAGCACCATACTCTTGACAAAGGAGCTCGACAATGTCGCAGTGGCCACCAATGATAGCATAGTGAAGAGCGCTGCATTTAGAATCCCACGCAACAGCGTCGACTTGATAAAAGTCCGGCTCGCTTGGATCCTCATCGAGGATCGCCGCCTCCTTCTCCTCGGTTTCACCGTCCTTGCCGACTTTGACAAACGACCCAGTAGCAATAGATATCGCATCATTGCCATCCGCGGACGAAGCATCGCTAAGGAGGTCTGCTTCCGAATCTTCGCCATCAGATTCATCGGGGGACTGAGAAGTAGGGGGCTTGTCAGGTTTGTCGACTTGACTACTTTTGTCTGCCGTGAACCGAGCTTTGCGGCGCTGGTCCTGTCTCTCTTCTTCCTCTTCCTCATTCAAATTACTTCTCTCAAGCAGATGCATGACCATATCGATATCACCGAGTGCTGCAGCCAAGTGAAGTGCAGTTCTGCCATCGGCTAGGCGAGCAACAAGGCGTGCATCGTGATCAATTAGGCGCTGGACGACCTGAGATGTCGAGCTGATGACGGCGAGATGCAGAGGGGTTCTGCCCGTATAATCCCTCGTGTTAGGATCTGCACCTTCCTGCGAAAGCCAATCTTCGACATGCTCGACATCGCCGTCGACGATGGCCTGACAGAGGCGAGCAGTGTTCCCAACGTATGCCATCTCAGTCCAGTCATCATTTGTGAGAGGATTGAACGAACCAATTTGCTATAAACCTATTAGCATTATGAAGATGTTTCGTAATAGAAAATACTTGCCTGTCTTCCCGGGTCATCAATGCGAAAGGAAACTTTCCCTGATACATAGATCTCACTCTCTTTCTCAGCTATTTCGATCTCTTCGGGGGTTTGTGGCTTTGGGCAGGTGCCACAGCAATCACCGATGACCTTGAAAATGTTAGGATCATGCTAGACTAGCAAAATAAATGATACCGTTACTTACATCATCGACTCGTCCGAAGAAAGCAGGGTGTCTGTGTAAGTAGACTTCCCTCTCCTTAGGTTGGTTCCATTCGGCATTCAAAACTAATTTTGGTTAGGTAATAAACGGATCGAAGGCTGACATCGAAGAGAAATTCGGTCTTAGGAATATGAAGAAGAAACTAATGATAGAAGTATGGCTATGAAAAGGCTTTCACTCACGCAAGTCTTTCGTATAGCAAAGCTTTTCGATTTTCTTCGCGTGAAACTTTTCACCATAGGGAACACTGAAGGTATGGTAGTTCGAGACTTCGCTCTCGTCGACCCAATCTGCCACTTCATCCTCATGGATGTCTTTGATATTTCCGTGGAGGCGATACTGAAAACGGTTGCCCGCTTCTGGCCTCCCACGTTCCTGTCGTCGCTTCTTGAGATATTCATCTCTAGCATTCGTAGTGGGAAGACGTTCAAGGACGAGCAAGCGAGCAAGTCCAAGAGTCCTGTGGAAGCTACGTTCGAAGATGGTAGGATCAATGCGAGATCGATCAAGTTCCGGCCAATAAACTTCGAAGTTGCGGTGACTATACTTCGAAAGACGATTCTCATACGAAGGACTCCTTCGAGTAAGATCAATGGGATTGATCTGGGTGATATAGGAAGCCAATGCTCGCGGAGTGCAGTAGACTTGATTTCCATCATAAGCAGCACCAGAACAATCAATATCGAATCCAGTTAAGATTTCAGAGACTGATTTATAAACTCGGAGAACAATCTAAAATGAATTAATAGCAAAGACGAAGAATAGTATTCAGTGGTCTATACCTGAACATGACGAGTGGGATATTGGCTGCCTGGATATTTGTAACCACGTTAAGCGGTAGCCTTCAGAAGGATTAGGATAATGTAAACTTACAAATCGTGATGGCATTCTTTGTTCGGACCACTGTTACTTCTGATAGGATCGCATCACGAATCCGAGCTTCAATTTCTTTGATCTTTTCAATGGCCTGCTCTTCGTTGAGACCGTACAAGAATAAGTCAACGTCGGAAGCCGGACTAAACTTTTCGTGGTAGTAATTGCGAAGAGCCCTCTTGGACTTCTTGTATTGATCAGGAACGGGTAGAAGACAGTTGACGACGGATGAACCAGCAGCCACAACATTACTCCAGTCCATTTCAACAAGCGATGTTTCGGAGAAGACGCCGAAGTTGTGACGAAACTGCTTGAGAGAAGAAACGACGGCGGGCGAGTCGTTCGGGCGCCGTTTATCATCGGGAAGAGACATGATGTACTTCTCCTTTTCACTGGGCGATTCTGCTTCGAGGTTACGAGCACGAGTCCTGATATTTGGGGTATCCTTAGTGAAAAGGGGTAGGACGTTGATATAGGGGTCATCTAAGACGGGATTGTTGCGTTGCTGAGCGTACATCTCACGTAGTTGGGCTTCATATTTGCGATAAGGATCCATCAACTCGCTCATTGGAATCTTGGGAAGGTGAGCGATGTAGTTTATTAACTCGTCATGTGCCACGGGCAGCCTGGGAAGGTCTGCGACGGTCATTTTGCTTAACTCAAGCTGAACTTGATAGAAATAATCGAGAGTATTTTGCAAACGAGTTAAAGGGATAAGTCAAGTACCAGGTAGGTAGTTAAGGAGAACCGTATCAAATGGGTACAAGGAATTTTGGTGAGACGGAAAACAGGAAGATAATAATATGAGACGTCAAATCAGTTGAGTCAAGGCATGCATGAGAGAAAAACCACACTTGATAGAATGAAGCTGGAGAAGATAGATGCTTTATATTAGTACCTAGGTACACTAATATAGGAGGTAAGTGTGGATCTCGATATAGGCAGGTTGAGCGCCATGTTGGCAAGAGACCATTCGCAACTGCCCTCGGTTAAACCCGCGCTACTGAAAGGCTGAAGGTCTCTAGCGCGACTGGTGCCTGGGAAAGCAAGGATCTTTGAAGGGTTTGAAAAGTTGAAGGGAAAGTCAAGAGGGGGTTATAGTGGGCTGTGGCAGTCGCGAAGTCCTATGACTTGGTGCTCCCAGCTGAGCAGGCTGTGATAGGCGGACCCCACCTAAATTGTCTAGACTTTCTTAGTGACTTTGACTCATCCTGCTCATCCAGGTAAACCTTTCACCGGTTCAATGGCTCAACCTCCATCGCAATAACCGTCTCAACATCAATGAGTCAATACCTACTTATACTTACCTAGGTAAGTACTATTTTAACAGGTTTGCTAGTGTATGCCTATACGTAAGGTACCTACTTACCTACATGTATGTAGGTAGTCAATTGATTCTGATGAGGACTCTGCTGCCTTCGCTTTACGTCAACTCGCAGCAACCGAGCATATCTCGCGTTGGGCTTGTGTAACAGCTCCATTGATAGGTTCAAGAAGGTCATTATATCTTTACCTATGTAGGTAGTTAAACAACACTCGCATATGCATATCCTCTTTTTTTTCATCTCTTATTCATCTCATTGGAAAGATTCCCAATCGAAATCTGACCCAATGCACGTATCACATGAAGCATAAGATTAAAGCTCAGCATTGCAGATGCTAACAGATGATTTCGTATTCAAATAGCCCAGTTATGGGTGATTTACATTTCATTCACGAATAATAGGTCTCATTTCGGAGACTTACATGAAGCAGATTGAAGAGAAAACTCAGGATACCCAGGAAAGTCAAATACAGCTCTCAGGTTTCTGAATATTGTCTTGTTCAAGGCAAAAATTTAAATTGTCGAAGTCTCATCTCAGCAGGTAAGTGGTGCATTGACTCCGTACCAACTGTTAGGATAAACTATTACTACTCGTGAACATTTGTTTAACGGTTTATACATGCCGCCTCCTCGACCATTGCGTCAAGTACTCGCGCCCTGCTAACCGATATGTGTCGTCCTCAACGTACGACCCGCCTTGCGCCTCCGTTTGCAGGACCAGATTAACGCCGTTTTCCGCTTCGTCATATTGCGGCCAGTGTGGTAGTCCAGGACCATTTGGGTCTCCGGTATGGGCAAACCGTATCCACTGGCTACTAAGTTGGTCGCTCAGGTGGCGGTACTCAGGCCATGGCCCTACCGTCGTTGGATTGGCGAAAACGAAGGCTACTTCACTAAAGTGCTCGACGCCTTTATACGCCGGCGCAAGCTCTCCGCCGCCGATGCTAGTAGAATTATCTGCTTCCGTGGTGTTGGAGGATGTGCTCTCCCAGGGCCGAGTGTTAAATCGATATGTGTATGTCGGCGAATACTTGACGTAGTGCCTCGCATCAAACCGTCGCGGCCCATGGTAGAAGATGTCCCCGACAATGGCTGCAACACGTTTATACTGCCACCCTTTATCAGCGAACCGTTCTTCGCCCGTATTCACGGGAACACCTTGCGCCGGGTCATCGGGGTATAATTCTAGGATGCGGTCAACGGTCCCAACAGGAAAGTCAAAACCCACGCCGTCCAAAAGAAAGGTCTGCAATTCCGTGTCTGTATTGATGCCCAGCGGCGCATTATCAGTACCCTCGTCGGATACTGTCCCGTAGAGGTGCGGGATATGTGCGAAGCGTCCAGCATGGAGGAGCTCCGACGGGTAGTTTGGTAATATATCACCATCTAATGATGGTTAGCAATTTCTCTTCGCTTTTAATATACTTCTTATATGCTACGTTTTGAATCGAATCAATGAACGAGGGAGATTAAATAACACTTACCAACAGTAGGGTAATAGCCCGGACCGGGAGTAGCCGATGAGTTTAAAAAGGGGTAAAGGGTATCATAGTCGATGGTCCGCAAACATTCTAATGTGTCCGGTACCGAGCTACAGTTGACTTGATCAACGATCTTGTTGTAAATGGGTTGGTACCAATCCGACCCGTTACACCAAGCTGTTGTCGCACTGCCGCTCTCCTGGATAGATCGATGAAAGAGGCCATCTGTCCGCCCGCCGTAGCTCATTACAAGTTGGCCCTGTTGAGATGGACTAAATTAGCTTCAGCTGTGATCTGCCAGACTTCATTCCCGCATCTAGGCAATTTCCTAGGAACTTAACTCAAACATACAACGGCGAATGATCCGGCTGATTGCCCCCAGATCGTCACGGATGAAGCATTACCCCCGAAGTTCTCAATGTTCTCCTGTACCCAGGCCAAAGCCTTACGCATATCTCGCAGCGCCAAGTTTGTATTTCCAGAACCCTAGGCCCCCTTGTTAGCTTATTTGAAGAAGTAGAGAAAGCCACTACCTCTTACCTGGATTTCGATCGAATACATGTTCCCAAAGCCTCCTTTTCTGTAGTTTATGCTAGCTCCTATGATGGGCAAGCCGATATCTACCGACTTCTGGACCAGATAGGTGAGATTATACTCAGGTTCTGCGCTACCACCATACTGATATGCTCCTCCATGGATCCAAAACATAACAGGCAGGAGTGTAGTCCCGTTGCCGTTCTGGCTGATTCCAGCTGGCCGCACGATATTGATGCTGAGACAATTTTCACTCATGCCATGTAACACCTCGGCCGATAGATAATAGTCAGGACATCCAGGGCCGTAGGTCTTAGCCTCCCGCGTGCCGTTCCAAGTTTCGTCCAGGGATTGCGGGACACGGAATCGGTTTGCACCACCGGTATCTTGAGCGTATGGTATGCCGAGGAAGATGTCCTGGTCGAAGGCGGGGAGATAGAGACCCTCATAACTACCATTCTTCACTGATACCACCGGGTCGGCCCTCGTGAGTGCAGTTGTTGAGCCTATAGCTGCCGCCACCAGGCTCACTATTAGCTTGAAAATTGCCATTGGTAAGGTACCTGGTTAGTTCAATAGACCCAACCACTGAGTGCCACAGGATGGACCTGGAAATAATCCGCAACCGGCTATGACCCTAATTATATAAACGCCAAGTCCCTCTTACTGTCGGCTTCCGACGACTAGAGGAGTTTGAGTCCTCTTCGGATCTCATTACCCTTGCGGACGGCGGGGTAAACAATCTGTTGATATGACAATAGTGTTTATCACTAAAGCTCCTGTAATGGAATAGCTTTATAGTATTCAGGCTTGCCCGTTTTCTGCTTAGGAACCCTGTACTACACTATCAAGGAAGGTCACATCAATAGCGATGTCGACATACATTCGACTGGGTACCTACCTATATGCAACGAGATAGCTATTGCCTTATCGTATTCTATCCACTACCCCAAGTCCGCCCCGCGTCGATCACTACGGTGAGCCAACCCGTCCGGATCCGAGGCTTTCGGTGAGAATTTATTCTATACCGAGAAAAGGTGAGCGAACCAAAGGGATAGGCCTTAAATTTTTCAATGAAATCTAAGTCCCAATAACAATATTCACGTACAATTCGCGAAACGGTATTACCCTTCATACAATTCCTCTCATTTCATAATTCGCTATCAAAGAATTATCTGATAAGAGTAAATTCGTTTTCATATAACATCCATGTCGGCTAATCCCGAAAAGAGCCATACTACCAGTTGAGCGTATCAAGCTGCCTATAACTTGATATCTCATATTTCGGTTTGAACGGGATAGTTGATAGAAACCGCCCGATATCTCCCTCGATATCTAACAGCTTGAAAACCCACTTAAGAATAATGGAGAAGGATTCGGGCTCTCCCATGTGTTTAGTCCCCGGAACAAAACTAGAGCAAGGAATTAGACCAGTCTCTCGCATGAGCAAGAGGGAGTTACGGTAAACTCACCGAGCTTCTTTAGGCCCGCCGTGTAGCAGGCACAGGTAACAATCGTCAATCGGGAAGATCTCGTCTTCGGTACCATTTACGAGCAGGAGACGCGTACACGGCTTATCCAATAAACCGGTACTCAGCAGGGAGAACTTGTCCTGCGCCTCTTTCTTGAACTGTTCGAAATCCGCGTATCCGAATTTATGACAGAGCGTGTGAGCTAGGCTTCCCGAACACCACCATTAGCAGATGCTTTCCGATCTTCCCCATCACCCCTCCGACACCCGATTTCAAACCCGGTTATCAAACAAGGGAAATGTTGAAAACTCACTCAAAAGGATACTCCAAATCATCCACCGCGTCCAACCACTCCGGATCAAACATATGATGCACGCCACCCCCCAGCGCCACCACGCCCTTCAGCTTGTCAGCATGCGTATGCGCGACGCGTATGGAGTAGTAACCCCCGGTGCTAAACCCCCAATTCACAACGCGGCCCTGGTCGATCTCCTCCTGCGCCGCCACCCACTCGAACAAGCTACTCCACACCCTATCCGGGCTCTCCGGGTCGCCGGCCGCCCCGGGGTTGTCGCCGGTGCCGGGTATCTCCACGACCAGCGTCGCGCAGCCCAGCTGCGCCCAGCCGTTCTTCCACACCGCGAGCTCCGTGCGGTACCCATCTAAACCTGTGAATATGATAACCAGCGGCACTTTGCTCGAACTCGACGCCGAGGCGGGTAAATGGTAGAAGCCGGGCAGCGTCGGCCCGTCGCCGTTCGCGGCGTGCACATGCGGAATCTCGACGGCGGCCGTGGGGTACCGTTCCAGGCCGAGCCCCTTGATCGCGGCCTCCTTGCCCTTTCCCCACGCGTATACCTGCTTCTCGGAGCGCGGGGCGGGGAACCGCGCGATGCGGTAGAGGGCCGATCCGCGCCTATGTAGTAAAAGACTTGTTCAATTTCCATCGCCCCTAGTCAAGGGTAGCTTACGTGGTTGGGCGCCGCTTACAAGTACAACTCCGACGCCTTCTCCTTGTCACCTTCGTCCTCAGCGTCTCGGGCGCGGGCCACGAGCTCCTCCGCCTTCGGGAAGAAGCACTGCGCGTACTCGTCCCAGTCGTAGGGCCGCTTTAGCCCCTTGGCGACGATGGTCTCGACGACGGGTTGGAAGTCGACGGTGGCGCCGTACATGAATGGGTAGATGCCCATCTCGCACTACGTAATACCGGTTAGTTAGTCCGAGGTCCCTCGTTAACGAGGATGTCTGGGATAAGCTGGGCGGCGGTACCGGGATCTTCCATTTCGTCTCCCACAGCACCTTGAAGCTCTCGTGGTGAGGCGCCGTCAGCTTTAGCTTCTCCTGGATGAAGAATTTGTTCCCCGGCGCAGCCATGACGAATGATGCTCGTATCTATCAAGTTCGACGGTCAGAGTCAAGACCAATCTACAAAACTAGCAGACGCAGGGTCAAAGCCACGATTATTGAGCAGAGTCTTTATTGTTCGCTGAAGGATCTCTCATGAGAACTATCGAATCAGACGGTTCGGAAGGAGGTGTGGGGATGCCCGCGTCTTCGCGTTTCGGGGTTTCGTAAGCTTGTCTGACAGGTGCTTTGTCAGTTCCGGATTAAACGGGATACATAAGAATCAGACGTAGGGAATAAGTATTTGTTCTCGTCGGAGCCGGTCATCTTTGGAGAGCGACTGCAGATCTCATGCAAGCCATATCACTTACGTAGAATTAGAATCTGTAAGTCTCACGGTACAAAAGAATAGCTGATGGATTGACGATTCTGATGATCACTGTTCGGATGACGAAGTAACTAGCTTTTGTTATAATCACGTCGTTGACATATATACCAGTTTGAAGTGGGCTCGACGCGGAAAGCGAACTCGGAATTCGTCCTCTATTGAGCGCCGAGACAAGGGCAGATTTGAGACGGCGTGTGACGAGTCGCGATAGATGTTACGTACAGGCATTTTAATCATACAGGTCCCCGTGGTTAATTGTCTCTCGATCCCTTAGCCAAGACAAATAACCCCCTTGCCGAGTCGGTATGGAAATCCTCGAAGTTCCTTGCATTATACAGGGTCTTTCTAGAGTTGGGAAAGAAGTTTGTTGATATGCGCACGGAGATCTTCCAGTGGCACAAATTCTTTACTTCCCAGTCTCCTGCACTGAACTTCGGCGCGTCGCTCCGATGTCCATTTCCTACCCAATATTACAATAACCGGGTATCCTATCAGGTCAGCGTCGTTAAGCTTCCATGGCAAGCTTGCTTCGCGGTCATCGAACATTAGATCGAAAGGTTGGTGGTTCTGTGAATCTGTCAGGTGTCGGGATACGAGAATGTTATCTTCCTCCGAATTTGCTGTTGGAATGAGCAGCACTTCGAAAGGTGCAATGGCGCGCGGCCAGTTGAGCCCCTTTTCGTCGGCCAGATGGTCTGCGATGGCAGCTAACATGCGAGATACCCCTATACCATGACATCCCATCTGATAAAACACTTGCACCTGGGCCCCGGATTTAGTTGGCTTGGCAGCTGTGCCTTCACCTTCAACCAAATGCGAAGGTACCACAACAGTGGCATTAAGTGCCTCTGAGTATTTTGTACCAAGATAGAATGTATGCCCGAGTTCAACTGCCTTTTGGACCTTGAGTTTTCCAGAGTCACAGCGGGGACAGCTATCGCCATCGCGAATACGAATAACGTTAAGAAGACTCTCATTTTCCGATGAGGTAACGAAATCATTAGTGACAGCTGAAAGGTTAATATCGCTATCTTCAGGTAGTATTGGTCCCGGAGAAGAGCTCGTAAGTCTAGCCTGGAATGTATCAATAAAAAGGGGTCCAAGCCGATAGTCCACGATGTTCATGATTCGTAAGTCTCCTCGAGGCTTAGTTAGATTAGGAGGCGTAGAAGACCAAAATGGAACTGAGTTATCAAGACTCGAGTCCAATTCGGGAAAGACTGCTTTAATGGCGTGTGTATTTATATCACTGTTCTCGAAGGAAGCAGGATACCAGACGTTGACGAGAGTTTCCCTATCTTTGGAAACACCTCGCCAAACGCTGACGGCGCTCCAATCATTATCCAAGCCGCCCTCGGAGTTGCTATCTGGGGGACCAAGTCGTGCGGAAGCAACCTCCTCGTTGGCTACGTAGTCACAGCTATCACAGTTGATTACGAAGTCCTCCCCAGTCGAGGAAGGGAGGTGATATTCGTGGCTTTTATCCCCTCCGATATCACCAGAGCTAGCTTCTGCGCACAAATATGGAAGTTTTAACTCGTCGAAAAGCCGGGCATAAGCAGCTCGTGCTTCCTCGTAAGTAGAGAGTGCCGACTTGATAGAATAATCGAAAGTGTAGAGATCCTTCATGAGGAATTCCTTAGATCGAAGAAGTCCTGCACGTGGGCGGAATTCATCACGGTATTTCCGTCCTAGTAAAGTGAGAAACGCTTTCCTAGCCTTCTGTTTGAAGTGGCTCACCGATCTGATAAAGCTTTAAGGGAAGTTCTTTGTAGGAACAAGATGTATTCGACACAAGCGTTGTTATCTCTTCTTCGTGAGTTGGCGCAAGCAATAGGGCGCTTTTTTTCCTGTCGAGGAAGCGAAATAGCTGGCAATTCTATGAGTTGGATGAACCTATTTTCCGAATCATTTATCCTTAGCTCACCTCCTGGCCGTAACCATCTAATCGATTCGTTTTTTCCCATAAGGACTGGCGCGAAATAGAAGATAGGGATACCTTGGATGCACCTTTATCTATGTAAGCGCAGAATCAACAGAGCCGGGAGCAGAACTAGGTTCAGTGATTCTCACCAAGTTGAATCATATACTTATCTATTAATTTCTGCAGCTTCTCTTCAACCCTTTGGCCTAACGGAAGCATGTGATGCACCCCTGAATGTGACTTGGAAACGAATAATTAGGATAAGCATGAATGAATTAGAGTAACATCTGATCTGGAAACATACTTGGCGTAAATAGCCGGCTCGAATTAATTTATCATGAGCGGCTAGTTTCTATATCAGAATAACAAGACACTAGGTGACATTGAGATTGAATCTACATACTCTCATTCTTAGCAGCTTGGAGCCCTTGAGATCCAGGGGTCCAGAATCTGGATCGGCGGGTGAAGTTATCCTGTTCCTGGAATTCGGACTGAAGATATATTAACACAAATGCTAGCAAGATTGAGATGGGGTGCTGATTCGAACCAGATTATTCGTCGACGACACTAGGCCACTATAAGGCCGAGAGCTGTGAACATCCAAGCATCTGTTCAAGCATCTGAACGTAGACGCATGACTTCTCCTCGGGATACGTGAAAGGGGTATCATCTTGGCTGTGGCATGCCCGACTGACACTGTGAATCTGGATACCCTCCTTTTTAACTAAGTAGCTAGAAATAAGGGGGTATACTTCATATCCTTTAGAGAGCCATGAATGGTATGTCAATCAATTCCTCAGACGAGGATAAGCCAACATTGAAAATATGATCGCAACTTAGCCTAAGTAGCGAAATTCATGAATCTCAGCGTTCTGAAGCTCAAGTAAAGGTAAAGAAAAATAGTCCAGGTACTTGAGTACTTGGGTTAGGTAAGAGTTTGGGATTGCTTGAGCCTGTCACTGAGAATACACTAAGTTGCAGGGATCCATTGCTGTGCATGAAGATAAAGTAATCGCACCTTATCGATTGGCCAATTAAATATGGGACCAGCTATTCTGGCCCCGCCAACTTTTTTTTTTCTAAATCCGAAATTTTCTTTGGCCTCGTCGCATTGAGTATACCATGCTTCAAGCTGGAGATTGATGTACGCGCTATCTTCAACCAACGACAGTACGGACTCGATCGCCTCCCGCTCAAACTTCCCATAACAACCGAAGAGGGCTTGGGTTTCAAGACTGTTTTACTAATGGCGACCTTCGACGATGCAGCGCTGTCGCAATTGACATCTAAGATCGAAAGCAAGCTTACTGAGTCTAAGCAACCTCACAGCAAAAAGGGTCAAGGCAAAAGGAAACTAGACGAAAGCATAGATTCTATCCAATCACCTCCCAAGAAGAAGAAGAACACATCCGAGCCGAAAGGTCGCAAGAACGAGAAAAAGCCAAAGAAGGCTCAGAAGCCCGCTGCTGCTCCTAAAAAAGCCGAGTCGAGCACCCTTCTGGATGAAATCAAGGCACTCGGTGGGGATGAGGAGGATTTGAAGTTGGTAGAAGACGCAAACTCCGAGGACGAGGAGCTTTATAACGGGAAGGGCAAAAAGAATGCGGACAAGAATCTACGTGCTGAGTTGGCCAAGTTCGCCTCTGGTCTTGGCTTTGATGAGGTGAGACCAGAATCTGAATCTGAAGCTGAAGAAGCGGATGAAGGTATGGACGAAGTCGATGATACCAGTGAGGACGAGGGCGAAGACGACGACGCGTCAGTCATAGATGCCGACGAAAAGCCTAAACGAGATCCGAAAAGGAAGACGGTTAGTAAGCATCTCTATAAGTTGGAACCTCTGCGAAAGCTTAGCTGATTGTTGTCTAAGATATTTGAACCTCGTCCTGACTGGCATGCTGTTAGCTTGAAAACTCTGCCAACACCCTCTTCTGACGATATCACGCCTTATGCAGCAGCGATCGCTGAGTTAAAGGCTTATGCCAAATCAACCTTGGATGAGGATAGTGTCGCATATAATAAGACACTGTCTGCGTCCTCATCACACAGATTCATGTCTACTATCATGTCTTCCGGTACTATGTCTGATAAAGTCTCTGCCTTAACTTTAGCTATCCAGGAATCCCCTATACACAATATCAAAGCCCTCGAGAATCTCATCGGCCTCTCGGCGAAAAGAAGTCGAGGGCAGGCCCTCGCTGCTCTTGCTGCTCTGGTGGACTTGTTTGGGCCGGGAATGATTTTACCGTCGGATAGACGATTGCGTCTTTTCTCTTCCCAACTGGGTCTTGTCGGGACTCTGCAGAAGTACAATGTCAAGACCTGGTCGGCTAGCCAACAGTTGCCTGGCAAGATCACTAAAGAACACTTAATCTCATGGATTTTTGAGGACTGGCTGAAGGAGGCCTACTTCAAGATGATCCAAAATCTCGAGGTCTGGTGCGATGACGAAGTTGAGTATGCTCGTACCAAGGCCGTTGATCTGGCGTATGCTTTATTGAGAGACAAACCCGAGCAAGAATCCAACCTTCTACGACTCCTAGTGAATAAACTTGGCGACCGTGAGCGCAAAATTTCTTCAAGGGCTTCCTACCTGATCCTCCAACTCCTGAACTCTCATCCTGGAATGAAACATGTGGTCATACGAAATATCGAACAGGACATCATATTCAGACCAGGGCAACATATTCGAGCCAAGTACTACGCTATTAACACCCTAAATCAGACTATCCTCAGCACAAAAGAACCCCAAATTGCGGATTCTCTACTAAACATATACTTTGGACTATTTGTCTCCTTGCTGAAAAGCGGAGAGCTTAGCCAGCTTGATAGCAATCCCGACGATCCTAAAGGGGGCAAGCACAACCATCACAAGTCCAAGCCGGCGAAGAAGCCAGACGATAAGAAGCAAGCTGCTTCAGGTGACCGAGAAGCTGCTGAAAAGCTTGTATCGGCGATTCTCACTGGAGTGAACCGAGCCGTTCCATTTTCACAAGCTGAGCAGTCTACGTATGTCTCGTTATTTCCCTGACTTAATGTAGTGTGGCAATGCTAATATTTCGCAGGCTCGAGTCTCATCTGGATACATTATTCCGTATCACACATTCATCTAACTTTAATACCAGTATCCAGGCTCTCATGCTTATTCAACAACTTGCAGCCAACCGACACCTTGCTACAGACAGATTCTATCGGACTTTGTATGAATCACTTTTAGACCCGCGTCTAATTACCTCTTCTAAACAGGCCCTCTACCTCAATCTTCTATACCGAAGCCTGAAAGCTGATGTGGATGGCCGCCGCGTAAAAGCATTCGTCAAGAGGATGTTACAAGTTCTGAACTTGCACCAACCTTCTTTCGTCTGCGGAATAATGTACCTCATAATCGATCTCACCGTCACATTCCCAGACATAAAAACATTAATCAACGAGCCGGAGGAACATGACGAGGATGAAGCAGCACCGGGTGTGGCTTCAGATGCTCCGGCTGAGGCTCCTCCCGACGGGGCCGAAGCTGAATCTACGAAAGTTAGTGATGCTTACGATGGACGGAAAAGGAACCCCGAATATAGCAATGCGCATCGCAGCTGTCTATGGGAACTACTACCGTTCCTTAGACATTACCATCCTTCTGTGGATGTTTACGCATCGACTTTAATGAACGGACAAAAGGCCGCTCAAAAGCCAGAATTAGCGAATCATACGCTCATAGCTTTCTTGGACAAATTCGTGTACCGCAACGCCAAGGCCGTCGATTCGACCAAGGGTGTATCCATCATGCAGCCTGTGACCGCAACGGGCCAGGGCTCCGTCTTGTTGTCGAGCAAGGCTCCGGCTAAGACGGCAGGAAGCTCCTTGAACTCGGCGGAGTTCTGGAATAAGAAGAGCGAGGACGTCGCCGTCGAAGACGTCTTCTTCCACGAGTACTTCGCCAGGATAGGCAAGTCGGAACAAGCCGAGCGCAAGAAGGCGAAGAAGGCGAAGGGAGCAGAGGGCGGAGAGGACGCCGAGGAGGCTGCGGAAGACGAGATCTGGGACGCGCTCGTGGCTTCTCGTCCGGAGGTCGAGGGTGAATCGGATAGCGAGCCCGACTTCGACGATTTGATGAGCCTTGATGATGACCAGGACTTGGAGAAGGAGATGGCGGAACTGGATGGAGAGAATGGATCGGAAGATGAAGAAGAGGGAGGAGTCGAGTTCTGGGATGACTCGGATGACGACGAGGAGGGCGACTCGGACCACCAGGAGCCGCCTGTTGCTGAGGGAGAAGGCGAGAATGACAAGAAACCGGAATCGGAGCGCACGAAGAGGCGGAAGGCTCTCAAGAGCTTGCCTATGTTCGCTTCTGCAGATGACTACGCCGAGATGCTCGCCCAGGACGAGGATGATCTATAAGCATGTGATAGAAAGCCGTAATTATGAACATAGGGTCATCACAGACGTTTTCACTACGGCTAGCAATAGACACTTGAAAATTCAAGATACCCGATTTGGTATCAAATATCACGATACTGACTCGATATCTTTCTCTTCATGTGTTTCATTTCATTCATTTCGTGCTCATTAAATTACAAATACCTAATTGTCCCAACTCTCACGCATTTAAATTGAGAATCGACGCAATTAGGTGTCAAACCACTCGAGCGGATCGTCCTTGGTGAAAATGGCGCGGTACTTGTGACCGCCATCCGGCTCCTCTACGTCCTCGGTATGGATACTGTGCAGCTTCGCAACGCCGGGCTCATCGTGACCGTCGCCGCCGACAAAAAGGCGGACGTCTTTTTAAGCGTTAATCATAATTCACTCTTTTTCTCCCTAGAAATACGCGGAGAAAGTTAGAAAATAGATAAGGGCAACGTACGGATGTAGGCCGGTCCCGAGTCCGGCACGGCCGGGATGCGCACCTTGCCGAACAGGTGCAGGCCGTACGCGGACATGCCGACGCGGACCGCCTCCAAGTCAGCGGAAGTGAAGGAGGTCAGGTCCGCGTCGCTGAGGTGCTGCACGGCTGCGAAGTACTCCGGTTCGTGCTCTGAAGACGGGGTTAGTTTGCGGTTGCGTAGATGGTGCAGGACAAGAGAAGGGGGGGGGGGGGGGATGTACTTAGGTAGGTGTGTTTCATGTGCAGAAGCTGCTTCTTCAGCTCGTGCTCGACTTCGCTGAAGGCTTTGAGGGACTCCTCCTTAGGCGCGTGGGGAGGTCCTAGTTCTACGGTGTCGGCGGTAGCCTGGGGTAGTGGTAAGCGAACTGCGTTGTAATTATATCGCTGGTATATACGATGTTACTGACCATGGTTGTGAAGCAATATTTGTTGTAGTTTGTTTGGTAACAGGTATCTAGGTATGTGGTATGAGTTGAATATCAAAACTGGTAGTATGTATAGATAATTAGATTCCTACGGCTTGAAGGCGATGAGGTAGGTCAAGTTTCTTATGTCTATACTCCGCATAAAGACGTGTAGATCACTTGAGTATGGTGTGACGGACCTGGCAATTTACACAAACAGGTTATCGAATCATCGGCACAGAATGCCACAGGTTCGGTAGGTCGTTTGCGTCAGAAGTAGGTTGATGCTGCCAAGTGACAGGGTGCTTACGTAGCTGCGGGCTGTATGTATTGTGTGACAGACAGACAGATGGGGAAGATGGGGATAATAGAAAATGGAGATTCAATAAAACAGGCGAATTTCACAACTGGATTGGCTGTGAGAGCTTGGCCGCTAACACGGAGGCCGCCGGGGTTATGGACTAAACGGCAACTACCTATGTATGTGCCTAGTCCTAGCTGGTATCTTCTAAGGGGTATATTCTCATTGATGACTATCAAGGTATACCTATCGTATTCAGACAGACGTCATAGTTCATAGTTTAATCTACAAGACTGAAACATCGTTTAGATCCGTTTAATAGGGTCTTTATGACGGGTGTAGGTTTCACGTTCCTTGCAGATCTCAGATGCGCCCCTCATTTAGAATCTAGCCACCCACGCAATGATTATATTTCTTGCTTTAGATACCAAGCTTTCTATGGGATTTTCTTTCTTTAACACATGTAGAGAACGAGCGGGTACCTAGGCAACCAATTGAGACTGCTCTGCTAGTATCTCTTCTATTATAGATTTCTAGAATAGGGGGCTAAGCCTGAGGTTGATTGCAGATATAACATACTCGTACGAATGATGTGGTAGGGAAAGCCAATAGTTTACCTATTCCATTAGCAACAAGACTTCGACAGGATCATATATCGCCGAATTATCAGTACGCCGGAAGCCAAAATATAATTACTATCACTTCGACTAAACTCAAACTCCTGGAACTCCGAATGTAGGATCTTTCTTCCAGCTTACATAAACAAACTACCTCGGCATTATCCTATTCGGGGAACAAACGGGTCTAAGGCGGTTAGCGGCTGACGGATAACTGGAGGAGCGAAATTCGTTGGGAAATGCGCAGTCAAGTGTCAAGGAGGGAATGTCTCAACAGCCCGCCGCATAACGACAAGAGAAATATGGGAAGTCGACGAGGAAGATTCTAGTATCGGAATTAGTCCAATTGGTTCAATAGCCACGAAAAGAGTCCCGCTGGCTTGGGGAGGCCCCCACTCGGCCTTGGAACCCCTATCGCGACCATGTTCGCCGCGCGAATCCAAGCCGGTGTGGCTAGGGTCGTGCGCAACCGTCAGCTACCCGTTGAACCGACTATAAATCTGATCCTACGTCCGACCCGGCGGCAGCCTCTATTATCTTGTCGCTTTGTCAGCACATCCCCTACCCAAGGTATATTCCCATATCGTGCACCTGCACCCTACCCATTATCTACCAGCAGGCTAACATAAAGGATCCCTAGATCCACCCCGACCATCATTCCTCCGCCGCGCCGCCTCCTTCCTAGCCGCCAGCTTCGCATTCACGTTACTCGGCACCGCGATGGCAGCCGCGCCCGCCATCCCCACCGTCAGCGAGCTGCTGAACCCGCCGACGGACGAGGAGACGCTGACCATGTTCTCGCCGGAGACGGAGCACCAGCGCGAGGTCGAGGCCTTCATCCAGAACCATGCGCTCACGCGAGAACTGCGCGCGAAGCCGGAGTTCTCCGAGGCTCGGCCGCACCTCAAGATCCCGCCGGCCTACCGCAGCTACAACCTGACGGGCGGGACGCTGATGGGCCCCGGGCGGCTCGTGGTGCCGCCCCTGATCTTCGCGGAGGAGGGCGGCAAGAGCCTGGTTTCCATCTCGTATCTGGGTGACGAGCTGTGCGGGCACCCGGGCATCGTGCACGGCGGCCTGCTCGCGACGATCCTCGACGAGGGGCTCGCGAGGTGCTGCTTCGCGGCGCTGCCCCACAAGATCGGCATGACGGCCAACCTCAATATTAACTACCGCGCGCCGGCGCCGGCGGGCTCCTACGTCGTGCTCCGGGCTACGACGACGAAGGTCGAGGGGCGCAAGGCCTGGGTCGAGGGCCGCATCGAGACGTTGGTCGGCGAGGGCGAGAAGCCCTTGGTTCTTGCGGAGGCGACGGCGTTGTTTGTCATGCCGAGACAGGCTGCGGTTAGTAATTACCCATACACCATATCCAATGGCTATCTTTTTCTAGGAACCGGTGAAGACTAATATGTTCTACAGATGATGGCGAACGTTTACCCTACGACATGAGCACACTGAGCATATACAGGCAACAGGCTACATAGATCGACGATGAATAGATTTTATTAGACCGGGATAGACGATGGGCATTGCGTCTGCTACGGAGTTTGCTGGGTTAAGAGCTTGCATTGCTTAAGATCTCGTACGGTGTCTATGTATTTACCCCGGCCAGACCTGATAAGCCGGGGTTATGATTTCGAATAGAGTAGAAATGATCAAGATTCTGAACCAGGTTAGGTCTTGTCTTATACGTGATATATGAGTGATGTGTATATCATCAATGCTTAACTATGAAAAAAGGGGTTAAGTGGTTGTCTGGCTAATTGGCTGCCTCTTCGTGCCATTCAGAGGACCGCGTCAAATATCGTAGAACGAAACATCTCTTCTCCTAGGTAATATAACTTATCCCCTGTGTATTACGCAGCTAGATGACGTAGTCGCCATTGTATCAACAAATCTGTTCAAGGAGTACCTAAGCGTATATATAGAAGAAAAGGCCCAATTCACTCCTTGATTGTTAAAATGTCTAAAACATCAAACAACTAAAAGTCAATTGCCAAGTTAAGCTCTCTCCTGCGAATCGGCGACCGGTTTAAGCACGTCATCCGACTCCCGATATCCTAAACGGTAACTAAGTAATACCCGCTGCGGCTAAGAGACTTCGTCAGTAATTCAAGACACCTCCAGGGCTAGCTAAAAGCTCCAATAAAAGTCTCTTTTTCCTATGAGAGCTTGACTATTTGGTCGACCTCTTTATCTGTATATTTCATCATTTTGCCCTGTCATACATTCAGTTATCGAAACGCTTCACCTACGTTGAGAGAATCTGTGTTATAGTTGGGAAAAGATGGCAACGTAAGCATCCTTGCTTTTTTTTCTCGCCTTCATCCATTTCAATTGACTTGAGTGCCCCTCCCCCACTATCCATTTGTCGTCCCTTTTCTTCCTTACCATATCTATTCATAGCCTTGCCATTGGATATCCAGCAAGGGACCAACGAAAAAACAATGGCTTTCCAGACATTGACATTGACATTGACACTGCAATGTCGAACAAAACAGAGTAACTAACCTAGAAAAAACCACAGCAACATAACCTGGCACCCCTCCCTAACCCGGCGCGAGCGCAACGCGAGCCGGGGGCAGAAGGGCTTCACGCTGTGGTTCACGGGGCTCTCAGCCTCTGGCAAGTCGACGGTGGCGACGGCGCTGGAGCAGCACCTGCTGCACCTAGGCGTGGCCGCGTACCGGCTGGACGGCGACAACGTGCGGTTCGGGCTGAACAAGGACCTCGGCTTCAGCGACGCCGACCGCCAGGAGAACATCCGCCGCATCGGCGAGGTCGCCAAGCTGTTCGCCGACAGCTCCACCGTCGCCATCACCTCCTTCATCTCGCCCTTCCGCGCCGACCGCCAGCTCGCCCGCGACCTGCACGCCGCCGCTAGCCAGGGTGCCGGCGCCGACGACGACCCCATCCCGTTCGTCGAGGTCTACGTCGACGTGCCCATCAGCGTCGCCGAGCAGCGCGACCCGAAGGGCCTGTATAAAAAGGCCCGCGCCGGCGAGATCAAGGAGTTCACCGGCATCAGCAGCCCGTACGAGGCCCCCGAGAGCCCGGAGATCGTGATCAAGACCCACGAGAACTCCGTCGAGGAGTGCGTCGCCCAGATCGTGAAGTGGCTCGAGGAGAAGGAGTTGATCCCTACGCATACTCAGACTGCTACCGCGGCCGAAGCCGCCGGTCAGTCCGGCAATGCTGCTCTAGCTTCGTAAAAGACGGTTCGGTTAGTATATATAGTAAGAAAGGGAATTAGGACGTGAAAAATAGGCGTATATCCGTCAGTTCACTGGTATGACAATTCGGCTGCCACGTAGAGATGAGATAAGGCGAGACATTGGATCCTGAATAGACTTGTCTCCGGAAAAAGTATACACAGATAATTTTCATGTTTGTTATGACAACCGAAGCCCCTGGTTAAGGGGATGCTAGCCATGACATTAGTCCGCCCGCGAAACGCCATCCTGATAAATTAGATGCTGCGTGCCGTCTATAGTTCGAACTCGTAGTATACGTAGGCTGTGTACTCGTTTCCTTCCCCTCCGTGTCCTAGACCGGCCGCCGCCATCTCCGACGTTAAAGCTGCATCATCTTTCGTGATCCTCCCTCGCTTATCTCTCCCGAACGCATTTCCACCAAGGTACGAGTAGGATGAGTCCAGCGCCGCCTTCACCTCCTTTGCCAGCTTCGTGTTTGTCTAGTATAGATATTAGTATAGGTAGAGTCATTATAAAAGGAACGTAGTGGTGTGCCTACCAGGACGAGGGCAGACACAAATTCTAATGGTAACCCGTAACGCAGCACGGATTCCACAAAGACGCGGAGGGCCATTACATGCGCCCATATCATGACGCTCTCGCTCCATCCAGTGCGGGTCAGCCGCAAAGCCTCCCCCCAGACTTTTTTCTCCTCTCTCGTGACACGGTCTAATTCCTTTTGCTCTTCTTCCCTGCCGCCCTCGACATACTTATACTGACGGGGCGTCCACTTCTGCTCTCTGCACTTCTGCTGAAACTCTGCACTGTGCTTCTTAAACGTGGTGACGGCAAACAGAATAAACTCTTCATCTTGCGCAACCTGTATAGACGATCGAGGAACCACCATAGGTGCGATGGTTTCGTAGCTCTTAAGATAATCCTTCTTAAGGTTGGTGGGGACAGCGACTAGGTGCGTTTCGAGGTATTCGGAATCTTGTACTAGCAGAGACGGGTTGACGATCGGCGTAAGTGATTTAGTTGCGAGATTGCCGCTAAGCTCAGGGAGTAAAATCAGCATTTCGTTCAGAAGCCGGCCAGGATTGCAGCTATTTGGGGGCGTTTTACGTTTGTTTTCTTTGTAGGGAAGCGAGATTTGTCTTGACTTGGTTGTATTGATTGAACTTGCCCTTGACATCGCCGTCGATCGTGGCCAATTCCTATCGGCGCAAAAAGTTCCATATTAGTATACTCGTACATGATGCCGGGAAGGAACTACGCCCAAAAGCCATATTACCTTTTGCAAGATATCAATGAGTTCGCCAACAGGCTTGTCGGCTCTGTAACGAACTTTGTTCCAAGTAAAGGTGCGAAGGTACTGATCCGTCGGTTCTACAGGCTAGTCAACACGCTGAAATCTTGGGCGCGTAGGGAATTAAGGGCGACGAACTGTCGTTAACATTCTTTTGTTGAGATGCTTTTTCCTCGTTGCCTTCGTACAGTGAGCGCAAGGAGTCGCCGACCTTGCTAACCACCCCCTCACAGCCAGCACTGAGTTTTGCCAAATCGTCGGCTTGCTGAACCAATGCGTCTAGGGTTCCTATCTTAAAGTTGGGAACGGGAAATGGCAAGACGGTTCCATTCTTGGATGTAATAATACCCTTGACGGATTCAAGGGCTTCTTCCTTGTCGCCTGTGTCGAAAGTGCTGAGAGGCAGCGATAGGAGAACGTACTTCGCCGGAGTCGGAGCCATTGCGGCGAACGGGAATTATGCTTTATGCCTGGGTTGTATCTCAGCTAAATAATATAGCTTAGGTGTAGTTTGGTAGAACTCGGGGTGGAGGGATCGTTGAGGCTGGATAAGTGGGAGAGCTCTTGGTGACGGGGTCAGAGAATATTGCTCAATGAACTGTGGACTTGGAGCTAAGCTAGCTAAGGTGCATATGAATATTACCGGCCGGCAATGTATAGATCCCCGGGTTGGAAGTAGGAGACGCAGGACGACGACGACAGATATTAGTGGGCTAGGTCGTCGTGAAGTCGTCGTTGTAGGGTTGTAGGTTGTTAGATTTAGTATAGGTAGCTGCGTATTGAGGCTGTTGTATGATTGGAGCTTTAGGTACAACTGTAGGTACAAATGCACAAGTCAACGTCAGTGCTTCCAAGGTTCTTTAGTTCGACTTTAAGTGGGGTGTTCCAATACCGTAAGGTATACAGCTTGGAGCAGCATCAAGAAGCAGCTTCGACCTTGGTAACTATAGTACTATGCTTATAGAGATAAACTCATTAGATATTGATGTCAGACGATATCATGTTATGACGACTGTCTATTACTTTTAAGGCAATGCTTTATACTCTCGATAAAATGTTGAATATCCATATATGTGTAACTGCCTGAACTCTCTATTCAGCATTACCTACCTAGTTACAGTTTAGAGGTAGTATAACGTAATATCTACAACTTTCATTCATTGTTTCTTCTACAATATATAGAATCTCTCTACATAAGCCTTATTAATCAGGATGACTAGGCGTTTTCACGGTTTTATCAATGCCATCTCTTTCAACTACTATGTACACAAACTCAATCCCTTCGAAACCAATCATCTAACTACTTGGCGAGATAGATGCGTACATCTACCCCAGCCTATTCCGCATTCAACTTGCATGTAAGTTGCATCTAGACTCTCACAATAAACGGAGTATTTACAACTCCTTACTTCAATGTTACCCGGGCAGCCAATTATGTACTAACCGGTAAAGAGAATATAGGAGGGCGACGCAAAATGGAACGATATCAAAGTCGAAGTCTCGCAAGACCTCAGCTGAAATACGGTCCTACGTAGGTATGTACATGTGTACAAATGTGCCCAGGTAAGTGATAAGATAAGTGTGTGAAATTGCGCAGATGAGACATGGGACAATTGAAAAGACTGAGAGATAGCGAATGTTCTATTCTGGTTTTAGTGCGGGACAGGGTCACGAGCCATAAGCCACAGGTCACAAACCACTCAGAAGCCGAGCCTGTTTATTGATTTCTCTAACATCCCTACCAGAAACAGAAGGCACCAGCCATCTCTACCTCGCGACTACTCCGCTTTGGACTGCGAAGCCAGTATCCACTAATCCACTAGTCCACTAAACATTCAACGAGTCCACTAAATCAGCAATCCCATATCTGAAGAAGTACAACCCCAAAATCCTGGGAGAGTCGACGTGTAAATCCAATAGCCGCCGCTGAAAGAGCACGAGAACTGCCCGAACCATTCAATATCAGAGGAATATTCGTTCTCGAAACCATCTCTCCTCTCGTTATTCTCGACGACTCGAAAACTTACACCTCCCTATTCTCTGTTACACCAGAATATAGCGGTCAACCAGTCCTATGAAGCCCAACCACCTGTCGCCATCGACGACTTTTGACTTTGATTTGTCCTATCTGACCTTGTCCACCTTGTCTGCTGCCGCCGGCTGAAGACCACCATACACCATACCAAACTTAACCTGCAACGTATTCGTCGCCCCAACTTCCTGCTTCTATTAGTCCAGCTTCAATCTCAGTCTCAGTCCTACCGAAGAAGAAAAAATTCAACCGCTATCTACTACCGATACCGCTGGGAATCCAATCTCTCCGGCGCATTCAACCCCATTGATTAAATTCGTATTCCTCGGCTCTCCGTGGTGTCGCATCAGCTCCTCGCAATGACGCGCTGGTAGTCGCCTACGCCCTAATCCTCCGTAATCCGCGGTTGATGAGTATGGAATCCCGCCAACTGGTTTATACTCAGCTGCCAGAGTGAAGTCCTAATATTTTCTCCGAGTCGTAGCGAACGAGACAGACTTAAACCGCACATCCTCTTTGTCATGGTCGCCACTGCACCATCCAAATGGCTACCACGTCCAGTAGGCCGTCCCTCTCCACTCTCGCGGGATTGCGAGGTCCTATAATTCTGATTCTGATTATCCGACTAACTCCATCTTGTAGGCCAACAATCGGCCAATTTGGCAAACAATACATCCTCCATTGCGAGGAACTCGAATACCGGCGGCCAGCAGCTCTCCGAATCTCCTACGCCGGGCCTGACCGGACAGTCACCAACACTAGCCGCCCCTACCGTCAATGGCGGCGCCAATGGCCTGCTACCTTCCACGTTACCTAATGATGGATCTATACACGCTGATTTGAGATTATACCCCCGAGATGGACGAGTGAGAAATCCGGTTCCGAGCAAACTGAAGGATGTTACCGAACAAATGAAAGGGAATTTTAGTGTTATGCACATGGACGTTGCTAGCCATCGCGCAAGTGAAGGCCGCGATGCTGCTGCGAAGCGCACTAGTGAAAGTACTGCTCTGCAGGCTAAGTTAGCTCAGACAGACACTTACGTATCTCATCAACGAAGGGCCAACTACCCACGGCCGCCTGGATTAAAACAGTTTACATCTCCTAAGAAGTCCAATTCTACCGAACCACCGGCTTCTGCAGCTGCGGCACCAGTAGCACCAGCACCGGCACCGGCACCGGCACCAACGCCAACACCAGCACCTCCTGCCGTTGTTGAACCAGCGCAAGCCCAACCCCTTACGGTAGCGGAAACAAAGGCAGAACAAGCTCGATTGTTGACGCTTCTGCGAACACTGGCTCCCGCTCTTGTGGTTGACCAGTTATGCAAGGCACTCGCATTTTTTGGTGGCATACCTGACGCTCCACCCCCCACCGATGGTAAATTTCCTGAAAGCGCCGAGGCAAACGGCTCTGGCTCTCTGTTTGTTGGGTGGATCGCCGAAATATTTCCTAACCTCGATGAGCCTCGACGACGTGCCCCGATTCCGTCTTCGCAGTACATGCATCCGCGGCGACCGAGGGGACGACCTAAGGGGAGTAAAGCCACCAAGTCTCGAAGCGATAAGGGCATTAAGAAGGGCACTAAGGGAACCTCAAGTCGAGCCCAAGAAGCTCAGGATGATAGTTGGGTGGATGTTGATGACAGCGTCCTGGAATTAAATGGGGATGATGACCTCGCTGAAATAGAAGGGGCATTGGCGGCTCCGAGCACGCCTCCCCGAGTTCCCGATGCGGCACAGTACGGCAACACTCCGGCCACGGGTGGCTCGACCGGCGGGTTCAAGTCTATCAACGACTCGAACACAATAGCGCCGAATTCTAGCATAAAACGACGTGGTCGGCCAAAGGGTTCTAAGAACAAACCGAAGGAATTGTCCGATCCGCAACCGGCTGGTCAACCAGCTGAATCTGCGCTTACGAACTTAAGTGTACTTCACCAAGCTGACCATGTGTCGACGATCCCCATTCCGCCGAAGGTGACTCCGGTGCCAGTACCAGTGCCCATGGGGGGTGAACAGCTGAATAAGAAGAAGGCAAATTCGGGACGACCTAAGGGCTCTAAGAATCGCCCGAAGGCTCCCAATGAGCCTACAAGTCAGGATGCAAATCCATCCCAACAGCAGACACCCGATTCATCAAATCACCACAATAACCAACACTCGAATTATATGGCCGGAATCAGTCACGCGTTCACCGGTAGCAGCGCTGCGTCCGCTGTCACTAATACCAACGCTCCTCAGAAGGATAAACAAGTCCAGTTGCCACAACCGTCTGGTGTGTCTAATACTCAGGCCCCAATCCCAACTCCGCAGGTAAAAGAGTCGACAATAAGCGGCAAGAAGCGCAAGCGCCAATCTGCTCCTGCCAGCGCTCCTAATCCACAGGCTGATGGAGCCGCCAATAGCGTTGGTGGAAGTAATCCAATTCCTCAGCAAGCGTCGTCTACCATGTCTCAAGCAACTCCTACGTCGATCTCACAAGTACAGCCATCAGCCAGCCAGCCCAGCCAGCCTCCTGTGAGCAGCGCTGCTGCACCATCAGCTAAGCGGTCTCGTAAATCCCAGGAGGCGGGCTCGCTTCACACGTCCAAGCGTTCAACCCCGAATAACTTAGGGACTAAGAATTCCGCATCGTCTACGACGGTAACCTTGGATCCAGCCCGTCAGACTAGTCAAGTGACAACTCCATCTCAGGCACATACACAAGCCGACGGTTTAGAGGCTCATTACGAACGGATAGCTGCGTTACAGAACCAGAGTCTCAACGATCAAGTGCAAGGAAATAGCAATCGCTCCCAAAAACAGCAGCAGCATCACCAAGCCACCGCACCGATTGGACATACAGTCTCTCCGATTCCTGCAGAGGGCTTAGAAGCTCACTACGAACGATTCACTGCCCTCCAGAACCGGCAGGAGAATCCTAGACAATCGACGGCTAGTCGCCAACAGATGCAACAGCAGACCGCTCAGACCGCCTCGCCTATTCCATCACAGACATCAAAGGGGCCCCAGATGCCTTCTACCTTGACATCACATCAACAGACTAGGACAACGCAGAGCTATTACCCCCAAGCACAGACTCTCAGCTCATCTTACAACGCACAGGCCCCCTCGTACTCTACGAACCAACGGCAACCTCAACATATGGCTACCGGATCTCCTGGAACCAGCCTTGTACAACACATGACCAATTCTCCTCAGTTTGGTGCACAGTCTAATTCGCCTCTGATGCAAGGGGACGCTAATTACAGAGGATCACCATCGTTGGTCCATAATAACCCAGGGTATCCGCCCCGTCGGACGCCCTCGGCATCACCTCTCGATAATAACTACCGTACGAGCAGCGGCACCGGCCACGGCGTGTCTAATCACTCGCCTCATTTCGGAGCGCGTCAGACCCCGACGACTACTCATAGCACGTCACATCCTACAATGCCGTCCGCCTTTGCGCCCTTCACGGAGTCGAATTTGTTCGATATGCAAAGCTTGGATTCTAGTAATAATCACGGTGGGCTTGGACTTGGCACCGGCTCATACGGCCTTAGTGGCAGTGGCATACCCTCGCAGCAGCGAACAACTGGCTCGAGCGCCACATCCCTCTACTCTTCAACCACAGGAATGAGTAATAATTACCTGTCTTCAAATGTCGGTCGTACCACCCAGAATAGGTGGCCCTCATGAATTAACTCATGTCACGATATATGGAGGTTCGGAAAGCGCTGGGGAAAGGGTTCAATTTGCACATGATATACGACGGAATGTGGCGTTTATAGGCAAGGGACGAAAAAAATATAAAGCGGCGTTTGAATTATGATTTTTTTTTTATTTCAGGGTCACGATAGCGACCTAACTCGTTTTTTCTCTTCTCTTGTTGGTTTCGAAAACATGGTTCATGATGGAATGTTCTCAAGGGTATGGAAAGGGAAGGGAAAGGGAAATGGAACGAGGAAGGGTCTGTTTTTTTCTACCATTCTTATCCTTCTTCCTTCCTCGTAATGAATGGTAACAAACTCGGGCGAGTTTTATTGTCTTTTGACGGGTTCTGCGGTCTAGGATGGTGGGAGGGAGAAGTGGGATGGATGGAACTTATTTATTGTTTACTTGTAAGCAGAAGTTTATTATTCTACTTCGGACAAAAACTCTGTTGTTTAGGGAAGAGCTAGGAGCCGGTCTGCGAAGCTTTGCGGGATCGTCTTGTGTGTGCTTTATTTGTCTGTCTCAATATACCATTTGCGTCGCTCGGTTTACGTTTTATTCATCTACAAACTTAATCTTTTCTCGTCCATCATCTGATTTTACAAGTGCTTGCGAGCGAAAGTGAGGGACAGGACTGAATTAGCGGCGAGGGATGGCTTGGATGGCAAGGGAAGAAAGGAAAGGGAAAGGGAAAGGGAAAGGGGAAGGATGGTTGAATTTACGGGTCTAGATGAACGGAAACGACGGGATGGGCCCGAGAACATCATCGATTGATATATGGGATATATATCTACTTCGGCTTGCCCAAGCCCCCCCTCTCCCCCCAAAATCTCATGAAGAACGCTGTAAAATGCGGCTTGTGACTTGCATGAACCGACCTGAGGATCTTTCCTCTCCTCCCGCCCTTCCTCATCCCATTCCTTCTCCAATAAACAAGAGCCCGCTATCGCTTTTTGCCCCTTCTCTCCCGGCGCGGGAGGAAAGCCCGGAGGCTTGTGTGATCAACGGCAGATGCCTCGCGAAACATAAAAGAAAATGAGGTAAATGGAGTTACGCCTCCGTGTGCGTTTATAGCCTATGGCGACAGTTGTAAATGACAGCAACATAAAAGAAAATCGAATAGTCCACCGACTTGGGTAGGTAGATATGGGTAGTAGGTAAGATATGATATATATCTCCTCCACGTCTGGTAAAAAAAAAAACCAGACTAAAGATAAAATATAAATAAAAAAGAGGCTTTCTCGAATATGTTCCAACTCCTATAATTTCGCCCGAGCTCCTCTTTCCCTTTCCCCCCTTCCCTATCCGTGAAGAGAGGGTTATGAGAGAAAAATAATAATCCCGTCTCCCTGGTCGAAAAATAGAAGAATAAGTAAACGATTTGACAGTAAATAGTAAAAAAAGATCCCGCCCTTGTATAAACGCCTTGCAAATGCTCATGATATATGGGATATGATATGACATGGCTAGACAATGGCTAAGCCCACCCGCGGATATCTTCTAAGACGCCCATGCATGGTATCAATCGACTAAACCCCACCGTCTCCTCGTAGGTAAAAGTAGCAGCATATAATTATTCGATAGGATCTTCCTCGATAGCTTCGAGGGGTGGCCGGACCGAAGCCGGTGCTGCCCGTCCGTACCACCATTCGTCCTCTTCAGCAGCGCCATCCTCGCGGATCAGCTCCAGCATGACTTGCGCGTTGCGCTTGATGTCCTGAGGTCGCACGACGATCCCCCGGTCGAGTATGAGGGCTTCGGCCGTCGGAAGCCATAATTGTTGTAATGTGGGTAAATCAGGGACCAGTATCCTAAGCTGTTCTCGTGATAGTTCTCTCATCGGCATGCCCTCGCCCAGGCTGCTATGGAACACCAAACTTTCCCACGAGTTCACCATCGATACATCGCTGCCCCTTCGACCCGACTCTGAGCCTTGCCGCCCGCGACCACCCGCATGGGCCTCTCCAAATTTCGTGAATTGCTCTTCGCCCGCGCTCGACTTTTTCCGGGTAATGCCCATAAAACCCCGTCGCGTTTTCGTCGCTGGCTCCATAAGTGGGGGCTCCTTCATGACCGAATTATACCATGAATCCACGGCTCCTCTTCTCGAATTATATCCCTTAATCTCCCAAAATCTTTCTACTTGTCGAAGACCACCAACGCACATGGCCGTTACGAATACTTCGTCAGGGGGCCTATCCTTCAGATAACCTCTGAGAGAACGCTCTAGTCGACCAACGTACGAGGGAGGCCGAAGTCGTCGACAGAAAGAGGATACAACCAGGGGGAACACCTGGTGAACGCGTAATAATGTCTGATCATCGTACATGCTCATGATCTTAGCTTCGATAGGGTTGATAGTATAAGGCGCGCGTGATAAGCCATATCCGTGCTCTTTGATATATTCGATATGTAACGTCCGGTAAGTTTCGAAGAAATGAAATATCGTGAAGAGTAGTGGTATTAGCCGGCGGCGCATCCGCTCGTATTGCGGTTCGAATTCGAGACGTTGAGACTCGGTATTTCTAAGAAATATTTCCTTCGTCACCCTCTCGGATATTAAATATGAGAGTTTCGAGGCAACATGTAGCCGATGCCATATTCCACAGAGGTAATGAAGTCGTATGGAAGTCGGATCGGGCGCCGGATATAATCGTTTCGCATAAGCCGGTACGTGATGTTGTAAGTGATATCGCGCAATCGGGAATTCGTTGACTGTGATCATCGCGTGCCACGACCGTGACGCTAGACGAAGGTTTAGAATATCAGATAGGGGTAAGGAAGCAATGATCTGAATCTTCAGCTCATTGGGGAGTGCCAAGAATAATTGGTCAAAAGGCGTAGCCTTCTTCTTTGCAGATTCGACGGACAACCTCCGGCTATCGTGATCAACGGAGCTGCGCGTTGGTAAGATTGTTCTGAAGCTGAAATTTGCTCGGCGTTTCTCTGATTTCTGGATATCGTGAGAGGTCTGATCAATTGACTTTGCCTTTCCAATGGGCAATATGAAGGTGGACGACTCGGCCACGACGCCATCGGCAACAGCATCTTGAGGCTGCTCTTTCGACTCGCTTATCTGCCTGAGCTTCTCAAAATATCGCTGCGAGGCGAATTCAGTAATGTGTGGAGGATCCATCGTTGAATATCGTCAGGTGGTCAAAAGACACGCCTGGATCGAAAGGGAGGACAGGCTGTGCCTGTAACGCACGCTTGTCCTCTATCGGACAGAAAAGGCGACAGCAACGAAATCGGTAGTATCGAAGATGATCGGTCGCAAATCACACATGTTGAGACATTGGAGATATTCGTCGGATTAAATCGTCGAGAGCAGAAACCGTCTAAGGCACGATTCGACCAGATAGTTTTTCGGGTTGCGGGTTTGAAGGTTGAATCGAGGGCGAAGGAAATCGAAAGAGCGACGAATGACAGCCACAACAATGCGAAGAGAAGCGAGCGACGTCAGATGCACAGACGTAGTACGACAGCCACAGCGCTCCTTGCCTCCCTTCTCTCTTACACCCGACTCACGTTGGTGTAATTCTCGGCCGTAGGCGTGGGAATTGGAATGTCCAGTCTCGTCGGTGCCGATATGGTCGCTGAAATTAGGGCGGATGTCGCAGACCCTGAGGATTGGTAATGTCCCAGACACGCAATCGATATTCGACGGCAACGTGGAAATTACGGCGGCGCAAAGTGAGAATGCTGTCTAGTATTAGGGGTACAAGATCCGAGGCGCAATGGTTCTCCGAGGCCAAGATCCGGGAGGGAAGGTAAAGATAGTGTCGTGGGGGGAGAAGAAGGTGTTGAGCGGAAATGAAGGGCAACGTTGACAGAAAGAGGTAAGATAGGACAGACACCTAACGGCCGGATACTAACGAGTTTCTCGACCCATAGGGTTCAGCAGATTCACCAGCTCAGCACACAAAATAGAGTGAAAGTGGGTAAGGTCTGAGGAGTGTGGGAATAATGAGGCCGAGAACGAAGTGGGAATCGTAGGAGTCGTTTTTGGCCGTTGGGAGATCTTGGGTGTGGTTTGGGTCTTGGGTCTTGGGTCTTGGGTGCTGGGTGCTAGGTCATTGGGATGGGAAGAATTGGTTAGGACGGGAGTGGACGGGGAGAGCACGGGAGTGGATTGGAAAGTGGATGGGTAGTGGATTGTAATGGGGACAATGTGGACAATGTGGATCAAAGAGTGGTCCAAGGGAAAACCAGCGGGAGAATTTAGTACATGTACAGCGCGAGGTTGCGTGAAGTGCGTGTGGAGAAACGTTGTCGTTACTTGAGAAAGAGCCAGGAAGGGACAGAAAACTGCCAGGAAGTAGCCCATGGGGGTGTGCTAGGGGTGTGCTGGGACGGGGCGTGGCAGGCGTGGGTGGCACTAATCCACTAAACATTCGGTGTTATGGTGGTATGAGCTATAAAATAGGGTGCCCGAGGGGGGCGTCCTTTCTTTGCTTACGGCGATTTGGCCGGCCAAATAGTGGAGTGCTGCCGACCTATCGCCAGCGAGTGATGTCCATTGGATCAATCGATCCCGCTATGCGAAATCTTATCGTGGTAAAACTTTACCACCACTACTACTAGGTTCATATGTACATGACGAAGCTGTGAAGGAGCGCCTGACAGCCCCGAGCACATGGTTTGGTACCTTAGTGAGGTACCTTAATGTGTTTTAGCGGTTTAGTGTTTAGACATCGAACATCAATTCCATCAATCTCATCTTCTCACGGTCCCGTCGCTCACGATCCTCACGATCCACACCTTTCGCCCAGGTCGTTATCACGATCCCAATCTGTCTGAATCGTCACCTACATATTATCTACATACCTATCTCAACATGTGGATACAATCACATCTTCACCCAAGGTCAAGGTTACGATAATTGTCCTAATGACTTCTGTCGAGTCCTATTATTACCAATATTAAAATCAACCCCGGCATCAGCTTATTTATTGCTAATCAAAGTCGAACCGAACCTGAAGAACGGTTATTACCACGTTATGACCTTGATGAAGTCAGTTTGGTCAGTCAGATTCCGTGACCGTTCCATCGTGCGGTTATGGCCGATAGCCTTCCTCATACGGCATTCGTATTGTATCATCTCCTTTGGTACGGTGACCTAGTCCTGACCAGTCTGGGCCATCCGACTACCGTCAGGACAACCACCTATCACCTATCGGCCCGCGATAGTGCCATAGATATATCGGTCGTCCGCAAATGCTTTTTCTACTATAGTAGTCTCGCTCGTTCGCTCGGCCTTTTACCAAAGCTCTCGCCGTGATATCTCACCTCTTTCCTAACTTTTCCCCGTCATTAGCTTCACGTCCGTTTCTTTTCGGGCCCGTTAGTTAAGAGTTATCATCATGGTAATTAGGTTCATACGTTACTTTTCAACCCGTGTCTAGCCTGATCTCACGATGGGATTGGGTGGTTGAGTGTATGCTATCTAATGAAGCAGCACGAAACGATGCTTCTAATTTAGCCTATTACCAGCTCGGTTATAGCTTGCATATCGAGAATACCTAGTTACTTCGCGGAGCCTCGTGGTTTTCCGATCCTGTTCCCTTGGATATCTGGATCTGAGCATTTGCTGCGGCCAGTGCCGAGAGTAGCACCGACTCTTCCTGTGTTCAAGGTTTTGGAAGATCATTGATGCTTGTAAACTTGATCACCATAACCTATGAATCTATGATCTCTCATATCTCATCTCATCGACACGGTTCGTGACACGCTTGGCATCTGCGGTATTTGACCGAGTGTCTGGCGCTCTGTCTACGTTACCTACAGACTGAGGAGGATGAAGATGTTGGAGCTAGCAGCTGGGGCATAGCTTCAATAGCGACTGACGATCGCGTCAATCTCACTTACATCACTCACGTCACTAACACAGCTTGTACGCAGATTGTAGGGCTCTCTCTCACCACATACATGGCACAGCTCTTGGCAGCTACATCCATGTATGGCTACTGTAAAACAAGCAGTCCGGGGAGAGATGTCTTTCATCACGATTCACCAGCGCCAGTGATCTAAATGACCCTTCGGGAAGGATCTGCATTCGATTTCGGCACTTCTGGGGTTGCTTTTCTCATTTAGGTCTTGCAGTGTAACATGCCACCTAAACTGCGAGACAACGAGGCCACACTCTTTTCCCAATGGGATCGAGCCCCTTTTTTTGCAATCTCTGCTATGCGAGACATTGCACATGACCTTTCAATTCTGAGTCGTCGAGTTTCATTGATAAAAATCGAGAACCAGAAGGGCCAGACATCATGATACAGTGGTCAGAATGCTATATGCTCGTACATATATGCTGGTATTACATACACGAGCCTACCGCATATGTATTTAATTATTGCGTGCGTCTCGGCGTAATCACTCCCGCAGCGCCCAAGCCCGTTCCTGTCAGCACTTCATTTTATCCGGCATACATAATCTCCTCCATCTCGCGTCTTTTACAGACTACGGCCAAGCAAAATATGACCGGTCATCGGTGTGAGCGATGACCTTCGCGCTCTGACTCAAGCAGTCCTAGAACACCAAGCGGTGATCAAATCGTACCAGTTCTTTTCATTTTTTTTCGTTGTTCATTATCTATGGAATTGGAAAGATTACCTTCCTTACCTACAATACAAACGTGCCGTGATCGTGGCCCGGTTAGAAACAAGGGCTTAGGAATTCCCCGCGATAGAGCCGCCGGGTCCGTCCTCTAATGTTCGACAGAAAAGGGACCGCCCATGTGGATCGGCGGCCTTACTACGGTCGTTTTTCAATACTCCCAGTACCCGACTGTAATTTTCTGCTCATTGGCTAGCAGCCTCCATGATCCATCTTCAAATGCACCATTTTTCTATGCTGTCGACACACATTCACGACAGGCAGTTTTTTTAAGCCTACCACCTGCTATCTCAAGGCTAGAGAAAGGTATGTTTTAACATGATCATGGTGATGTCTTCGTATTGGAAAATTTGAACGGACTTTTACGAATCTGAGTCATGTATTCACCAGTACAACGTCGCCGTGGATATATCCCTGGGATTAGAGGCTAGGACCTCAAGTAGGACCAAGTAGTGACAGCTCGCATTCACTTAGCTGCCCTCGGTCGTAAGAAGCGAGTCGGCCTAAAGGATTGCGTATATGACTGCGTTGTCAGAGTGCAACGTGGTCTTCGTGAAGAGAAATGAACTTGGAGAATGAAGCATGCTATTTGCGGCTTAAGCCGCGAATATCGTCCCAGAAATGAAGGCTGGTTCACCAGCTTCTGAATTGTCCATGTTATATTCTGACACAGTTCGCTAGGCTTCTTGAAAATGGCCAAGAAATTCACCAAAGCCTGGTGGTACGCCGTTGTCTCAGCCCTTCCCGACTGACGATGCCGCTGTAATGGCTTGGCTGATCAAAAAGGAGCTCATTCGGTAGGTTTTTTCCTACTGGAGAGGTCACACAGCCCGGAGGGCCTACTTCTTCAGTCTATCCTGGGCCGAGTATGTATGGCGAGCTGCCGAATACTACCGAAAGGGCCCTGGGGAAAACGTCATCGGAGTTGACTCTGATCTAGCCCCAACTTAAGCCCCAGTTGCCCTGCAGCGATGACCAAGTTTTGACTGACGATGTCCGTGCGGGACACGAGCTTAACGAACCGGGAGGTATTATTAAGGGATTGCTGTAGGCATTGCCTTGCCCTCAGCTATGACACCTATCGCCTATCGTCTATCGTCTACTTAACGCGGGCTTCCTTTCCTGAACTCAACGTTCGGGTATCACTTACATAAGAGTGTAGTTGTCTACCCATCTCGTAACCCCTCAGCCCAGATCTAGCTACTCGGGAGCTCAGTCGAATGTCTTTCGCAAGCAACCTACCCTGAAAGGACCCTGAGAAGGTGATTTAATATATTGGGGGCATTGCCGCTCGTCGAGCCAAGTCTCGCTGCGCATGTTATCTATCCATCTCGCCAGTTAGGGCAAAGCGATAAGCACCCCGGTGATGAATTTGGCTTGAGATCAAGATGAAACCAACCGAGCCAATCTCCAAAAGAGGCGATAGATTCCGCAGGACACCAAGGCACTTTGTCCACGACACAAGGTAACCTACGAATCGTATCATGTCGAAAATCGTCAAGTGACACGACGACTATCCCTCGCTTCACTAGATATCTCTAGTCATTTTCCTACAGTAGGTGATTATTCTTGTTTTTTGTCACCCGACTCCTGCTTGATCTGTCCAGTCTGTCGGCTGGCCTCCTTTTTTGAGAGAGCCAGCGGTGCAACTGTACCCCTCAGAGGTGCAATGCATATTCCGAACTTGTTTCGTGTTACGCTTGCTCAGGAAAGGCCACGAATGGGCTAGGAGGCATTGGATATTAGAAAGCAAATAACGCTTGAAGTAAGCCTTATCATGAAGTTTGCCGCGCTCGCTGACTCAGGACGGATGCGGCACAAGGACGCGTGCGCGTAAGGCCGTCAGGGCCGTCTGGAATTGTTCTAAACTTCTCTAGCTTCCTTTTAAGAAGACGGGGGAGCCAAGCCCCTACGGATCTCAAGGGTGAGCCCCATATTCTCAGCTTCACCTACTACACCGATTAGGAAGCTCGTTATGTAAAGGAACATGGGGACGAATCGAATCCCTCATACCCTCATAGCCCAGAACAGGACTGGGCTCCCTCAATGAGCAGTTCTCCTCGCTCCCAAAAAGGCTTTTCTCCAATTTCCGATTTCTCCTAAGTAGAGATCGACCGACCGACTAGCCCCGAGCCAACGGTTTGGCGTGCTGCGTGCTTGTGTGTCTGTTTCTATTTTTAGCAAACCACATGTATGCCGTGGGTTGTCAGGTTATCCTCTTCATTTTCTCACTGGTGGCGTTCCTGGGGGGGGGGGGGGGGGGGGGGGGGGGGGGGGGGGGGGGGGGGGGGGGGGGGGGGGGGGGGGGGGGGGGGGGGGGGGGGCGGGGGCGGGGGGGGC